GGGATCCTTAAACTGAAGCAGCCATTTCAAAGCAGCGTGATCTGTTCTGATCAAAAATTTCCGTCCCAGTAAATACTTCTTGAAATGGTGCAGAGTTTTGACTACGGCCAGCAATTCCCTCCTGGTCACGCAATAATTCCTCTCCGGCTTGGATAGTGACTTGCTGAAGTAAGCAATAACCTTCTCCTGCTCACCATCGCGTTGTGAAAGGACACCTCCTATTCCAATATTGCTGGCATCCGTATCTACTACGAATATTCCTTTCGCACTGGGGTATCCGAGAATTGGCGTGTTACAAAGCCCTTCTTTTAGTTCTCGAAAGGCTTGCTCACAATCCTCGTCCCAGATAAAGGCACGTTTCTCCTCTGTCAATCGATGCAAAGGCTTGGCAATGTCCGAGAATCCTTTCACAAACCGCCGATAATACGAGCACAATCCAAGAAATGCCCGAACTTGCGTTTTGTCTTTAGGTGTTGGCCATTCCTTAACAGCGACAGTCTTGGCTGGATCAGTCTCAATTCCTTTCTCAGAAATAACATGTCCTAGATAATTCACTTCGCGCTTGAAGAAAGAGCATTTCTTTGGACTCAACTTTAAATTTGCTCCACGCAGCTTGTCGAGTACCTTTTCCAATTTCCTTAGATGATCGTCAAAATCCCGTCCAACAATGATGATGTCATCGAGGTAAACTAGGCAGGTTTCGCCGAGCAGTCCCGCCAGCACCTGTTCCATCAAACGCTCAAAGGTTGCCGGTGCATTGCATAATCCAAATGGCATCACCTTAAATTGCCAGAGTCCCTTCCCAGTTGAGAATGCGGTCTTTTCCTTGTCCTTGGGATCCAAATCCACCTGCCAATAGCCGCTTTTCAGATCGAGCGTTGAAAACCATTTCATGCCACTCAGTGTGTCATCGATTCTTGGTAACGGGTAGCTATCCTTCTTGGTTACATCATATAATCGTCGATAGTCTACGCAAAACCTCGTTGAACCATCTTTCTTCTTGACAAGCACGACAGGTGAACACCAAGGGCTAGAAGAGGGCTCTATCACGTCATTTTTCCTCATATCGTCAATCATTTCTTCAACCTCTTTCTCACGAGCGAATGGTATACGTCTGGGCCTTTGACGAATTGGCATTGTATCACCTGTGTTTATTTTATGCTTCACCAAACCAGTTCGGCCAATATCACCATCGCTTCTTGAAAACACATCAGAGAATCGAAGAAGTAAATTTCTAGCTTTCATAGTCTCCACTTTTGTCAGACTTTTGTTTTCGTCTAAGATTTTCGTTACAAAGTCTATTCCCGTACTGTCCTTCTTCACAAGATTCTCCGAGCATTTTCTTATCCAGGCCACTTCTTCCAATACGCCCACAGGCTCTCCTTCCTCAATCGTAATTTTTGAATCACTGAAGTTGAATACCGGAATGCGGTTGACATCAGATGACCCCACGACAGTTCTTGCCGGTAGCCATGAGTTTACGTGTTCCGATTTATCAATCACAGCGCACCTTCGAGGTAAACTTCCTTCCCTCCTCCTAGGTAATGCGATTGGTACGAGAGTCTGTGATTTTGGTGCAAGAACAGTTCTTCTTAAACAGCAAACTTTTCCCAGGGTTCCACCCTTCATCGGAATTTCCTCAGTACCACATAGTAACACTCCAGATTTTAAGTCGATGTTACACTGGTGCCCTTGCAGGAAGTCAAGTCCCAGGATGCAGTCATCCAGAATTTTGGCTACAATAACCTCATGTCGATAAACACGTTCCCCAATTTTGATTGTTACATGCAGTTTTCCACTTATCGGTATGCACTGGCCGGTAGCTGATTTCATTTGTAGGCCAACAATTGGTTTAAGGTGTTTCCTGATGTTTTGCCCGAGCAGCCGAACATTTATCACCGTCCTTGAAGCTCCAGTATCTAATGTTAGATGACTGTTTTTCCCGTTTATTTGACCGTCTATCACCAGAGTATTTCCATCGTTAGTTTGCTTGATGTAGATTGTTGGGGTTATTCCACTACCGGCCAGCGCCCACCCCGCAGCCCTGGCTGGATTTAGTTTCCCTGCTGGTCAGAAGTTGAGACCGCCGCGTCCTGGCGGTTCACCTTCTTCGGGCAGTTGCTCCGCATGTGCCCACGCTCTCCGCAGCCATAGCACATGAAGTTACGACGGCGTGGAGGTACCTGCTCCGTTGTCGTCATTTCCCGCAGACGTAAGGTACGGGAGTTACCACGCACGGCTTCCACTTCCAATGCATGGGCCAGAGCTTCTTTCATGTTCTTGTGATGGCCCAGATGAACAGCAGCTCGTACTTCGGGGTCCCGAATACCGTCAATGAACGCTTGGAGAAGCGTGCCTTCAATCATTGACGGAGTCGACCGGAAAGCTCGACGCACAAGTTTCTCGATTTCCACGGACCATTGCTGTAGGCTCTCATTAGCACGCTGAGTACGCTCTTTTAATTGCGCTCTGTACACGTGCTCGAGGTGGCTGTCTCCAAAACGTGCCTCAAGTGCGTCGAGGAGGGTACTAAAGCTGAGATCCCCACTTGCGCCGATAGCTTCCAGCACTGAGAGCGCTTGATCACGGAGGGCCAGAGTGAGGGCTGACTGTGCTTCCTTCTGAGTCCAACCATAAGCCTCCATAAGTGTCTCAAACTGTAGCTTGAACGCGGTCCAGGATGTTGTTCCGTCGTAATGGGGAATCTTGAGCCCTTTCGTTGCGCTTGAGGCCGCATTTGGGGCGTCAAAAACGGCTGCAAGACGGCTTCGGCTCTTCAAAGGGCTTGGGCTTGTCACTTCCTGCTTGATTTTGGAGATCTCTTCTTCCATTCTCTCCTCTATCGCCATGACGCGATGTTCCAACTTGCCTAAACCTTCCTCCACTTCTTGTACCCGTTCGACAGCCTTTTGCAGTCCCTTCGTGAAATCTTTATGCATGTCTTCCAAGCGACGCGCTTGCTCCTCTTGGCGACGAGCTTGATCTTCTTTCAGTTCCCGCAGCTGTTCTGACTGACAGCGTGCTTGCTCTTCTTGGCGGCGCGCTTGATCTTCTTTCAGCTCCCGCAGCTGTTCTGCCTGACAGCGCGCTTGCTCTTCTTGGCGGCGCGCTTGATCTTCTTTCAGATCCCGCAGCTGTTCTGCCATCATTTGCTGCAGCTGTAGCAGAAGATCCACCTGCACAGGCTTGGCTTCTGCATCGCTGGTTTGAGCTGCAGCACCCTCTTCCCTCACACGCTGCGCTTCTGACATAGCACGGGTACTCACTCCTCTTACGTCCTGCGGCACTAGCGGCATTTTTCTCCAATCCCACTTCTGACACCAAATGTTACGTGCCTGACGTCACGTTCCTGACTATGCGGGCTTGGGTTACGGGATTGGATGAAATTAAACACTAATACCGGTTTTCAGACTTTGTATTGCACTTAAATGACAGCGTCCACTGAGCTAAGTTTTCGGCGTTCCTCTCCAGCAGAGTCCGGGCGACTGACACAAACTTCCGTTTGCCGCTCACAGTTCTCGCTGACTTTCACTTAACTCACTGCACTTCACTATTTCACTGCACTTCACTATTTCACTCACTTTTCTTCTTTTTCACTTCTTCCTTTTCTTCCGAATCACTTTGGACTTAGAACTCAACTGCCAGCGGTGAGCCGCAGTTCCGCTTATATACCCCCGGTCAGGTTCTGGAACATTCAATTTCGTTATTCTTTTTAATCGTCATGCCTCCAGAACCTTCCAATAATTTCGTTATTCATTTTTATTTATTCTCCTTCTCGCTCTTTAATTTTTCATTTCTGTCACACAAATAATTCCAGAAAGTTCGACAAAACTTCCATCAACTAAAAAACTTCATGTTTACGGCGGGACTCGAACTCGGGGTCTCTGTGGTGTAATCCACACGCCTTACTGATTACACCAACTCGTGTTGACAATTCACGACGAAATTTACAATCTCTAGGCAACATTTGACAACCATCCATTGACGTCATGATGTCAAAGAGCTTGAACCACTTTTCCGTCACAATATTTTGTGTTAATATTGGAGATAAGTGTGGGAGAGCCATGCTTCGGCACGAATGGGTCGGCTCGTGATACCACGGACTCACAGAAAACCGGCGTGAATCAACCTCAGCGTTGTGTTTCACTGTGTGAGTGAGGTTAACGGAGGCCCAATCCTTCCCCTCCCCCAATCCCTCCTCAATCTCTAAATCTCCAAATCCCTTATCCCTAAAAGGTCGGCGATGCACTCGTAACTCCTCCATTGCGGGTGTCCATGGGCGGCGCCCCATCAGGTAATCCGTCTGCTCGTTTGCCGATACATTACATAAAAAAAAAATTGGAAAACAAATATTACCAGTTAGGAAATTAAGTTATTGAGCAGCCACACAACCAATGACGGATATTGTAATTATAATTTGGGAAATGTAAAATGCGCTTGTGTTAATAAGGAAATGCCAATAAAATGTAAAAACAAAATCAAGGTTTTAAAGTTTGACCTTTGGCGCTGACAGACATATTGACAGTTGAACGTTTCTAGATAACTTTTATACAAACAACTAGTTGCAGCTTGTAGAAACTGTACACAATAGCATTTGTCATATTCGGGATAAGCGCAATGAGGCACCGCGGCCTCGACCTAAAGCAGGAGAAGAAACGGAGGGGTTTTTAGTCAGTAAGAGTCTGACACTTACCCTGGGCGGGAGAAGTCATTTGATGATTTTCCCCTCATCAAAAAAAGCATTTGCATTGGGTTGAAAGTTCAGTCGTCAGCTTTTCATCCTCAGGAAACGCCAAAATGCAAAAGTATGGTCTGATTTTTATATACTACACAAATTAATTATATCGTCTTCCACGGGCATGCGCTATATTTCTGATCCCAGACTCCCAGTCTTACAGAACAGGTCCTTAAGTAAAATATTTTCGACTGGAAACTCGAGCGAAATCGCCAGTCCCCACTATACCACAAAGTCATGAAACCGTCCTTGAACTGCTCCAAATATGCGGGTTATAAATATTTTTCCTCTTTTGCAAAATACTTATTATCAGTTCATAGCATCCTGTGGATTATTCTGTAGTTATCGGCTGCGGTATCCGGCCATCCGTCCCAAACGGTCTGATACTGCGCAATCACTGCTAGTCCTCTATGGAGTGATCATGTTGCTTCTTTTTAATCTTTTTACAATATTTGGGACTGTCCTCAGTGTCAGTGGAGACGATTATGCATGTGAGTAGCTATTAGTGTTTTTGTTGAAGTTTTATACGACTTACGAAGGTTTTATTTGATCTGTGTTGTTTTTTTAAGTTAGTTTTTTTTATGGTATTGCTTGTAAAATATTTGTGATAAATATTTATTCTCGGTCTCCAATCATTAATGAAAATTTAAAATATGTAAAAACTACTTTTTCAAAGGACGTTTGATTGCGTACAGAATGTTTTTTAACCGAAAGTACCACCATAACCATTAATTATTTAACCATTATTACCCATTTATTAACTCAAATTCTTTTAAGATTACGTTAAAGGTACGATTTGAGTAATTTAATGAGTTTTTATATTTTTTTATTTTTGTGATATATATTTCAAACCATATCTTGAAAAATTAACTTTGTGTGTAGGGTGACAATATTTAGAACTCTTATGTCCTCAGCCAAGTTGCTGGATCCATCATGGCAAGAGATCATAGCTCAGGGTGGTTTGCACATTGGAGCCGGCCGAGCAAAGAGATTCATTGGCATAAGTGACAACCAGGTAAGATGTCCTTGAAACTATATTTCATACTAGCTACTGTCCCGCGGTTCCATTCGCTGCTCGGCTCCTACATATTGTAGCGTGATGTATTATAGCCTATAGCCTTCCTCGATAAATGGACTATCAAACACAAAAAGAATGGTTAAATTCAATCCAGTAGTTCCGGAGATTAGCGCGTTCATATAAACAAAAAACTCTACAGCTTTATAATATTAGTAGGGATTGCTTATGACCAGTCTGATGGTAAGCGTCCATCGTAGAATAACTGCCTCCACGTTGAAGGGAGTAATTAGATGACTTCTCTAGTCCAGAGTGAAACGAGAGGGAGTATCAGACTCTTACTGACTAATAACCATCCTATATTAACTCGACTAGTTTCAAGCCATGCTAGAGGCCCATATTCATGAGCAGCATTCCGCGACACGCGACGCGGCGACTGTCGCGCTGCTACTGAAACCAGTCGAGTATCTCGTCAAATCATTACGTGAGTAAGCCGAAAACATAATACTTTATTAATTTAGAATGTCTCACGAAAGTTATCATAATTACCATCCTGTTACTTCTCCTGCGGTTAGCGATGCAGCGGTGAGTCAATCAAGCTTATTTATTGCGCATTTGATACTCAAATAGTTAATTTAAGAACCTGCCACTTGTTCATTATACATTCAAAAGAATAGAGTTCAACAATACCTATATATATCGGCTGACTGACGGTTGGCGCGGTGGCTGGGCAACTGGCTGCCGCGCAACGTGTCGCGGGTTCGATTCCCGCACGAAACAACTCTTTGTGTGATCCACAGATTGTTGTTCCGGGTCTGGGTGTGATGTGCATGTGAAATTGTATGTTTGTAAACGCACCCACGACACAGGAGAAAATCCTAGTGTAAGGCAAAGTTTTTTAAAAAAAACAATGCCCCTTTTAGTTGTAATGTTATAACTCAACAATGCCTTTGCCGATTTGGCTAATTTTGATCTTGAATTATTAGTGGAGGTCCAGAGAAGGTTTGTACCAGGTTTGTATCCACGCGGGTGACCAGTAGTTGACTATAAAAATATGAGAGATTTTCTTAACAACCATATGAAATAACGTGAAACTTTTACCGTAAATGGCAACCTACTTGATACTATTACACCTCTGTTTATCCCAAAACAGGCAATAAAATGGCTTAATATTCACCTACCCAGAGTACCTGTCTAAAAATTCTCAAACCAGTCTACCACCCGCCCACGATACAGCCTTCAAAACCTTGTTAGAATATATCTATTCAATTAGCTGCGCCGGCGCCGCTATAAGCGTGTTTAGCAAGCGATCTCACAGACCAACAACATCATTACGCTTGTAAAACATGAGCAATTAGCCATTATTTCCGCGTTTAACCCGTGTGTAGAGAATTTGCATATAAGATAAAGGTATACTTGTGTACGTAAGTAGATAAAATCTAGCTTTCAGCCTAATACCTAAAGGAGAAGTTGTGAAAGAATTTTTTTTTTGTTTTTTAAAAAAAAGACTTTGCGCCACATTAAGATTTTCTCCTGTGTCGTGGGTGCGGTTACAAACATACAAATTCACGTGCACATCACACCCAGACCCGGAACAACAATTTGTGGATCACACAAAGAGTTGTTCCTTGCGGGAATCGAACCCGCGACACGTTGCACGGCAACCAGTAGCCCGGCCACCGCACCAACCGTGCAGTCAGTAGATAAGTAAAAGTCAAGAAATAACTATGGTGTTTCTTCAGACTCTAATTGGTACTAGTTTTCGTTTTTTAAACATACATGTTCGACTAGCTTCTTCTTCTTCTGCTGACAGCCTGGAGGTAAGCGATGATGTATGACCGGGCCGAAGCTGTTAAGCTTTACTCGCGTTCCCAGGATAAAAAGTAGCTTAGGTATGTGTGGTCAATGCTATATTTCTGTTTTGCCTTGTCCAGAACAAGGTATGTCAATAAGTTCAGTATGTCTTAAACAATTACACAGAATACATCCTTAAAATCACACATCTTTAATATTGGATAGGATATAGACTTTGTCAAAAACGAAAAAAGTACGTTAACGCTTTATCAGAAAATTGAACAATGCGGTTTTAGGCCTCGTTTACGCGCATTGCACGCTGCATTATACATTGCTCATTATGATTGTGTTTATACGGGCCGGGCGAAATGTACGACAAATGCAAGACGGGCCGCGCAACCTTAGGGTTATCAATAACGCCTTAGGGTTTTTTTTGTCATCCCGAGCGTACGGCGCGTAGCGTTCCGCGCGCGCCCCAAAGAGCCAATGGACCCCCCTCACAGACGGGGCCCTATAGGGCTGATGTTCAGCCGGAGTTGCGGGTTACGCGCAATGAGTCACTGCGACCTCGGCCCAGAGCAAGAGAAGGAACAGGGGTTTTTTTAGTTAGTAAGAGTCTGACACTCTCTCTCGCCTCACCCTGGGCGGGAGAAGTCATTTGATGAATTTCCCCTGACAAAAAAGGGTTTTTTGTCATGTAGGTAATTCTAAGTAACATTCGAAGAACTCCATCTTATGCCTTAAGACTAACAGTTGGGGTTGCGGGTGCCAGCGCTATAATGTACCGCAACCCGGCCCGAAGCAGATGAAGGAACTGGGCGGTTTTTAGTCAGTAAGAGTCTGACACTCGCTCTCGAACCAACCAGGTGATTTCCTGATCTTCTCACTTCAGAAAAAATGCGTTAAGACAGACACTATCACCCGGTTTCTGAAAGGCTTGTCAACGCTAAAATTACCTAATCTCCTGTTAAATCTTTTGTCAAGTCATCTGATTGGTTGTTAATAATTCATTCAAACAATCAGATGACTTGACAAGGTTGTTAATAATTCATTCAAACAATCAGATGACTCGACAAGAGATTAAATTGATTTTAAAATTGATCGGCCTTTCGGAAGCCGGGTGTAACTGTCGTACACAACTGGCAAACAAAGTAAACCCGCAGTCTTTTAAATATATCTACATCTGTATCCCCACAAGGGGGTATCAGGTATAATATCTAACCATTACCACCTCTTAACCTGTCGTATAAACTTTACATTCTAATTACTTTAGCTTAATTAACCTGACCTCTCAAAGAATATACGTTTTGTATTTGAGCAAGTAACTTGTATTCTCACAATGACTGCGTCACGATCTTATCATTAACTGCTGACATAAAACCTCTGATGATCCTAAATTAGGGACAAGATCATGTTTAGTGTGAACATTTGTGTATAATGGAAACTGTTTTCTCATAGGCCCATGTCTAAATTTATTAAAAGATCTAAATTTATTACAAAACGGTATCACGTTTCAAGTACCTAAGTATACCATTTTTCTACATACAATTTTTTTTTTATCTTTTTTTTATGTAATAGGTCGGCAAACGAGCAGGCGGATTACCTGATGGTAAGCAATCAGCGCCGCCCATGGACACCCGCAACGGAGGAGTTACGAGTGCGTTGCCGACCTTTTAGGGATTAGGGATTTGGAGATTTGGGGATTGAGGAAGGATTGGGGGAGGGGAAGGATTCGGCCTCCGATAACCTCACTCACACGGCGAAACACAACGCTGTGGTTGTTTCACGCCGGATTTCTGTGAAGCCGTGGTATCACTCCGGTCGAGCCAACCCATTCGTGCCGAAGCATGGCTCTCCCACACTTAATTTCTCATACACATCACACCTAGACTCGGAACTACAATCTGTTGTTGAATAGTTGTTCCGTGCGGCAATCCAACCCGCGACACATTGCACGGAAACTAATTACCGGGTCAACTGTGCAGTAAACCCTTCCTATTAATTACATTTTTTAGGCTAGCTTACACAGTATGTACTTCTCCATTGCCATTTTATTTCTCAGGTGGACTCTCCTTACCAGAGCTGTGTTTTGCCCAATGGCAAGCCCGGACACTGCCGCCACCTTCGCCACTGCATCCAGGATGAATTCCGCACCGACTTCATCAAGTTCATGGATTACGTTTGCATCATCGACCAACAGTTAGTAGAAGCTTTCAATTGTTTTATTTTATTTTAGTAATAAATTGCTTATTGGTACGATTATGATATGATAAGTATGGGAGAAGCATGCTTCAGCACGAATGCTGGCCGGCGCAACTGGTGTGAAACTACAGAGAACAGGCGTGAAACAACACTAAGTGTATCTTCCAGTCCTCAAAACCAAACGCCCAAAAGTCCGGCAAGGTCCAATCCTTCCCCCCCATCCTCAATGCCCAAATATCCTAACCTTAAATCCATAATAACCTAAGGCCGGCAACACACTTGTAGTAACTAGTAACTCCTTTGGTTTTACGAAAGTGTTAATGGGCGGCGCTGATTGCTTACCACCAGTTAATCCGTGCTCGTTTGCCGACCTATGACATAGACGCGCTTGCAACAACACTGGGGTGTCCCCTAGCGGCATTAATATTGCTTACTATTAGTTGATCCATCAGCTCGTTTGCAGCCAATCCTTATACAAATGATAATACGAGAAAAACATTTAGAAACCCCTTAATGGCATTTAGAACGAAATATTTATTTGCCTTAAACATGATCCTAACATTGGTCGCCATTATCTTTAACAGTTAAACTTTAGAATGGCCTTAATGCATTGTAAAATGACTTTCTATTCCCTTAGGTCTGTAGGAGCGTGTTGCCCCGATGATCTGACTCGTGGTGGAGCTGAAGGATTGGCGGGAGACCTGCCCGCAACCGCACCGAAAGAGGAACAGAACGAAGCTATTATCAAAGCCACCAGGGCTGAGACCAGAGGTAAATTGGTTATCCCTCATATTGTCAATATTTGGTAGAATATAGATCTCTATAGAACCTAGCAAATATTCAGCACTGGAATCTAACTCATGTCAAAAACCTTTAAAAACAATTTACTGTCGTTAAAAACAACTATTGGTCTTTGACTAACCATTCAAGTATCAATAGGGTATTCAGTTACCACAAATTCGCACATAAAGATTCATTCAGTGTTTATAATATACTTTTCAGCAGACTTTGTTCAAACGCTCTTAAAGCGCAGGAAGACCGACTACCACAGACTGCCGTCAAACGTCATAGTAATGTTCCGATAGCGCTCGACAACTAGTGTGGTTCTAGGTAGATCGGTTTTCTTCATCTAACAATACATATTTGTTTCAATGTAAATAGGATGTGGTCTAAGCACACGCCAACAGAGCAGAGTGCTAGGTGCTCGAGAGACCAACCCTCGCGAATGGCCATGGATGGCGTCAGTGACTCCTGAGGGATTCGAGCAGTACTGCGGAGGAGTGCTCATTACAGACAGACATGTTTTGACTGCTGCTCATTGCACCAGGAGGTAAAATACAAGTTTTCTTTTTCTTCTTTATTGTCAACATAGCTTCTTTTGAGACTTTCAATAAAAGATTTGATGTAATGAAAATGTCCATAAATTACACATTTAAAAAGTAGGTACCTAATAATTTTGACCTATGTAAGTGTGGGAAAGCCATGCTTCGGCACGAATGGCTGCGAGGCCCTGGTATCCCAGGGCCTCGCAGGAAACCGGTGTGAAACAACTACAGCGTTGTGTATGCGTGTGAATGAGGTTACCGGACGCTTAATCGCTCTCCAATCCCTAAATCTCCAAATCCCTAATCCGGTAACATAATCGTAACTCCTTCGTTGTTGCGAGTGTCCATGGGCGGCGCTGATTGCTTACCATTAGGTAAGTTATCCGTTTGTTCGTTTACCGTCCTGTGTGAGATGTGAAATATATAGAAATTCACCCATTGCCAATAAGATTTGCGCCGTTCGAGTTTTCGTACCCATAGGCGAGATGCCTAGTTTAAGCAAGCTTCAAATACCTATGCATGAAACCCTAAATTATCTTTCTTAAAAATTAAAGGTTTTAAATATGTCTCCAGGTGGAAAGCCGAAGAACTGTTCGTTCGTTTAGGGGAGTACGATATGAAACGCACCAATGACTCTCGTACTTACAACTTTAAAGTCTCGGAGATACGTCAACACGAGGGCTTCCAGATCGCCAACTACAAGAATGACATCGCAATACTGAAGCTCGAGCGTCCAGCTGTATTCAACACCTACGTCTGGCCAATCTGTCTACCACCACCGAATCTACAGCTTACTGATGAACCAGTCACTGTTATTGGTAAATATAGTGATCATTATTATTATTATATTAGTAAAGTGTAAGAGAGCCCAGCTTCGGCACGAATAGGTCGACCGGAGTGATATCACCACGTCCTCAAAGAAAACCAGCGTTGTATTTAGCTGTGTGAGTGACTGAAGGCCTCCTTAAATATTCGAAACCCTAATTCCGGAAAGGCTGGCAACGGAGTCGCAGAAATAAAAAGCGGTTGTTGCGATTGATATAAAATAGTTTTTATTTGATTGGACGTCACGTGATTATGCGGGTCACCTGATAGTAAGCAAATAGCGTGACCCACAAAAGTAAGGAGTGCGTTGCCGGTCTTCTGTGGTTAGGTACATAAGGATTGCGAATGAGGAGGACGAGACTTGGGCCTCCGGTAATCTCAAGGAGACTGCAAAACACAATGGTTTTCTGTAAGGTCGTATAATTATTAGTTCAGACGAGCCGTGCCCATTCATATTGAGCTCACATGGCTCACTCAAAAAGCAGAAAAAAGCATAGTCCTCTCTACTGGAGCAGCAATTTATGCTCTGATTTTTGCAATTTTCTTTTATTATTTGACGTTTCTTTTGTCTCTCCTCATCAGCATTTAGCATCCTTAAGCTTTTACAAAACGAAGAAACCATACTTTCATAGTTAACATTGTTTTATGGTGGAATTTCTAAAGAATACTTTCGTCACGTAGCGTTATGTCAACATATCAGTTAGATGCAAATTGTCGCACTTATTACCGCAGATGCAATCAGTTTCCCATAGAAACCTTTGTTTTATCACTTAGTTAACAGTCTATAGTCAGGTAAAAGTGAAATGGGTGGTCTGAAGAGTTTTCGAAAGCGGTACATAAAAAAACTGAAAAGGGAACGATGGAAAATGCGCATTTAAAAAAGTAACTGATAAAATATATGTATGCATTTAATGGCACAGTTGATTCGCTGACTGAACGATCAGCATCTGCATAGTGTCATCTGCAGTCTGCATAGGATTAAATCATATGGATAAATTGTTGATTCCAGTATGTTTGTGTTATTTATAAATGGACCAAGTATACAAGAAGAAAAATAAATAAATGGTTTTTCTATATTTAAAAATGAACCAAGTGCAGGTCCACCCGACACCACGTTTGTTGTATGGGAGTTAATTTGAATTATTTGTTTCATTTGGTTTTTAGAGTCTGTTACTACAGCCGCCAAAGATATTTGTTACTTCCGCAACCCCATCTGAACATCGGCCCTATTGGGCCCATCTATAATGGTCTAAGGGCTATAAGGCGTAGAAGGGCCGGAAGCGAGAGGTCTCGTTTTTACCCCAAAGGTATCTATGGATAATAATGCTTTTAATTCCTATTGCAACTAGGTTGGGGAACTCAATGGTACGGAGGACCCCACAGCAGCGTTCTGATGGAAGTAACAGTTCCAGTGTGGGACCATGACAAGTGCGTTGCAGCATTTACGGACAGTATCTTCAATGAAACCCTATGTGCCGGAGGCCTTGAGGGCGGGAAAGATGCCTGCCAGGTAATGTTATTGTTCGTGATTGTGTGAGCTTGGAGACTGGCCTTTATAAGAAGCTGTAGCTAAGTAAAAATATGTTTAAAAAATAATTTTACATTTTTACAAAAACCAAAAACTTCTATACTGAGTATAGTCGAAAAACAGAATTTACTATTGATTTTTCTTATCAAAATTATGATTATTTGGAAAAGAAAATAGGGATTACGTAACGACTCTTTTTACTTTATAAACCTTTATACCATTGCATACAGAATAACTAGTAAGAACCCATATTATTTACCTAATTGACATTAAAATAAACTTAAAATGTTTATTGCATTATTCAATTCTAATGATATTGCAGTTTGGACACACTGTATTTGCTTTTTACAGTATTCTAGATAGTCTTACGAACAATACAGCTCGCATCTGATTCTTTTTGTTACGGAAAAATCATCAAATGACTTTTTCCAGACCTGTTCCGTCTCCTGCTGTAGCCCGAGGTCGCAGTGCCTTATTGCGCTTCCTCCGCAACCCCCGCTGAATCTAATTCTGTGCTTGGGTTTTAAATTTCAGGGTGACAGCGGCGGTCCCTTGATGTACCAAATGCCGAGCGGCCGCTGGACTACCGTCGGAGTGGTTTCCTGGGGTCTACGTTGCGGGGAGCCAGAACACCCTGGTCTTTACACCCAAGTAGACAAATACCTTGGATGGATCGCACAAAATGCTCGTTTCTAGAAAGTTTGTTGTACATACTGAATAATTAAATTCTCTTGGTTTTAAACCTGTGTGAAATTTGTTTTTTTTTTACTTTTTTGTACTAGTATAGGTACTAATCTTTTATTTCTACAGTGAGTTTTGAGCCTTTTTCAGATAGCAATTGCCAAGGATATACCTAATAAACCTTACTGTAATCAATTTATCAGAATTTGATGGACATTGAAAAGTGGAAGGTTTCTATCCCATTAAATTTTCTCCGAGGACCTGTGGTGATAAACTACTTGTGTGATAGGTACTAACTATAAAAGAGACAATAATTTTAAGTTTATTGAAAACAATGTTGAATATAATGCATCGCGGCTACGTTGCAACCTAGTGGCGCCCCGACGGGCACTCTTTCAATTATAAGATACCCGTTCTTGAACTTGGAACTAGTAGATCTTGTAGATTGTTTCATTTAATTCTCACATAAGTCGTCATTTTCAAGGTAGGTCTTACAATAGTTACTATATAAAAACGTTGTGTTATATTTTATAAGTCTAGCCTAGCGTTTATTAGTAGTTGTTTTAATTAATTATCTGTGGCAATTTTATAATGTTAGTAATTCAACGGGACTTAAATGTCATTTTGACAGTTTAAAGCGGGAATATTTTTATGACCATTTAGGGGCCAAGTTTGTAATGGCGTACAGATTATAATCGTTTATTAAATTTGTATATAATGCATAAATTCCTACATTATTCTGATTTATTTTACCTTCCTACTTTTGAGCGTTTAGTTGCTTTCTCTGGATCACCGTGTGTGGTATACTGGTAACACGTATGGCAAACATAGAACACTGACAAATTGACGAGCAAACATTATTATTCAGGTCTATTTTAGGAGCAACACTAATATTGGTTTACTCATATCATGAGAACTCTTCGTTTACCGCATGAATGGACATAATGAATGGCAAAAGCCTTTGTTGGTTCTTCACAAATTATACTTGTGTAAATAGGAAATTAAAATACTATTTTAGGATATAAAGTATGGAATTTTACTATGTTAGGTAAAGAAAAGCCTTATTTTAACATCTTACTCGCTCAATCTGATCAAGATACAAGTGGCGTGACGTACAAACTCAATTTTAATAAATTAAAATTTTGAATTTAGAATTAATCATTGTAAAAAATTACTCACTCATGCACCTAATGCCATTCCATCGGTAAAGATTAAAAGAATCAGAAACATGGCGTAGGTAACATGAAAAACGTATGAGCAGTGCCGGCGTTAGGGGCGGGGGGGAGGCCGTGATGGCGCCATGGTCTGAAGTTGGAGTCTCTGCCTGTTCAGTTCCCAGGGTGTCAGTGGCACTGGCTATGAGTACCTTTGAACACATATAAAGGTAGGTATGAAAACCTTTATCATTTTGTGGGCAAAAGGGCAAGATTATTTGCGGCAGTCACTGATAATTACCGAGAACCGCAAAACTGATAAAAGAATAGACGGTACGAATTCACAAATATAAAACAAACCATTTCAATGCAGCTTCATAATGGGTGACCTAGTTTTATACTGGTAAGTACTCAACTATACTATATAGTATAATCTGATTTATTTAGTTTCAGGAGCCAGGATGCTAGTTATTCATGTACACCGAAACACTGAAGCCGGACTTCAGTGTTTCGGTGTTTTCATGGTTGTATCTATAGACTGTATCCTGGCTTTGCATTAGTTTTGGAAAATTATGGCGGTCTTCTCGTTTAAAAAAACCCTTTTAAACAATAAAAGTGTTTTTTTTATGCTCGTTTAGATACGGTGCAGACGGACAACCTGATGGTAAGCAATCAGCACCGGACACCTACAACAACGAAAAAGATACGAACACGTTACCGACCTTTTGGGGATAATGGTTTTGGAGATTAAGGGAGAGGGGGAAGGGAGAGATTATTACTTTGATTCTGTATTGTAATTAAAATATGAACTGCCTTGGATTTATTATAAACATATTTTAACCGCCTTCGTTTTATTTCAGATAAATAATAAACGACTTCAAAAAGATGCATTCCTTAAGCGGGTGGAAGTATGCTCAGGGTCCAAATTACGTTACGAACAGTAACAAAACCTACCCTTACTCAGAATGCCCGTACTTAGGTGAATATCGCCTAGTAAAGTTACCGGTTTCTCTTAACAACCTGATCGAACACGTCGACTATTGGGGAGAAGGGAGGATAGTCACACAGCATGGAATCAGCGGTTTCTCGGATTGCTATAACGTTAACCATGTATTCCAACTTGTGAGCAACGGTCCCGACCGAGGCAGGAAGATACCAAACAGAATCCCAGTCGTGAACTACACTAACTGTGACACCAGCCCCTACATCAAGGACCATTCCGTAGAGGTTGTCACTGTCATGGGCGCACCAATCAACAACAGCTGTGCAAGAGACATCGCACGCATGATCAACCCAGATGTAGGTAAAGTTGTCACATACGGATTTGAAAACAACTCGGCCGAAATAAGAAATTTAACTTCAGAATTGAAGAAAAAGTCGATTTTTTACTGCCCAAAGTACACTTTACCTAGCAAGCTACGAGGCTTAACGCTGTTTGATAGTAACATGGCTTTTCTGAATCTGACGGAAATAAAAGACATTCTTTATAACAAGGTCACTGATGGGGTATACGACGACGCCGTCGCTTTGACTAAAATTATGGATACTGAAGCCGGTTCGGAAGCTATCGGCGAAGTTGTTGTTAAACTTATAGGTGAGAAGTGCGGTAATGTAATGTCGTATGCTTACAAACTATGGAACAGTGGAGCTACTGAAGTTGTACAAAACAGTTTTCCAACTCCCTTCCAACTTATTTTAAAAGGGGAAGTTGTGACGATAGTCAACAAAGAATATCAACAAGCTATGAAATTGGAAGTCGGTAATTCCAAAACCGATATTCCTGTTCTTGGCGACAGTTCTGATAAAATAAGCAAGAAAGTAAGTTGGAAGTTTCAAACTGAGGTGGAGAATGGTAACGTAGTGTTTAAAATATGTAACTTAGAACATAACATGTATTTGAAGTTGGACGAAAATACGGACAATTTAGGAGATAGAAAGGTTTTAGCTTCTTTGGGGAATAGTGAGGTCAAATACACGTATTATGTGGAGCCAGTGATGACAAATGGACATATAGCCTTCCGTTTGATAGATACTCAGTATCATCAAGCTGTGAAAATGGATGAAAAGGAAGATTCTAATGGAACCAGACAGCTTTGGGGACATAATGGGGATCCTCGCGGTGACAACAAATCACTCGACTGGGTGATTGCTGCCAATACGAAGATTTGGGAAAAGGAAGCAATCGAATTATAAAAAGTTTTGAAAAACATTGTTTATTGGCAATATGTTTAATTGCGTATATTTATATAACCACATAGGTAAATATCTACTAAGTAATACTAAAAAGAGTTAAGTATTTTGTTAATAAAATAATTTATACATTATTTTTAGCCGTATAAAAAGCCAAAGAAATAATTTTCCGAAAAAAACAAGTATTATTGTTTTTTTGTTTCTATAACAAAATATAACTCAAAATTTTCAAATAAAAATATAATAAACTAGATTTTATGAACCCTGGGTATTGTTATGACATAATAAAAAAATCCACTAGTTGTTCTAAAAGATGATTAAAAGTATTGGTAACAAAATAACCAGTAATCACATTGTTAGGTAGGTCAAATTACAGTACTAATAATATAGTGATTTACTTTTTGATGAGCTATCCCTTTCATGAATAACATTATAAATTACAGTTAGATGGGCTGCGTTTTTTTAGGGTAAATAAACAATTCTCGCCTAGGGTAAAGCGAGAGGGAGTGTCAGACTCTTGTACTATTTTATTACTAGATTTCGGTCTAAAAATTCCTTATCAAATGGACTAACCAATACAAAAAGAAAAAATATTGTCAGGTCCGCGACGTCGCCAAGATGAGCACGCTGCTCAAGAAGTCCTGGCATGACTTTTAACAGTAGAGCTTTCCTCAATAAATTTACGCGAGTCGTTATTTTTAAAAAAAGTCACACGATAGCTATTAAAAAAAATACATAATGTATCAATTTTAATTTTCAATTTTAAACCGTACCTACTGTTGAATATATAGGCGTTTAGACAAAGAAACTCTAGCTTTGTAATATTATTTGTAGAGATAGGTTTGCGTAATTAATTTCCAGTATAACATCAGGACCATTCTAGGTCAACATCTCCATGGTAACTGTCTCACCGCACTGCTCAATAGAATTCAGCATCTGAACAACTTGGTGACTGTCTATCTCCGGGTGGAAGGTGAAGGCGAGACGGAAGAAGTTCTTGTGATGCTGCAGTGGAGAATAGGCTACCATCAGCTGAGAGTTCAGGATTAGGAGCTCCTTAATCTTTGGAGTTATCTGTAAAAATCAAAGTTATCTTGTTTAATGGTTTTGGTTTCCTTCTTGGATGCTTTGATCAGGGGAATATTATGAATACCTGCGAAATAATTAAAACTAACATCGCAAAAACCTCTTTTAAGCCTGTGCCAACATGATCAAGGATTATTAAGTCCCAAAATGATAATTTATTTTTATTGTGACAATCTGGTACACCCTGCGAAACCGCTGCGCTGTAAGCTAGAATCCAACCATGAAAACTCCAAAAAACACTGAAGTCTGGCGCGTCCCAGGGACATGAATAACTATCTTGGATCCCGCAACGCAAATAAATCCGAAGATTTTTTTGAGAAGAAAAAAACGATTATAATTTTAAGACATTTTTACTATAATCTTACCTTATGCATAATCTCCCACCACTGCCCATCTTCAGGTTTGCCCCTCATGAAGGTAGGAATGTACCAGAAGCACACATTGGGACATTGTAGTACATCCGACACCAGTTTGAACCCGGGCCGATTTGCTACGGCCTCTATGCAGAACTGTGCTGTTGTCATTGTCCTATCAGCTAGTTCACTGAGCCCAAGGTCACCTCGCGCTTTCCACATCATCCATAACTTAAACGAGTCTATCTGGAAATTTTAATCTTTAATTAAACTAGGTTTAGGAGAGTAATTACCAGCCTATTAAATGCCAAAGGCCTTTGCCTCTTCTCTCCCGGTGGAGGTATGAATATGAATAGTTTCATCAAGCTTGCTTAATGCGGATTGGCGCAGATATAAAATTTTTAAGTACCAATTTTAAGTTCAAGATTTTTTCCTTCCTCAAGATGTTTTCCTTCGCCGTTTTTCAGGGACGGTGTCAGCTAGATCTTAAATATCAAATAGACAAAAACTCGAAAAAAAGATTTGATCACCAACTGATCTGCTTTATTTCAATGATTCATAAAAAAACACCAAATTTCCGAAATCCGATAATGAACAAAACCTTCGACAACCCCCATATAACACCCAAAAAGGCTGCCAATGCACTTGTAATTTATCAGTTTTTTGGCCGCATTTGCTTACCATCAGATGGTTCCTAAAGTCATTGCCGCGATATCTTACAAAAGAATCTCACCTTCCTCCCACATTGCACGCTCTTATCCCCAGTATCGTAGGACACATCGTAAAACTTGTCCTGTGCGAACAAATACTGTGCGGCTGCGCAGTTTGCTTCGTGGAGTAACCCCTTATCTCGCACCATGAACACAGAACACTGCAGAGGAGCTCCCATCATTTTGTGGGGGTTCCAGGCTATTGAATTCGCTCTGAAACAAGATGGGGATGTTCATTAGGTCCAACCAAGCTTTTTGTCTCATTATTTGTTGTTTGAATGGAATTTGTAGGTTGTGTGGCAACGACAGAGTATAAAACATTGGTTTATCATCATATCTTAAGAGAAATAAGAGCAGCCTGAAAAAGCCTTAATAGGAGTTCATAAATTAAGTAGATGGTAAATTAAACTGTATATATTGTGGCCATTGTAATAATTTGGGAAGTGGCTATAGCGAACCACATCTGTGAGCCGAGTGCGTCTGCGGTGATCGGCGTATCTCATTCCCGTTGGCGTTCTTAGTGCAGCGCCGACATACTTCTCAGGATATAGTGATGTCTTCAAGGGTTAACTAGAAGAGGGCAGATGCTGTTGAAGGCATGACGAATGGATGCTACCTTCGTAATCAAGTCCCATCTCACACCGATCTTGGCAGTGAACATTTTAAACTACCATCTCCAACAGGCATGTCGTACGTGAAGATTATAGCAAACAATGTTATGTAGATAAGGCCTATTAATAGTCTATCACTGTTAATAATAAAGTTTTGTTTAGAGAAAGATCTCTAGTACTTAAGTGGATAATTTTTGGAGCCTAAATAACTGATATAAATAAGCGTATATAAAAACATCATCATCAAACTACAAGCGACCACTGCTGAGCTAAAACCTCTTCTCACACGAACAAGGTTTGAGCATTGATCACCATACTTGCTGAAGACGGATTGGCCATTTCACACTTATAATTAGAAATTGTAAGTCCAGTTTTCCTAACGATATTTTGCTTCACGGTACGTCAGTTTTGACTAAAAAACATTAATTAAGTAGAAATTACGTCTAACTCGGATAGACTCACCTTAGCACTTGCTAAGTTTCGAAAATTCTACACCTACGGGTTACTACGACTAAGTATAAAAAGATAATATATTGGATACGAACCGTTCAACGCCTTTCAGTTTGTTCCTATATTTAGGTGACAGCATCAAACTTCCACCCCAACAGCCCTGAAACAGGGATAAATTTAACTGTTCTCTACTGCACACTTTTGAAATGTGGCCGACATCCTTATAGGTGATGAAAGCGCTAAGAAAGTTGGAGGAGATGATTTGAGCCATTTGTGATACGTTACTTTTGTTTGTTATTTTTTTTATGTCATAGGTCAGCAGAAGAGCATACGGATTACCTGATGGTAAGCAATCAGCGCCAACCATTGACACTCGGTGCACGCACTTGTAGTGAATCCTTTCGATTCACTACAAGTGAATTGCGGTTATTATTTGAGGATTGAGGATGGGGAAGGAGTGAAAAATTTCGCCATGTAAGTGGGGTAACACAACGTAAGTGTTGCCTCACGCCGGTTGTCTGTGAGGCGGTGGTATCACTCTAGTCAAACCGGCCTATTCGTGCCGAAGCATGGCTCTCCCACACTAAACATTAATTTTTAATTTAAATAGCATTTTATCTTTCGTTCTCTCAAATGATGAAGTATTGTGATCGATCTATATTGAATACTAATCATTGTTACCTAATTATTTATTGACAAACTTACATCAACATGCATCCAAACTCCATGTTTCTTGCAGACATCAGCAATCGCTTCCAAATCGTCAATAGCACCCAATACCGTTGTGCCGGCTGTACCATTCACGAAGAGTGGACATCTACCGAGGTCCCTCTCAATCTGGATGGCTTCGTCCAGTTTGTCGACCAGCATCTGACCATGGTTATTGGTGGGTATGATTCTGATGCTGTCTGTACCAAAACCTAGCCAATGAGCTGCCTTCTTAATCGAGTAGTGGCTCTGGAAGTGAAATTTAGACTCTATTATAGTTACTTAAGTTATTGACTATCGACAGATTATTGTTGATTGATTGGATGGATAGCAAATACTCCGCTAGCGTGGCCCATATGTTGTCCTCTATGGCGTTCAACGGTGCAGTTGAGTGTCAACCTCAATTTTAACAAAAGTTCTGTGTATATTTGTCACAAAATGGAAGTCATTTCGAGATTTCATGTTAATTATATGGTTGGGCTATACATTACCGCGCCAATATCTAAATTCTCAGTAGTGATACGAATTCCAATTTCCGATTCTGTTATATTGAAAGTAATCTGTGTAAAAAGAATAATTACGCTTGATGCACAAAGAAAAATAAACTACTTACATCTTGAGAAGTAAAAATAACCAACTCTGGTAGACTCCTCATGCCTTTCGTTTTGATTTCTGGGAATGCCTTGTACCGTGCAGCGACAATCCCGTACAGCATGGAGATACTACCTCCAGGGCTGAAGATACCATCTCCATTGGGAATACCGAAGAGTTTGAGGATATGGTTCAGAAGTTTCAATTCTATTAGTGTGAAGACTGGACCCACTTCGAAAGTATACCTGGAAATATAATGGACAGCAAATGAGAGATATACTTAAGCACCAGATCAAAGTCCTGTTTAGTTAGTCTCATTACAAGTAAATAGTAAGTGTATATCTTATCTTCGACTATAAGTGCGATGTGATAATAGATATTTATTTATTAAACTGCTACTATTACAGTAAAATTATGGATTAATAACTGCAATGCTACTTCTCTATAGGATAGGGATCACCAATCGTAAATCATTGGCGCCGCACATAGAGACATCTGCAACTTTAAGGTCACAAACGCACTACTGGCGTTTTGGGGACGCGGATGGGTTTCGACCTCCAGAAACTACATTCACAAGCGCAACACAATGCAACTGTTGTTTTACGCCGGTTTTTCTGTAAGGCCGTGGTATCACTCCGGTCTGGTCTGCCCAATCGCCATGAAGCATAGCTCTTCCCCACTTAGCATGGTTATCTATCTATCTATCTACATCACGATATCTATATTATGTTATGCAAATTATAAACATTTTAAAAAATAGCAGCTGGTATCAAAGGCATATTTATACATAAGTAATATCTCCAAATCGGAAACAGCATTCCTGACCCAAATGCGACGCAGTAAAGTCTCGGCTTACTTTACCTTTAGCCAGTCTCTTAGCATATAGTTGTGAAATAGAAACTTGTTGTTTAAGGTGTAAAAATAATTACGTTCTTAGCTTTTACATAGTTCTTGTGCATTCGGCCCTTTAGTTTTAAATGTGGAAGAGCCAAGCTAAATTAAGGTGAGCCAAGCACCGGCATAAATGGGTCGGCTCCACTGATTGATACCACAACCTCACAGAAAATCGACGTGATATAACGACTGCGTTGTATAACGTCGAAAATTATCTGCTCTCGATACAAGCCTGAAGATGATCGCGATGCTCAATACTCAGCCATACGAGGAATCTACCCGAAAGAGATGTAGAGGCAGGATACACACTAAAACTAACGCCATCTTTCATGACAAAAAAAATCTAAAAGAATCTGGACAGGTTTTTTTTTTGTGAGGGGAAAATCATCAAATGGCTTCTCCCGCCCAGGGCCGGGCAGGAGGGAGTGTCAGACTCTTACTGACTAAAAACCCCCCTGTTCCTTCTCCTGCTCTGTGCCGAGGTCGCGGTACCTCATTGCGCTTACCCCGCAACCCCGGCTGAACATCAGCCCTTTAGGGCCCCGTCTGTGGTGGTCGAATGGCAATCTGGACAGGTAAGAGTTTAATGTTGACCAATCAAATAAGTTTTGACGCTTTTTTAACGCCATCTTTCAATCTTGCCGTATTTTCATTTGAGTAGGTTTAAGTACTTACTGACTTGTATTACAGGCCTCTGAAAGCCACGCTCCGGCCAGCCCATAAGGATCTGTGGCACAGAACAGCTGGTTCTTGAACGTACCCTTATGTGTCTTCACGCTGTACTTCAACACTTCGCGAACACATTTCTCCAGATCTTTGTCATTAACGCCTTTTGTCACGTCCAAATCTAAAATTGCCTGAAACAGATTTAAAGCTTCATATAAGATTACGTTTCTTTTTATAAACAGATATTAAAGTATGGGAGAGCCATGCTTCGGCAAAAGCGTCGTTGTTTCGCCGTGTGAGTGAGGATACTGGAGGCCCAATCCCTCCCCACCCTTTCCCAAAACTTAAATATCCGAAACCCATATAAAAGGCGGGCAACACGCTCATAAATCCTTTGGTATTGCACCTGCGATTGCTTTCTAACTTTGATTAAGACTTTAGTCTGTAGTCTTGGAATTCAAATAAAATAATTTTTTTTTTTCATATTGTTTAGGAATTTTGAATGAGATTGCCTTTCTCACGCAGATTAGTCGAGGAATATAAATTTTGGTAAATTCAATGTCAAATTTCAATAAATACGTGAAAGATTGAGTTCGGAGAAACAGATCACCTTGCGCTAAGCAATAATCGCCGGCCATTGGTTTTTACAGTTTGATTATTATTATGAGGAAACTAGCCAACTGTCACAATCGATAATTTTCTACTAAAACCGGCGTGAAACAACCACAGTGTTGTTTCGCCATGTGAGTGAGATTACCAGTGGCTCAATCCTTGTCCTCCCCCAATCCCTAAATCTCCTAATCCTAATCCTCCTCCTAATCCCCAAAAGATCCGCAACGTACTCGTAACTCCTCTGTTGCGGGTGCCCATGGACGGCGCTGATTGCTTACCATCAGGTAATCCGTCTGCTTGTTTGCCGACCTATAACATAAAATAAAGGATTTTCTAAGAAAATATGTAGGTATAGTAACGTCACATTATTATTATCTTGATTACCTTATAAAACCTGTAACGGTAATATTGTGTTTATGTATAGCTTTGTCACGAGTTTGCATTACCAATGATGGCGACCAGTTCGCCGCCATTCTGTTTAAATCAATTCAAGCAAAGCTATCAGCATCTTAACTCACTTAACAAGGTAACATTATTACACTCATATAGATGTAGGTACACACCTAAGCCATTTTAATTCCATTCTAGAAATGATTATATCTCCCTATTTATTGTATTTAATTAAGATTCGCAATAGTAAGACTAACAACAATAGAAATGGCATTTTTATGAGGTATTATTGTGTGTACATTTAGGAAATTGTGTTTGCTAATCTATGTATACTAATACATATTATAAAGAGGTAAAATTTGTAAGTTTGTATGTAGAGGGTAATCTTTGGAACCGCTGGACGGATTGCCAAAATTCTTTCACTGATAGGTAGCTACAATGTTCCTGAGTGCTATAGGCTAAAACAACACGCTAGGATTAAATGGAGCCGAGCAGCGGGTGAAACCGCGCGGGAGTAGCTAGTAAATTATAAGTATTGAGAGTTTCTTTTCTACTCCTTTAATACCCCTTTTTAAACAGGGTAAAATCCCGCCCAGGGTAAGGCAAGAAAGAGTGTCAGACTCTTACTGACTAAAAACGTCCCCGTTCCTTTTCCTGCTCTGAGCCGAGGTCGCGGTGCCTCACTGCGCTTAACCTGTAACCCCGGATGAACATTAGCCCTATAGGGCCCCGTCTGTGGTGGTCTATTGGCTCTTTAAGGCGCGCGCAGAACGCTACGCGCCCTACGCTTGTCCTTTAATACCGCTAAATATGGATGTTGATATTGATAACTGACCAAGATATAGTGGTTATTTGTTATGCACAAATGAGAGGAAGACCTTCGTTCAGCAATGAACGTCTTCTAACTTCGATAATAATGAAGCAGCAGTAAGTAAGTTTTTTCTCAATCATCGAATGAATTGAATAGGGGACCTATGTGTGTAACTAGCCTTAAAGACACAAAGTCTTGAAGGCTAGTTATTCTGCTGATTTATTTCATTGTGAGGTCCTGGAACGCTTCTGGACTTCAGTGTGCATGTGTTTTTATGGTTGCATCTACTGTAAATCCTGGCTTACGGTATGGGGAAATAGTGGCCGGCTTGTCCCATAAAAAATTCTCTCGCCTTAGATAAGGCGAGAGGTGTCAGACTCTTACTGACAAAAAACACCCCGTTCCTTCTCTCGCTCTAGGTCAGAGGCGCGGTTGTTTGTTGCGTTTGCACCGACATCCCAGGGTAAATATCAGAACTAATATGCGCCGAATTTGGTGGTCTAGTCTAGATGGCACGCGTTTACGTGCGGTGGCGGGAGATTATCGATCTCCGATGTCCGGACTGTCTTCTGCCGGTTGTTTGCGAGGAGAAGAGGAGAATAGTTCCCTCTCGCGCTCCGCCTCCTTTTTGTGAACATGACTGCTTCACAGAAGGAAAGACGGCTTCCCAGCTACTCTTGGATACTACTATTACTCCATGTATGGACGCGAGAATTCGCTGCCGTCGATCACTTCTCTGAGGACACAGCGGTGCTCAGTCCAAGTAGAACACACAGCCACCGTATCCTCCGGGTGGCCCTCACTGTGTCGACATCAGGACGTTCTAACCTCTTGGATCCGAAACAGGTATCTCCCGAAACTTTCGTTAATAAATAAATAGGATGTCCAAACCAGCAACCTTCCTCGCTTGGCAGATAAAAATCCTCTACTTACAATAATCAAGTAAATCCATGATACATATTCATAATGGTCAAAAAGGATAGGATTGGTGAAAACAAATCAGTAATATTCAAAATAAAAAATGTAAGACTGGTGATTAGATACAATAGAACGTCGCAACAATAGTGATCCTGAACTAAAAGTTTTTTTTTGTTATAATAGATCGGCAAACGTGCAGACGGATTACCTGATGGTAAGTAATCAGCGCCGCCCATGGACACCCGCAACGGAGGAGTTACGAGCGCGTTGCCGACCTTTTAGGGATTAGGGATTTGGAGATTTAGGGATTGAGGAGGGATTGAGGGTGGGGAAGGATTGGGCCTCCGATAACCTCACTCACACGGCGAAACACAACGCTGTGGTTGTTTCACGCCGGTTTTCTGTGAGGCCGTGGTATCACTCCGGTCGAGCCGACCTATTCGTGTCGAAGCATGGCTCTCCCACACTTTTGCGCCCAAAAATCTTTTTAAAGGTAAAATAAAAGGTAAACCCTTTGGATAATTTACAGAACAGAAACTGCAGTCGCTGTGATTACAAAAAATGTCGATAAACCAGCATTTTGTGTAAAGAAAATGCAAATATTAGTCTTACCAGTTTGAAGAAAAGTTAAACGAGTGTGTTATCGCTTCTAACGATTTCACAGGCGAGGTCGTACAATTGCATGCTTACGCAAGGCTAATAATGCAGTTCCAGTTACAATATTGATGATCAGAAATTAAGGAGTGACCTCATCACTAACATTGTTCTTAATTTAAACCACTTTAGTTTGTTCTCTTGTGTGATATAAAACTATACCTACACAATACGAAGCGACTCTCGTTACGCATGAATATGAGCCCCTAGCGCGGTCTGAACGTAATCGGTTCAAGTCACGCTAGTTACCTTGTAAAATAAAATTGCTTCATCATCATCAGCCTATATGTGCTCACTGCTGAGCAAAGGCCTCTTCACAGCATTAATCACCACGTTTGCTCAAGGCGGATTAGCGATTTCAAATTTATTATAAGAAATAATAAGTCCAGGTTTCCTCACGATGTTGTCCATCACAGTTTGTCAGTGGTGTCTAATTAATCGTAGAAAGTACATATAACTTGGAAAAGGCACATTGGTACTTGCTAGGTTTCGAACCCGCAACCCCCACGCATGAGAAGCGGGCGCTTCAACCTCTGGGCCACCAAGACGAAAATTGCTTATATTCAACAAATTTCTGCTGATTATATAAATAATAGCTATGGTATCGATGCACTCACAAAACTAATAAGGTAGTCGTTAAGTAATAAAAACTATAAATACTTAATGATTATTAATATTAAAATTACTCCTAAGTATCAATAAACGTGAGTAGGTGGCTGGGCAGTATCGATTTGTTATGGAAAAGTATAAACTACCGCATTTCTATTTAATGGTTTTCATTTAATATTGTTACCTGTGTATAGCAATAAAATAAACGTTCCTAGTTGTAATCCGTTATAAATTAGTATGATTATAATCTATCAATAGTCAGGTAAAAGTAAAAAATCTAAAGTATTTATCTTTAATTAAATCTGTATGCCCAAAAACATTTAGAGTCATCAATTAAAAAAAAAATTTTTGGGTTTTTATTTTAACTTTAACAGTAGATCCAAGTGTTCTATCGAAAATAGAGATCGATGCAGATCGATTTTCAATAAGGATCGTTCGATAAATCGTAATACAATCGATTATTAAATTCAGGCGTAAAAAAGTATAGAAGACGATTTCTTGTTACAAATATTTACAATATTTTTTGAAGCAAAGTCCACATCTGTAGATAAACGAGCGGTCCCGAGAGACAAATATAGTTAATTCATGAACATGTTATGCCTATATATAGAAATACAACCTCATTTACAAGAGCAATCATAACACTGGAAGGTACATTACCTAAAGTACCTACCTATATACAGGTAGGTAGAGTTAATCAAAACAAAATTTCACAAATACCTCCAAGTCCTTCGGATGTTTGAATTGTATGAGTGGCACACTTTCAGACCGGTCCTCTTTAACTAAATTGAGCACTCTGTCTAAAAACGATGTACCGTTTGCCTCCATCGTGTACGCAAGGGACCACTCAATGCGTGTGCGCAGCCCAATAGAGAGTGTCAGACTGAGCCGCCAATGGGCACAATGCAACTAATATAACAAACCATTGCAAGGATCGTTAATTAAACATAGGTCATCTTATGTTACGATTCGTTTGATATTTTTACAATACTTCACTTATTACAAGCCTTTATTTCTTTTTAATAATTGTTTACACCGTCTGTGAAATTATGTCAACCGGTCAAAGGCACTTAAATAATAAATAACGGCAATTAAGTGATAGTTCCCTACCGATTGAGAAATACTGACTGCGCATCACTTAATTATCACTCCAGACAGTTTTAAATTGACGGAATGGTTTGTAAACAGAAATTAATGATCTAGGTGGTGATATGAGAAAAATAAACTTTATAATAAACCTTTTATAAGTGAATTCAAAACTTTTTACACAATTTACAAATTACACTAAAGAGGTTGCACATAGTACTTCAATCTGCGCTAATGTCATTAAACCATCATACGAAATGTGCACTGTCAGAACATTGTACTCGTTGTACTGGGTGCGATATTAAGTATTTTTATTTTAAGTACATTGAGGTTAAGCAGTTTTGAGCACAACCGACTAGATTCCTGATGACAGTATATAAGTGTTAAGTGACAAATACATTATCCAGACATCTATCCAAAATTCACGTGCTTTCAACAACAAATTAAATACGAAAATGAACTTCCTAAAAAACAAGCCACGAGCTAGACGGAACTCTGCAAGCATTATGGTCAGCACAGAAAGATGGCGGCACTACAGTCGGAAAATGTCTCGTCGTGGTCAGGAACTGTTTGATTACGATGTAGATGATTATGAACCAACGCAGCACAACAAAGAAAATAAGAACTGGGTAGAAGAACTATTTGAAAGGAAAAGCGATGCAGAAGAAATAGAACAAGATATTGAAATACGACTGACGAAGAAACAAACCCTAATCCTGTCTACGTTGGTTCCAGATGAAATTCTTTTGATGGACAAGTAAAGTTCTATAATGTAATTGAAAAATTGTAATGTAGACATATTGTTACCTATATAAGTGGCTAATAAGCAATTCTCTCTCTTAGATTCTATGACAAATTACATGTTTGAACATGTTACATGTATTTTCAGGTTCAACACTGTAGACGCAAAGCGATTTGTTGGCGTCCTACTCATGGCTGACGTTTCAGGTTACACAGCGCTATCAGAACGGTATAATAATACTGGAAAAGGTGGCACTTACAGATTAACTGCCACCCTGAATACATACCTCGGCTCCCTCATAGAGCTAATCTACGGCCATGGAGGCGACATCATAAAGTTCGCGGGTGACGCGTTCCTCGCACTCTGGAAAACTGACAAACGCTCATTTTTATGTCACACTATTCACACAGTAATAGCGTGTGCTCTAATTATACAACACTCTTATGCAATATATGAAACCGATGTTAAAGTAAACTTGAAAGTTAAACTAGCGATATCTGCCGGTAATATAATATTTACACCTATTGGTAAAGGAATAGATATGAGCTATGTTGTGTTTGGTTTGCCCGTGATCGAAGCTAAAGCGGCTGAAAGTGTTTGTGCTTCTGGGGAGGTGAAACTTACTCCAACAGCTTGGGGACACTGTTATTCGAGAAACTACGACCATATTATACACGAAAACGGTTACGTAACTATAAAGTCCATTCTTTATGATCCCCATGAAAGTAACGTGACTAAACCGTTTGCAGGTTTTGGAAATATAATTAGACAAAGTAAAAAGCCATTCAGTGCAATTGAAAGCCTGCCAGATTTTATATTAGACTCATCTCAACGTACAAACATTACTGATGCTTTACGAAAAACTGAAGCTTTAAGTTTACGCAAAACCATTCTATTGGCCGAAGAAAAAAACATTGGATCAGAAATTCGCAAATTTATGATCAGACCGGTTCTCACTCAGATTGATGCTCACCAACCACTTGAATACCTCACCGAAATGAGACAAGTGTCCATTTTATTTGTGACGCTTAAGCCCAGAGAATGCTCGTTTTCACAGCTGATTACAATTGTCAACAATGCTTATCAAATCACTTGCGAAATTGTATACAAATCGATGGGTTGTGTAAACAAAATAATTCTGTTCGATAAAGACATAATGATATTGGTTGTATTCGGATTACGGGGCTTCAAACACGAATCTGAAGCTCAAGCTGCATTAAAATGTGCTTACAGCATAAAAAAATCGGTAGCAGCTCTCGATGGAGTTCTCGAAGTATCGATTGGTGTAACAACTGGACAAGTGTACTGTGGAGTTGTAGGTCATCCACTAAGAAGAGAATTTACCGTTATCGGTGCTATCGTTAATAAGGCCGCAAGACTAATGTGTGGGTTTCGAAACAAAATCACCTGCGACGAAATGACGTTTGTCAAAAGTAAAATGTCAACAAACAGCTTCACACTACAACCGACAATAGAATTAAAAGGTATCGTTAAACCCGGAAAAATATATGAATACAGCGAGGAGATAAGAGTTAAAGAGTTATATGATATACCAATGATCGCTCCACTTCTCAATCGTAGCGATGAACTAGAATACTTTGAAGCTTGGCTAGGCGATAGTAAATCAAATTTCAGGGATTTTGATGCTCTATTGATTATTGGAGAGTCACGAATCGGAAAAAGCAGATTGTTAGAATGGATGGCACGTGTTTCAAGAAATCTGGGTTTCCAAGTATGTTATCTAAGTCTGACTTCAATACATTCAGCTTCAGCATACTTGGCTTTAAGCCAAATAATAAATCAAATTCTTGAACTTAAAGAACCTGTAGAAGGTTTTGCTAAAGAAGAAAAAATTATTCAATTATTAAAAGTCTACTCTGACGACTTATGTTACTTAAATAATATTATAAAAGTGAGATTTGCTTATCATGAAAGAATCCATTCTTTAGATGAAACTAAACGTAAAGAAAAAGCGAAAGCTATGTTTGAAAAACTATTAAAAGCTTTACCAGAGATCACTGTCATATTTCTAGACGATTTACAAAACTTGGATGCATTATCATGGGAATTTATTTCAATGATGTTCAAATCAATGAAAATATTTATCGTGTTATCTGTAACACGTGGTAAGTTTAGCGCTGTCCACAACTGGTTGTATAGCGTGTTTATAAATAACAATATCAGAAAAATGGCTTTAGGTCCTTTAGATCCAGAGTGGATTCCTGCTTTGGCATGTCAAATATTAGATGTCGATGGCGTTTCTAAGGATTTATGTGTTGCTTTACAAAGTAAATGTAAAGGTCGACCGGGCCTTGTTGAAAGTTTTATAATACATTTATTTTCATCTGGAGCACTTGAAATAAAAAGAATAGAACGCACTGAAATAGAAGAATGGGGAGATGAAGAATTACAATTTCCAGAACCTGCACTACTACACCCGCAAGCTTTGGATGGCAACGATCAGGACACTCTCGACAAACTAATAGAAAACGATGCCAAGGAAGATATAGGTATATGTGTAGTTACCAATAAGGAAGAGCTGAATTCTAACATAAATGCTAATAATTTAGATACATTAATCATGATTCAGATTGACTCTCTGACTCCGTATCAACAGTTATTGTTGAAAATCGCATCAGTGATAGGTGATGTGATTCCAAGGAATCTTTTGGAAAATATAATGTATGAAAACAACGCTTTGATAACCGCCAAAGCAATAAAAAGACTATTTTGTTTGAAAATACTGTCCTGTGCTAACACAGACTGTCTAAATAAATTTGGTCGTAAGACTTCAACGTTAACTATACTTTCGGCTCCTTCCGCTTGCAATCAAAATATTGTTTGTGACTGCTGTTTTGAATATGACGCAGAAAACGACGAAAATCTACCAAAATATGCGTTTTGTAAATTAATGCGATTTAGAAGTAAAAACTCAAGAAAAACATGTTACGAACTATTGCCGATGAATCAAAAAAAAGAATTTCATACGAGGATTGTTAATTACCTAGAATATAATAAACAAAAATGTACTAGTTGTGGCGGAACAGTAATGGTCGTCCAATCAATGTTAAGTTTAATGGACGAAGCATCGAATAGTCGATACTCATCAGTGGATATTGTGTCGAATAAACTTGAACAAAGCTTAGAATTACAAGACAGTGAAGACAGTGAATCTTCCTCAATTTCACTAACTTCAAATAATTTGGTCAGAGCTAAATCAGAAACCGTAACAACCACAAAAGTATACTCAACATCTATTAGATCTAGTGAAACACTAGCACAAACGACATCGCTAGATAATGCAGTCAGAAGCAAAGAAAGCGACTCCCTAGCAGCACCTATTTTAAAAGTAAAAAGTAGCACAGTACAACATCCTTCAACGGAAAATCAAAAAAGAGCTAAAAAAGTAACCATGACTTATTTATCTGATCCAGTACTAAATACCAATTCCGGAGAGTTTAAAAATCATAAGGTTTTTGATATGCTTCGTGAGGTCACCGAAGCCGATGCTCCAAGTGATTGGCAAAACCTAGGCATAGTCGATAGTCAAGATGATTTAGACAAGATTGAAAAAGGAAAAGGTTGCAACACATTCAGCGTTAAAATAGAAAAAGGCATTTCTCAAACCAATTTTGCAAAATGCACTTGTGCTGAATTAAATATAATTATCTGTGAACAGATCGTCTACCACGCAGAACGCGCGGATTTGAAATCGAAGGCAGTTGAATTTTTAATTAAATGTAGTCATTTGTGCGTTTTAAGCAATAACTTTGAAAATTTATTTGAAAAACTTGACAATGCCGAAAATCTTTGTCATTCACTTTACAACATAGATCCGTATCAAAAAAGGCGATTTTTTGGACAAATACATACAATACGAGCTGCCGTTTACCTGTCAATGGGAAAATTTGCTGCAGCTAAGATAGAAATAGAACAAGCTACAGAGATTTATAACATACATTTACAAAAAGTTCCTGAATATTTTAAATTAAAAAACATAACAAATGCTTTTAAGTTCCGCAACCGAAAACATCGCTTAAATAAATCTTTATTAAAAGCAGATTCTGTGTATTGTTTAAACATAGCAACCGTATTATACTCGATACTTGGGGATGAAAGGGTAGCAAGGACGACAGCACTGCGTGCTTTAAATATAGTCCAGACATTAGAATGTTCTGTAGTAAATGTCTGTGAGACCTATTGTAATGCAATCCAAGTAGAAATCGACCGCGGCACTCCAGAAACTACAGCAGACATAGAACAAATGGCAGCCAACTCTTTAAAAGCCCTTCCAAATCCTATCCAAGCTGATGAACTTTTTGCTGTTGGTAAATTGTTTATGGCAACCTTTCGAGCTCGAATAGCAAGAGGTGAATTGGGCCCGACTATTCGATCAGGTTTTCGTGCTCTAACCGTCAGTCGGTTTCTACAAGCTGAAGATATTTCGTTAGAACTAATTCCAGATTTGTTTTACATTTTACTGACTCGTCGACGAATAGAAGAAGCCATCGATATATTGCAATTCGCTTTAAGAACAGGACAAGATCACATGACGTACGAAAGTGAAAATTGGTATCATGCACTGTGCATAGATCTGATACTGGATGCAGGATTTCAACTTGAATCGCCACAAGATATAAGTCGATTTGCCGAATATTCTATTTGCAGGGGTAAATCCGCGGGACCTAGTCGTAGACGACTAGTGGTAGGGTTATGGACCTATTGGCTGAGGGCCGATTCAGATAGGAGAGCAAAACGTTTCGAGAATGAAGCACTCAGCTGGGCATCCCATGAGGAAGATAGTTCATTAGTAAATCTGTTTAGTGCATTGAGACTCGCAGAAGGAATGCTCGAGAGCTTAGCTAGAAAAGTGAATGACTTAAGAAAGGTAATTTTATTATTTTAGTTTTCATACGTATTGAAACTTATTTTATTTGGATGTCTTAAGAACCGAACCTTATAAATGCAATTTCACATTCGTGTGGTGACAGAATAGAATATATTTGTTATGACCCATGCAGATATCGAGCATAGGCAACGCTTTTTGATAAACCGGATCCTTTTATAGTGCGATATTCAACGCGGTTCGGCACCTTTGTAGAGTGTAAAGTAGGCCGCAGGCAGGCAGGCGTGCTTTACACTTCGGGAGGCAGGTCTTACAGTATAGTCGCGGGCTCTTGATGATGATTCCCCTCCTCAGGTTGTGGATCTAATGGAGTTACGTTCGGTAGCCGACAGAGAATTAGCTCGACTGGAGAATGATGCCCGCTTGCTACGCGCTGCCTTTCCTCGCTGGTGCCTTCTTAAAGCGAACTCATCAATGCTTTCTGGCCGAAACGTTGCAGCTAATACCTTATACAATCAAGTAAGTTTTTTACGAGTCTCAATCAGACTCCTTAATATTTGGTCCAGGAATCGGTAAAGTAGCTACCAATTAAGCGATTAAGAACGTAATTATGCCCATCTCGAAGCCTATTATTCAAGTACCCAATTATTATAACAGTCACAACAGTAACGTTAACGTTGTATCTAACTTGAAAAACTGAAAAATATACGCTTCGGTACATATTTGGTGTAGCATAGTGTTAATAATGTGGTTGTCATTTTTACACGCTCGGCGACGTCGTGTCTCTCTTATTTCCTTCCTCCTATTAGAAATTTGTAACTATGCTGTGAGGTTCATGTGTTAAATCCCCAATGTATACCTATGTATAGTCCTAGGCAATTACCTAAGATTACACGCTTGATATACAGGCTTTAGACGAAGCAATCAAAATCAACAACCGACTCGATGAAGGCATGGTACGCGCAGCAAAATCCAACTCTTTGCTATGGATACAAAATGCCCGCACAGGACAGTTCGTGCATTGGCGTGAGGGAGTCACAATTGCCCGCTCTTCTTGGCACCAAATCATGTACAGAATGTCAACCACAAGACAGTGAAATGTGGTAATGATTATTTTGTTAGTTAGGTGTGTATTGAATCAGAAATAGTATTTTGACAATAAATTCGTTTAACTTCTGAACAATAAATAAGAGTAATAATTGTTAAGTACTTGCATTTTTATTTGTAAATTAGATAGATAGATCAAAACATATTTTATAAGCACGTCTGCGTTGGACATTTCTCTTCTGAATGAGAATGTTGAGGGCTAATAAAGCTTCACGGAAACTAAATTGGCTCACTCCTAGTTGTCTGTCACAATTAATTTATTCTGATTCTGTTCTGTGTTATGTTTAAGACTTTGAACATTTCAGCTGTCACTCCGCATTCTTCTTTAATTTTTCTTTTGGTTATTGTATTGAACACAGATTTTAACCATGTGGAAGAATTCCAGATTCGTAGATGTTGGTGACCAACTGATATATCGATGTATCTCGTTGGTCTTCTTCCTCTATGATCATGATAGGAAAAATGTTATCTGGTCCCAGCGTATTTCCACTTTTGCCGAGTTTCAAGGCAAGCAAGATTTAGATTGTAAAATAGATGGATTCATGTCATCGGGTTGTATGTGGTTATATTAGGATCCAAAATCAGTTTTCCATGATTTTATCTGTAAGAATGTTTAATAGTCTTTATTAATTCACCATTTCCTTAATATTATTATTGCGGTATAATATATTTGTGTGCATATATCACTGCAGTAGGTATTATTAAGCTTTCTGATTACTTTTCTCTAGGCTTAAGCTCTTATATAGCCTAATTTCCTTTACTTATCAAAATGGAGTCAGTCATCGTTTTGTTTCTTAAGTGTTTATGACATTTGCATCAATAGATCCGCAGCTCATATAATGATGACATGCACTGTTTTCTTGACAAGTTTTTGTGCATTTATCTTGTTGTCTTCCCGTTTTGTGTATCTTTGCGTGTTGCTGTATCTTTTTCAACTTGCACCTCTATCACAACTGTATTTCATTACCCCAAGCGAACGCCGGCGATAGCGAACCTATTGTCTTATTATTGTGTCTCATATTACTTAAGTACCACGATTGAAAGGTTAAGCTTATTTTTTTCATTACCATTATATATTTTTGAAGAATAAGCATTCCTACCAATACTGACATATCCAACACGTTAAGTACTTCATCTAAAATACTCTGGCTACCCGTTACCCCTACACTACCAATGCAGAGTGAGAGATTTGGCCCATAATCGATATATATTAAATTTTAAATGAAGTCGATATTTTTACGCAATTGTATTAATGAAAGAAATGTCAATCCTTCCGAAAAGCAATAGAGCTAAAAAGACTATAGTTCAAACATTAAAAACTTACCCAGATCTGACAGAAACTTATCTTGTTATGTTAAATGATAAGAAGTTATTATCACTACACAACTTTTAAACGTTTTTTACGATCAATGAAGTAGTATTTAACTACGTGATATTATACGAGTTTATCATTTGAACAGTAATACAGCACGTGTAGTAAAAATGAAGGATAAAAATATCGTTTTCAATGGAATAATCGCCAGCTCGAGTTCTTTGAACGATCTTATTATAAACTCCGGTTACATTGCTGTAGAAGATGGAAAGGTAATTATAAACTTTATTAAATAAATCTCTTTTACAAAGTTCTATTAAAAATAAAACATTTAATTTCTTAATTAGAATTAATAACTATTTTTATTTTATGTTTGAATTAAAAAAACTTCTGAAGTAATATGTTTTTTTTTAGATTACAAAAAAAGGATCTATTGAAGAGTTTGATGCCCTTGAAAAGTCTGGAGAATTTGCAACTTTTAAAGTGGTAAAACTGAGCTCCGATCAATTTATTATACCTGGATTCGTGGATTGTCACACACATGCACCTCAGTTCCCAAACATTGGCTTAGGATTGGATCGTCCACTGCTAGAATGGCTTGCAAAATACACATTCCATTTAGAAAAAAAATACAGTGACACAGAGTTCGCCGCTAAGGTCTATGATCAAGTTGTTGTGAGTATAAATAGATAAAGATATTGCGTCATACATGTTTAGTGTAGTAACTTAACAAGATTTATAATAATATTGTAACATTACAAGTGCTTGTTAATATTCTTTCATTAAAATTTAATAGAGTGGATAATGTCAATTAAAATGATGTATTATTAACACATTTATTTTTATATCAAGTTATATAGCTATTTAGACTTCTAAATAAGACTACAAATTAATGTTTTTCAGCAAAGACTACTCAAAAATGGAACAACAGCAGCTTGTTACTTTGGGTCCTTACATGTAGAAGGGACTCTTGAACTGGTTAAAAGTGCCATCAAACATCACCAAAGGGCACTAATAGGCAAAGTGAGCATGAACAAAGAAAACTTTGCAGGATATTATAATGAAACTAAAAAGGAATTGGAGGAAGTTGAGACATTTATCAAACATGTTAAATCTTATCAGGTTTGTAATTACAACCCTTTGATTCTTAACTAAATAAATAAGTATATATAAAGACTATTTTTCTATGAAAATATCATAATGGTACAATGAACTTAATTTCTTTTGTAGGGCAAAAATAAATTAACATATTGATAGATTCTGTGCTTATAAGCAATAAGATTTTAAATATTGAAAAATCATAAACTATACTATATCTGACTAATATAAAATGTTTTCTTGGAAACATATGGTATGGCAATCCTAAACACTTTTTTGTGAAGTTATTAATTCTTGATTATTGTTTGCTAATTACAGAATGAGTTGGTAGAACCAGTAGTGACACCAAGATTTGCAGTAAGCTGTGATAAAGAACTTATGGATGGTCTGGCAAACATTGCCAAGAAATATGACTGCAGAATACAGGTAAACATTTTTTAATAGTTACCATCATGAGACATTCTGTTTACTATAACGACTTACCGATAGGAATTAACTAAGAAAAGCTCTACTAGCTTCAAATTAAGTGTGGGAGAGCCATGCTTCGGCACAAATGGGTCGGCTCGACCCGAGTGATACCACGGCCTCACTGAAAACCGGCGTGAAACAACCACAGCGTTGTGTTTCGCCGTGTGAGTGAGGTTGCCGGAGGCCCAATCCTTCCCCTCCCCCAATCCCTCCTCAATCCCGAAATCTCCAAACAAATCCCTAATCCCTAAAAGGTCGGCAACGCACTCATAACTCTTCCGTTGCGGGCGGCGCTGATTGCTTACCGTCAGGTAATCCGTATGCTCGTTTGACGACCATAACTGTATTTTTTTTTTATTACATAAAAAAAAACAATGGGACTCTTATTCATGAGTAGCTCTTGCAGTTCTTGTGAGACTCCTATGCAATGAATACATGTAAATCATTATTTTCAATGAATTTAGGTAAGCCTTATTACATTAATTTATAATGTATTCCTATTTTTATAAGGTCTAAATTCAGTTCATTCATAAAATCTTCTGTTAAGTTTTAAAATTAATAAAAAAGCCAAAATTTCATTAAGATTTTAAGGACTTATGTAACATTTTTATATTTCAGAGTCACATATCAGAGAACACTTCAGAAATAGACTACGTATTAGAAACAAACCCCAAATGCAAAAGTTATGGACATGTTTATGACGAAAGTGGAGTTTTGACCAATAAGGTAAGTGTACTCTGATGCCCCTTAAGTACATTCATAGCAAATATGTTGTAAGATAACTTGCTATGAAAAAGTGCCAGGATTTTCAATTGCCGTAAAATTATCTCGCTTCTCCTTTACTAAACGGATAAACATAGATTGCCTCACTAATCTAGTGTAGTACATAATTTTCTGTATTGTTGGGTTTTTTTATTTTCTTTGTAATAGTAACAGGCATGTGCAGACTAGGATCAGGCGTAACTTTGTATTAATTCCTTTTATTGCCGCTGCTCAGAGATTAGATAATTGTCTGAAATAACATATAGCCTCCTTTTTAACCTGATGGTAAGCTGCTGGAAGACGGTAGTTTATTTTAATTTTATCGCGCTAATATTGTATCGCTAATATTGTACTCACTTTTATTCTTTCGGCACGTCTCTGTGTTCCAGTGTATCATGGCCCATGCAGTGCATTTGACGGAAGATGAACTAACTCTGTTGTCCAGTAAGGGAGTCTCCGTAGCTCACTGTCCAGCTTCTAACACACGGCTGAAGTCAGGCCTTTGTCCTGTCAGGAAAATTATCAATGCTAACATCACTGTTGGTTTGGGAACAGGTAAAGACAGATTTGAGTTCTTATCAGTTTTCAGAAATTTATTTCCTATTCGACGAGGATCTATTTACAAAATGTTTCGACGTACCGGTAACGATTGATAAGTTGCTTACTGTTTGTCACGACTCAACTTGATCAGTCTGTGTCGCCAATCATCATAGTGTGGGAGAGCTCCTCCACAATTAGCTCACCTAATCAAAGCAAAACCACGCCTCACAGAAAACCAGTGAGAATCAACGCTTGCACTATGTTTCGTGGGGTTACCTGAGAACTAATTAAACCCTTCCAACCCTCATCCCCAAATCCTCAAATCCCAATCCACCATAAGACTGGCAAGAAACTTACGATTCCTTTGTCGTTTTGCAAATTGCTCACCATCAGGTGATCCGTAAGCTCGTTTGCCGCACTTATGCCATAAAGAACAACAGAGTTTCAGTTTCTGCAAAAAAACAGAGTTTTTATCCCTAAATACTCATATCCCAATCCAGCATAAGACCGGCAAAAAAATTACAATTCCTCTGAAGTTTCGGGAATCCATTGCGTTCACCATCAGTTAGGCACGTTTGCGGCACTAAGTAACAGAATTTGAATTACCTCAAATACTTAGGACAAAGATGTGGGTAGCCAGAACTCTGAAAAACATGCCCTATCTATGAACTCGTAACTTAAATACCAAAATTAATTATCTGTGCCAGATGTATCCGGAGGGGATAACGCATCGATACTGGACGCTATCCGCAGGACCATGGACATCTCCACATGTTTGGAGATGAGAGGCAACGAGAAATACGCACTCGACTGGAAGGAAGCTTTTTATCTCGCTACACTGGGAGGGGCTAAAGGTAAACATATAGAACAGATCCTTTACAATATCATAAATACTTTTATATTATATGTTAGTTAAAAACCTTTGCTTTTATATAACCACTCAAAAAGTCTTTGGTGATTGCGTTTCTCCCAGTAGTAGTCTCTTTCGTGCCTCTAATGCCCGGTTTCTGAAGGCGTCGGTTATGTTTAAAATAGTTGTTGGTTCAATAAAGTTATCAATAAGATAAACGTCGGTAAACTGTCACTGCGTTTCTGAATACGCAACGAGCCGTTCAATAACTATGTAAAGGATAGTACCGAAAGAAACCGGGCATAAGACAGTCATTCTGGCTCCAGCATGAAATTCACCGAAGGAAGTGTAAACTATTTCTTTTTCATCTACTCCTCATATAATATTTTCCGATTTATTTCGAGATCCAAGACGGGCTTCAATGTTTTGGTGTTTTTACGTTATAGGTACCTACAGTAGATCCTGGTTTACATGAGTTACAGAAGTTTTGCAAGGTAGTGGAGGCCTTGTTAATAAAAAAAATCTTAAAATGAAATAAGAAGGGTACCTAGTAGACAAGTAATTATATGAAACTGCAGTTTTTATTTCTCAGGGATATATTCAGTAAAACCTTCATTGCTACCTCGTAGGTTGTGAGAAAGCTTTTTGGTTTAAGTCGATTCGAAACCGATTTACCTACTTAACCGAACACTGATTTTAATTATAAAAATGGTATGGAAGGTTCTTAATAACTATAGCAAATCCAGTCTCCTTGAAATAAAATAGAAATAACCTAAAATCAATTTCTTATTTCAGCTCTGAATTTGGACCATAAGATAGGCAACTTTGACGTCGGGAAAGATTTCGATGCTTTGCTGATAGACGTTTACACAAAGGATGGACAAATCGACAAGTACGAAGGGACATTACCGAATAATCCTTTGGAATATGCTTTGGAGTTACTACAGAAATTCATATTCGTAGGGGACGATAGAAACATCGTACAAGTTTATGTGAAAGGAGAAAAAGTCAAAGATGCCTTGTATATATAATTATATTATTATATTATATAAATAATCAGATTCTTAACATTCCAATGTAATAAACTCAAATATATTTTTATACAATTTTACAATAAATCAAATTCTATTTACCTATATTTTTGTTTCATTAATCCATGTTGAGAATTAAAAGACAGTTTTAAATTGTTATAATTTTATTCATGTGTAATTCTTTATAATTTGTGTAGAAAAAATGTGCAAATATAATGTGAAAATACAAACTGAATTTACATAAGCAAATACCGTTATACAATAATACTAAAGGAATTAAATTATTCCCATTTTACACTCGGACATTATAATGCTAGAGCAGCCTATAGGCATAGGCGAGCATTGCACGCTTCACAGGAATCTTGTATTCTCCTAATAAAATAATATTAATCACTTATAAATGTATAAATCGCTAGTAACACTTTAATAATTTTGTTAAAGCTCCGAGATCTGTTATAATATTAATGACAGAAAAATAATACTCAAATGCAGCTGGTGTCGTTTATAATAAGTCGGTGGAATGATAAGATAATGTATTCGAGGGTTAGTAATAAATTATAACATATAAACAGTCTTATAAAGTCAAAAATAATATACTATCTAAACTTTAGAGCAACTTATATTAATGTATAATACAAAAATGTTACTAGTTAAATGTTAAATGTTATAACTTTAAAAAAATGTTAAACAAAATATAGGACGCACTTGAATGAAGACGCAAAAATATAAGCTAACATTCATAACTTACAAAAAAATATTTGTTGTTATTGTTACCACGATGAGGAGGTTCCGTTTGACGACACCGCCATCTGTGTTGTGATAGCAACAACAACAAGTCTCCAATCTCAAATTCTACACATAACACTACGACATTCGTTTATTCTCCTAACGCTAATCAATGAACACAGGAACTTGGACGTGCAAATCCAAAAATGCAAGCCAGGTTATGTTTAGCTTGTTACCATTTTGGCAACTCGGGACCACTAGGCTGTAGTAGTCTCCATTTGAATACCAGTAACATGTTCGTATACAGCATGGGATGTCGGCAAACCATGCCAATTATGGGGAATACTATCGTTGACATAAAATACCTCATAAAGGTATCAAAATGTAAAAATGAATAAAGAAAACGAACAACACAAAGTACTCGTTAATATGGCCGTGATGTAGCAGCGATGTAACCACTAGCCGAGTGCTAATACTTAATAATACGTAATTACACAACGAATATAACATTACTTTGAGCTGCCTTCGATACACAAACATCTACAGTAGCAATCAGGCACAGAGCCCGGACACTTGTGTACTATTTATATCAATTACATAACACAACGAAAACTGCTTTCGACCTGCATTGAAACAATTTAACCTAAAACAGTCTTAAATACAATCTTACAAATAAAAGGTACATTTTATAAAAATAATGTGCGAATTATGTGCATACAATGACACATTTTACTCCAATAATAACTAAATTATTCAACTACAATAACTTTTAACAAAAACATTTGATCCATTGCGAGTCTTATTTATAACATAACATTTGAATAGTTACCTATAATTAATGTGAAAATAATTATAATGTAAGGGAGATAAAGATAATAATTATAATAATATTTAAATGTCAACATAAGTATAACTAAATGAATTTTCTCATAAGACATCTCTCTGAACAACCTAGCACCTATGTTAATTTATTAAGATCCAATTTGTAGATATATACAGAGTGTTACAAAACAACTGTTATTAAAAAAGTTCGACAACTGTATAATATGTCATTTGTACTATTCAATAATAGACAACATTTGAATTGCAATGTGTGAATATGATGATAACTATTAGTGTGAAGTTTTCAATCGAATTTGTTCGTTAGGAAAGATAAATTTCTATACATAGCTCAGTCTTTTCTATCTGGCTTAAATTTGGCGGACACCTGTATTCAATTTCCTTGGAGCCAATCACAATTTTGGCATGTCTGGGATGCAGTATTGACTATCTATATCGCACGAGCATTATACTGAGGAAATTATATGTAACTGAGGTAGAAAGAAATGCAAATTGAAAGTGTTTTGTAGTTTGTTTACATTATTTTCTCGACATTTAATCTGAAAATTAAGTTATAATTTTAGCTAAATAAGAATTATACTAGCTACTATTTATATTTAGGAATGTTTAGTTATATTAATTTGACATTGCCAACTGGAGTTTTGCCTCCAAATCTGTGAAAAATTTCGTATAATATTTTTACGATAAAGTTTTCTGAAGGTACATTTTAAATGGCACAGGAAAGATTGTTTGCTTCCGTAATCACGTCTCGTACAAACATTAGATCAGTGTACAATGTATCATGTGATGTTTGACACGAACGCAGTTTATATAATTTAGTAATATAGTGAACAATGTCCACGTTAAATTCCATGAATATTCGTATAATAAACATTAGCCACGAACATCAATAACATTTTATAAAATAGAGAGCATAATAATTTTGGGTTGACATTTAATTCATTCGAATATAGAATTCGAAAAATGACTCGACATTACAAATTACAATGAATTTCGTTTAAACGACATTAATAAAATGACGAATGATGGCCTAAAGCGTACAACATCAGCTATAAAAATGTACAAACTTCGTAATCGCACAAACTACGTTCTATCACATATAATTATTTAGTAAATCAGCACAACACCCACATGACTCCACGAATTTATTTATTAGAAAAAAGTATCGCGCCGGCGGTCGGTCGCGCGCCGTACTACCCTAGCTAGAGGTGGCGAGCCTCGGATAATACTGACTGACAACTCTTCTAACTATAATGGGTACTTCTATACTCTTAATATTTTTTTAAACAATTCCTTACGGTTGATGTGCGTCCGTATTTCATAATTAGAATTACCATCCTGAGCTGGCAGTGACACGTTTTCAAGAATACAGTACATGTCTATCAAACATGTCTAGAATCAGTAGGTATCAATTTGAAATAATGCCTTCGTACGCGGAGTATTAATCAAATGGAGTACTCACTTTTTATACATATTTCTTTTCACATCGTTTCAAGAAACGTTAACACAGTATCTAATATCATCATCAGGAGTTTTTACAAAAATATCTACCCGTTGACATTAGAACTAACATGTGTTACTCTCCATTAACAAATTTGAAATATCTCATCCTTACTATATGTAATCAAATTTGAATGTTTTAGATATTTTAATATACACAGGACCAAATGCATCGGTTGCTGAATCAAATGTCAACGAACTTGATTGATGCAGTGATGGTTCTTTTAACATAAACTGAATTTTACATTTACAACTTATTCCGTTTTAAAACTTCGAAGAACGAAGAGACCAATCAGTCGTCGAATTTTAGTTGACATGAGATTTGACAAGATCTATGTTTCATTGAAAAACTTTAACATTTATTAAACAAATCATTATCCTCATAGGTTTTGAACATGTTGAATAACCTAAAATCATCAATTCGATTGAGTGTTGCCTCTTTCAATTTGTAATTCAAGGATAATGACAGTTTTAATTATCGTTAAAGTTTTTCGAGGGAACATCATACGTTTAATGTGTCGTATTTGGTCCGGGGCTTGAGTCAGGCGGTCACTTGACGAGGCTGGAGAGTGAGCGGGATTTCAGTGTCGGAGTGTGTGAGGGCGCGGCACGACACGCGCGAGCGCCGAGAGCGCCGCCGCGAGCTGCGCCGCTCGCCACCTGCACACGCAGCCCGCGCTCACTACTTGCGCACTCCATGCGTACATACTCCATGCTCTATGGCAACTAGCTAACTCACGTACAAAGTGTAACAGAGTGATCGACCCACTACTCGTAGATCTCAATCTTGACATTAAAGACTTTTAGTCGTTTTGGAAATTGAACAAATGTTAGATTTTCAAATCGTGTGTATATAAAAAGTGTTAAAGTTTCAGTATCGGTACCAGCAAGATCCGTGTTGTAATCTCTTACACTTTGTATAACCGACTTTTCGCGTCGTGAGCCAGAGAGCGTTCATAGACAACGGAAGCACGCATGTCTTTAAAACATTAAAGTTTCTAATTCTAATACAAATAGCAAATGAAAAAAAAACTGTTAAAATGTTTCCAAATTTTGTCTTATACATGTAATGAAAGAAAATTGTGTCCAAAACCAAAATAAGTATCAAAATTTGAAAACACAATTTAATAGAAAGCAAAGACTTATTTCGACAATTTTTTATGAAAAATATTACTCAAATACTAAAACAAAAAACCATTAAACACCCCATGTATGTTATAATAACAATAATAATTATAAATAGACGTTGCTTTCTTGTTGTATAAGAAGCGTTGACAAGTGACTATGGTATTTGCACATCACAACATAAAGTAAATGTATCACAGTACTGCATTCACTGCATGGTATATATAATGTACGATGGACGTGTGACAAACTTGGCATTGTTCTCTGTGGCAATCAAATACGTACGTATGGTTCGTGGGTGATCGTCACAAACATACATAGGCTATACACATGCGCTTAATGACATTCTCGATGATGCACCATCTGCTGGCAAAGCTGCCTGAACCATCTATATTCGTCTTTTATTATTACAACTACCGTTTTAAACATCAAGGTTCTCCATAACAAACAGCACGACTATTTATAATATATAATACATGTACAAGATAAATGTAATACAATACAAGACTATGTACAATTGAAGCTGTATCTACTGTTGTCTGGACATAACGTGTATGTGACCATAAATATCTGTATGATGTGTAGTAAGAAGAGACAATAAGAAGGGTACAGAGCACATAGAGCAGATCATGCGATGCAGTGATGACGTGCGACAATGTACGACATCAGTGCGGTGACACATGCGATGCGCCCAAAGCGTAAGCCCGCACAAAGCGATCTAGCGCCCTGTCAGTACAAGCCGGAGGCTTTGCTTCCGTCGGTGCCACTCCCGCACCTGCGCCAACGTTGCTAGCTATCCTACATCATCTCCGTCATTTTTAGCATCTCAAATGACATAGCCAACTTCAATAAGTCTACGATCAGACGTTTAACGAGCATTTCTTTAACATTTACCGACCACATCCATAATATATGTACAGCCTGATGCCGCGAATCGAAATGCGACAGACAACTAGCGACGCTACAGTGACATCGAGCCCGAGCAAAGCCTCCGCGGCAGGTTAGTCCTCTCCGCACCGAAGCGAACGAACACAGTTTCACAGTACCGGTGCGCGAGGTTCAAAATAAAAATTCTAGGCAGGCGACAAGCACGTAGAGAGCCGTGCTCTCCGAGCGAGCCTCCCCGCAGGGCGCGTGGCGACACGCAGGCGCGGGGCCCGGCGCGAGGGCGGGGCCCGCGGGCTGGGGCCCCGGCGGGGCGGACTGCGTACCGGCGCGCGCGCGGGCCGCGTCCAGCGAGGCGGCGGGCTGCAGGAACCACTCCGAGCGGGTGCGCATGCGCGCCCGCTGCCGCTCGTGCACCTACGCACCACCCTCCGTCACGACGCGCCGCGCGACCCCGCGCTCACACTGCTACCGCGACCTTACACGCTCTACGTACACATTCACTGTCTAACACATTCATCCATCACACTCTTACTCATAAGACACTCAACAACATTTTTGATATACACACCCATTATAAGTCTACGTTTTACTGCTCAAAAACTTGGAAGATACTCAATCTTATTATACCAATTTAAGACAATGAGTAATTCATCTAAGATATAAAAACAAATCTTGTGTAAGCGGGGGTCACGACTAGAGGCGGGTGATTGTATTCGCGAACCGGAGTCGTTTAGCACAAGACATTAAAGTCGGTCGATATATGATTAATTACCATCCTAATTAAGAAGTTGTTATAAATCTGAGGTTAATTACGATAACATGGAACGAATGTTAATACTTCATTAGTAACTATACTTCTACCGTTAGTTAATATAATGAATCGAACATTAGCTCGCCCAGAGGAACCACAAAGATACCACTACCATTGAAATTGTTATAAAATTGTTACATTTCAATGAAAGACAATATTATTCTGTAGTGTTATTGAATACATTGTTCCTGAACATGGATTTAAAAAAATAATAATAATAAATAAATATAACAAAATAAAACTGTAAGGTGTTCGTTCCCGAGTGTCCACACTGCACCGAGGAGTGCGCTACAAGCGTCGTGTTGTGTGTGCGTTGCCACACAGAGCTCTTTGTAAGCACACTGTGCCACACAGTACCCTGTCACACGGTGTAACCAGTACATCATAGAATATGTATATCAAGAGGAAATGTCTAACAACTAACAGATCAGCCACAAGTTGTCCTAAGTTATCAGGAAAACAGACATTATTCATGCAAGAGAATAAAACGTGGACGACTGGCGAATACGACTCACACTAAAAAATATGAATTACCTTTTGCCAATTAGGGATCGATGAACACCTACATACAGCTACATTGTTCATTCGATATTTCATATTATTCCTACGGAATGCTTGTACTACAATTTCGAATACTTTAGTTGTTAGTTTACGGCGAGTTGTCCACGTTAGTTAGACAGAACAGGGGAAACAGACTTAGAATCTACAGGTGGATATGGAGAAAATTCTCTTCACCATCACTTAGTCTTATAAAACATGTCCTTCAGTGAGCGCTAGAATTGAAATAATATTCTTTATATATGTTTCTGTTTCAATTTAAATGATACAATGGCGTCCATATGTAATATGATTTATTTTGCGTTGGCAACTTTTTGTTAAATTTTGACATTTGGCAACACTAAGTCCAAAAGTAATCATTTGGTTTTCGAGATTAATTTTGTTGTTATTACATTAAATTGTCAGATCGGTTCGAATACATATTTATATGGACAAGTAGAACAATTTCAGAAATCATTTTTATTTAAAAAATAGATAATGTTACCTTCATATGAAAGCTTACGGAATAATAAAAAAATGATTTCTGAAATAAAGTTAACAAAGATAGAGAAATGAGAATAATCAAGAGTCAATTTTGAAAATAGTCGTCAATTCAAGGGATTAGCAGAATAGGTAGAAATGGAAGATGTTTGTAATACAACAGTTTGGTGACATACCTGGGGTAGGTAAGAGAGACTTTTGGTGCTCTCTGCGTATTTGTTGATGGCTCGTAACTCCTCGAGGGTCATGTGAGGGCTCGAGTTGCTGCGCGATGATTGAGATGACGAACTCACTGATACCTGAAACGTATTAATCAATGTTTGGTTAATTAGTGTATTAAATAAAAAGACAGAATCGAGTTTGTAATATGGAGTTCGATCTTTGTAACACATTAATGGTAAAACCTACTGAATGGATATGAACGAGATTTCACTCAGAGATAGATTATAGTCTGGAATAAAACATGAGCTTTTTAGCTTGGTACTGTTGGCTAAAACGCTGATAGAGACTATGCCAAATTATTACGAAAATACCTAAATAGATAACTACTCCCACGCGGTTTCACCCGCTGCTCGGCTCCATTTAATCGTAGCGTGATGTTTTATAGCCTATAGTACTTAGGAACATTGTAGCTATCAATCAGTGAAAGAATTTTGGCAATCCGACCAGCGAGCGGTTCGAAAGATTACCCCTTACATACAAACTTATCAACTTACAAATTTTACCTCCTTATAATATTAGTATAAATAACGTATTGTGACGCCGCCCAATCCCCGAATGGGAAGACAGTATGTAACTTACTCTTCACCATTATGTGATAAGTTATTCTTGTTAAAAACAATATAGACATACAAACTGAGGACTAACCAATTTTGTTAAAATATTTCACCAAAAATAACATTTTTATATGTACTAACTTTTCTAGATTCTTCCATTTTAATCGGTTACACAAGAGCAATGCTTCCGAACACCCTACTAGTAGCAAACTGATTATTTATTGCATTATCAAGTTGGCAATTTGATTGACCCATATTTGGCGATACTGCAATGATATTTCATTGAACGACTTCAGTTTATCTTGATAAAATAAGTCAAAGGGACCTTGTACTTTATTACATTTTAATTTAAACCATTCGTTTACATACCATAAAAGGAGGGCAGAGCTTATGGTCAATATTTAATATTTTATTTCCAATGTATTTTCCTGTTTTTTACTATAGAAGTCAGTGAGACCTCGTTTTTATAGACAATCTAGGTTTTTGCGACAGATTCTAACAGCAACTGGAACTGTGGCGTTACCATGTTTGAATAGTACTCACGTACCTATTTATACTTTCTGTAAATTCATAATAATAAAATACAGAGTAACAAGAGCATTTCTAATAATCATTAGCCATCAACTGATGAGGCTTCCCCAGGAATCCTCCACGTCAAATGACAACGCCTTAATTGATAATAGACTCGCAATCATAATCCGAACAAAAATAACATTTAATTCTTACAAGTCTCACTTGGTTAATGATCACTCTTTTGTTTAATATGATAAAGGACCAAATAGGAACATCATACGTACTTTGAAGACGCTTTCTTCGAGAGATATGGAGAGTCGTGTGCAAGAATCAAGCAGGCTATGCTCAGGGATGATACCGAGGACTCCGCCCGCCGCACCCGCACCCCCACCTCCCGCCAGCGCCGGCATCGACTGGCACTCTTCGGATTTCGACAACCCTGCGATGCAATCAACTGACCACTCTACAATCAATGCACATCATACACATCATTAAAGACGATGGATTTTTAACTTAAACCCAAATTATTATGGTATATATCTATTTGACAGTTTAGTGTATAGGTTGAACAGACCACTACAAGACAATGGTCGTCCCGTTACTTAAAAGATTGGATTTTCAACTATATCCCAACTTAATGAGGTTGAAATTATATTTATCTTTGGACTTTATTCGAAGGAGATTCGATGTTATAAATATTTTTAGCCAGGAAGTGCTTTCCGTTTTAGTTTTATTTGCTATTGATTTGTTATTATAAATTGGTGAGAAAGGATTTATATTTTTTGTCTCGCGTATTACAAGGCAAAAGCATTTAGTGTGGTTACCTATGTCGTAAAATCCCTTATAGAATTGTATATTTTAATAGCATTGGAATAAAGGTCAAAATAAATTTTGATTTCCGATAGTAATCAAAATTATCACAGTACGGTATGACAATACATTATACAACGCTAAGATTGACGAACCGCACCCGTACCTTATGAGAATGCTTGTAAAATAACGCTGTTATGAAATCAAACATCCGTTTCTTTTAAAGTGGCAAGCTATCGGACTGATTCTATAAGATACATACTCAGTGAGTTAATGATACTTATGACCATAGTAATAAGGTACGTTTTAGATTATCCCCACCCAGTTAGTGATCCCAGGTAGTCAAATATTACTTAAAAATGGAGTCTCAAAGTTACGCGAGTCTAACATTAGTTAGGTGGCTACAAAACCTAGTCTACCAACTCAGTGCTACCAAAACCCAAGTCTAAAACAACTCTTATATTACGAAGTATGGAAGATGTGATGTTATTGAGTTGATTCACACACTGACTGCAAAACTCACCAAAATTTTTATATTATTTGCTATGATTTTTTGTTACTTGACTAGATATTTTAACAACTTAAACGAGTCTCATTCGGATGACCTGCGAAAAATGCTATGTTTTATTAGGATATAGATCCTTTGGGATGAAAGATGATTGTAAGCAAATAAAATATTTACCTTCTAAATTAAATTTGTTGCCCCAGCGATCGCATTCGCATTGCAGCCATGTCTTTTCAGCCTCCAAAGACAATTGTCCTGTGAAAAAAATACTCAATTTTAACAGGTGCCTAAGTTAATCCAAGTCAAATAATTTATATCAGATAGACCACACGAGGTACTTTTGAGCGTCAAACAAAAAAGAAACATTTTAAAATGTTCAACTTTGTGTGTCTCTGTCGATCTATCTGCTAGTAAAGCTATTTGCTCGTTCCAAACTGTATATTCCTATTGAGAAGAACGAGCAACTCCGTACTCAACGAGCAACTCCGTACTCAACGGGCAACTCCGTACTCAACGAGCAACTACGTACTCAACGAGCAAATCAACTGTATACTCTTATTCAATCAGTTTGACGATTCATTTCTGTGTTATATCATTTAGTCGGTTCAATTATGTGAGACTACCTTCTTGTGTTAATTATCCGATGACATTAGTGTTTCTGGCTAAATATAATTCTTTATAAAGACCTCGGTATGGGGAACGAATCCAATAAAAATAGCTCGATAACAATGAATGTTGTGACTAACTTTTCTCATAACACATGAAGCTCAGTTTCCGTGTTTTGCAAAACAAGGTTAGCTCAATGATTTTCTCATGTATCGTTATTTAAATAAAACTTTAATTATCTAAGAGAACATCTTAATTTGCAGTCGAAAACCTGCAGATGAATTGTTTAGTTTTTACTCGGGGTCAACATCGCCTTAGTTCGGTTACTAAATGCGTAACTATTACTGTGATCTTACGTCGACAGAGAGTGTTATAAAATTTACGGTTTTCTATATTTTGATTTATTATACCATAAAGTCTAAGTATTTATTGAGTAAAAAGTGGCATTAGTTTCGCCGGCATCACTTGGGACATTTATAGGACTGACGAAATAGCCGCCCAATGACCAAATTGACGGTAAGCAGTGGGCAATCCATCGACACCTATAACCCCGAGAATTTGCTAGAGAAATTGCGTTGGCGGCCTTTGGTAAGATTTGATGATTGAAGGATTAGGAATGGAGCTTCGGCCTCCGGTACCCTCACTAATTAGTCAAAACACAACGCAAGTGTTTTTTCACGCCGGTTTTCTGTGAGGTCGTGATGTTATTCGGACCGACACATTGCCCTTTATGTGATAGGACGGCAAACGAGCTGATTCATTACCTGATGGTAAGCAATCGGCACCGCCACAACACCGGTTACGAGGGCATTGCCCGATTTTTGGGAGTTAGGGTTTCGCAGATTTAGGGATTGGGAAAGGGGTAGAAAGAATGGGCCTTTGGTCACATTTAAGTTTTATCTCACATTTGTTATTATTACTGTAACTAGCTATCCGATAGACCGATACGGAACCATCTATCATTAATTGTTTTTACAATAAGTATGTTAGCTAAGCGTTGATGTACCCTCTTATAAATATTATCTTATGGCCTTAGTATCACTTGGCAGCGAGGCTATATTCGAATACTTATGCAGTCTTTATCTGAATTACTTATGTTAATTGAAAATGTTTAAAGTGACCTTCGTAACGTTTAATTGTATTTTGTTAAATTGGAAAATTAAGATGATAGACTAATTGGGTCTTAATGTGGTTTCTCTTTTAAATACTTTGGAAATTTGCAATTTTGGAATTTTTTCACAAAAAGATATTACATTGACGAGGCCTTTATGACCTTTATGACAATGTTGGCATTGTCATATAAAAACGAAGGAGCAAACGGTGCTCACGGCCAAGTCACTATTATTGTAATGTAAACAAAACTAATAGAGTCATAAAATATTAATTTATTACTACAAATTAAGTCGATTAGGGTTTCTATGGAATCTCAAAACTTTTTACGATTGAACAATCGTAGAGAGACTTGGCTCTATTTACATTCAATGTTTTTGGTGGGATAGATTTATAAATTAATGAGATTGCCATTTTCATGTAAAAACAGAACTAACTATGTGTTTAGTTCTGTAAAGAATACGCTGTCTAGATGAGCCAATGATGAACATCACACAGTGAAAATTCAATGTTGCATTTAGTGTGCACATTTCGAAGCGTTTACACTTTTCTGGAGGATGTAAATTCATCAAATGACTCCTGCAGACTGAAAACTACCGTTCCAACTTCTGCATAGGCAATGGTTACATTCATTATTTTCAATGTCTTACAAGTTTTTATAGTAGTATTCATCAGTGCCAATCAATCTTTTACCATCCAATTTATTACTGACCATATAGAGGACATAGTGGATAGTCGAATTTCAAAGCGATGCTGATTTGATCTGACCTTAATAATCTACGACCACGTTTCCTTTTCCCGTCTACTTTTCCAATCACAATGAGCTCATAATAATATAGGTATCTACTATTGACTTACTAGCATAAGCTTCCTGGTCGCGATGATGCCGGGGCGGCGGTGGGTCTCTAAAGGAACATATCCACTCGTCCTTCACCCGGAGAATGCGGCCGGTTACCCGGGCGTAGTACTCGTAGTTATCCCGGCCGAACAGATCGCCCGCACTGAACTGCTCGATCAGCTGACGCATGATTCTTGTTGCCACCTATATGTATTATAAGGAATAAATAAACTTGAAAAAAAATGTGTAATCGTGTTGGGCTTTTAAATCTGGCCAGTACCAATGTGATTTATACCGAGCTACATCTATGTAGGTACTTTCTAAGATCATTTAGACACACAAGGAATAAGTTGAAAGGGAAAACCTGGACTGATAATTTCGCCAATCCGCCTTGTGCAGATGGCCATTAAGCTCAAACCTTCTCTTATGAGAAGAGGTCTTTGTTCAGAAGTGGTCACTTATAGGCTGATGATGAAATAGAAGGCTTAAATTATGCTATTGTTACTGCAATGTTTGTACTTGTTTCGAGGGAAAACCTTCTTTCTTGTACAAAATTACCTTTGAAACATCAAAACACGCTGTGTCAATTTTATATCAGACTTAGCTTGCAATTTATTAGTGACGCATACGAATTTGTGCAATGCAAATACCTAATTTTGAAGATTAAGTAATTTATCAATAAAATATATCAATAAATTATATGTATACTAGGTATATACTACTAACTATATGTATATTATGCATACCACTAACAAAAAGTTACAAACCTTACACAAATCACATTTTATATACACATATATAAATATTATAAATCAACAATTATTCAAAGCCATATAGATGATATTAATATTGCATTAAAGTGCAATATTATGGATCATTACAAGCTCATGTTATATTCCATTCCAAAGCACAAACACATTCGTCAATTACAAGTGCAAAAATTGCAAAAAATAACATAGATTAGCCTTGATAACCATGATTGTGAGTCATGCGCATTCGTCTTCGTAATACGTAATAAATAACATAGGAAAATATCAAAAGAGAATAAACTGGTAGAATTGAAAACAAACTTAATGAGACAGTCAAAAAAAAACCAGTAATTGCTACTTATCAACCACTTATATTATAGGTGAATCAATTTATTCTTTAAACAAGTCTACAGCCCTAATAATGCATTGCGAAAATAAACTTCATGAGACAGTTAAAAAGCCTAGTAATTGTTGCTTATCAACCACTCATAGTTGAATCAATCTAACTTTTTAAACACGTCTACAGCCCTAGTATTGAAATCAAACTATGTGTTAATCAATAAAACTTTTTTGCGTTTTGGATTTTCATTCATTATTCAATCGCTTCTTGACAAAGTTAATGATTGTTGATTCAGATCTAAGATCACTATCATTTGAAGGATGATCCTCAAAAGCTTATTGAAAAAGCAAACGCAATGTCTCTTAAGTTAAAAATTCTTTTAAAAGTAAACAAATTTGATGTTCAGTGAAACCAGGAAGTGAGTAACCCCAAGGAATCCATGAATCAAGCTTATCAGTGTTGTCTACAAAGTAATGCAACCCCGGTACTGATAAGCTATACAAACGCAAGCATTCTGTTCATAGAAAGACGCGGAATTTGGGAACTATAGTTTTCTAAACAATTTTTATCTTACTTGTTAAAGTGAAGAAGGTGAATGATTATTTCTATAAAGAGCAATTTGGATATCGCCGCAAAAATGGTAGACACCTAAACTTAAACGCTCCAGTTCAAATATATTTTTTAAACAAAACTTTACACTAGGTTTTTCTGTTTTGTGGGTGCGTTTACAAATATACAATTTCATATACACATCACACACAGACCCGGAACAACAATCTGTTGATTATACAAATCCATACAAATCCAAAATTAGATAGGCAACAGCTTTCCCTTGTGGAGGATGAAGACCTCAAGTAAGAGAGCCTGAAAAAGGGGTAGGGGGTAGACAACATTAGTAAGCTCTCCTTTACAAGATAGGGAATACGATGGTCCATTTGGATTCTAGTTACTACCTTCATATTTTAGCAAATTATGGCTACATTCCATACTAAAATCTAGCCCACACTACTGCCAAAATACATGAAAATATCCCACATAGACTAGAGCTGTGCAACTTATTGAAGTGTACAGATAATTTTGAGCAAATATCTATCTATGAGTTATGTTCAGTAGTACTTCGTGTCGGCGTGAATAATGTCTAACCAAACGATAACGAATGCTCATAACTAGGCATAAAAACATGCAAAAGCGTGCAGCACCAAATCGCAAGCATGTTACGGTTATTAAAAATGCGTAAAACATAAGTAATGGGAGTCGGTAGCTAAAGCTATGTACTATCGGACATGCTATTGGTACACAGGTAATAAACAATAATTTATTTTACTTGTTAAGTTCCTAAAAATACTTTTATTTAGACTAGTTGCTAAGATCTTATCACGGGGTTCACAATTTTCGGTCTGATGATTTTAACACATAATTAAGTTACGTGAAAAATGGATATTATCTACTTAAAAAGCTCCACCTGCCTTTAAACATAAGGAATGCTAATAAAGAATTTGAATTATTTCCTGCCTTTCAGGTGAAAGATAAGACCTAAGTGATTAATTCAAAAGAAAAAAATATCTTCCACCGAAACTAAACGAGCTTCATAGAAAAACAATACACGATAAAGAGTTCATTGATGAAAAAAAAGTTTACTACCTGGACACCAAAACATTTGCCGATAGTACATTACTAACAACCACATAATAAATAACATTAGGGAAAGTAAAGTGATCGATTGTATAATTATATACTCACGCTAACTTCAGCCTTTGGCCGCATGTTATACAGTTTTAGTGAACACATTTAAAAAGCTATGTACAGTAACATCTCATCTTATAATAACGTATGTATAATTATATTACATCGTATCGAATGAAAACAACCGATGTGGACAATATTTAGAACGCTCATATTAAAACGATTTCTTTTATTATATTATGGTACTGGTAGTTTGCTGATCGTGGCGAGGGCTCATTAACGGAGACGCGCCATTCAACACGCCGCTTCGCGCGGTTTTTTTTTTTTTTCATTGGGGAAAACATCAAATGACTTCTCCCATCCAGGGTGAGGCTAGAGGGAGTGTCATTCTCTCACTGACTAAAAAACCCTGATCCTTCACCTGGTTTTGGCCGCGACCGCGGGGCCTCATGGCGCTTACTCCGCAACCTCGGCAATACATCAGCCCTGCTGGAGGGCCCAAACTGTGGTGGCTATCTATGCGCTCTTTACGGGATGCTACGCGCCATACGATCGGGTTTCGTGCCGTTCGTTATACATTGCTTACAATGTTCAATTGTTTGTGTTTACGCGACCTACAGCTGCAACGTACGACGAACGCAAAACGCGCCACGCGTATGCGTAAGCGCAGCCTTAGTGTTATGAACATAATTATTTTAAAAACACATGGCACTTAGTTTTGATTTTAAAATGACCACCATTGATAGTGGACATTTTTATTATTGTACCTACCAAGATCTACCCGTTACCCGTTACTCTCTCTCTATTACTTATAATATTGATTGCATCTCTCATTTAACCTCACCACATGGATAAGTCATCAATCATCGTTCCTCCAAACCAATACCCATATAAATTTTCACACACAATAAAAATCTACCACAATTATTTAAAGACACGCAAGTCGTTCACTTCAAGACAAAGAATTAAAACCTCGCTCCATATCAAAGACAATTAGAAAAATATCCGATACGAAAGAGGTTAATTAATTTGATGACGTCACATTGCAAAGTCATCAAACTTCGCAATGGGTCATAAAAAACGTGGAATGTTCTGACATAAGGCTTAGATAAAGCTAAGTAAGTCAGGCACGTTCACACGCGTATAGTTTAGTTCTTTTTTTCTTAAACAATTACGCTTTCTGTCTAGCCAGATGATAAACATTATAAACTCTAGACGAAACAGAGTGATTTTCTATTTCCTTGAAATTTTAAAACAGGTACACGCCATATTTTCTTGTTATCAACGGCGTATCCGTACAAGTAATAAAAACTATTCGCAAATTTACGATTATATGTCCCCATGTGGCTCGAAACTAGTCGAGCATCGCCGAAAAGCGTTCCTTTTTCTTTTTAACCTATAGAAACTAGTCGAGAATTGACTCGAAAAGCGTTCCTTTATAACAGATAAACTTTAGGAAACGCCTACTTAATGCAAAAAGATACTTGACATTTATAATTCTTGATTCTTGAAAAGTTAAAACACATTACACTGCACTGAAAGACTGGAGATAACGAAGACAATTTACAATTTAAATCTTTTTATCTGATAAGGAAACATTATTAGAACCTCGCTCGACATTGCTGATAAAAAAACTGTTTATTGACTATGAATAGCGATAACGATTATTTTTACCTTTCTTCAAGTTAAGTTTATTGTTGGGACTTTATTGATTTGATTTCATATCACAATGGCTGTAATAGTCACAATACTTTTATAGTCGTACTACGTAGTTTTTATACTTAAATCATTCAATTCGAATATTGACGCGTATAAAATTTATTTTACACTGTGTTGTGAGTTTTCATTGTTGTTTTTTTTTAGGTACTTGGTCACAATAAGCTTATAAAGGTTTCGAGGAAAGTATTATATTTAAATTTTTCGAAGACAGATAATTTGCAGGAGAACTGGAGATCGGTTCGGTTAGTCATTAATCTTACTACGTAACGAGCGAAACATGTATGTCGAAATAAATGCAGTTCTACCTAACCTTCGAGAAATAAAAGGAGTTATACTAATCTTTCATTCATCATCATTTACCCGCTGCTCGGCTCCATTTGATCGTAGCGTGATGTCCTATAGCCTATATCATTCAGGAACATTGCATCTATCTATCATTGAAAGAATTTTGGCAGTCCGAACAGCGGTTCTTATTCTTAAGATTACCCTCCACGTGCAAACTTACAATCTTGCAAATCTTACCTCTTTATAATAGTATAGATCTATTAAAATTTAATTATTAATGTACGGCATGAACATTTTAACACATTCAATATTCGTTATTTCTAAGAGTAATTCAGTAAGGTTACTGGAGGCCAATGCCTTTTCTAGTCGCCTTTCGTAGTAGGAGTTTAGGGAAAAGTACTCTCTCACACTCTGAACTCCAAATCCCTAACAACCCACAAAAGGCTGTCTCTTGTGTTGCTCGAGTGTCTATGGGCGGCGCCGATATCTCACCATCAGGTGATCCATATGCTCGTTGGCTTATGGCAACTATATCCCAAAAGTAAGGATAAACTCTATCGTTATCTAAGCCATCATAGATTAGTAGATATCAGACATCGAAAGATCCTTTGTTTACATACACCACACCCACTTTTCGTCATTCACAATATTAATTTCGTCATGAGAACTAAGCTTCATTACCTACTCATATGTTTTGATACTGAAAACTCATTAATACTTCGATCGAAAACCGAAATAAATACCCTAGGTTTATAAAAAAAAACCTTATAGAAGGTACTAAAGTCTGATGTCAGAAATTAACATCAATCCGAAGATATTGTATTGAGATTGCTAGTCCAATAGTAACCATTGAACTATATTACTATTAGAGTATTAGAGTATTAGGTAAACATGTACCCCGGCCTGAAGCAGAAGAATGGGCTCGCCCCATTCAGGGCGAAAAGTCATTTGAATATCCCCCCTCCCCATCCCACTTAACACAAAAAGGTTTATTATCTTAATTAAGTACATTTTTAAAATATCCTTCAGTACATCTTAGCGTATCTCAAAAACTGATTTTCTTTTTCGAAAATGGTTCAAATTAAGTTTTTAGATCTTAAAACCAAAATTTCATTAAAATCGGTTCAGTAGTTTTCATGTTTCACACAAGCAATTGTATTGTCTACACTACACGATCGTGCGTCGACCAGTACCAAAACAAACGCGTTTCCACATGTCCACATCAGGTGATTACACCGAAACTCGATATGTTTAATCGTCGATAATGGTGCAGCTATCACGTATGCTACATATTATTCGTGTATCACTTTACAAAGCGCATTCACTCCCCTTATACACACATTAACCGTCGTTAGATCAAATATGGTGCCATCAACCCCATTAAATATACCAGCTGCAATTCTTAGAAATGTTTTTTACTTTCAATCTGTACTTAGTCATAATTTGACAAGGTTACATCATGAAGTTAAAATGGTAAGTCACCAATGACTCACTAGACTGAAGGATATTAGTGTATTAGCCGCCAGGATACCATGGCAACGTCTAACAAACTATCAGGAATCAATAATCTTATACATTTATCATTTCGATGGCTATTCAATATTCATGGTAGAAAAGTTCATTAAATCATTTTTCCGTGTTGTGACATATGAAAGGTAATTTCTGGACCAACCTTGAATCTCTGAACGTCCTCCATTGTGGCTGTTTTGCCGTCCGACACGCAAGAGTGGAAAAATGATGGGGCCACCGACACGCCCAAGGCTTCGGATGTCATACCTGTACCTAGAAACAATGCAATGGATGTTTGAACTATATTGTTATTATAACTAGGTTACATTTCGATTATCGGGAATTATTTCTAAGTTTTACAGTAAGTAAAAACATCGATTACACAAATAAAAATCTCATCACTCATGCTAGACATTGACGTTTACAATCACCAGACCAAGAAGTAAACGCATAAATTGTGATGTAAGCAACCACTTAAATTCCGCATCCAATAATTTGATGAAACAATCCAATTAACAACCAACTAGACAGCGTTTGTCAAGTAAAAAACCTATAAATAAATCGAACAGCACAAGAAATTCGCGGAAAACAAACTTTTTGCCCTTCTTCGTTTAATTCACAGTAAAGTCGTTCAACCTTACTGTTTCTTCTAATTGTAGAATACAAAAAAAAAGAACTATTTAAGAAGCAAATTACTGTAATTAAAACTACAGACGCCGAATTAGTCATGTTTTACATGAAAATCGAAGTCTCGTAAGATAATGCACGAATGGCATTGCACTGTTACACACAATGGGGTATGGACAAAGCATTTTCCCAGAATTACCTATTTAACAAAAACTATTCGTCGCAATTTTGTTACTTAGGAATTAGACGGAGTAATTAATTACAAATAATTAATTGAATTTACTCGGTTTGGGAAAAAATCTGGTTTAGGAGCCAACTTTTTCAACGCCCAAGTAAATTTATTATCTAAGTTTATATTCCACCTCCTTTGACGCCGTCTTCAACAGCCGTTACGCCAGGGCAATGTAAATAGACAGATTCTACATAAAGCCATAAGATAACAATACGACTGCATAAAACTAAGTCTTAAACGAGCAGTTCCTGTCACAATTGGAGCATGACGCCGGAGCTCGGTGCTCGTATCTTCAAACACAGGCGATATTAACATAATATTTTACATATTAGTACCTGCGACAACAATGACGTACAGACATACGCACATCGCATTAAATAAGGCTCGATACAGAGCCCAAGTGAGCCGTATATGCCTGACAATCGCACACCACGACGCTTTTGTCGGCGACGGTGACATTGTGAAGGAAACTGTATAGGCATTAAAACGCTACGTGCAGCGAGCGCTACAACGAATAAAGAACGCGCTTCATATCAGCATTCATGATTGTTGCCAGGTGAATTTGTGAGAGTCGTGTGATTGGCCGGTTTATTCTCTACCACCCATGAACACAATCGTGACATTAACGATAGTGGAAAATCTATAATCATAACAAAACTATGAAAGACACAGAAGGAAACGGAATATTTTCTGTCCCAATGAAAGCATTGACATTTCCCATGAAATGGCGACTTTTCGCAAAACTAGGACACACTACAGCGCGACCTAAATAATTAATATAAATATATAATAGATCAAAAAGGTTACGAGCAAAGCTAATAAAACGAAGACGTCATCAAAAACTAGGCCAACAAATAATCCAGCGAGACGTTCTGAAGAAACATTAAATAATCACACAATGAATATAAAGCCGTTGCATCACGCGCGCCCACGCAGGCTCGCGTGTTATTGCCATAATTACCACTAATTACTTTCGTCAGGCCACTGCCAAATGCTTACAATGTATTGTCGTGTACGTAACATATCATCATTATAGCGTTCATCAGAACTATATCAATCTTTAGACAGGTATGTTAGAAATTCTACTGTACCGTGTACAAATTAGTCAAAGCAAATATTTGCAAGCTACATTTCAGTGTAACTTTATTTGCAGTAATGTTAATTAGATTGTTTCATTAGTGGCCTCACTGTAAAGATTGTGTAAATTTCTTAGCAGCCTTCGTGGCGTAAGCTGACAATGTCGTCAACTTGTGGATGAAGGACTTTCCCGTCAATATCTCCGGATTAATATTGTGTGAGCTGAGAATAAAAAATTAAAAGCGAAAGTTGGCTACGAGAAGTAGAACATTACATTTTTTGTTTTAATGACTATGTCATGGTATTGAAAGATACTAATTTATGTAATTAATTAATTAATGTACATGCTTCCATCAACAGAATAGTTACCAGATCCTAAAAACATAGAAATGTTGTTGTTGTGTTGTGTTGTTGTGTTTGTTAGTTGTGAGTTGAAGACAAATTACTTTCATATATCAGAAAGTTCCCGGTCTATCTTCGGTCTAAAGTTCCCGGCCTATCATTTTATTATGTTTTAAAGTGTAATCTACTACTCACCTGCTTTATCAGCGTTGGATGCCATCACCCGAAACGTGCCGAAGAGCAGCACCAACAGTCTCTGCGTGCACACCGGCAACGATAGGAGCAGTCTGTCGACAAATATTCAATAAAAACAAATTGTAAACAATACAAATGGACCTTAAGTGTGTCCTGCGACAAATAACACAAGCCATTGAGGTGCAGCATCCTTTAATTTTTGGTTAATTTAGCAAAATATTTTATGTTGTTTTTTTTTTGTTGTCAGGGCTGTAACGATTAGAGTGTGCAAGCGCAATGAGGTACCGCTGCCTGGCTCATAGCAGGCGAAGAATAGGTTAATGTAGAATTAGTCAGTAACAGTTTGATATTCTACCTCCCCCTCAACCAGGAAGAGAGAAACCATTGAACGATTATAAATAAGTGGGCTTATGTCTGTGTCGAAAGAAGATATAGTTGAGCATACACTTAAAGGGTTGGAAAATGAATGTCTTTGAAATTATGTCCTAAATAAAGTAGGTTATAGGAAAGAGACAATCCTACACAATTTCACACATACATAGATCATTCGAGAATGACAGTTTTCACTTGAATGCAGTACCGAAGCCGCGAGCGATAAGTAGCTTGTTTACAATATAAATCTAAGTTAACTGTAAATCAGTTCCCGTTACTAAAAGTCTTTTTATGCTTTATGTCCATAAAGCCTTACGTAAAAAGTGCAATTTTCAGTTTTGAAACTGCGACTTCTTAAAACTAACCTAACCTAAAGAACTAATTGTGAGACGGGGAGCGTCGAACGTGGGGATTGTGACGTCATGACTTAATTAACAGAGGGAAAAAAATTGATGCTATTAAGTCAACACGCAGTATTTTTAGTCATTTTTCTTTTTATGCAGTCTTATTGAGTAGAGGACGATTTCGTTGCAGTATATTGAACGCATTTCCCAATTAACTTTCATGTACATTACTAAGAAATACTACATCACAGATCTCGACTTGAAAATAAAAACAGAGTCCTAGGGTTCAGTATGAACAGTCATGTTTACTTATACTCAAATAAACTTAGTAGACTTCAATTTAAGTGTGGGAGAGCCATGCTTCGGCACGAATGGGTCGGCTCGACCGGAGTATACCACGGCCTCACAGAAAACCAGCGTGAAATAACCACAGCGTTGTGTTTCGCCGTGGTAGTGAGGTTACCGGAGGCCCAATCCTTCCCCTCCCCCAATCCCTACTCAATCCCTAATCCCTAAAAGATCGGCAACGCACTCGTAACTCCTCCGCTGCGAGTGTCCATGGGCGGCGCTGATTGCTTACCATCAGGTAATCCATCGGCTCGTTTGCCGAACTACTACCACAAAAAAAATCCCCAAAATTGTAATCTTGCAATTTATAACTATTCCCTACCTGCCAAACTTTCCCTAGACTGCCACGAATATTTCAAGACTAAAATCAGCCAAAACAGTTCAGCCGTTCTCGAGTTTTGGCGAGACTAACAAATTTTTTTTTCTATACGAAGATTTTACTAAACATGCCAATAATGATTTGTTGAGAGTTCAAAAAACGTAGTATGTTTTAATAATCAATTCTGGGATCCAATTGAAAGCAACGAATTGCATGTTAGCTAATGATAGTGATATTAAAACAAACACTTGCAATATTGGAAAACCACACGCGATCACTTACACGATTTGTTGAAAAAACCTTCTTTTTCTATAGAGACACAACTGTAATGTAATCTTCATATATAAAAATTTCGAGTCACGTGTTTATCCGCGATGGACTCCTGAACTACTAAACCGATTTTAAACTTGAAAGATAGGATAGCTTGCATCTCAATTTATAGTCACAATTTTATTTTGACAAGAACCTTAGCCACAGCAATGCGTAGCTGGGTCTGCTAGTATACCATATAACAACACCTGGGTTACTTATTTATATTTTTTTTATTTTTTATTCAATAAGGTAAATAAACAATATAATTTTTTTTATGACTGAGACGGAGGTTTTTCTCATACAAGAACCATAACATTTATTTAACAACAAATTATTATCCTCCCGTGTTGTTAAGCATCTTAGTAATTTATTATTATAAATATTTTTAATCGATTGCTTGAAGCAAAGGTGCGATATAATTTAATAAAATCATTATTTGTGTTTTGATCGGCCGCATCGTTAATTTTGGCTTTAGGATTATGTCATCATTAATTTTTGTTAAATTTATGTGGAGAATCACCCACCTTCATGTAAAACACATTTATACATACATAAACACATTTACAACTTAAAGGAAATTAAATTAAATCGAGAATCCCATTATTTATTAATTCCCTACTAATATAGCTATATAGGTACCTACTACCATGGTGTTATCAAAGTGACCTAATTATATTATAGGAGGAAAATTAAAAACACGAGAGTTCGTCGACCTCTATGAATAATTCACGGTAAAACCGCACAAATAACTCGGTTAGCTATAAGATTTATATCAATGAGTTGAAAGACGGCATTGTATGATATAATATAACGTATGCGGTATGAGTGTTCGAGGCGTCGACTTAACGCTTGAATAACTAACGATTACGTTAATACGTTCAATGCTGTTCCGATTATACAATGAATCGGTATCGTCTTCATATTTTATAAGTAAAACATGTCAACTAGATATTATTTATTATATGATACGAGCTTTTGCCCGCGACTTTGTTCGCGTGGTATAGTGACTTCCTGCAGATTTTTGACTAAAAAAAAACTATCCTATGTCTTTTCTCGAGTTCCAAACTATGTCTGTACCAAATTTCACACAAATAGGTTCAATAGTTTAGGCGTGGAGAAAAGATAGACAGACAGAGTTACTTTCGCATTTATAGTATTAGCTTGGATAGTTTGGATTGAAAACGAAGAGTTCAAGTTAGGTGAAGATTGATCGATACGTTGTCCTTCAGCTAAGGGAGATTTAAAGAAAAGTTTAAATTAAAAGTATCTATTCAATCATAAACCCCTCATTAAGTATCTGATACAAAAGAGATTGTATGCCAGAATATGATCATACAGTCTCTCTGGCTACTCCGTTAGGAGTGGGACGACGGTTTTTATGTGTTAATGATATAATTTCGTTTGATATTATTTAAAGTGTGTTTTCTTACAAATTTAGTGGAACAAAATGAACTGATCAATCTATTGTGACGAATTTTGTTTTATTAAAAAAAAGAAAATTCAACACGAAATAGCTATTGACCGTGGCTTAGAAATCGGAAGTTCACGGTCAGAGATTTTAATTCCAATTTAGAACTGGCCATATCGTTCATCTTTTTTTTAAAGAGTCGTTTCTTATTCCAGATTTAAATTTGGAATGAAGAACTAGCTTGTTTATCTGAGTTTACGGCAAAAAAGTTTTGTTTTATTTTATTTTTATCTACTGCCAAAACCTATCACGCCTGTATTGCCTAACGAGGGACACGGCCACTTAATGGTCGACTAGCTTCAAACACGATGTGACCATATTGAACCCGGAGTTCACGCTCAATATGTCAGATAAGCCACACCTACCTTTTAAACTTTTTAGGGCAAACAACATTTTAAAGTCCATCATGAATATTATGGGATAAAAGTAACATTAAAATAATATTGCTTTTATACTGTTTCGTAAAATTATATCGCCATCTGCGCTCCATCTTGTAAAGGTCGATTTACTTGTGCTGTACCAAGAATGAAGAGTTAAAGCGACATTTATTTTATCGAGACTTCGAATCTAAAATGTCACGCCATGCCTTCTGCCCGTAAGAACAGGGCATTGCCATTTAAAGTGAATCAACAAAAACCTTGGTAAATTGAAGCTGCGATCGTTTTCGGCGGTGTCATGACCAATTACATTTGTCTTGGACACGTCTATCTGCTGGATAAAATACTGAGAGATAAACTTCGTACTTAGAACGCATTCTACAGTTTTATATCCATATAAACTTTAGTGCCAGCAGCAAATAGAATAAGTTGTACCTAAGTATATTACCATAAAACATAATTTATTTGTTTACCGTCATGTCCATGGCAACACTGAAGTACACCGTTACTATGCGTATGCGCATCAAAATTCAGGTCGGGTGTTCTATAAACAACCATTGTTCCTATCCATAATACTCGCGTATTGTGAAAGTCCTATACTCGCCCCAGCGTAACAAACGGTACATAATGAGTGCAACATTTAGATGCAATATATGAATGTTATACGAGGACACGTAGACATAATATACTAGCATAACAAACATATTTAAAAACTATTAAAGAATAGAAAAACACTAGTAAAAAAAACAAAATAAATCGCTGTTTCGCTAAAACTCGAAAAATGCTGAACCGATTTAGATATAATTTCAGTTTTAAAATACATATTCGTGACGTCTAAGTTTAAGGACGGTAGGTTTAACTTTCCTCAGACCGTCAAGAATGAAACATGTGAAATGAAAGAAAATAATTAAACCATATTATTTTTCTTTACACAAACTTAAATGACATTTGATATTTGACAAACAACAATAGGTACTGTTAATTAAACTTTTAAATATTACTTAATTTTGATGCGGTAAGGTGTTTGCCGGGTCAGCTTGTATTTTATAAATTTCGCACCAAGTATAATCCGGGCACATAAATTCACAATCCAATATAGACGGCACATAATTACATTGTCGTCCAAACGCTATAGAGCTTGTAATGTAATTTACTACAGCAAATGCCCTAGGGATAAGAACACATATTAACCGACAACATATTATCACGGGAGCTTATTCTTGATTTTTTTAAACCTTTTCGATTTTTCATCTAGATAGAATTTAAAGGTGCTTTAAAAAGTAACAATCTCATCTTAACAAAACGATTTAAATATAAAAAAGATAATATAACAAATTTGATGAACAGGTCTTCCGTTATCATTTTATTTATTTGTTTCGTTGATTAAAAAAATCCACTTAAATTGGTTCTTTCATTCAAGAGCCTCTGTGCCACAAACCACAGACAGCGGATAACAATAATAACATACAATGAAACAATGATTTATTGTTGTATAGGTCATAAAACAGCACTTTTAACACGTCAAAATGATATGTAAAAAAACTAGATGAAGCCGGCATTTCCTATCTGACTACTTTGAGAAGAAATTCCGAAACAAACTGGCATAATATGGTAAGTAAATGACACGTTATCTTCTCTACACAATACAAACACATGGAAAATCCACAAGCAGGTAAATATCACGATATCAATCTATTTATAGAAAAAGGAAAATTATATCAATTAATATTTTATGTATGTCATGTTTTTTTCGTATCATGTGTCAATTTCTGTTTAGTTTCAATAATCCTACTATCATCTGTGTGATAATATAAATGCGAAAGTTTATAATTTTGGATGGATAGATATTTGTTATTCTTTCACGTAAACGGTACTGAAAAGAACGGATCTGACTGAAAGCCATGGTGACAGGAATCGTGAATAGGCTACTCTTCTTCTCTTCTTGTAAGGGAAACATCATCAAATGTCTTTTGAGAGTGTCAGACTTTTACTGACTTAAAAGTCCGCCGTTCCTTCTGCTCTGGGCCGAGGCCGCGGTGCATTATTGCGCTTGCCCCGCAACCTCGGCTGACAGTTTTCACCCAGGTATTGCAAACGAAGCCGCTGGCAAAGCTAATACTCGATTTATTTATTTTATTTATTTAACACCTTATGTATTACATACAATGATAAATGGCGAACATAACGCCGAAAGGCATTCTCTACCATACAACCGTAAGGGTGATGCAGAGAAGTGTTACAGTAGATTCTCAACAAGCTTCACACAATTTAGACTCCTGACTGGAATTTTAGGTGACATAAAGTCGTGTAATGATAGCACAGACGAAAGCATTTATCACTAGCTCTCGTGCAGCGGCGGGCGTAGCAAGACCCGAAGAAAAAAAAATTCAGAGTCCGGGCAGTAACGATCCACAAACAAATGACAAATCTGAACATTTTGAACAACCATCTTAAACCTATCTGCCAAACGTAGTCTAGTTACCCGTATACCTCGCAGAGGACGCCAATCAGTCAACAGAGAAAAACGCGCTACTTACATTTACGATTACAAACATTACACTAGCGATAATCTTGCAAAATATGGTCTATATATTATGTATTCTAGTTGTACTATTATTGCACAACTACCTAAAAGGCTTCAAAGGGATGATATATAATGAACCACTTTCTAAAAAAAAGCTATAGTACCTATATAGCTTTAGTAATTTTGTACAAAAATTAATATGAACACGTATAAAGGATTATTATTAAAGCATAGTTTGGAATTATTAGCTTGGCATTTAACATAACATCGTTACTGGCAGTATTGGCGTGTAGTTTCCAAGCTGGGACACTTGAATAGCTACATTATAGAGGCAACTAAGTTGGAAGCTTTCCATCACCTAGTTTTCTCCGGATTTCCGAACAATTTAACTTTAGCTGACGGATAGGTCATTTTGAATGAAATGCGCTGCGCCTACCCTATTTTAAGTTGGTTTTAATAAGGTAGTTTTCAACAAGAGCCTGACAAAGTTCGTTCGTTGAATATCAGTATCAGTAGTTTTAAAAATCCATAGAGAAACATTACCTACCCAATTATACGTCAAATCCTTTATTAAAATACATATTTCTAGATAGGATCTAAGTCGTATGGATTTTTGACGATCCGGTTTTGGCAGGTGAATAGCTTCCCAGTTATATTCTACCTAATATTACTAGTGAGTTTTTTAAGTATGGGTAGACGCAAATGAAATTCAGGTAAAAACAACTGAACCGACATTTTATTTATGAGATCAGTCGGCAAACGAGCACATGCAGAGCAGACGCCCATGGACACCCGTAACACCAAAGGATTTACGAGTGTGTTGCTGGCCTTTTGGGACTAAGGGTTTTGGATATTAAAGGATTAGAAAGGGTGGGGATACACTCACACGGCGAAACAACGGTCTGGTAGTTTCACGCCGGTTTTTTGTGGGGCCGTGGCATCACTCCGGTTGAGCCGACCCATTCGTGCCGAAGCTTGGCCCTCCTACACTTGCTTGTCTATTGACCGACTGAACGGATATGATTAAAATTTGACATGGAGATAGATTATTGCCTGAAGAGACACTTTATAATGTCTCTGTACTGCAAACGAAGTCGCTGACAGAAACTAGTATGTTTAAACGTGTTTCTTTTGTTTGAAGTACCATTATCAACACTTTTACTTACACATACTAAGTAGATGTATCAATTAAACAATTTATTTGTACCTGTTTCTTAAGCACTTGATAATGATGTATCAATGTAAGTAATTTTCACACCATCAGTCCTAAATTAACACCAATATCTTTGTTTGATGAGTTCAGAAAAAGGAGGTTTTACAATACAAATGTTTTTTTTTTTTCTTTTTGCAGATATTTCGTCACGAAGAGTGTTTTAATATTTTTTATTTGCCTCACAGAGAACGATTCAACACAAGGGCTATTTTTCTGATCTGGATTAAGTTTCATTGATGATTAAATTGTTGTGTTAATATTTGTCACTGACCTGCGTATCTCATCAACTTGCTGCTCCTCTGGTAGCTCCACAGCTGTAAACAGATGCATCTCTCCATCTCGTCCAAACACGCCACCCGGGATTTTTCTAAACAAAAATAGTCTCATTTTACCCAAGTGCACTTCAAGATACTAACATTTACAGGAACATTTTATTATATACATAGTTTCTTATATGAAACAATGAATATTTTTTTTGTAAATAGGCCATAAAACAGCACTTATGAAAAATTATATGTAAAATCTAGAATGAAGCCGGCATTACCTATCTGACTACTCTGGGAAGAAATGCCGAAACAAACTCAGAGGTCCGTCTCTTGGACCTTCATGAATAATGTGCATCATGGATTATATTAGATAACTATTGTTGGTACAGTAGAATAACCATTAAATTACCAAATATATGAATTGGTCATAAGCATAATATAAAAGAAATAAGACCAAGTAATATTTGCTTGTTTGGATGTTATTATAGATAGAAAAAAACAATGAATTTATTTTTGCAAATATGCCATTAAACAGATCTTGGAGACATCAAAGTTATATATTAAAAAGAAAACTAGATAGAACTGGCATTTCCTATCTGACTATCCTGAGAAGAAATGGCATAACATAATCAGAGAGAAGAGACTGACCACCATAAGTCCAAACAATGTAAAAAATAAAATAAAAATGTGTGCGAATGATATCTTTCTACTAACTGTGATCAGTATGTTTAATTTTTGTTTTATTTAATACATTTTATTATATTCTAGGTGTGACAGTTCATTTATTTTGTCACCAGTCCCGATAAATTTGAAAAATTGGTGTTCTTCTGAACTTTAGTACCAGTTAACTGGATGCAATTGTTTGCAGGAATTAGCAGCCTCTAAGATCATAGAGTATCTAGTCTTTGGGACAAAATTTATGGAATTTTCTTTAAGACACAACTAAATGCTTTACTAGTTAATTGAAACAAATTTACTCTTCTTCTCTTCAACTCCTATTATTCCTCAACTGTTTGGCCAACTTGGACAACAGCTACTATATAAGAAAAACTGCATACAACATAATGTTACTTCCTATTGATTAGAATCTACCAATTTAAATATTTAAACACAACCAAGTAGATGTCAAACATCATTATCAATATTCTGATAATGCAAACAAAAATATTTACCTTCAATCTTATCAGATTATAGAAAACTAGTGATGTTTATTTATTCTATCAGCCACTAATACAAATAATTGAAAGCCAACACAAAAATTAAAAATAAGCTGTTCATGTTATTAGTGATAATATTTTTGTTATTTACCTGAGGAATTTCTTGAGCACACTGGCAATAGTATATACTGAATAATTATCCACATTGACCAAACGACCTGTTTGAAGGAAATGTATAAGCTTCTTCATGGCACCCTGGTGACCAGGTGCGCGAAACACGTCCCGACGCAGCGGGGCTTCTTTGTTCAGCTTCAGTATCAGCACCTGAACAACACCACAGGGAAATTATTTAAACCATGAAAAATTTCACGAATCTCACTAAGTACTTCATTGTCTATTGAATACGACGGATATAATATAAGTTCACAAACTGCAACGAGCGGTGAATGACACTGCGACTACATATTGTGCATTAATCAATCCAGGTAATCACATCATTATAATCAACATATCAAAAATCCCAGGGGCGTTGTCAAAGTATTCAAACAACAAGGATACTAACAAGCAAGGGTCCGGGGATATCATCCTTGCAAACTTCATGTAGCGGAACACCGAACTTGACTTTCTCTAGTCTCCTCGGATATGGCAAAGTGTTGGGATGCCCACAAGACGTAACCACATTGCTCAATGTAGCAGCTCGTCGATGCATCCTTCTAGCCCAATTACTCATTTTTCCTGTTTACAGGACGTCAGGCTTTGGGCAATATTATGAAACAAAAATCAATGCTAGGTGCATTTTTCGCAGTCGGGAACTGTATAATATTTATTATTCTAGGAATTAATTTTATTTTAATTGTGTCGGTAAACTCGAGTCCTCCGGTCGTTCGTTTGCCTACCGTCGAACCGCACGCACGCACAAACACAGATACAGACGATAAATAACTAGTGTTGCCCATCACTTAACTGCTATCGTACTGAATCGAATCAAAAAATAATCGATTTCAATGTCGATAGCATGCAATCTTTAATATAGAAATAACGAATGTATTTATTAAATTTGCAGTATTTTCATCATAATTTATCATTCTTTAAATTTCCCACTTTTTCTTTCTTAGTTATCTTTTAGTATTCATTCTAGCGTTTTATGGACCGCTAGTGGAACCAATTTCTCCTTCTTTAAGGACATCGAAATTACTAGGAGGCTCTTCATTGCAAAGACTTCTCACATACTTTGGTAACATTGCGCGTAGAAACTCGTCCCACGTAGTGAAGCTGGCACAAGCGATCTGCCCTGACTTTGCTACGGGTGCAATGCTGATATATTAAATTTCTCCACTATTTAATGGATGTAATTATACATACAAATCCTCCTCTTCATTCACCTCGCGCCGCCGATTGACATAATAAAGTACAATAAGAATTACATTATTATAAAGTTGTTCAAAGGACCTCTGCGAGTTGACTTCGGCCCCTCAAATGATACTCGTGCTTCGGCCCCTTCAAAAATCCGAAACTATGGATATGAATATCTGTTTCCGAGAATGGAAGCAGACATTAATATCAAACTGTAGTTAAGTTTTTGGATCGCGTCATTAAGATCAACTTAAAGAAATCTGATTTTTATTAAATAAATAGCGTATGAGAGTTTACAAATGTAGGACTTCACTACGACATCGTTCCGTCGTACAAAGATTTACAAAAAAAAAACTAAACCTACAACTACAATATTCATTTTCAAAAATAGCACGCTGTTTTTAAATTACTAATTTCTATCTCAATCACTACGTAACTATTCAAATTAAATACAAAATTTGCTATACATTTCGCATAGAATACTACATCCAAAATATTACCAGTGCCAAAAAGTAAATGTAAAGATAGTACAAAAAATTAAAATAATATTGACGCTTCATGTCGATTTGATTGAAGCAGTATCGATGTTTTTTAGCAAGGAAAATGATATCGATTTACATATAAAGAAAATACAAAAAATATGTCACATTTTTTATTCAAAGGCACTAAATTAATGAAAACAAAATGCACTATATTTTCACTGATTTGATTTTATATTTTTTATTAAAATTTGCACATACGATGTATGTCGGTCACGCCTCCCCTTTATAACACGAAATATATATATATAAAATAAAATCTTACGAACGAATCTCGAAACAACACAAACTTATTTCATATTATTAAATTAAAATCTATTTAGTACTGTAATTTTTCCTACGACTGTCCAAGATCATGTACTGAAAATGAAATTAAGTATTATAAAATTGGAAGTCTTTCGATATGTTGATATTTTGACATATCGATAATATTCGCACAAACCTATGTAAGTTATACATTTACATTCTCTTTCGCTAAGTTTTGACAAGCTACCAAATCACGTTGTCGTTTCGAGGAGGGAAGTGGGAACAATGCCGATTTGATCGTTGTTTTGAAAAGCTCATAGGTACATGAAAATAATCTCATTTAACTAACGATCTCTTGTTTAGACTTATAACCAAACAGAAAAAGAACATAACGAGTACCTAGTAGATATTTAAATAAATTTCTACCAGATTGAAATTAAAATGGCTGAATGGGAAGATGATTGGGTTGAAGAATCGCCGGCAAATATTACTCCAGCAACTCAACAAAATGCAGCGAGAGCGGCACCTTCAACTCGACAATATCGGGGCAGAACTTTCCGAGGGAGCAACCGAAATTCGAGTAATGATTCAAATTGGAGGGAACGTGGTAATACCAGCAACGACAGTGGTGATTATCGCCGCAACTTCGACCGAGATGGAGCAGGCGGACGACGTGACTTTGAGCGAGACGCTGGTAACAAGAAAGTTATTTATGTTCCGTCTAACAAAGTGGGCCGAATCATAGGCAAAGGAGGATCGAAAATAAAAGATCTTCAATTTGAATCAGACACTCGGATCAAAGTAGGAGATTCCAATGGGAATGAAACTGTTGTCACCATCACGGGCACGGATGATGCTATATCGAAAGCTCAAGAAATGATAGAAAAACTCACTGAAGATTTTAAACCTCGAGAAAAGGAAGACTATGGTAACAAAGAGGAAAGTGAAACTCGGACCACAGAGTTTTTTAAAATAAACGAGAATGGCGATCAAGTTATTGATTGGGATAAGCTTAATGCCTATCATAATGAGGTACAACAGAGTCGTTACGAAAAATTACCTCCTATAATTAAAGATTTTTATAAAGAAGATCCTGCTATAGCAGCAATGTCAAATGAAGAGGTTAAACGATGGAGACTGGCTAATTATGATATTCAAGTCAAGAGAACTTTTGAAGATAAACCTGGTTTGCGCAAAATTCCCAATCCAGTTCTGACTTTTGAGCAAGCATTTAAAGACTACCCTGACATCTTGACAGAAATATACAAACAGGATTTTAAAACACCCTCTCCAATACAAAGCCAAGCTTGGCCCATTCTTCTGAGCGGTGAAGACATGATTGGGATAGCTCAGACTGGCACAGGGAAAACTTTGGCTTTTCTTTTGCCTGCCCTCATTCATATTGATGGCCAAACAGTGCCACGAGAAGAAAGAGAAGGCCCTACCGTACTTATCTTGGCTCCTACCCGGGAGTTAGCCATACAAATAGATAAAGAAGTTTCAAAGTACCAATATAAAGGTATTAAATCAGTATGCCTGTACGGAGGAGGGGATCGTAAAGAACAAATAAAAGTTGTGGAGAAAGGAGTTGACATTGTAATAGCAACTCCCGGCCGACTTAACGATTTAATAATGGCTCGCCACCTCAACATTATTAACTTCTCATACATCGTGTTGGATGAAGCTGACCGCATGCTGGACATGGGTTTTGAACCACAAATAAGGAAATCATTATTTGATGTTAGACCAGATCGTCAAACAGTGATGACGTCAGCCACATGGCCGCCAGGAGTGCGGCGTCTCGCTGAGTCTTACATGAAAGACCCCATACAAGTGAATGTGGGATCTTTAGATCTCGCCGCTGTGCACACTGTCACTCAAAAAATATTGTTTGTCGAAGAAGACGACAAAGAACCTGCCTTGTTTGAATTCTTGAACAACATGGATCCAACTGATAAAGTAATCATATTTTGTGGCAAAAAAGCCACAGCAGTACACATTTCCACAGAACTATGCATCAGAGGCATAGAATGTCAATCACTGCATGGTGATAGAGATCAAACGGACCGGGAGGCAGCTTTGAATGATATGGTTGATGGATCCGTTAATATTTTAGTAGCAACTGATGTGGCGTCCAGGGGTATAGATATAAAAGATTTGACTCATGTTATCAACCTAGACTTTCCGAGACATATTGAAGAATACGTGCACAGAGTCGGTAGAACCGGCCGGGCCGGAAAAACTGGAACATCGTTGACTTTTGTCACTAGACAAGATTGGGGAAGTGCTAAGGAACTTATTAAAATCCTCGAAGAAGCTAATCAGGAAGTTCCCGATGAGTTGGTAAACATGGCGTCAAGATTTGAAGCCATGAAATTGCGTAAAGAAAAAGAAGGTTCCGGCCGTGGTCGTGGGGGTAGAGGTGGAGGCGGAGGTTACGGCCGTGGTAGAAGAGACCGCTGGTAATTATTATGTGCTCATTACCATTGTATCTCATAGTCACCATGACACCCTGAGGGTCACATTGACATATATGTTGGGCCTCATTATTATTTAAATACTAAATTATAGACAAATTGAAACTAGGTTTATTTTATGTTTGATTCCAAAGGAGTCATATTCTGAAGAACACTAAACTATACTTCTTATTGTTTTTGTTGGTTTTTCACCTGCTAGAGAGTGTTCTTGCCAATGATCTCAAATAGAATTATGTTTACCTTCATTTTGTAAGTAAGGGGCACAGCCTTACAATTATTATTCCAAGGGGCACAGGATAGTCTGGCCTTTATTTCGGTATTATGTCATTAGTTTAATCATAATGATATCTTATTTATGTAAAATGGTCCAGTAAAAATGTTGTGCCTGAGTTTGATGAATATATATTTTCATTGTATTTATATTTTGCTTATACTTTGTGCCATTTTATGTGTATGTGAGCATTCTTTGTCTTGTACAAAGTATAAGACACCAAAGTATAACTAATTTAAGAAACCTAGTGAAAGAATATCTTACTAGAATTAAGTTAAGACCCTATGCTGTGATAGAAAGTGAATATATTTAACTCACGGTCTATATATGTAGGTTATTGTAGTTTTTATTTTGTTACTTAGGTATGTTAATTCTAGCTAAGGAGTGAAATTAATTCACTTGTCTTACATGTAAATGTAAGTTTAACGGTATGAAGTGTACCGCTAGTATCTGTGTTTTGCCATCTCTTATTAAAACTTCTATGTCTGTATCAATATGTGTTTTACTACACCCATTATAGCCAGGAATCCAGGATATTGTCATTTGATCATAATGTAATAGACAACCAGCCACCAGCTGGACTTGAAAGACCATCACTTCCCTAGTAAAACATGTGGGATTTTATTTTGTCTTGTTTGCAAAAGACGTCTCTATTATATTACAGTTTCAACTACTTATACATATAGAAATATCAGCGTATGTGCATCATAAAATCACAGATAGGTACTCATCACAAATCTCGTTTTTTAAGCGGAAGAAATGTTGAGATGGCTTGCTTCTTCTCGAGGTCCAGGCTGAGGCCTATTATTCAGCTTGACCCGCAACTCCGGCTGAACATTCAGTCCTGTTGGCCTCATATATTTTGGCGGTCTATTACTTCTATTAGCTCTTTGAGACGCGCGCGACATGCGATGATGTACGCTCGAGTCTTGTTCTGGTCGGGCGGTGTGCTATTCTTGCTCGTCCGCAACCCCCTTAGCAAGGCCAGACGCCCGGAGTGTCTCCTAGTGCGGCAGCTGAGTCGTGAAGAGTCAACCTCCTATTTTGCGAGTACGACTGCAAAAAGAAGAAACGGTTTCACGGTGCGGTCCCTTTCGTACCGCACCACGACCTTCTACTACGGCCGGACGCGAGAGGTCGTTGCCGCTGATCACTTATCTAAAGACACGACTGACCCAAGCAGAGCAAATCGCCACCGTGTTTTTTTTAGCAGGGCAGGCATTTGGCTGCTATCATGCCTGGTGGTAACCGATAATGCGACCTACGATGGAGCATGCCTGCTTACTCAGGCCTTGAAGACACTCAGTATACCCTTCGGGGAACACAGACTCCAACAGAGAATTCTTCTCCTTAGCGGTTTATAAAACTAGAGGCGAACCGTTTCGTGAGTGTAGGTGGGATATCCACCACAAAGCGATCACGTTTTGCCGATTGTCTGGTGGAAAGAACTAGGGGGAACCACGTTGTGAAGCTCTCCCGAACATTCTCCGAAATACGACGGATTACCTGATGGTAAGAAATCAGCGCCGGACACCCACCCGCAACGGAGGAGTTACGAGTGCGTTGCCGACCTTTTAGGGATTAGGGTTTTGAAGATTAAGGGATCGGGGGAGCGGAAAGATTGGGCCTCCGGTAACCTCACACACACGGTGAAACACAACGTTTTATCAAGACTGTTTTCTGCGAGGCTGTGGTAGGTATCACTCCGGTCGAGCCGACCCATTCGTGCCGAAGCTTGGCTTCCTACACTTCAAATCGATAGGCTTGCATATTTGCGCCTGCGTTCGAGATTTTTAAGTCTGCCTACTGCCACTGTTTTCTGGGTGGTAAGCGGCCAGCACCAGACAACCGTATTACCACAGGAGAAGATCGCTGCTTTCTTGGAGGTTTCTTTTTGGGTCGGGAATAGAAAAAGCAATTATATTTTTCTACCTTTACCTACCTACTAACTGTGTGATTTACCGTAAGAAAAAAAGAGATGGCGCTGCATTAACTACCGTCAACCTAAAGCAGGCAACCAATACTGTGGGCTGGATACATGGGTTCAAGAATTGTACCTCATCTGAGTGTCATTTAAATAAAAGGAGATCGAACATATTATTAGCACATGAATATCGGTACAGCCTTAAGTCCAGGTAGCGTTAAATGACAACATCGGTGGTTATTATACCTATTACTAAATATTTAGTAAAAAAACCATCATTATTTGTTCGATACGGGACCTTCTTGAAATGTGCTTGGCTTATTCTTATATTATGCTTGACAGTAATGCTTGCTGCTTGAGCAACAGACAAAGCAATGCCTATATTACCTCAATAAGTATTTTAAACTCTGCAGGATGGCATAAAATATTCATCTTGGGAGGATTTGGAGCTATGATCTTTCTATAGACAATGAAACTAAATAGGTCCCGGCCAAACTGAAGCTACATTTTTTATTTGCACTAGACCTGTGCGATGCGTCCTCTTAGTCTTCTTTATATCAATTATCCATCATTCGCTACCTACCTATAAACAACCTATTCACTCGGGTCTTGAAGACAATAAATTATTTTATAATTTCATAACAATAGATGGGTAGGTACCGTATTTCTGGGTTGTAGAACTTTCCTCTTGTGTTCCAGTTTATCCTGGTTATAAAAAAATACTAAATACTACTAAAAAAAATACTAGCACCTCTTCCCACTTACAAGCCCTTTTCTTTCGTCTTTTTAAAGGCATAATTTCAAAAGAAAAGATTCCTTTACAAGTAGACGGTTCAATAAGTTTTAATGAATTTAAAGTAAAGCCATAAATCTTAAACTTTATGAACACGCAAACTAAACGTGTGTACAAAATTACAGCTCAATCGGTTAAAGATATCTGCTTCAAAAGTTGCTAGATTCTATGTTATGGGTACAAAAAGTTAGCTACATTACAGGGTAAATAAAAACTTGTAAAAAGACCTTTTCTCTTGTGTAAGAGAAAAACGAGCGTCTACGACTAGGTACATTATCAAAGTACCTAAATAATGAGCTTCGTCGTTTTTTATAGCCAAAAAGACCGCATCCAACAGGCTGCGTGGACGTCGCAACATCCTGAGTGCTCATAACGTGGAAATTTGTACAACAGACTAAGTCCCTGGCTTACTATCAGTTGCTAAATTAAAAATTTTATTTCATGTGTCTATATGTAGAATGGATCTCAGTTATCTGAATTAATCAAGCTTATTATAATTATATGTACTATACCTACTCTTATTATAATTTTTGATTGTTTGAATTGATTAGACTCCGAAGAAACTCGACTGATTGGAAAAATTATGTTACTGGTAGGTAATTTTTTTACGGTAATCTACGTAAACCATACGGACGAAACCGTGGGGAAAATCTAGTATAAATAAAAGTATTCGTTAGATAATATGCATATATTTCGAGTTCACAATATTTAGACACAAAATCGTCAAGCATAAGGATCAGGAATAGGATTTCATAATTTTATTCACTACAACAGAGTCGATATTACTTTCGAACGTAACACTTAAAATATTAAATATGAGTTTCGTAATACTACTAGGTGCTAACGATTCGTGCTATGAACAGCCAGACAATATTATTTTATAATATATGGAAATTCTCGACACTCGAGTCCCGGGTGTGACCCGGCAACAAACCTGAATCGAATTAACCTGTTGACTGATGCAACAGCGCAAATAAATAATATTAGCAAGATATTACTATAGGACTATACCTCAACGTAGTATACGCAAATATCATGTTTTAATAAACATTACATGAGGCAACTTTTAACGTTGACGCGTTACTTATATAATTTCTAACCGTTTCATTTCTTTGCACAGTTCCACACCCATTTTGGCTGGAGAACGGGAGACGATTACGTTAGCTTTTTCTAAAGCCTTAATTTTGTCCATGGCTCCTCCTTTTCCACCTGAAATAATGGCACCGGCGTGGCCCATCCGCCTGCCGGGCGGGGCTGTCAATCCGGCGATGAAAGCTACTACCGGCTTTGCTTTCTGACCCTGTAATAAAATGAAATAAATACTATTATTAAAGATAGTCGATTTAATGGAATACTTAAACAATAATGTCTTAGAAAGAAAGTGGCTGGATATCCACTACACATACAGGTTTTGGTCACCAATTGATGTCATTTCAAAAGAACTGCAAAGTTTTTTTGTGCTTTCACTACTTTGCTTTTAATATGTGATCTAAGTTACAGAGGCTTATGCATATAAAATGCACTCACTGTCACAGTTACTGGTAACTTTGATATGATAAATCGAAAGAACCTTCAACCCACTAAACAGGGAACTTCAGTACCTAAGTGTGGAGACTTCAGCACGATTTCCAGTTATGGACGTTTCTCACTTATCCAGGTCCCACTTAACCAAGTTTCACTGTATTATAAATATGAGTATACTTTTCAACATGGCGAAATACCGAGGATAATAAGACATTGGCCCCAACGTTATGATGGAGTCAGCCGGGGTTGCGGGGTAAGCGCAATGACACCACGGCCTCAACTTAGAACAGGAGAAAGAATGGGGGGTTTTAGACACTAGCTCCTGCCCGACCCTGACCCTGGGCGGGAGTCATTTGATGATTTTCCCCTCATAAAACGTTATGATCTAGAGTTCAGCTGTAGGGACACTGGCCTGCATAGTCTTTTGTATGTTAGCACCACATCACATCACCGACCCGACATCGACAAACTTGTAAGTCTAGGTTTGGTCAGAAAGAATATTCATTACCTGTGATTATATGAAAACACGGTGCCACATATCTCGTCATCATCTTATTATTCAATACTAGCTACTCTCGCGCGGTTTCACCCGCTGCTCAGCTCCATTTAATGGTAGCGTGATTTTTATAGCCTATAGCACTCAGGAACATTGTAGCTATCTCATCAGTGAAAGAATTTTGACAATCCGACCAGCGGTTCCAAAGATTACCCCTTACATACAATCTTACAAACATACAAACTTACAAATTTTACCTCTTTATAATATTAGTGTGACAGAAAACTCTTTGACATCATGACGTCAATGGATGGTTGTCAAACGTTGCCTAGAGATTGTAAATTTCGTCGTGAATTGTCAACACGAGTTGGTGTAATCGGTAAGGCGTGTGGATTACACCACAGAGACCCCGAGTTCGAGTCCCGCCGTAAACATGAAGTTTTTTAGTTGATGGAAATTTTGTCGAACTTTCTGGAATATTTGAGTGAAAGTAATGAAAAATTAAAGAGCGAGAAGGAGAATAAATAAAAATGAATAACGAAATTATTGGAAGGTTCTGGAGGCATGACGATCAAAAAGAATAACGAAATTGAATGTTCTAGAACCTGACCGGGGGTATATAAGCGGAACTGCGGCTCACCGCTGGCAGTTGTGTTCTAAGTCTAAAGCGATTCGGAAGAAAAGGAAGAAGTGAAAAAGAAGAAAAGTGAGTGAAATAGTGAAGTGCAGTTAGTTAAGTGAGTTAAGCCAGCGTGAACGGCAAAGTTGTGTCAGTCGGCCGGGCTCTGCTGGAGAGGAACGCCGATAACTTAACTCCGTGGACGCTGTAACTTAAGTGCAATAGAAGGTCTGAAAACCGGTATTAGTGTTTCATTTCATCCAATCCCGTTACCCAAGCCCGCATAGTCAGGAACGTGACGTCAGGCACGTAACAATTGGTGTCAGAAGTGGGATTGGAGAAAAATGCCGCTAGTACCGCAGGACGTAAGAGGAGTGAGTACCCGTGCTATGTCAGAAGCGCAGCGTGTGAGGGAAGAGGGTGCTGCAGCTCAAACCAGCGATGCAGAAGCCAAGCCTGTGCAGGTGGATCTTCTGCTACAGCTGCAGCAAATGATGGCAGAGCAAGCGCGCCGCCAAGAAGAGCAAGCGCGCCGCCAAGAAGAGCAAGCGCGCTGTCAGGCAGAACAGCTGCGGGAGCTGAGAGAAGAGCAAGCGCGCCGCCAAGAAGAGCAAGCGCGCCGCCAAGAAGAGCAAGCACGCTCTCAGGCAGAACAGCTTCGGGAGCTGAAAGAAGATCAAGCTCGTCGCCAAGAGGATCAAGCTCGCCGCCAAGAGGAGCAAGCGCGTCGCTTGAAAGAGATGCACAGGGATTTCACGAAGGGACTGCAAAAGGCTGTCGAACGGGTACAAGAAGTGGAGGAAGGGTTAGGCAAGTTGGAACATCGCGTCATGGCGATAGAGGAGAGAGTGGAAGAAGAGATCTCCAAAATCAAACAGGAAGTGGCAAGCCCAAGCCCTTTGAAGAGCCGAAGCCGTCTTGCAGCCGTTTTTGACACCCCAAATGTGGCCTCAAGCGCAACGAAAGGGCTCAAGATTCCCCATTACGACGGAACAACATCTTGGACCGCGTTCAAGCTACAGTTTGAGACACTTATGGAGGCTTATGGTTGGACTCAGAAGGAAGCACAGTCAGCCCTTACCCTGGCCCTCCGTGATCAAGCGCTCTCAGTGCTGGAAGCTATCGGCGCAAGTGGGGATCTCAGCTTTAGTGCCCTCCTCGACGCACTTGAAGCACGTTTTGGAGACAGCCACCTCGAGCACGTGTACAGAGCGCAATTAAAAGAGCGTACTCAGCGTGCTAATGAGAGCCTACAGCAATGGTCCGTGGAAATCGAGAAACTTGTACGTCGAGCTTTCCGGTCGACTCCGTCAATGATTGAAGGCACGCTTCTCCAAGCGTTCATTGACGGTATTCGGGACCCAGAAGTACGAGCTGCTGTTCATCTGGGCCATCACAAGATCATGAAAGAAGCTCTGGCCCATGCATTGGAAGTGGAAGCCGTGCGTGGCAACTCCCGTACCTTACGTCTGCGGGAAATGACGACAACGGAGCAGGTACCTCCACGCCGTCGGAACTTCATGTGCTATGGATGTGGAGAGCGTGGGCACATACGGAGCGACTGCCCGAAGAAGATGAACCGCCAGGACGCTGCGGTCTCAACTTCTGACCAGCAGGGAAACTTAAATCCAGCCAGGGCTGCGGGGTGGGCGCCGGCTGGTAGTGGAACAACCCCAACAATCTACATCAAGCAAACCAACGATGGAAATACTCTGGTGATAGACGGTCAAGTAAATGGGAAAAACAGTCAGCTAACATTAGATACTGGAGCTTCAAGGACGGTGATAAATGTTCGGCTGCTCGAGCACAACATCAGGAAACACCTTAAACCAATTGTTGGCCTACAAATGAAATCAGCTACCGGCCAGTGCATACCGATAAGTGGAAAACTGCATGTAACAATCAAAATTGGGGAACGTGTTTATCGACATGAGGTTATTGTGGCCAAAATTCTGGATGACTGCATCCTGGGACTTGACTTCCTGCAAGGGCACCAGTGTAACATCGACTTAAAATCTGGAGTATTACTATGTGGAACTGAGGAAATTCCGATGAAGGGTGGAACCCTGGGAAAAGTTTGCTGTTTAAGAAGAACTGTTCTTGCACCAAAATCACAGACTCTCGTACCAATCGCATTACCTAGGAGGAGGGAAGGAAGTTTACCTCGAAGGTGCGCTGTGATTGATAAATCGGAACACGTAAACTCATGGCTACCGGCAAGAACTGTCGTGGGGTCATCTGATGTTAACCGCATTCCGGTATTCAACTTCAGTGATTCAGAAATTACGATTGAAGAAGGAGAGCCTGTGGGCGTATTGGAAGAAGTGGCCTGGATAAGAAAATGCTCGGAAAATCTTGTGAAGAAGGACAGTACGGGAATAGACTTTGTAACGAAAATCTTAGACGGAAACAAAAGTCTGACAAAAGTGGAGACTATGAAAGCTAGAAATTTACTTCTTCGATTCTCTGATGTGTTTTCAAGAAGCGATGGTGATATTGGCCGAACTGGTTTGGTGAAGCATAAAATAAACACAGGTGATACAATGCCAATTCGTCAAAGGCCCAGACGTATACCATTCGCTCGTGAGAAAGAGGTTGAAGAAATGATTGACGATATGAGGAAAAATGACGTGATAGAGCCCTCTTCTAGCCCTTGGTGTTCACCTGTCGTGCTTGTCAAGAAGAAAGATGGTTCAACGAGGTTTTGCGTAGACTATCGACGATTGAATGATGTAACCAAGAAGGATAGCTACCCGTTACCAAGAATCGATGACACACTTGACACACTGAGTGGCATGAAATGGTTTTCAACGCTCGATCTGAAAAGCGGCTATTGGCAGGTGGATTTGGATCCCAAGGACAAGGAAAAGACCGCATTCTCAACTGGGAAGGGACTCTGGCAATTTAAGGTGATGCCATTTGGATTATGCAATGCACCGGCAACCTTTGAGCGTTTGATGGAACAGGTGCTGGTGGGACTGCTGGGCGAAACCTGCCTAGTTTACCTCGATGACATCATCATTGTTGGACGGGATTTTGAAGATCATCTAAGGAAATTGGAAAAGGTACTCGACAAGCTGCGTGGAGCAAATTTAAAGTTGAGTCCAAAGAAATGCTCTTTCTTCAAGCGCGAAGTGAATTATCTAGGACATGTTATTTCTGAGAGAGGAATTGAGACTGATCCAGCCAAGACTGCCGCTGTTAAGGAATGGCCAACACCTAAAGACAAAACGCAAGTTCGGGCATTTCTTGGATTGTGCTCGTATTATCGGCGGTTTGTGAAAGGATTCTCGGACATTGCCAAGCCTTTGCATCGATTGACAGAGGAGAAACGTGCCTTTATCTGGGACGAGGATTGTGAGCAAGCCTTTCGAGAACTAAAAGAACGGCTTTGTAACACACCAATTCTCGGATACCCCAGCGCGAAAGGAATATTCGTAGTTGATACGGATGCCAGCAATATTGGAATAGGAGGTGTCCTTTCACAACGCGATGGTGAGCAGGAGAAGGTTATTGCTTACTTCAGCAAGTCACTATCCAAGCCGGAGAAGAATTATTGCGTGACCAGGAGGGAATTGCTGGCCGTAGTCAAAACTCTGCACCATTTCAAGAAGTATTTACTGGGACGGAAATTTTTGATCAGAACTGATCACGCTGCATTGAAATGGCTGCTTCAGTTTAAGGATCCCGAAGGCCAAGTAGCCAGATGGTTGGAACAACTTCAGGAATTTGACTTTGAAATCGAACATCGCGGCGGAAGAATTCATGGCAACGCAGATGCATTATCGAGACGCCCATGCGTGGGAGATTGCAAGCATTGTGCCAAGAAGGAAACTGCTTTTCTTAAGGTGATAAGGACTGATACTGTTGACGAGGCATGGGGAGATGATGCGATGAAATTAGAACAGGAAAGAGATGCAGATATCAAACCAATACTGGAGTGGCTACGAAGTGGTAACAAGCCAAGTTGGAGTGACGTCGCCCAATATAGCGCGGTAACGAAAGGTTTATGGGCACAGTGGAAAAGCCTTACGCTGCATAACGGACTTCTGTGCAGGAAATGGGAATCAACAAACGGCAAGGACGAGCATTTGCAATTGGTGGTGCCTCGTTCAAAAATAAGGGATGTATTAAAAGCGTTCCATGATGGATCTTCTGGAGGACATTTGGGAATTAGGAGGACTTTGGTGAAGATCAAGGAGAGGTTTTATTGGTTGCATTGCAAATATGACGTCGAAGATTGGTGCCGGAAATGCACTAGTTGTGCAGCTGTCAAGGGTCCACAAACAAGAAGCAGAGGGGCGATGAAAATCTACAATGTTGGTATGCCTTGGGAGAGAATAGCCTTAGACATCGCTGGACCATTTCCAATCACTGATTCGGGCAATCGCTACGTTTTAGTGGTTATGGATTATTTTACAAAATGGCCGGAGGTCTTTGCCATACCGAATCAAGAGGCAGTAACTGTAGCCACGAAGTTGGTAAACGAGGTATTCACCCGATTCGGAGTGCCCTTGGAGATGCACAGTGATCAAGGACGGAACTTTGAATCCCAAGTTTTCCAGGAAACTTGTAAACTTTTGGGAATCCATAAGACTCGAACGACCCCTTATCATCCACAGTCAGATGGAATGGTCGAACGCTTCAACCAAACATTGGAGCGACACTTAGCAAAGGTGGTTGACAGCCATCAGAGAGATTGGGACACTTACATACCTCTCTTCTTGCTTGCCTATCGGACTGCTGTACATGAAAGTACCGCAAAGACGCCTGCATTTGCAAATTTTGGAAGGGAATTGAGATTACCGGCAGATCTTGTATCGGGCTGTCCACCTGGTGACTCTCGCACCGAGTTTAGCGATTACATAAGCGAGTTAAGGGCAAAAATGTTGGACATTTATGAGCAGATCAGGGAGGCCGGTCTTCAAGCTAGTGATCGCGCAAAGACGCGCTATGATCGACGAGCCAATTCTGTTGGGTTTGAAGAGGGGTCATTGGTCTGGCTTCATAATCCAGTCAGAAGGAAGGGAAAATCTCCAAAGCTGCAACCGAGTTGGGAAGGTCCTTACGAGATAGTCACGAAGATCAATGACATTACTTACAGAATTCGGAAGTCTTCAAGGAGCCCTTTGAAAGTTGTCCATATAGACAGGTTGGCGAGGTATTACGGCAGCAACGATGCTCGGGGCGAGCGAATCTAAGAGGGGGGCAGTGTGACAGAAAACTCTTTGACATCATGACGTCAATGGATGGTTGTCAAACGTTGCCTAGAGATTGTAAATTTCGTCGTGAATTGTCAACACGAGTTGGTGTAATCGGTAAGGCGTGTGGATTACACCACAGAGACCCCGAGTTCGAGTCCCGCCGTAAACATGAAGTTTTTTAGTTGATGGAAATTTTGTCCGAGTTGGTGTAATCGGTAAGGCGTGTGGATTACACCACAGAGACCCCGAGTTCGAGTCCCGCCGTAAACATGAAGTTTTTTAGTTGATGGAAATTTTGTCGAACTTTCTGGAATATTTGAGTGAAAGTAATGAAAAATTAAAGAGCGAGAAGGAGAATAAATAAAAATGAATAACGAAATTATTGGAAGGTTCTGGAGGCATGACGATCAAAAAGAATAACGAAATTGAATGTTCTAGAACCTGACCGGGGGTATATAAGCGGAACTGCGGCTCACCGCTGGCAGTTGTGTTCTAAGTCTAAAGCGATTCGGAAGAAAAGGAAGAAGTGAAAAAGAAGAAAAGTGAGTGAAATAGTGAAGTGCAGTGAAATAGTGAAGTGCAGTTAGTTAAGTGAGTTAAGCCAGCGTGAACGGCAAAGTTGTGTCAGTCGGCCGGGCTCTGCTGGAGAGGAACGCCGATAACTTAACTCCGTGGACGCTGTAACTTAAGTGCAATAGAAGGTCTGAAAACCGGTATTAGTGTTTCATTTCATCCAATCCCGTTACCCAAGCCCGCATAGTCAGGAACGTGACGTCAGGCACGTAACATTAGTATAGATTATTTAGATACAACAGACCTCAATTAGTTAAAAGCATGAGTCTTTACAAACGTAACAAAAAATACCTCAATATATGCTATTAGCTCCTAATACTTAATTAACACTAATCTGCATTCCTCCGATTACAGTAACGCAGGGCTCGTTGTAAAAATACCACGTACTGAATGATACTTCGTTTGTTTATTAACGACACCATTATAAAACAATTTGCAAACTCAAGCTCAGCGGTGGTTAGACAACAGACACCTACAACAAAACTATCAATGTCCACAATGCCGAATACCCCTTACTATTGAGTAAATACTAAGAGGGTACAATGTTACCTGCCTGCTTTGTTATTATTTAAGGGTTTTGTGAATCGCCCATTCGCAAGGTTTACCAACGTAAACAAACCTCTATCATTCTTCTTTGTTCCTAAGAATATAAATTATTTGCAATATATGCACGTGGTATATTTTTATGAAGTACTACGCATATTATTTATACTAATGTTACAAAGAGGTAAAATTTGTAAGTTTGTATGTAGAGGGTAATCTTTCGAACCGCTGATCGCCAAAATTCTTTCAATGATTGATAGCTACACTTTTCCTGAGTGCTATAGGCTATTAAACACCACGCTAAGAGCAAATGGAGCCGAGCAGCTGATTTATTTATATTCTTACACGTACGGTTTTCACTGCAATATCTATACAAAACTATTAAGTATAACCAAAAAGAATTGTATAAAAAAATAAACTTTATATTCGTTAGGGATGAACTAGTACTAATGGTGTAACCACAACCACAGCAATCAATACAACAATATCTCATATTTTATAAATAAAAATAAATTGATGTTTGTTAGTCTTGCTAAAACTCTACAAAGGGTGGACCTGGCTTAATGTGGTTTTGAAATATTCCTAGATTTGCAGGGAAGGTTTAAAAAGTCAGAAAACATGAAAAATTAAAACAAACATATTTGTCGCGGCACGAAGTTTGCCGTGTCAGATAGTATAGTTACAAAATCATTAATGTGCAAATAACAATCCCTACACTATGTATAATAGTTTAAAATCAACACGAAACAGAAAAAGATCGATACTTGCGTATCGGCTGAGTATATATACCGGGTATGTCTGGTCAAGCCACCATTTCGAGCCGGCGCCTCGAGGAGAAACAACGCGGGCGCGATCGTTGTTTCTCAGATTCGCTTGTGTGAGTTGAGTTTGAGTTAAGTGAACATTTTCATCGAAACAAAAAATTGTGTTTGAATCAAAAATGAGTGACGGGGATGACGGATTTGTGACAGTGGCACCTAAATCACGACAAAGTAGAAGTGGAACTTCGCGAGGGAGAAACACAAGTTGCAATACTTCAAAACGGAGAGAAGATGATAGCCACGCCAGTGGCAGTGGTACAAATACACGCCAGCAGAGAATTATTTACGTACCTAGTCACAAAGTGGGACGTATCATAGGCAGAGGAGGATCAAAAATAAAAGATCTTCAATTTGAATCAGACGCACGGATCAAAGTAGGAGATTCCAATGGGAATGAAACTATTGTCACCATCACGGGCACGGACGCTGCTATATCGAGAGCTCAAGAAATGATAGAAAAACTTATCGAAGATTTCAAACCTCGAGAAAAAGAAGAACACGATAGCAAAGAGGAAAGTGAAACTCGGACCACGGAGTTTTTTATGTTGAACGAGTATGGTGATCAAGTGATAGACTGGGATAAGCTAAATGCCTATCACGATGAAGAACAAAAGAAGCGTTACGCAAAATTACCTCCCATCATTAAAGATTTTTATAAAGAAGATCCTGCTATAGCAGCAATGTCCAATACAGACGTTAAACGATGGAGACTGGCTAATTATGATATTCAAGTCAAGAGAACTTTTGAAGATAAACCTGGTTTGCGCAAAATTCCTAATCCAGTTCTGACTTTCGAGCAAGCATTTAAAGACTACCCTGACATCTTGACAGAAATATACAAACAGGACTTTAAAACACCCTCTCCAATACAAAGCCAAGCTTGGCCCATTCTTCTGAGCGGTGAAGACATGATTGGGATAGCTCAGACTGGCACAGGGAAAACTTTGGCTTTTCTTTTGCCTGCCCTCATTCATATTGATGGCCAAACAGTGCCACGAGAAGAAAGAGAAGGCCCTACCGTACTTATCTTGGCTCCTACCCGGGAGTTAGCCATACAAATAGATAAAGAAGTTTCAAAGTACCAATATAAAGGTATTAAATCAGTATGCCTGTACGGAGGAGGGGATCGTAAAGAACAAATAAAAGTTGTGGAGAAAGGAGTTGACATTGTAATAGCAACTCCCGGCCGTCTTAACGATTTAATAATGGCTCGCCACCTCAACATTATTAACTTCTCATACATCGTGTTGGATGAAGCTGACCGCATGCTGGACATGGGTTTTGAACCACAAATAAGGAAATCATTATTTGATGTTAGACCAGATCGTCAAACAGTGATGACGTCAGCCACATGGCCGCCAGGAGTGCGGCGTCTCGCTGAGTCTTACATGAAAGACCCCATACAAGTGAATGTGGGATCTTTAGATCTCGCCGCTGTGCACACTGTCACTCAAAAAATATTGTTTGTCGAGGAAGACGACAAAGACGCAGCGTTGTTTGAATTCTTGAACAACATGGATCCAACTGACAAAGTAATTATATTTTGTGGCAGAAAAGCGACAGCAGTACACATTTCCACAGAACTATGCATCAGAGGCATAGAATGTCAATCGCTGCATGGTGATAGAGATCAAACGGACCGGGAGGCAGCTTTGAATGATATGGTTGATGGATCTGTTAATATTTTAGTAGCAACTGATGTGGCGTCCAGGGGTATAGATATAAAAGATTTGACTCATGTTATCAACCTAGACTTTCCGAGACATATTGAAGAATACGTGCACAGAGTCGGTAGAACAGGCCGGGCCGGAAAAACTGGAACATCGTTGACTTTTGTCACTAGACAGGATTGGGGAAGTGCAAAGGAACTTATTAAAATCCTCCAAGAAGCAAATCAAGAAGTTCCCGATGAGTTGCAGCGTATGGCAGCAAGTTTTGAATTAATGAAACTGCGAAAATGTAGTACCGGTGGCGGTAGCTCCGGCCGTGGCAGAAGCCGCTGGTAATTATCATGTTATCATCAATTCGTCACTTATAGATCTTACATTCTGCAAGAGACGACCTGAGAGTCACGCTGACATACAAGTGTGTCATTTTTACGAAGACTTATTTATACATGATGTGATCTCTAAGAGTCATACTTCGAAGAACACAATTAAGCTGTACTTCTTATTCTGTCACAAAAAAAAATTGTTTCTAGGCGCAGTGCAGTCCAGCCTTTGTTTAAATATTATTGTCATTACTTTTAATGATTTCTATGTGTAATGTTCAAGTTACTATTCTGTGTCTGAGTTTGATGAAAGATATTTACATTGTTTCAATTTTGCTTATACTTAGTGCCATTTTTATATGTTATGTGTGTAATGTGAATATGAGCATTAATTTGTCTTGTACAAAGTATAGGAATAAAAATAGAAATATACCTAATTTATGAACATTTAATTAATGCAAGGATACCGTAATATTTTTTATGTAATGTAACCTTTATTATGCCAGTTATAAAGTACAAATTACCTCAATAAAAGTAAAATTTAAAAAAATAATTTGTTTCCTTTCCCATATAATCGAAGGATAGGTTCCACCGAGATTTCTATAGTGACTGCTTAGCAAGGGTCAATGGGTTCGGTACTGTGTACCATATAAAGTAGGTCATTATGAAAATATTGCATAAACGTACAATAATATAATAACTTAACTAATATAATTGTTATTCAGCTAAAACTAATTCTCATTAAAGATACGAAATGAAGTGTTTGTGCAGACCTACAAGTCAATATTTTTTTTTTTGTAAATGTAACAGCATGATATACAACCAGCTTGTTACATTTACAAAAAAATACAGGAAATGGTCATTTTACCATTTCCAGGTACTAAGGGATTAGACTCCGAGAATTACTCTCGACTCTGTGATCAGGCAATGGGTTACATATTTCATTGTGTATTAACGGCCGCCATGCGTTTCAAACTTAAGGCATGCAATTATTAAAGACGAGCATAGCTGTAAGTATAATATAGGTATGCATTGAAAAAGGATACTATTACTTAGGTAGCTAGTTATGAACTTGTGGCACATATTTAGTACTGATTTCTTACTTATTAGTATTTTATTGAGTTGGGCAATATGTCTGGTGTGGTAATATATCTGAATGGGTCTTTCATAGTAGATGCTATTACAATTTTCTTTTAATATCCACAATGCCTATTGGCAGTAATTGACTAATCAACATTCGTCCAAGTAATAGTTAGATTAAAAGCATCGTCGAGCTCATTTTAAAAATACCCACGTTACTGAATGATATTCGTTTTTTTATTACGTCAAACTTTTACTGATTATAAACCTATTTGCTAAATCAAGCTCAGCGGTGGCTGGACAGACACCGTCAACAGATTAGGATTTTATTTCATTAAAAAATACCCCATTTATGCAAAAATAAGTAATTTTGATAGACGACAAAAGTGTTTTTTGTCGATACATAGGTATTACAGGAACTGTAATTGAATAAAATCAGCAGTAAACTTCACGTACCTACTTATGTATCATGACAAGATATTTAAAATGTCCTTTTCACGCAAACAAGTGACGTTTGAGTACGTCATGATGGTCGTGATTCGATAAAAAGTGTGCTAATAACACCTACACTGGTGACATGATAAGCTTTGCTTTTACGTACTCGATAAGGCGGCCTTTGCAGTAATAATTCTATCTTGTTATAAACTTTTTAAAGAAACTACTACCTAATCATTAATTATTCCTAAATAGGATTTTAAAACTTATTGTTTCGTGATAAAGTTGAAAATCTATTGAAGAAAAATAAATTATGGTATTTGATTTGCTACCTCTATAGTAAAAGACTATCTATCATGATGTCACTTAAAATTAATGACCAAGTATGGCGCTAAACTTGAATTGCATTTTCAAATTTGCATCAATAGAGTATTTATTACAATGTCATTCAGAAACAAATGACAGTTTGTTCTTCATTAGAATAAATTAACAAAAATAACTACAGTAAACTCAGGTAAAAATAAAAGAAGATGATGCATTTTCTTTATCATAGTCAACCTTTTTTCGAGGGGATAATCTTTACATGACTTCTCTCTCGCCCAGGGTGTGGTGAGAGGAAACGTCAGACTTTCACTGACTATAAGCCACCCCATTCCATCTCCTACTTCAAGCCGAGGCAGTGCTACATAATGAGGTTTTACTCGCAACCCCGGTCATAATGGACCTTTGTGGTTATACTCGAATTGTAAGAACAAATGGTTGAACAGTGTCAAAATAAAAAATTAGACAGATAATACTCACTGTGTTCTTTTCAATGAGGAATTCAGCTGCCTGCTCCTCAGCATTACCACCAATTTCTCCGATGAGGACAATACCCTTTGTGTTGTCGTCTTTCAAGAAGAGGTCCAGGCAGTCAATGAAGTTGGTGCCGTTGAAGGGATCTCCTCCAATACCAATACATAATGTCTGGCCCAAACCTTGCTGTAACATTATTATTTGTGTCTTAATTTTCAACTACCAACATAAATCTTACCTTACAAGCTAATTATCCTCATATCATAAACGCCAAAGATTGTTAATACTTGGTAAGCATGATTGTAACTCTTTCACGTAAAAACTACAGAATGGATTTGAATTAAATTGGGTGCAGAGACAGATTATGGTCTCTTCAAATGACTTCTCCCGCCTAGGGTGAGGCTATAGGACTGTTAGATTCTTTGACTAAAAACCCTCCTTTTCCTTCTCCTGCTCTAGGCAGAGGCCACAGTGCCTTATTGAGCTTACCATGCAACCCCGGCTACTGGAATAACACATTGGCAATGTGGACAAAGCCACTGTAGAAGTTAGTATAATATAATACAGTAAGTCCTTTAGGAGATTATAGAAAAAAAATCTTCATCTTTAAATAGTTTGTTTGACTTTCAAAAGTACCTTATGGTTTAATTGGAATAAATGATGTGACTTAGAATATTATAAATACTTTTGTTTTCCTTGAATACCTATATTAGTTTCTTGGCAGAACAATAACTTGATATTCATATGACTCTGACAGAGTTATAATGTATGAAATAAATGTATTCAAATTAAAGAAGGCTTTGTGTGTGTATGATGTAATGAAACAAATAATTTAATATACAGACGCCATAAGGTCAAGTTTACACTCGACATCAACCTTATTGCTACGATACAAAGTCGAAAATTCATTGATACAATTAACAATTTGGTGTTGGTTGATCTAATGATGTCTTTGCTAAAAGTTAAAGATTGTATGCTCACCACAGTGGTTTGTTGGACAGCCTCGTAGGTGAGGGTACCGGAACGGGAAACCACACCGATGCACCCAGGCTTGTGGATGGAAGCCGGCATGATACCAATCTTGCAGTTTGCTGGCGGGGATATAATACCTGGGCAGTTAGGGCCCAACAGGCGGGACTTATTCTGACGTATCAAAGCATGCTTCACACGAACCATGTCCTGGAATACATAAAACATTATACTTGTAGTTTACTATCTTTTACTCTATGTATTGCGTATTTAGATTCAAATATCCAATTCATATTACAATAACCGTCTTACTAATATTATAAATGCGAAAGTTACGATGTCTGGATATTTGTTACTCAATCACGTCAAAACTGTTGGACGGATCTGGGTGAAATTTGGCAGTGGCAGTCACTGATTTTAGTATTCAATTCTCAAGTCTAGCGAAACATTACTTAAGTATGTTCGGTTTTTGAATACTTTGTTATGGTGACCGATGCGTGGATCGGGCACAGTAACTGAAGGACAAGTAGGTGTAACATTGAATATTTACTATATATCATCCGTGAGGAATAAAAGGTGTGTAATAATTAAAAAGATAAGTGATTATTACTTTAAATTATTATGAAGTTATTGATTTTTAATAGAGGCTTAAAAATAAAAACGGCTTACATGCTGAGGGATACCCTCTGTGATGCAGACAATGAGTGGCACTTCAGCTTCGATGGCCTCAAGAATAGCATCAGCGGTTGCGACAGGGGGCACGTAGATACTTGTTGCTGTTGCTCCGGTTGCTGCCATTGCTTCTCTGACTGTAGCGAATACAGGCTTTCCAAGATGGTCTTTGCCTGCCTTCTTTGGGGACACTCCACCAACAATGTTGGTGCCATATTCCATAGACTGCTGAGCATGGAATGTACCGTGCTTTCCTGTGAATCCTTGAATGATAACTTTTGTGTCTTTTGAAAGGCCAAGGTTTACATTGGTACTAGCATAATCGTTCGATGAATATCTGACAAAAGCCAGTTTTACGGCATCTAGAAAAAAAAAATAATACCATGTTATTTTTTTAATGCAGCTCATGAATAGTCGTCAGCGCTATGTCGATTTAATAAGGGCTTTGCATTAGCGAGAGAGAAATACTTCGGGCGGCCGAAACTGGGGGAAGCCATTGAGATTTCGCTGGTAGCGTAAGTGTTACAATAGAGATGGTGGCTAGGCACTGCCACCCGCTTGGAAGCCAATCGTGAAATCCTCATCGGTCGACACTAGTCGACAGTGTTTTCAACTTGAAGTGTGACATTGTAAGCGAAGCAAGTAACACTAATTTTGTGACAAGCCAGTGGAATCTAAGCCAACTCCAACACTGCTGAACGAGCCGAGATTGGTAGTAGTAGTAGTAGCAGTATACATTGTCGATGGAAGCAATTGCTTGTTGTCGCGCAGGCTCTAGAGAGCAGTTGGGTGAGCGACGTCGCCATAAACCATTGTCTTGCAAATAGCAAAGCCTTTTAATTCACGTGAGTAAGAAGTCAAATTCAATGAATTTGTATTCATAGCATTTTAAATATTGGGCTGATCCAATAGGTGTTATGCTGCTGATTTCAGAAATTAATAAGTATTGGATGTGTTTGGAAATTTTTGAAAACATTGAAGAGTAAGGGATCTGAATCAGTAACAATGACAAATGATAATAATATAAAGCAGTTATGTAAAAAACAATACTTGTTGAAAACAGGCAATTAAATTATGAATACAAATAAAAATTAAGTTACAAATGAATCAATATATCTACCTAGGACAAATAATCTCATTCCACAAATTAAATAATATATTCTCTACTAAATAATATAATTCTCTACTAAATAATATAAATGGCATTATTATTAAAAGATAGCTCTTTAATACTTGTTTGCTTACACTTACAATTGTCAAACTTGGCATAAACCCTTAAAACTCCAACTAAAATTTAGAACTAAATTGAGAAGCATGAGAAGGCAAACTGCCCTAAGACGCATGAACAAGAGCATCCTTGGACACAAAAGGAGAGAAGATTGTGTATCTAACATACTAAGAATCACCAAATTTGAAGATGTTAGCATGAAGTATAAGCCACTAAAATGGCTACATGATAAAATTGCCAGTGAAGAGATGGACAAACCCTTTATTGGATAGACACCACATAACAATACAAAAAGGAAGCCATGTTTTTGGTGCTTTTGGCTCCCTTGAAAATATTGTCTTCCTTTATTTTTGCAGTCAAGGCCACAATGCAGTTAATATTTATAATATAGGGTAAAAATGGTAAACTAATTTTAAAAACGTTTTTATCAATATGTTTATCTGTCTGCCTCCCCAATACTAGCTGTAGACTGTATCTTACTGCTGTATCGAACTGCTGATTCTATAACAATAATCACTGAAAACAAAACAAAAATAAATTCCCCAACATAACAAACATGATTTTGGTATGGGACCCTCTCGAGCATAAGGCCAACTTGTGCTTTGTGTCTAACAAGATATTTATTTAAATAAATTAGAAAAGATTTTGTCAGATAACACAACAAATATTGAAATGCGATAATGCAATGCCAACATCTGGCGAGATAATACTGCACCATTGCAAATTTTCATCCCTATAAAAGCAAGACACACCCATCACATGCAGTCTTATTATGTTCTAATAAGTTTATCTTGAGAAATAGTGTTTCGGAAATAAATAAATAATAATAATAATAGATAAGCCATAAACACACAATAGGCATGCAATCTGCTCTACATTGTGGGTCAATGAATGACCAAAGGTCAAATGTATTGACCCTTTATTATATTGACTGAAACAAATGGGAGCTATCAACAGAAAGCTCTGTTCTCTTTTATCGTGAATTTAACATTTATATAACAACAAGACATTTGCCGAAATTATCACAGGCGACATTGATAGTATTTTTAGATGAAGGTCTTGGTTAGATAGGTATATTGGGTTTAATGACTGCGGCATTGAATGTCCAATCATTGGCTGAATAAAATGATAACTACCATTATAATTATGATATGTACTTTCTACTCAATATTTTAGACAATGCCCAACCAAATTACAAGGTTATCATGGCAAGTTCATAGTCAAAAATGAATGTGACGTAAGGAAATTTCACTAATCACGATGTCGATGTCGAGAACGTAAAGTTATATGATAAATATAACAATGTTACTAACCTTTAAACCGGGATAAATTCCTGATGGGAACAGCCATTTTACACCGGGAAATAGGAATCTAAAAGGGGGATAGAAGATAAAAATTCAAAAAATTATCTAGTTTGAATGACACTGACAGGAGAGTGGCTGGCTCTCCAATAAATTTTATTTATCCAATACTAAACCAGTGGCCCATTACGTAACTGACATAAAACTTGATGTGTTGCAAGACTTTCAATTATTTATCTAGAGGACCACCTTCTGTGTTTTATAATCGACTAAAACGTAGCGAGAAAATGCATTTTTTACAAGTGGTCACAACAATCAGGTTATTTCATTGTGTTATGACGTGTAATTTGCTTTTTGTTTTGTGCGAGTTTACAATAAAAGTAAAACCAAAATCATTTTTAATTTAATCATCATTTGAATTAAATCAGTGTTATTGGGTGTAGGGTGTACACTTTATTCTGCATTGATGTGATCTTTGTGCGGACACGGTGGACGAATACCAAGATAACAAAGTTCCGGCTTACATTTCATAGTATTTTTTAATCATTTTTGTGGCAAAATGTGTGGCTCTGATAAGAAACTTGGAGAAATAAGAGCTCTTATATTAGTAGGAGGCTATGGGACTCGGTTAAGACCTTTGACATTGAGCAGACCAAAGCCTCTTGTTGAGTTTGCCAATAAACCAATTCTCCTACATCAAATCGAAGCTTTAGTGGAAGCAGGAGTCACTCAGGTACAACTACGTAATCATTTATATATCATATATTTTGATCAATCTTTCAGAACCAATCAAAATGATAGAATTTAATATAGTATGTTAATATCTTACCTTTAGTAATAGGTAAATGAATATTACACAATATGGAAGATTTGTAAAGAGTTTTCTGTATAAGTTCTGTCACTTGGCAAAACAAATTAAGTATCCTCTATTGCTATGTTCTATATCAAGATATTTATAAAATAATTTTTCAGGTGATATTGGCTGTATCATATAGAGCAGAAGATATGGAAAAAGAGTTGACAGAACAAGTTTCTAAACTAGGCGTTTCTCTCACATTCTCTCATGAAAATGAACCATTGGGCACTGCTGGACCCCTTGCATTAGCCCGGGAACTACTAAGTGCAAGCCCTGAGCCTTTCTTTGTATTGAACTCTGATGTCATATGCGACTTCCCATTCAAAGAACTTGCCAAGTTTCACAGAAGCCATGGAAAGGTATGTACTAGTAACTACTAGATTTATAAAATTGAATTGTAACTTAATTCATTACTTTAATTTAAGTGAAACATAGTGAAATCACCTATAAAAAAATTTCAACAAGGAAAATGTTAATGTTTTCCTCATCTTACATTGTTGACTTTTTTTAAACTTACTTAATGTTAAAGCTCTTGAAATACATTTTCCTTTATTTACATGACATTCAAGTGCCTACTGTGGTCTAATTGAAATAAATGATTTTGACTTTGACTTTACTCACTTCTCACAAATGCTGAATGGAATGCAAAAAAACAAGCCCTATCTTACATATAATAATATTATAATACTATATTTTTTGCGGTTTATAAACATTTTGATAGGAATATTTTATTTATTTATTTCATGTAGAAAACCAACACCTATACAATTTTGATAAGAAAAACTTTAAGTAACAGAAGCCAATTACAGGTTAACACAACTAAGAAAAACAACTAATAAAATAGCATTATGTATAGAAAAAATTTAAGTTCATTAATCTGCATGCCACTATGAGTTTCATATAAAATGGGTCAAAAGACAACTGATTGCATAATTTTATCGTAATTGTTGTTTGCTACGTACTTCTCCAATAGTTGGTTGAGAAATAAAGAACCAAAGTAATTGTTACATATTCCAACAGTTAAATAAATAACAGATAACTATCAATTAATGAATTTCATGAAAATTCCAATATTACATTTTCCTAGATAGATACTTATCCATTTTAATAATGTGAAGTGTTATTTATCTTGTCAGCAGAAGTACATAAAATACAATGTACTGACAACAGTTTGCTTTACATGATAACAAACTGTAATAACACTGAAACCAGTTTGCCTTTGTATTGTAGTAAATTGTTGTTGAATGACCCTGATAGTACTGCATTCTAGATACTCATAATACAAAACACAATATTACCTATGCAAAGTGTTTTCGTTTAACTATAAAAGCATAGAGTTTTTGCTTAAATTTATGTTATCCTAATTTGTGACAGGAGCTTTGCCTGCCGAAAAGTAGCATTTATGTTATCCCGGACTGCAATCTGTCTCTATGCTAATTTGAGCTAAAATTCATTCAGTAGTTTTTAGTTGAAACAGTCCGTCTATACTAAGTATTTTCTCATTCATAATAAATGTAGGCAAACTTATTTTAAAACGAATATCCTTAATGATGAATAATAAATAATTATGAACAACAACGCTTATTAGTATTTTGCATTTCGATTTAACATACATTTTCAGGTCAAATAATATTATCTGGCGACATATTTTCGAAATTTTATTTTATTATTTTAGGAAGGCACCATAGTAGTTACAAAAGTGGAAGAGCCATCAAAGTATGGAGTTGTTGTTTATAAAGAAGATGGCCAGATTGAAAGTTTTGTTGAAAAACCACAAGAATTTATTTCAAATAAGATTAACGCTGGTAAGTTATAAATTGAAAAATGAATCCTGAATGGATCCTGAATCCATTCAGGATTCATACAAGTCAATCAAACATTACAAGTTTCTTGATAAAATATGTTCGAGATGATAATAATGTACTTTTTCTAGGAATGTACATTTTAAACCCCTCGGTATTGAGTAGAATAGAATTGAGACCAATGTCTATTGAAAAGGAAGTGTTCCCGTTCATGGCAACTGATGGGCAGCTGTTTGCTATGGAACTGCAAGGCTTTTGGATGGATGTAGGACAACCCAAAGACTTTTTAACAGGTACTAAAGATCTTGTTTTTATCTACATATTTGTTTTGTAATGTTAATAGTAATATCATTTCTTTTTTCTGCATTAAATAAGACCTGTCGCATTGGCATTCTAATAATTTTACCTTTGCTTGAAGTTCAGAAAATTATATTGAATCAATTTAATTTGAACCATTTGTTTGTGTTATGGATAAATTATTCTGTACCTAGTCAAATTGATTTAATCACAAATACTATAAAGTAAGTCGCGACGTTAACAAATAGCTTACATCATATACTTCTGTTATACTCACGCTTTATTGTGGCCCTGACGTATAAACGCAGTTTATTCATATCACTCGTTTAAAATTGTCATGTTTTGTGTTAACATTGAGACATTTTACGGTTACAATAAAAATTATTCAGACCAATTAGCTTAAGCAATCAAACGTAGCGGCTGTATAAGTTAATTGAAGTTCGCTTTCAACCTTCTTATATTTAAGAGTGTTTTGTATGACTGCACGGCTTTTCATACAAATGTTTCAGTCCATAATCATGGATGCTACTGAACTGATTTTAATGAAACTTGGTACCTACTTTGTACATTACATGTATATCATGGTCTAAAAACAAAATTACTTAACATTTGTCCTTCCTTGTACGTACTTACATAAATCTTGTGATACAAAAGAAACTAGTGAAAACCAGTTTATAGGTTTAAGTAAGAGTGATGCGCTATGCTATAAGTAGGAGTAAGTTTTTATGTGATACGATGGCAAAAAAGCGGATTTTTTGATGATAAATAATCAGTGCCATCAGCGTTAGCTTTTTCAGGTCCATGGGCAGGACCTGAAAAAGCTAACGGTTCCTAGGGGTTCCAAGTGCGTTGCCGGCTTTTGGTGGATAAGGGGTTTTGGAGATGTGTGGGAAGAGGGACAGGATTGGGTCTCCGCATAGCTCTACCACACTTGTGTCTCTATCTGATTTTAGATTAACTTATATCAATAAAATAATATTTATATCAATAAGGTTGTTATACCACATAACTTTCACGCTCTAGGTACTTTGGAGGGAATTTGAGGGATGCTAACAGACACTTAGCATCGGCTCTCTTTTTCCTAACCAAAACGCAAATTACGACGCCTTCAATTTGAACCTAAGTATATATTTTTTAACAAGTTGATGATGATTGTAATTTTTGTATTTTAGGAATGTGCCTGTATCTTACCAGCTTGCGGCAGAAGAACTCGAATAAGTTGTATGACGGCACGGGTGTGGTTGGAAACGTTCTCATAGACCCGACAGCCACCATTGGGAAGGGGTGCAGGATAGGACCCAATGTCACCATTGGACCAGACGTCGTTATTGAAGATGGTAAGAATACTATATCCGTTTATTTTCCTTTCAAAATAGGCAATCAATATGGGTATATAATTTTTAAATTTAACCATTTTTTTTTTGTAAAGCGGTGAAACCTTCAGAAGGTACGTAGCATTTGGCGAAAAAGACTAGAGAGTGTGGGGTTTTTATCTCACTAAAACCACCCGATGGCTACCATCACACCAAATTAAACCGTACCTAACATACCTAACATAAAAGTAAATTAAGAATTTCTTTCCTTTTTTGACCCTCCTTTAAGACTATTGAAGGTTTATTTAAAATGTTAATAACACATGAATGATTAATGTAACTTATTTGTAATGGGGGTTTCGGGATTCTATATGCATACATAGGTTCTTTGTGGAAAACATAGGTACTTTGTTTATATCTAGGAATTCTAATTTCAAAACAAAAGTGATTAGACCAATAACAGATAAGGAGAAGAATGTGTTATTGCATTCATGATAATGTGTATATGTATAATTGTGTGAATAGGTTACCTACTTGACGTAGGTACTATTATCGTGTTTATATGTTCATTTCAATAAAAGTGCCACGTAAACGCATGCCATTGGTCGACACAGCGGGTAGGTATGGTTATAGTATGTATGTACTCAACTGGAATGTGAAATAAAGCGACAATAATAAAAAATGTAAAATTAGCCTGAATATAGTTTATTATTAAAAAGGTTTGTTTTTAATGACAATTTAAATACTATTCAAATAGTATTAATGAAGAGCTGTTTTTTTACGAGAAGTTAAAGTGACTAATAACTGATAAGTGTAAGGATGTATAAATCCAAGTAAATAAATATTTTTTTAAAGAAAACCATACAGTAATTTGTTGTTTTGCATTTAAATATAAACAATGTCAATGACAATTAACAACGAGTAGGTATGGTGATGTGTTAAGGCATGGTATAAAACCGGCGTGGAACAACGCTGGCGTTGTGTTTCGTCTTGTCAGAGGGTTATTCCATTTTGCATCGTAGTTAAAGGGAAAACCTCATTAGGCAATACTTACTTTGAAATTTGTGATGACAAGATGTTTTCTTTGAGACTGGTGTATCACTCTGGTCGAGCCGGCCCATTCGAGACGAAGCATAGCTCTCCCATACTTGGCTATATACATGTTGTTTAATGTTTCTATTCCAGGCGCTTGCATTAAACGCAGCACGATACTTCGTGGTGCATGCGTCCGTCAACACGCCTGGCTTGATGGCTGTATCGTTGGCTGGCGTTCAGTCGTCGGCCGCTGGGTGCGAATGGAAAACTGCACGGTTCTAGGCGAAGATGTTATAGTGAAAGATGAGTTGTACGTCAACGGAGGACAAGTGTTGCCACACAAGTCCATAGCCCTCTCCGTACCAGAACCACAAATCATCATGTAAAAGACTGAGTGGGTAATGTTCATAGTAGAAGCTAGTTTTTATTATTATTATAGTACATTTTTCGGCTGGATTTTTAGCCAAATGAACTTAACTATTTTTATTCTAAGGGTATGTGATAGAACGGTTTGCTTTGTCGCATACCTAGCCGGTATTTACGAGTACGTGCTCTGATACTGGGTATCCGGCTCCGGTGAAGTAGATTGGTAGGTGTGTGTGATAAGAGGGACTTACCATCTGTCCGGATACCCGGCAATCACACTGCGTCATTTGGCTTACGTAAAGCACTTATTATGTCATAGAGCGATGGTCATAAGATAAGTGTTCCATAAAGGGTATCATTATACCATTTTATTTTCCTTGAATGTATTTATATTATCATCTTCATCCAATTAGAAAACACCAACTTAATGATATTAGTCACTTTTAAAATTGATATGATCTACCGGTCGCAGTTATATTTATACTTATCGTGATACCGATCAACATCACATGATGATATCCGTATGATTATAATTAATTAATGGTTAATTTTATGTAAAATAAACTTAGTTGAACTATTTTTTGGTAAAGATTTATACCTATAGGTACCTTTTTGTTATAATGTATTTATTATATTCATATGTATTTCGTTTTACCAACTACTGTTGTGGATTCGAAATGTTGTTATTATTGCGTTCAGAAGATTTATTTTGTCATTTTTTTATTATCTTAACTGTTCTTTTAATGCTTCTTCCTTAATTCAAGATAAATTGTTTAAACATTTCAATACAATAAAATGTTAAGAAATAATGTAAACATGTTCAATAATAAACCAATTTTTGAAAGATATTATTATGCTATTTGATGTAAACAAAATATGACGTCACAACGTACAGTGTCGTACAAAATCAAAATGAATAGATAACTGTCAATTTTGACAGTTAACAAAAAGTATTTAATCTTACTAGTTTTCAAGTACGTTACTCAATTCTTTATGGGAACATTCCACATAGCTATAAAGTGTCATCCAATAATCGTTTTTTTTCCTTTATTTTTTCTTTTGAATCTTTCAATCACTACGTAGCCCGTGTATATTTTGATGAGAAGGTACAAGTTGTATCAGACAAATATAAAACGAGCTGTAAATAATTAAAAGCTGTACAATTTGTACATAAGTCTCTTAGATATAGTGGCACTAATGGCACTTTCACTCGTTAATATATAATATGTAGCAAGAATTTAGATTTTAACTGTAACAGCGTACAATGTGGAAATGTACTGCCATTTTTACACCAAATCCTTTAGAATAAGATTTTGTCGCCAGTGTGAATTATATTTGAAGATAGATTAATTTTAAACTCATAATACCTATACAGCCCATACTATATGTAACATAAATTATAAAATTAAGGCAATACAAAATAAAAATATTTTTTGTGTTTTATTCAAGTTACCGTCGTAGTCAAATAATTTATTTCAATAAGACTATTATAGGCAATTAGGCACTTTCGTACGTCAAACAAAGATTTAAATACAGGATTTAAAAGTGTCAGTCTGTCAGTCAGTCCTCTTTTGAAGGCATTGCTCGTTTCAATTTCTTATGGAGAAGAACGAGCAATAAACTCCGTGGTTACTCCTTTTCAATGAAATTCGCAATTCGAATCATTGTTACGTTATTAAATTGGTTCCATTATGTGAGTCTTTTTATTACTTATTAAGAGTAACCAGAAGTTATACAGGTATACAGTAAAACAGGTAGCTTATATATAACAAAGTCGTAGTTCCTCCTACTAATGACCAGCTTTTACTAGTTACTCGTTATGCTGGGGCCATGCTTACGACTAACGTCAATGCGATACCTATATTTTACGCTCTAAAGTGCGTGACGTGATTGCCGAAGAAAACGACCTCATTATATTGAAATATGTAGCTAAGTATGTAGTGTGGTGGCTGCATCGTTCATTGATACCTAATACACCACACTTTGGTCAAATGACCGAGTTGTAGCTACCGAGCAAGGGGTCTTGAACTCAATTCTTTGGTTGGGCAAAGCATCCTAATGGTTTTATTGGTTTTTCAAACATTCTCGGTAGTACCATAAGGCCAGCCATTGTGCCTCATGCTTACAAAAGCTGAAAAGTAGGTGTTAAGTCAGTTATCTGACGTCATATATAAAACCTACAAGTTATCCTATGGAGGAAACAGCTAAGTACTGAAGATCTGCATTTTCACGGATTCGAATAGGAATAGGGCGAAGCGCAAACTAACTGTTATTTTATGAGATAGGTCGGCAAACGAGCAGATGCATTACCTGAAGGTAAGCAATCAGCGGAGCTCAATGACACCCGCAACGCCAAAGCAGAATTGAATTGAATTCAAAACATTAATTCGGACTACACATTAAACAGGTCCATATAAGTTAAAATGTTAAGAGAGCATTGCCGGCGTTTTGGGAATAAAGAATCCGGGGAATGATTGGGGAAGCATGGGGCAGGGGAAGGATTGAGCCGTCAGTAACCTCACTCATACGGCGAAGCACAACGCTGTGGTTGTTTCATGCCGGCCTTCTATAAGGCCGTATTATTACACCGGTCGGGCCGACTTATTCCTGCCGAAGCATAGCTTTCCCGCACTTAGATATTATCCTGCATTACTATCGTTTCGTACAAAAGCCGAAATGTGCGGAAGACCCAAGCTTTGGCCTGAATGGGTCGTCTCACTTCGAGCCGAGCCTCAATTCCTCCTCATTCCTAAAATCTCCAAATCCCTAATCCCTAAAAGGTCGGTAACGCACTCGTAACTGCTCCGTCGTTGGGTGTCCATGGGCGGCGCTGTTTGCTCAGCGTGATCAGGTCATCCTCTTGCTAGGTGGCCGATCTGTCACATAAAAAAGTAGAAGAAAAATACCAATAAATTAAAAATATCTTAAATCGACTAATAAATCGACTAAACCAACTGAGTAAATTGGTTTTATCAAGTCAATAGATATTTTCGCAAGTTCTTGACAGGAAAGTTTGACACATGTCAAGTGATTGACAAGTCGCATGTATTTTGCGCCAAAACGGAATTTTGCATACAAAGATTCTATTTTGAATACATTTTTTATTAAAAATTAACACAGAAATGTCGAAACGCAATAGCACAGGCGCGACAAACACGTTATTTAATTATTTTTCTAAAACCCCTCCAGCCAATAAGAAGGTAAAATCAGAGTTAGAAGTTGAGAAAAGTCCGAATGTTAATTCACCTGTGCGAAACGGCGAAAAGGAATCTAAAGCTGAAAGTAAGTAAATATTACTGTGTTTTAACTATATTATTTCATGTTGATTTTGAATGTTCAATTATTAATTTAGAGTATGTAGTAGAGTACAATGTATGCACGTAAACAAAAAAATCCTAATTTTTGACACCCTATCTCATATGTCGGTAATGTAAAGGTTTTTTATCTATTGCTTTGTCTCCTAAATCCATTAATTAGATTCTACTTGACTTTTTGATCAGTGAGTATATATCAGTGTGTAATATACCTAGGGCCGGTTTGTAGGGGTTTCATTTTTTTTTATTTCATATAACTTTCATTGTTTAGTGAGGTGACAATGATTCGAACTAAAACATCAACCAAATAAAATATAATATGTAGGATTATACAACCAAGATCACTATGTCTTTTTGAGTATAATAGAGAAATTATCTATTCAATAAAATTTCCCTAAATAATGACATTTATTATAATAGCAAACTCATATTTACCATTACACTACATCAATGAGGGGTAATGATGGGAATGAAAATTTAATAATATGATTTTTCAAAGGTTAGTTAAAAGTTATCTGGGGAATAATTATGATGCTGTCGGCGTTACAATGTTTGTCTAAGACAGTGACAGCAACAATTTTATTCCTCAGATAACATTTATCACTATTGAAAAATCAGCCCAGCCCTAAGTAGTAGCACTAGTCCATCAGTTAGATAATACATAATCTTTAGACACATCTGTTTTATTTCATCATATAAGGGAGCACTATTTAGTAAAATGAATTTACATTACATTCACCATATCTCCCCTCAGTTAAAACTTGCAAATGATGATGTCACAATTTATGAAATTAAGCATTGAATTTATTTTTGCATATAGGCCATAAAACAACACTTGTACATATCAAAATGATATATGAAAAACTAGTTGAAGCTGGCATTTCCTGTCTGACTACTCTAAGAAGAAATGTGAAAACAAACTCAGAACCAACTATATTTCATATTAGTGTATTAGTGCATCAACAAGTGCATTTGATTCTATATTCAGAACTAGCTGTGCCCCGCGGTTTCACCCGCGTTTTTGTCGTTTCCGTGGAAATACCGAGATAAAATATTGCCTATATTATAGCCTTCTTCAATAAATGGACTTGAATATTTAAACAGTTTTCATAATTATCAGATCAGCATTTCCCGAGATTACCGCCTTCATAACAAAAAACCAAACTTTTCAGGTTTAGGTATAATATTAAGAAAAATATAGATTAAGTTAAATTGTAAAAGTCAAGTAAGCAATAGCTGTTTATCTGTTCGAAATTCAGCCAGAATAAGAATTACGACTACAGGTGTCCGTTCACTTTAAACCGGGTTAAAATATCATTTTAAAGTACTTCTGAGTAAATTATATTTTTCGTTTTGTTTTCTGAATTGGATTAAAATGTAAAGGCAAATCATTTGGAATCATTAGGATCCGAGGTATAAATACTGTTTGACCAACCACTGGACCAGTCAGAACTATTATCGCAACGATCACGTTATTGCGAACAAATTTAACCTAAAGTTTCCCGTTACATCAATTTCTAAGTAAAATAATTGGGGCGCCAATTTTTAACTTGAGAGAATGTGATGGGATGCCCTCGGGTTTAAAGAATGAAAAAATCCCTGTAGAATGTAGATAATGGGCTGCATATTCTTGATCCATTGGAAGTTTAGTTAAAATTAAATCGTTAATTTTGTCAACACAACTGTTTAGACTTTACTCTACTGTACACACTTTAGGATTTTCTCCTGTTTTGTGGGTGCGTTTACAAACATACAATGTCACATACACATGACACCCAGACCCGAAACAACAATTTATGGATCACACAAAGTGTTGTTCCGTGCGGGAATCGAACCCGCGACACGTTGCACGGCAGCCAGTTGCCCAGCCACCGCACCGACTGTGCACACTTCCATTGATAATCTTTATTTTCTATTTCGACGATATCTTTTGATATTAAACTCTCAATGCTAGTCTTTTTTTCTCCTAAATCTTGATCAATAGGTATTTTATTTTCAAAATAAGGTACTTTTCCGTCTCCAACTAAAAGTAACTTCAAAGGAAAATTTGTACTACCTCCTCCCAAATATGCTCTCATGTCCATACCTTGGATCGTTCGTATTTGTTCCATAATAGAGAACTTTTAAGGAAATTTTTTACAATGTCTACTTTAGTTCCTCTTACTACTACTGGTAAAGTCTGCCGAAAATCCCCAGTAAACATGACAGTAATCCCAACCATGATTTTATCACAGCCTCTAATATCTCTAATAGAGCCTCTAGTACATTCATCCCAGATTATTAAAGTGACATCTTACAAAACTTTGTCTAAAAGGCCATTTTTACGAATATAGCACACGCTCTTTCTGTAACGGAACGGTTAGGTTATGTTAGTTTAAAAGTGTAATGAGCTGTGCGTACGCCAGCTAATATAGTAGCAGCGATTCCAGATGACGCTACTCCCAAAGCTTGTTTTCCCTGAGACCTTACTTTTGTTAATATCATATTAGTAGCTAATGAAAGTTTTGCCGGTTCCGCCTGGAGCATCCAAAAAAATATTTTTCCCTCATTGAAACAACACTGAGCATAACACTATTGTTTGCCATTACCTGGTCATTAAAGAACTTGGGTGCATTTACAGTAATATACTCATTTAATTCATTTACATCGTATGGCTTCCGCAACGACATTTCCAAATTAAGATGTATGTTTTTCCTTGGATTTCCTTTTCCTTAGCAGAGTTAGTTTAGAATTGAATTTCTTAAACTCTTCAAACATCTTATACTTACAATCATCAACAAATATATTACGAAAAATATTATTACAGGATTTTATGTTGATAAAAAACTCTATGGTCCATAACTCATTAATAAGGTACCAACTCTTAACATCTTACACACATGATAACTTTTAAACGATTGAGAGATTGAGAGGAAATAAAAAAGTATTTTAAAATACTTATAAATAAATACTCTTGATAACGTAATGCTTAATTCCGATAAAGAATAATATTACGATACATATTTAACGCTTTTTTTCCTTCAGACGATTTAATAATTATTTTGAACACAAAATCGGGTATTGTGATTAAACCATGCATTTTTATATATAAGATTAGAGAAAAAAATATGTATAGAATGTGTAGTGAAAACAGACATTAAATCTAATGAGCCTGAAACTCACAACACAGGGAATCCTAGAGTGAATTTCAGAAACCAAAGCATTGTTTGAAATTTATAAGCAATAAAATTATTCTTATTCTTAATGTATTGAGATAATCCACTAGGCCTTTAAAAAAATGTTATCATCTCTATTGTTCAATGTCCTCAAACTAAGTACTGCAAATATGACAGTTTCTAACTAGCCAAATTAAATAATTTTAAAAATGATAATGCTACAGTGTCAGAATATACTTATGAGATGTATGTTTATTTTTCAAAGGCTATAAGACTTAGCAAAATGATTTTTTATAACATTTGATTAGAAGAGATGATGAAGGCACTTCTTGTTTCACAAAAAACTAATCAAGTACTGCTTGCAATAATTGTTTTCTTATGTTATTCATATCACAATAATTTCTGAATAGCGAGAGGGAATCCTGCTCCATGCTGAGGCTGTGATTCCAGTAAAATATCGACCCTTTTGGACCCCATCTGTGGTGGTCTATTGGTTCTTTAAAATGCGCGAAACAATACACGCCACACATTCAGGAGATCCAGTTTTGACCAGTTACCCTAGCTCGCTGACCGCTGACACGCTCTCATGGTGGCTGGAGATCGTCACTCGGTCTCCGGCGCCCTGAGTGTCGCCTATTGCGACAGCTGGGACGTAAAGAGGATTGTACCATCACGCGTTTCGCCGCGTCTTTCGCTTCGCAGAAAGAGGAGACAGTTTCCCAGTTCCTCTCGCTCTGCACTATGGTCTTGACCAAGGCTGGACGCTGGACGCGACAGGTGGACGCCGATCATTTCGATTTACTTTATATCTGAGATTTTGACCTTGTCCTTCTACAGACAAAAAGCGAGAAAGACAAATAACTCCATCACCTGAAGTGAAACATAACAGTGAAAGTGAAGATGAGGCTCCTATTGCGCCCAAACGAAGGAAGAGGATCAGACTTAACCCAGTGGACTCTGATGATTCCGATGTCGAGAATAAAGGTGAGTGAAAGATATGATAACAATATTAACAAGCACATTTCCGTTTCCGTCATCGTTTCCTCACGATGTTTATCTTCACCACATGTCAGCCGTGTCTAAATAATCAAGGAAACCAAATGAACTCAGAAAATGTTACATTGGTACTTGCCAGCTTTCAAACCCTTGAGAAGCCTTAACCCCTCGGGCCATCACGACGTTTTTAATTTTAATTAACAAAAATAAATATTTAGCAGATAACAAAATGGATACAACAGAGGTAGAGAAGCCGTCAATGGAAAAGAAACTGCAGGATAGTTTTAAATATGAGCCAAACCAGTCTCCTAAGGCTAAGCCAGCAAGTAAACCACCAAGCAAGTCTACATCTAGTATCAAGTTAGTATATATTTTTTGTTTTTTTTTTTTTTTTTTTTTTTTTTTTCGTGAAGCCGCGGCCGAGCGCGGACGTGTTGTTCCTAATTTATTAGTAAAATTGGTCAAAAAAATTGTGATGTAATTCATGGGATATTGACTCGTAATGTTTTAGTGCAACAAGTGATCTAAATACCATAGTGGAGTGAACTTTTTTGCTACATCTATTCGCGAGTGCACCATCGCGCGAGCTAAAAAGACTGAGGTAGGCTCTTCCTCACCTTGGGGGAAAGAGACAGGCTCCGCGCGGCAAATAAGTTCGTCCTTGTCACACTACAGCGAAGCGGGAGGCAACCGACGACGTTGCACTCACACATCGAAGTATTGTTTTGAAGTAAATTTTGAAAATTAAAATAATTATGGCGAAGCAGTGCAACGCTTGCAGTTCTGCTATTACTGATAGCTTTTTTATGAAATGCTCGAATAATGCATGTATGAAGGAGTACGATTTAAAATGTATCAAAGTTAAGCAAGATGTATTTAAGTCTTTTACTTTGGAATACAAAAATAAATGGGTATGCCCTGAGTGTATCTGTTTAAACCCTAAACGAGGTAACATGGACACACCGGTTAGGCCGGATATTAGTAGAATGCATAATACTGTGGCCACTACACCGGATAATGTAAATACCCAGCGTGGAAGCCAGGCGCAATACTCGCCGACAATTATAACAGCTGATGACTCCGTGTTGCTGGGTGAACTTCGGCAATTCCGTGAGGATATTTTGTCTCGACTAGATTATCAAGCGAATGCTATCTTGGTAATGCAAGATCAGTTCACGCAAACAAAAAATGATCTTGATAAATTAGTTAAAATAATGACGGTGTTAGAACAAAAAATAAATCTCGAGTTGGTTCGAAATGCTCAAAATGTTCAAACTCAGGCGCATTCCATGGCAGCTAAACTAACGAAAGAGGTACCGACGACAACACAGTCATCATTTGCTGAAGTCGTTGGTCAAAATAAGCCTAATAAACCTAAACCCAAACAACAGGTGACTTCCCTACCAACTACAAGTATGCACAGTGTAAACAACCGTGGGGCCATGAAACCAACGGGAGTGGAATCGCAGACAACTACTGATAATAATCTTTCATTCTCGGATAATGTTGAACAGTTGAACCAGGAGGTGGAAATTGGTTGGGCTACTGTACAAAATAAAAAACCTAATCGTTTGCCGAAAAAGGTGACTATTGGGAAAAATACGGAAATAAGCGGAATAATGGCTATGGAAAGGAAAAAATACCTACATGTATGGCGTCTACATCCTGAAACCACGGTCGAAACATTAAGCAATTATATCAAAAATCTATGTGGACCTGAAGTGTCTATGAAGATCGAGAAAATAAAACATAGAACACCAAGAGATTACTCGTCTTTTGTAATAGGAGTTCCTGAAAAATACTACAACATATTAAATAATGAAGAAGTATGGCCATTAAATACCGAATTTAACGAATGGACTTGGTTTCGTAGACAAACTGCAACCCTCGATAAGTAATAGCGTAATTGAAATATACTACCAAAATGTTAGAGGACTTCGAACTAAGCTAGATAACTTCAGAAACAGTCTTGAATCTTCCAACGCGGACTTATTTGCTATTACTGAGTCAGGCTGCAGTCAGTCAATACAAGACGCTGAAATTATTCCGGGTGGATATAAACTGCTACGATGTGATCGAGCGGATGGGCGAAAGCAAGGCGGCGCGATTCTCGTGGCCACACACCGGTTCGAGCTGCGACAAATACCTATAGTTGAAGCGTCGATAGACAATTGTGTTTTCGAAATGATATGTGCCACGGTACATTTAAATAAACGTTTTTTGTTTGTGTGCTGTGTTGTCTATATTCCACCAGGTAGCTCAGAAACAGATTATATGTTATTATTCAGAATTATAGAAAAAATATGTGATAAGTATGATGAAGTGTTGGTAGTTGGTGATTTTAATTTGTTCTCTTGTCCTGTTAATGTTAATAATTATTATGAATGTTTTTTATCTTATTGCGAATTCACTCAAAGTAACGCAATACCTAACTGTTTGGGTCGGCAACTAGATTTGGTTCTGAGTGCGGGCATTAGCGGGGTGACGGTGGGGGCGGCGGATCACGCGCTTGTGCCTGTGGACGCGCACCACCCGCCGCTGGCAATCAATGTGCGCTATGCGCATGCTCCCGCGGTTTCGGCGGGCCCCTACAGTCCGAAGAATATTAGTGCGCGCGATATTAGACCGAAATGGAATTGGAATAAGGCCGATTTTCAGTTGCTGTATTCTAAGTTGGTTTCTATAGATTGGAGTTCATTGTATGAAATGCATGATTTGGAAGAAATGTTGAACTTCTTTTATGATAACATCAATAGTTTAATAAATGAATGCGTTCCACAGAAAAAACCTAGTAATCAAAGTTCGCGATTCGTATACCCTATATGGTATACGAGCGATATAATAAAAAGTTTAAAAATTAAAGGTAGAATTCATAAACAATACAAAAAATCCAAGTTGCATAGTGATTATATCAAATTTGCAGAGTATAGAACTTATATTAAAAAAAATATAGAAATAGCACACAGAGAACACAGAAATAAAATTCAATTTCAATTTAAAAAGGATCCGAAATCGTTTTGGCAATATATCAGGTCAAAAAAATCAACATTAAATAAGCATACTATCGTAAAAGAAGGTCAACATTTAACGGATGAAGAATGTGCGCAGCAGTTTGCTAATTTTTTTGAGTCGGTTTATAGCAAGGAGCCACCCGTACTGGACGCATGCGCGGCGTTAGCAGAGGCTGGCGCAACTAGTGCGCGGGTGCATATCGAGGCGTTAAGTCTAAAGGAGGTTCAGAAGGCGCTTGGAAATTTGAAACCGAAACGATCATCTGGTCCAGACGGTATTCCACCGTTTCTATTTCGAGACTGTGAAAGGGTGTTAGCTGAGCCATTGCTACACATATTTAATGCTTGCTTGGCAAAGGCGACATTTCCCTCAAGGTGGAAGACCACACGCGTTATCCCAGTTCCTAAAGGGAAAACAGGTCCTGATATTTGTAATTATAGACCAGTGGCGGTACTATCGACGCCTGCTAAAGTACTAGAGTCAGCTATTCAGCGTTCCGTGCAAGGGCAAGTTCGAGCGTGTTTGTCGGATGCGCAACATGGTTTCAGACCGGGACGTAGTACTACGACTAACTTACTCAACTTTATGGTGCAGGTGGTGCCGTCAGTAGACTCTGGAGCTCAGGTGGATGCAGCGTACTTTGATTTTCGGAAGGCATTTGATACTGTCGATAACGACGTTTTATTAAGAAAGCTTGCGAAGGTTGGATGTACGCTGCCTCTACTACAATTTTTCGCTAGCTATATGAAGGACCGCCAGCAGTATGTGGATTGCAACGGATGTGAATCTCATCCGTACTATACTAGGTCGGGCGTGAGCCAGGGTAGCAATGTCGGGCTTCTGGAGTTCATCATAATGATAAATGACTTACCGGAAGTTGTCAGGTACGGGAGTTGTTTATTGTTTGCAGATGACCTGAAGTTGTTACTCAAGGTTGAAGACAGTTCGGATTGTGAACGCCTGCAGGATGATATAAATCGAGTGGTTGAATGGAGTAATGTCAACAAACTTCGCTTTAACGTAGACAAATGCTCAGTGATGTCATTTACTCGTGCTCGGGCTCCTTTGTATCATCAATACATGGTAGAGGACACAGCGATCCAGCGAGTGTCACAGGTACGAGACTTAGGGGTAGTCTTCACTCCAGAACTTACCTTTCGTGAACATATCAATGAGATATGTAAGAAGGCTTACAGGAACCTGGGTTTTGTACTCAGACAAACTCATGGGTTCACCAACATCTCGACGCTCAGGGTATTGTATGACACATTAGTACGGAGTCACCTCGAGCACAGTGCAGTTATATGGGCGCCTCACGAGGCGAAATACAGTGTCATGTTGGAACGTGTCCAAAATAAGTTTACAAGACACTTGTATTCCAAACTTTATGGAGTTTATCCATTTTACCCTCTCATGTACCCTACTCTCTTTGTTTTGGGTATGGTAGGGTACAACGAGTTAAGGGTGCGGAGGGACTTTACGCTGGTAGCGTATGTGGTGAAGCTGCTGCGTGGCGTAGCGCATAACCCGGGAGTGTTGCGACACCTGCAGCTATGTGTGCCAGACCGATATGTGTGGAGGCGGAGACGCCCGCCTCTCCTCGCTGTGCCGGCGGCCAGAACCAACTTACTGGCAAGGGCTCCTCTCACTAGAGCCATAAATGTAGTGAACAAAGTTCATGAAAGGGTTGATGTATTGTGTTGCAAAGTGGGTGAATTCGTAAAAGTCACGTTGTATATATTATGTTTTTCAAATGCTAATTAAGATTGCTATATTATTTTTTATTTTATTTTTATTATTATGTATGTCTTTACCAATCACGGGACCACAAGGTCCCGGTCATTTGGAAGGCGTACGAGGGGCCGGAGCCAACTGCGCAGAGGCCCTTTAGACAACTTTACTCTAAATGAAATGGGACACAAACCGGCGACTATCCCCGTATGCACTATGAGAATGCACCCAAGGACAGTCCCCGGTTAGTGTAGGACTATTGCGGATAATGGAAACAAAATACAAGGCTATGGGTGTGGGTTGCTATGGGCTAGTAGGATGGGAACTATGGAAGGACTATGGCACCTGCCGAAACAATGTAATTTATACACGTAAAAATGGCAGGCGGAGACTCGCCAACTCACCGACCGGGCCCCCGGGAATGGTTGCTAGTAATAGCAACAGAGGGACAACGGAAATGTGAGTGGCTGAAGGGTGAAGAAACTGCCACCAGCTTTCTACTCAGATCATCTGCATCTGCCTAAGCATTCGCATCACTGGCCCACTCGCCGCTTACGAACAGCTTCCACCCTCCGAGCAGGATCACTACTCTCGCGACTCCACTCTGGACGGCCAATGAAGGCAAGCCAGAGGTGGGAGACCTGTTCCTTGTCATCGTTCACTCCGGCCAGCCAATGAAGGCAAGCCGGAGATAAGGAACGGTGACTCCTCCCTGGAGCAATCGGGATGATGGTAGCCCGCGGGATCGCTAATTCCCGTCACCTCGCCTCAAGGTGCCCTGCGGGCTTATTTTTATTATTGTTATTTAGTAAGTAGTTGCACTGCTGATCTCGTGACTATAGTGTCGACAGTATTATATTATTTACTTTTATAGATTAATGTTAGGTTTTTTAATGATTAAGTAATTAGGTACATACTCTTTGATTAAGTTAGTTATGTTATAGGTGGGTATGTGCATTTTTAGTTTAAGAAGACAGGTAATGTTTTTTTCTTATTTTTTTTTTACTTTGTATGATTTTAATCCTAAAGTTTAGTTCATAATTAAGGTGTTGTATGATTTCTTTTTGATTGTGTTATGTTGGTTTAAATTAGTAAATAAGTTCTTAGATTTAGATATAGGCCTAAGCTATCGCATTGGAGAAATCTGTAATGGTAGTATAAGGTAAGATTTTTAAATAAATAAATAAATAAATAAATAATATTTTTTTATCTATACTAATATTACAGACAGGCAGAGGTAAAATTTGTAAGTTGGTATGTAGGGGAAATCTTAGGAACCGCTGATCGAATTTTCAAAATTCTTTCACTGATTGTGTGCTATAGGCTGTGAAACATCACAACATGAGCTAAGCAGCGGGTGAAACCGCGCGAGAGTAGCAAGTCTTTGATATTTTTTTAATGTTACACCACACAGACTTCTCTTGAGCCAGTGTTCGGGCTGCAAGGGCAATAATGTGCCGCGGAGGGGCCGCGGAACTGGAAGAAAAATGACGGCGGCGGTTTCCGTAAACATGCGTTTGTAGGCAAGGGCCAAAGGCAATTTTTTTTTTCAATCAGAAATGTCAACAGCGTAAAAGTTGGGTAGTGGACAAATCTTACGCAGTGATGATACTCAAAGGTTTGGTATCCGCAACTCCTGTAATTTTACACACTCCCGAATGGGTGACTATGATTCGGCCCATTCCACAAAAGAGGTGGCCTGTCATCTTCTACAATTTAGGACAGTTTTTAAGTGTGAAACTTCTATGTGTGCCATTATCTGCTGCGAAAAAAATATCCAATTATTCTAACGTAAGTGATGCTAGGGGAACTTTTCCAAATCGGACTGATGTTGGACGATAGTACCTAGTTCATCCCACGACAATTTTTGTTACTATAATATTTGAAATAAAATCTTCACCATTTCATCATGCTAAAAAACTAATTAGATCCCTATAATGGTGATTCTTATTTGGTAAAATAAAGAATAAGGAAATTCTGATCTGAATCACTCATTTAACGATCTACGTGGTTTTACTTCTACTGTATAACAACTACCAGAATGAAGTTTACTTAAAATGGCGTAAATATAATCGAGCATACAAACTTATAGATCTTCAGCATCGCCTCCAAAACCACCAGAAGACAAACCAGTAGTGGCAGACGACTTCAATTGGATACACTGCAAGTTGGAATGGCTGAAACCCGAAAAGATCAGAGATGCTCAAAAAAGAAGGCCGGATCATCCCGACTACGACCCCTCCACTTTATTCGTTCCTCCTGAATTTTATAAGAATCAAACCCCTGTAAGTAGAAGTATTAAAATAATAATATTAATAGTACATAAAGGTGTTAATAATTATTAATGTCCAATTAATCCCATTTCACTAATATTAAAGTTGTACAAAGAGCTTCTGAGAGATGGCTTCGGCTCCTCATATGCCTTCCAAAAGCCGGACCTGTGATCCCGTGAATGGTCACATACATACGAGATAATAATTTAAGAAACTAACAAATAGATAAATCACAGCGTTAAGCCTTTAATCATCGAAAGCTAATAGATAAATGACAAATCTTTGAAGACAGATGTGCACATTTTATACAAAATTTACCACCATAACTAATGAAAAGTGTTAAGTACATGATAAATATTTGCATATTCTCTGCTCAACCGCTATGGTAAATTAAAGGTGACTTTATTATGTTTGTCTCATTTTTTATTATTTAACTAACATATGCTATATTCAATCCCCAAATAATCAAGTCCCTATTTTCGGAAGTCTGGGACTGTTCCCCGATTGTTATAACTCCGTTGTCTTCAATGCCCGAGTGAATTCGCTTATAGGTAGGCGTGCTCCATCGCTTACTACCAGGCGTGAAAGCTTCCAAATGCCTGCGCATTACTAAATATAAAAAAACCCTAACCCACAATTGGCCGGGAATGCACTTTTAACTAATAGTGTCCACTAACGGCGCCGATTACTGTCGGATATCAGGCGACCCTAATACCGTCCTATACCATAAAAAATTGGTGTGTCATATTGTTCATAATTCAATAATTGTCCAGGCTCACCGGCAGTGGTGGGAGATGAAGTCGTCTCACTTCGACTGTGTCCTGTTCTTCAAAGTAGGCAAGTTCTATGAGTTGTACCACATGGACGCTGCAGTGGGTGTTAATGAATTGGGATTTTCTTACATGAAGGTAAGTTATACGATAGAGACATACTAAATATTTGAAAATACCGACTTACTCGGAATAAAAGCTCTACTAGTTTCTTATTCACGAATAAGAGTCCTTGTGGTGGTGTGACTTGAAACTAGTAGAGGTTTTCTCAATAAGATAGAGCTTAGAAAACCTTATATGATGGCTCATTTAAAATAAGTCAATAAATAAACTGATAGATATAATGGCAATACCACATTCGCGAATAAAATATTCAGATATTATACAACATAGGCTTACCCTCTACTACAGGGGAAAAAAATTAATAGAGTAGACATGAAAAGTTTGAGTATTTTACACTTATTTGTATAATAAAAGTTTACCGAAACTTGCGATAGTATCACCAAAATAAACGTTCAAAGCGCTTAGTGCCGAGGTATTTTTTAAAGTAACGTGATGGAAATGTTACCCCTTTTTGCCCTCTGATTGGTTAGTTAACTTGCGAGGTAGCCAATCCGAACGCTGATCGTCATGGACATTTCAATCGCGCTAGGGTAAAGCAAACTCACAGTATATTATCATTTCAGGGTGATTTCGCACATTCAGGCTTCCCTGAAAGTGCTTACGGCAGGATGGCGTCTACACTAGTATCCAAAGGGTACAAAGTCGCTCGAGTAGAACAGACTGAGACTCCGGATATGATGCAAGAGAGGTGTAGAAAGAGTAAGTGGACTTTCATGTACCATTTTTTACACATAAGGGTGATAATGACCTTGAAATGATTGTAGCGTAAAATGGGGTAAATGAAACGGGTAGACTCGTTGCCTGCCTCGGAGCAGGTGATGGAATGGAGTGGTTAATATTCCAATCAAAATAAAGGGATGGAGGGTAAATAGATATATGAATTATCCAAATGTCTATTCACCCCGTTTTACCAGTTATTGTTATTACCACTGCTTGCTCAAAGTTTTGTAGTATTATGTAGGGACTATCATTACATGCAGCTTTTGGTCCAATAATTTAACTTTATAATAAAACACGAATTTGAACCAACTTGATCTCTGTCATTTTTTATCTCTTTCATCCCTTTCGACAAAACACTGAGCGACCAGGGAAGCCAATTTGCTCGACCGACAAGGCAGTTGGAGACGAGTTCTAATATTTTTTTAAATAAATAAATACCCCACACTAGTAATTTCTCCTGTATGTTGGGTATGTTTATAATAATACACACACATACATACACAATACAATCAGACCCGGAACAACAATTTCTGGATTACATGAAGAGTTGTTCCGTGCGAAAAAACCCTCGACACGTACTATGGCAGCCGGTTGATGACCGATGTATACTTTCAGCTGGTCAGAACAGTAAATGGGATCGAGTAGTTCGCCGCGAGATCTGCCAGGTGACTATGAGAGGTGCTCAAGTATGTGGCCTACAAGACAACGGACCTGCCGACCCTACAGCCGTTTACATGATGGCTATTGCTGAAGAGGTAATTTTAATATAAACCCCCACCCCCTTATCCTCAATGTCCAAATCCCCAATCCTCATCCCTTAATCTCAAAAAGGTCGGTACCTATAGGAGCAGACTAATGTGGTTCTGCTTAGATGGTGAGCAAAAGCCGGCCTTTTATCAGTTTTTTTTTATGTTATGAGCATTCGGATTGCCTGATGGTAAGCAGTCATGACCACCAGACCGGAGGATTGTTTTACTAAACTTTTGGGGATTAGGGATTTTGGGATTGAGGGAGGGGAAGGATTAAGCCTCCGGTAACTACTCTATGTTGTTGTACAGTGTTGTGTTGTTTCACGCCGGTTTTCTGTGAGGCCGGCATGGCTCTCTCACCTTTATTTTTATACATATATTACTAGCTTTTTCCCGCGACTTTGTTCGCGTGGAATAGTGACTTCCTGCAGCAGATTTTTAGTTTAAAATCTATCCTTAGTCCTTTCTCGAGTTCCAAACTATGTCTGTACCAAATTTCACACAAATAGGTTCAGTATTTTAGGCGTCAATAAAAGACACAGACCGACAGAGTTACTTTCGCATTTATAATATTAGTTTGAATGGAGAATTTGAAGATTGGAGCGAGGAGTTAGCCACACTCACACGGTACTAAGGGTGACAAAAATGCATGGAGAGCTTAAGGTCGACTATAGACTGACAGGTTTTGCATAACGCTACCATTGATAACTAGATGGCGCTGCTTTTAAATGAAAATAACCCTGCAAAGCTTGAATACTTTACACTGCAGAGGCACACAATAAGGTTTTTAATGGTTAAAATAATAATTAAGAATCAATAATATATTTATATTCAAATACACATAAATTATGTTAATTTTCTCATTTCCGAGGACTTAATATAGCGCCATCTAAGTCAAGTCAAGCAAACCAATTAAAAGATGGCGGCAATAATTAATAATAGACAATAATAAAAGTTATAAACTAACCCGCATTTTCGACATCATAAAAAATGCGATCGGTAGCTCGGATAAATAAGAATGATAGAATAATAAAGTTGAAGGGTACCGGTTCAATTCCGGGTTGGGTTATCAATTTAAATTCAGGTTTTTTAACAATGGTTTTTTATATTTTTTTATATAAAATCAATAATAATAATATATAAATAAAATATTTGACGTTTAATATTTATAAAAGATAACAAAAATAAATATATATATTATTTTAGAATAAAATTATATTAATAAATATATATAAATAACTTTTATAATATGTGCTAACTATTAATGTAAAAGTAACATATTTTTCTTACAGATTAAAGTTTAATTCTCATAAAGGATAACAAATAAAACTATTTTAGTGACATTATAATTTCAGACATTTATTTCTTAAAACATAATATTTATTTCATTCTTATATAGTGTATACCCTGACCTAATAACTTTTCAGCTAACTGACACATTAGTTATTACACTTTTTATAAGATTAATAAGTATTTTAAATCAAAATTGTGTTGTGCTAGTAATTTATTAGTTAGTTTTAAACACAATGTTATAAATCGATTCTATATAATATGCAACCTTACTTCTGCAACTATTTTACCTCCCCATAAAATTTAATTAAAATATTGACTAAAGTGATTAATTTTGTGCATCATGTTATGACAAAGGCTCATAGCTTAAGTATTCGTTCCAGAACAAGGAAGAAATTGAAGCTAGACCTTAAATCAATAACATTTCTAAGACCGGGATATAGCATTCGTTAGATATAGGACGAATTGTTTATAGTAATTAATAAATAAATAATTTATTATTTTGCAATCAATAGCATCTGTAGATATTAATATTGCTTTTATTTTTATTTCTCATATTTAGTAAAACATTAAAATCATTACTGTATAACAGTTGCTGGTTATAAAGTAGTCAATAAATTTATCCTACTAACACTAAGTTTGAATATTTATCCATTAAATAAATTATAGCTACCCCGGTCTTGTAATTGCTTAATCCTATAGTCAACAGTATCTTTTCTTTTAAGAACTAGTGTAGCCGCCATTTTTATCGATCCTATTTCTCCTATCTCGCTGGCCAAGGAATAATCCGCATGTCTGATTGCTGACTAAACACTTGCACAATTATGGAACATAACACATAGGACAATTGTCCTGCACGAACGTTATCACTAGCACATCTTCATGACGTCATTCAGCACATCTATGTAGTTTTCACTGTTTGCATCACTGAAGATGACAATGCTCCAGTAGATTTCCTCTGCCCCATAAGTGAAGCTGGTCTGCGTCAATATCACGTCTTCTGCCAGATCCACTACGGTGCTCCAATGAACCCTCTTCTTGAAACAGCTTTAGATATCCATAAAGTAGCAGTCTTTACCTGTAAGGGACGTGTATTATTTATTATTTTCATGTATCGATAACCATGGATAATAAAATAAATAACGAACGGTCATTTTAAAAAATACTTACGTTTAAGCCAGTTTCTCTCGAAATTTCAGTATAATTTAAGCTTTGATTATGCAATGCTATTATTTGGGCCCTTGTAGCCATATCAATATTTGAACGCAAGCTCATGATAAAAATAAATATTAAAAACTTGTTAAACAAATCGTAACTGAACTCACTCAAAGATAGTAAAGAATGTTATGATTGAACAAAATGGTTTAATTTTTATACAGTTAATATTAAATTACCCTCAACTGTTTTGAGATTTATGATCGGGTTATAGTTGCTAAACAACTTCAATATAATAAACAGTAGGATAATTTCAATTCATTTTAAGGTTACGCAATGGCCTAATGGCTAGTGGCATCGGTAAATTTTATGCTACCGAGTTCGAATCCTGGTTATTGCGTGCTTTGCTTTAAAAAGGTTTGGAATATCGTAGCATTAATTTGTATAAAAATTTATTAAGTTAATAACTTTGTATCTGATAAAAACTATAAATGTATATTTTTCAATACCACTAGTATACTAGCGCCATCTATGTCATCCATGGTATATTATTAAGGCGATGAAACGCCGTACAAACGATTTTGATTTGGAATCCTCCATGCACTTATGACACTGATAGTACATCACAATGCAGGCCAGTTTTATATGAGGTCTTGTGATCACTCGGGTCGTGCCAGCCTATCCGTGTTGAAGCATAGATCTCCAACACTAAACAAAACAATATTTTACAGGAAAGCAACGGCAGCAGTACATACGGAGTCTGTTTTGTCGACACATCCATCGGATTGTTCCACCTGGGACAGTTCCAAGATGACAAGCATTCGTCCAGACTACTCACTACCTTGGCGCATCATCCACCAGCACTGGTAAGGAGTTGTAGTATAGAGAGGAAGTTTTATTTTTTTTATGTAGTAGACCAGCAATCGAGCTGGCTGATTACCTGATGGTAAGCAATCAGCGCCGCCCATGAATACCCGCAACGGAGGAGTTACGAGTTTTGGGTAACGGTAACCTCACTCACACGGCGAAACACAACGCTGTGGTGGTTATACGAATTAAATACTTAAATTCTATTCCACTTTGTTTACCAGATAATATACGACCGTAAGACAAGCCCCCGTACGTCCAAATTGCTTAGCACCCACTGCCACAGCGCTCGCCGAGAACCCCAAAATTTATGGGCTCCTGAGAAAACTTTGAAAACTTTAGCAGAGAAGTACTACAGAACGAATGCCGATGGAGAATGGCCTGAGGGAATCAAACCTTTTTTACACGAAGGTAAGTTTAAATTTCAATTCTTTACAAAAATCCAATTACGTAATTAAATGTGTTAGAGCCACGCTTCGATGCGAATGGGCCGGCTCTAATGGAGTGGTATTAGATATCGCAGAAAACCGACGTGAAGCAACTATAAGTAATACTACGCGAGGCCCAATCCTTCCCCCCATTCTCAATACTCAAATAACCAATTTCCAGAGACTGACAACGCACTTGTAGTAACTCCTTTGGCATATTATGAGTGTCCATGGGCGGCGCCTTTTGTCAATGTTCATCAGGTCAACCTCCTGCTATTTTGCCGAACTATATGCCATGAAAAAAATAAGTGTATGCGCTCAGAAATATATACCACAAAAAACATACTTTTTTTATTCTAAGTTACGAGTATACTAAGTCCTGTTCCAAGTTTTGGAATGTTACGAGAAAATAACTTAGTACGGATGTCTTAGTTTTAATTTCTACTGAGATTTGGGTTTCCATAAAAAAGTTACAAATAAGAAAAATATTTGAACCAATTTTAATAAAATTAGTTTAGGTTTAAAAACTTTGTTGAAATATTCTTTAATCAAGCAATTATAGGCTATTTTAAAATTATTATTTAAAAAAAAACTTGTCATTTCCTCTCGATTTTCAACCCTAAAAAAAAACTTGTTTGCAAATTGGGTAGCTTCGTTCTTTGATACACCCTTTTACACTGTTACATTCAAGCTGCTTGTTAACCCCTGGATATTGTAGAGGACATCTATAGTCTAGCAGAATATTTTTCTCACAGATTAATAATGATTTTAGGTGACGCCCTCGGACTTACCCCTGCAGTGAACTGCTACCTGGCCATCAAAGCCCTCGGCGGAGTGGTATCCTGCCTTACCGACTGTCTCCTAGACATACAGGTCCTAGGCATGAACCAATTCACATCCTACGCACCCCCAGACGTGTTAAACAAGACCTTACCACCAGAAGTTAAGATCGAGAATCGCTGGGAAGGCGGCAGCACTATGGTCCTTGACGCGATCACGTTGAGAAACTTAAGAATTGTACAGGACGAAGGATGTTTGTATGAGAGGTTGAATTTCTGCTCTACGCATATGGGGAAGAGGTTAGTATTTTTTTTTCACATAAAGTGTTCCGGAAATTTTTCGACTTTTATTGAAGTATAGAATAATCTAGGTTTTAATTATTAATTTTATTGTCAATGCACTTGTTTAATGTAATAATGTAGGTACTGCACTTTTGTTTTATTGAAATTTTGCTTATTAGGCTGTAGGATTATGCTAGGGTAGCAGTCTGTGCAAAGTATTGTAGATACTGTATAAAACATTGTATCATGTCGATTGATACCTATTGTAATTTCCCTGTAAAATAATAATAATAATATAATAGTGGCTACTAATCCTACTACCATACTATCCTACAATCTTGCTAATCCGACTATCCTACTATCCTGCTAATCCGACTATCCTACTAATCCTACTATCCCACTAATCCGACTATCCTACTAATCCTACTATCCCACCAATCCTACTATCCCACCAATCCTACTATCCTACTAATTCTGCTATCCTACCAATCTATGCTATCTACAATTATACATGTGATAGTTTGTGGGAACGTATGAATGTATTTTTGTTATTGCTTTCACGCAAAGACAAATTGATCGATTTCATTGAAATATGGTATGTAGATAGGTATACCCTGGATTAACACTTAGGCTGCTTCTTCATCCATCATATGTATATATTTTTGCAGATTACTGTACCAATGGGTGTGTGCTCCGAGTTGCAATATATCAGTGATAAAAGAGAGACAGGAGGCTGTGAAGGCTCTGTTTGAAAATCAAGAGCTCTGCCAAGACGCTAAGAGTATTCTCACCACATTACCGGACTTAGAAAGGCTTTTGGCGAAGTAAGTGATTATTTTATAAATATTTTTGGTCAATAACTCAATGAAACCCGCGCCCCATGTAAGGCGACAGAAGCCATTTGAAGATACTCCAACTTAAAAAAAAAGTGGTATGTAATAGAGAGCAAATGAAACAAGTGAGCTCAGAGAACATTTAAAAAAACACACTTATATGTATTTTACAATTGCTAGACTACTACAATCAGACGGTGTTGCGGGTACCGCGGCCTGGCCTAGAGCATGAGAAGGCACACATTTTTTTTAAATTTATCAAGACTTTGTAACTTAAGAGTGTGCAACAATAAATTCCCTTCTTTCCCCTTCCCACCTTAATCATTAAATCCCCATAATGTCGACAACGTATTTGCAATGCCTCTGTTGTTGCGGGTTAACACCATAGGCGGCGCCGATTGCTTACTATCAAGTAATCTGATTGCTCGCATCACATACAAAATATATCATGAGCAGTGTATATGGCGACTTAGCTAATTATCTTAGAAAAAGGTTTTTAAAAAGGTTGATGTGCAATATTATACTATATTTAAGTAATAATAAAAACTGTAATTAAACAATAACATTCTGCTTTCCAGAGTACACGCACTAGGTAACTTGAAACGTTCCAAACAGCATCCAGATTCTCGCGCCATTTTCTACGAGGAAAAGTCCTATTCGAAACGAAAAGTGCTAGATTTCATATCCGTTCTGAACGGGTTCACAGCAGCGTTGAAACTTGTGGATTTATTCTCTGATACCGACTCTAAATTGCTGAAGAGGATAATGCAGTTCCATCCTGATGGAAAGTACCCTGATTACAGAGAGACTTTGAAGTTTTTTAAGGTTCGTTTTTTCCGTTATGTTAATGGATAATTTTATAACTAAATTATTATTAATTTTATTAATTATTTTATATATATCGAGAAAAACTATGTTAGTATTAATTTTATTAATTATTTTATATATATCGAGAAAATACTATGTTAGTACTTAATTAAACTTCAGGAAGCCTTCAATCAAGAGCAAGCTGAGAAAGAAGGTCGCATTCTCCCGGGCGAAGGAGTCGACCAAGAGTACGACAATACGCTGCAACTCATTCAAGAAATAGAGGGGGAACTGAAGGAATATTTGAGTGAACAGGAGAAATATTTCAAATGCCGGGTAAGGTATTCAAACTATATAAAATTTAAGTGTTATTTATAAAGTTTTAAACATGGGAGAGCTATGTTTCGTCACAAATGGTCTGTATTGACAGGAGTGATACGTCGGTCTCATACAAAACTGGCGCGAAACGCTTGCTTTGTTTCCAGATTGGAGTTACATTATTATATTGTTAGTGTATGATAGGTGCTATTAGCATAATCAATGCAGAAAATACAAATAAATTATTTTATAATTTATTTATTTGTATTTTCTGCATTGCTGGCTCTACTTACACTGGCCATATGCGGCTCTATCTGTCACATCACAACTTTGTTGGCGTTATTGACTATTAACAAATAGCTCAATACTAATTTCGGGAGATTAGCGAGTGCAAATAGATAAACACAAAAATAAATTGTTGTTGTGTTTTAAATCAACATTCCCGTGTGAGTTAGAATGCTTCAACTAGAAACTAATTTGTATTTTTTTTTGTCATAAAGTCGGCAGACGTATTACCTGATGGAAAGCATTCAGCGCAGCGACGGTCATAGACACTCGGTAATACCAAAGGAGTTAACAAGTGCGTTGCTTCTTGTGGGTTATAAGAGATTTCAGATGGGGGTGATGGGGTTGGGCCTCCAGTAACTGGGCGAAACATAACGTAAGTTTAGTGTTCTTTACGCCGGTTTTCTATGAGGCCTTGGTATCACTCCGGACGAGCCCGCCCATTCGTACCGAAGCATAGTTCTCCTACAGTAAATACGTAATATGTTAATTTCATTCACTCTAGTTATCATACGTGGGGACAGATAAGAAAAGGTATCAAATAGAAGTGCCACAGAATGCGGCGGCTAAAGCCGGTCCCGATTACAATTTAGAAGGTGCAAGGAAAGGATTCAAGAGATTCTCTACGTCCGAGACTAAGGTACGTATCAGTTCTATTCTATAATATGGAAAAAAATATCTAAAATGTAGGAATTAATCTACCTTCAAAAAATAAATAAAAAAATAACATTAAATTTAACAAAAGTAACATATTATTTATATTTTTTTGCATGCCTCTTAGATAGAATGTACGAGGAACTTTGTATCACCTAATAATTTGTACCTACATTCATTACCAATAAATAAATCTAAGCTTAAAATATACTATCGAGGCTTGTGCTTCGTGGCATTTGTGTAAAGCGTGCCTTAAAACTATTTCTATTAGACAATTTATTTGTTTCTAGGATTTCCTGGCACGTATGATAGCAGCCGAAGAACAGAAAACAAACGTTCTAAAAGACTTGAGCCGTAGAATATTCGAGAAGTTCTCCTCCCACTACAATCAGTGGGAGACAGCAGTTCAGTGTTTGTCCACCCTCGACATTCTGCTGGCGTTTACAGAGTTCGCAAGGCAACAGAGCGGGGATGTATGCCTGCCTCAAATTACTTTCGAGGAAGACCAGAAGGTACATGCAACTTACATTTGTGAAATACCAACATTATATATTATGTATTATAATTTTTTTTCTTTTGCCAGCGGTTTCGTCCGCGGAATCCGGATAAAAAGTCGATGTGTTATTCTAAATAGAAAAACAAAGAAATGCGTTTATTCCTCATTAAAAAATCAAATCATATAATGTATCCTTTTATAGTATTTATGTTAAAGTGTCATTCACCCACAAATTAGTAGGGTTGTCATATTGATATTCCAAGTAAAATGCCATGCTATTAAAAATGTTGATTGTTATTGTTAGGTTCTCTGGCGCTCAAAAATTACCCTGAAAATTTTTTTCTTTCCATCACGAATCAATTCTAAACTTACGTTATTTTTATTTCAGCCATATCTAAATATAGTGGAGGGTCGACACCCCTGTATATCTAACGTGGTGGACTTCATTCCCAACGACACCCAGCTGGGCACGGAGGACTCCAGCTTGTTACTGTTGACTGGCCCCAATATGGGAGGCAAGTCTACCCTTATGAGGCAGGCCGGCCTCATCACTGTACTTGCGCATTTAGTGAGTATTTTCAAAATTACCTAACACTTGTGAGGCTACGAACTTGTAACTTCTTCTTCTGGCAGCACGGTTGGCGCAGTGGTTGGGCAACTGGCTGCTGTGCAACGTGTTGCGGGTTCGATCCTGCACGGAAAACATTGTGTGACCCACAAATTGTTGTTCCGTGTCTGGGAGTGATGTGTATTTGAAAATGTTTGTTTGTAAACATAAACGTAACGTAACGTGTATATGTTTATATAGTTAAGTTTTCAATTTCTCAGGGAAGTTATGTACCAGCTGAAGAATGTAAGCTAAGTCTGGTGGACCGTATCTTCACTCGTTTGGGTGCATCCGATGACATCTTCTCTGGCCAGTCAACATTCTTAGTGGAAATGAATGAGACCGCGGCCATTGTGACACATGCCACTGTACATTCTCTTGTACTATTGGATGAGTTGGGTATGTAATATACATATATAACGGCGTATAAGTGAAGTTTACTCAAGTAGTGGTTTTTTTGAAATTTGAATTTGTTTATTTATGTTTTAGTTTTACCTCATTGTATTTTTCATATTGCGTATGGTAACAATTAAGAGCGGGTAAAACCGAATGGGTTTGTGTCAGTTGTTTTACGGGCAAGTGATGATGAATTAGACAGGGTTGTTGATGGATTGCCCGTAGAAACCAACGCAACTCCATTTGCTCTTGCAATTTGAAAATTATATTATTTTGGCTTCTTACTTAACGTTGTTTAATGTAATACACGGATGTCTAATTATATCGGTTTGCTTTATTATTTACCAAATTTCTATTGCAATATGTACCACGAATACCAGCGAACTACCTGGAGAACAAGGAAATACAGCCCGGCCTCCCGATTCTCCGACATATATAATTCTATAACCCCCACAACCTCCCGAAACCGCTATAGTTCTTGTAAGCCAGGTTATTTAGTAGGAACAACCATGAAAACCACAGAGAAATAACCTAATATATCTTTTTCAGGGCGTGGCACATCAACGTACGACGGTACGGCGATCGCGTCAGGAGTGTGCGTGGAGCTAGCCAAGCGAGGCTGTCGCGTCATATTCTCCACGCACTACCATTCTCTCGTGCACCACCTGTCTTCATATCCTGGCATCATGCTAGGACATATGGTAAGCAGTGTTCTTCAATATAGTATCATTAACCTTTCAATCTTGGTAATTCAAGGCACAATAGAGGCACGAACGCTTAAGGTTTGATGAATTAAAAAGTTGTACTTATATCCGGAGCGCAGATTCAAGTAAAACACGCTTTTTCTATTGTGTCTAATATAGCGACAGACGGACGGTTATTTTTATGCAAAAGATATCGTTACTTAATCGTTCATAAATCATCCCTATATAAGAAATATAAACTACTACTAGAGTTCTGTATAGATTGACTCTTACTCGTTTATTTAAAACAAAACACCCACTAGAGATTGCGTTTCCAATCATACAATTACATCAGACTACAAAATGTAATCTCATATATTCGTGCCAAGCCGGAATTCGCATCCGCGACACAGTGTAACACCCTCTCGCTCAGCCCCTGCCTTAGCTCGGTAGTCACAATATGTTGTGTATACTTTAATACCCATATATTGCATTAATACTAACCATCATTCACAGGCCTGTATGGTAGAAACAGACGAATCCGCTCCGGACAGTGAAGACAATATTCCAGAAGAAACAATAACATTCCTATACAAACTGTCTCCGGGCGCTTGCCCTAAGTCCTATGGTTTCAACGCAGCCCGCCTAGCGGGCATACCAAAGGAAATAACTCTTAAAGCCCATCAAATATCCAAGAATCTTGAAAAAGAAGCTACATGTGTCCGCGCCTTTAGAGACATTCTCAAAATGGAGGACAACCCTAAAGATGTCAGGGCAATGTTGGCAGCCCTGAGTATTTAGTTGTCGCAACTCTATGAATCTCTTATTTTTACAAGTTCATGTGCTAGTATTTTTTTAAGAAGTGTTGTTTTTATGTCGTTTAATGTTTTGAAGCAATCAGAAGATTATTTTTAATTTTGAATTCATAGTTTACTCATAATTATTGCTTCGAGCTAAGAAATTGGGTGAAACTAATTTCCAAGTTAATGAACTTTGTGATTTATAATGCCTAACAGAAAACGATGTTACCTCTTTGATAATTTCAATCAATAATGTGATAATAATTCTACTAAAATTGATTGCATGACATGGTTATTGTTGATTGTATTCGTTGATTTGAATGATGGTTGTAAGTTGTACTTTAAGATTACGAACCCACCTGCTATTGGAGCCATTAAACCTTTTTTTTATAAAAATACATAAGATTTGGTTTTATTTAATAATTACTTACCGTATTGCTAAGCGCAAAATTCAACTATAAAATGGAAGTTTCTCACATGGCAAAAAATACAACGGTTTATTATTTTACGCCGGTATTCTTTGACGTCGTGGTATCTCTCCGGTCCATTTCTGCCCTGCTATATGGCTTTCCTACACATATCTACAGATATTTAAGTTAAAAGGGAATGAAAAATAAAAACACGTAAATAAAATTTTCACTTTATTTTACATAATTGTACTTAAATTACAAAATCATTGCACATCGTCTCGTCACGTAGACACTTCAATATTCTATTTGAATTTATCTACTTATTTACATCACATTATCATAATTAAAAGCTTCGAACTAACATTTATAAAAATAATACACGAAACAATTTTGTGATAACCCTCACTTTACATAGGAATATAATTCTATACATTAAATGCACCTGTGATTACGTATAATGTAAAAAAAAAAAAAAAAATGTAAAAATATGACTAGTTTGCGATGTCGATGATGGTTCTAAATTTTCATGGGAGTATCTTGATTTATGACGAATTAAGAACGAAATAATAGTTTTTGTCATTATTCGATTACTTACACTCGTACTATTTTTACAATTACCATAATTGGTTTTTTATTCTTTAATCAAACTTTAGTATTTTACCGCACAGAAGAAGTTATTAGTACGCACCTAGAGACATGAGACAACAATATAAATCCGATATTAATAATAAAATTTCTTACAAATAACACATAATAAAGATTAATTACCTAAAATCAATTTCATAAAGGAAAACCCTTCACATTTTGAACTTTTTGAGAGCAATATTGAAAAATGTGAGATCACATTGGGCTAAGTAAAGGGTTGATAATTATTTTACAACAAAAATAACTCTAGTCTATTCGTATGTAATACAGGGTGTAAAAAGACACTTAACGAAGCCGTTAACTACGCATACTGCAGTTCTAACTAAGTATTAAAAAAATTATTACTGGGAAATACTTTTATATTTAGGTATCAAAAAAAAAAAAAAATATTGCGTGCAATGTAAAGCAAACGGGCTTCGTGTCATTGTGTGCGTAGGTTCACAGCTTAGCATTAAAACGCTGTGATAAGTACGTAGGTCGACGTTTTACTTCGCAACAACAAAACAATTCTGTAAAATAAAAATCCTACTGAGATGCACGATGTTTTTTGTGCGGGTCTGCATTTATTTATTACCTACGTACATTACTGTTCGTAACTTCAAATGCGTAATTTATTTAGAAAAATCGAAAATTCAGGTAATGTTTGTTTGGAAAAAAGTTTTGCAATAATACTTAGAATTCGATTGCGCAAAAAAAAGAAAATTAAAAATGCATCTTTGACCTTCAATATCTCGAGAACCCGTGGAATCCCAGCTATGGTCTTAAAGAAAAAAATGATCCAATTAATGGGTAGAATACGTGGCTTTCGGCTTCGTTAAGTGTCTTTTTACACTACTTACAATTTTTAGATATATAAAAACTAAAGGCTATTGTATTCTCTTAAAAAACATTTTAATAAAAACAAAGATACAACTTCTCTGACATAACAAGTAAAATAATATATTATATTCGTTTCAAGGAATGTTCGGTCTGTTTCACAATTTCCGAATAGCGGCTAAGTACCAGATAAGGAAGAATGTTATGTTGGTCCTAAATATAATTATAATAATAAAAAAGTATGTCTCCAAGCTTCTCACACACATCTCACATAGAAAGATAATCTAAAATAAGTAACATTGTTTTTTGAGACACAAAATTTTAGATTAGACTAATGTAATGTGTGTCTTTAAATAATCCTGTATTTTTCAATGTAACTTGAAAGTTCATTCTCAATATTTTGTTAACATACGTAATAATAACAAATAATTGAGTGGATTTAACAGCTTGCCCATTTCTGAAACCGCAACTTTCTGAATCAGTACCTAATTTTAACTCTAAAACCATCCCAACGTTAATTTGTATAGATGTGTAATGGAGCCACATATATTTTTCTGGTACATTTAAGAATTCGGCACGGGTTAATACTATTAAAAATAAAAGTTAATTATAGTACATATTTTTGTTTTAATGACGGCTCTAAAAGAACGGTGATACGTAAAGAGATCAATTTATCCAAACAACAAATAAATGCATGAAGGAATGGAGACGAAATCATTTGTTCTTTACACGAAAATTTTAGTCATCACATTAAGTAAATAGAGGATTTTAAAGTCTCATTTTATTAAAATTTTATTATATAATACATTTTAATAATGAGAAAATAATATTATTTCTTTTGTCTCCGCATTAAAAGCCCTATTTACACCGCAATTATTAATATTATTTACCACCAAAATCTATGATCTTAATATTATAAAATGTTTGTAGAAATAGAATATAAAAATAAAAACGAAAATTATATTTTTTAAGCACTTAGTAAGATTGTTAGGGAATTATTAATAAGTATAAATATTACTTAGAGTTTGGCAAATAAGAAAAATAAGACGTACCTACTGAAAAAAAAAACACCTCTCCCTCCATTGACTTTAAAAATAAAATATTATCCTAAAAATAATTGAAAATCTATGTACAAAATTACTAGTTATTTAGGTATGTACCTTTAAAAAATTTATTATGAACTATGAACCCATCTGAGCTGGAAACACACAAATCAGATGTTGTCAATTTCTACAATACATGTATTATCAACCTAACGCTTTTGTTTTTAAAGTTGAAAATATATTAAAATACGTCGTATAGCTTCCAGCCCTAAGCTTAATATCAGCCTCATGTACTTTCGCTCTGGACTTCCATAATTGTAATAAGCAATGAACTAGCATATAAAAATCTCATTTTCTTAGAGATTCACTACTGATACCATGTTCCATTGAAATAAAAATAATTATCTACTATACAATCGATTTTGATTAGGTATACTATATTTTAGACATAAAGACGAAATTTGCGCAGAAATTTATTATGAATCCAAGCTTTCTTCTCTAATATCGGACGGAGACTTTATCATCAATAAATACATTAAGTGTATGAGAGCCTAATTCGGCTCGAAAAAGGATAGGGTATTTGGGGATTGAGAATGGCGTGCGATAACTTCGATCACACTGCGAAACACAAAGCAACTATTATTACAGGTCAATATTTTTCTTTTTTTTATGGAATAGGAGACAAACGAGCAGAAAGATCACCTGATGGTTAGCGATCTTAGCCCATGGACACCCGCAACACCAGAGGAGTCACAGGTGCGTTGCTAGCCTTTTAAGAAGGAGTACGCTCGTTTCTTGAAGGTTTAAAGGCCGTATCGGTTCGGGAATACCGCCGAATTTTCTATAAGGCCGTGGTATGAGTCCGGTCGAGCCGGCCCATTTACATTTATATTATTTACTGCATTCCATAATGTACAAAGGTGGAATAGGAAATATGTACCTAATTGTGACAATTATTCACTGCACAGCAAACTAATAATAATTTGATTGTCTACCGAGGCTGTTTGAAAAGAATCAACAACCAATTATCCCTTATCGGAAGTAATCGCTTAATAAAGTTGTAGATATATAAGTCAGTATAAAATCATTAAGTATTTCAAATAGAACATGATATTACAAAATTAACACACCTACTAATATTATTAAGTACTTAATGAGGAAAAATCCCATCATAAAATTACTTTAATACTTGGTGTAATTGAATTCATGTGCGATAATAATTTACCTAACTACTAATAATTTACAAATTGCAACGGGTGTGGTTTAAATGACTCACAGACGTACTCAGATTTAATTTATACTTAAACATGTAACCGATTTTTATCCAAACGCTATATAAGGATTCGAGGTTGCGGGTCTTGCGTTATAAGGTACCGCAGCCTCGGCCTAGAGTAAGAGAAGGAACGGGGCTTTTTGAGTCAGTAAGAGTCTGACACCCCCCTCTCGCCTCAGTCTTGGCTAGAGAAGACATTGGATGATTTTCCCCTTACAAAAAGGACTGCGTTACGTAACCAAATTGCTCTAGTGTATGGTTGTTACAGTCTAATTTATTGAACTGTTGTCTATCATAGAACTTGCTATTATAGATATAGTATTTAGATAGGAGCTCTATTCGTAACGTCAAAATTCTAGTAAACAAATGAACCGATAAATAATTGAAATAATTTTTATCACCCATGATTTCAGTTACACCTGTATTCTAAACTATTAGAACCAATAGCCAGCTACAACACGTTGACCATCTCAAATCCAAGGCAGACATAAAATTAAAAAAATCTAAGTACAACATATTCAATCATATTTTTTGGAACAGGGTAGTTGGAATACAATGATGTTATAAAAAAAATTACCACCATTTTCACGATACGAGGTTTCATACAAACTTTCAGATCGAAATTAATTTTAACTAGTGAACAGACTCTAATGTCTTCCTTACTTGGTATTAGTTGTTTATGTATGTATCAATGTCTTATAATTTAAAGTTTAGAGAGATACAACAAAAAAAAATACATAAATGTTCGTACCTAGTTACCTAGTTAAACCTTGATATATAGCGTATGAGCGCAAAGATTGATTAAGTTCAATTTCCTGTTTCAATGTTCTTTTTCTTCTTCAAAGTTGTGTGAAAACTCGTGTCACGAAAACAAGTAAGTGTGAAAATGATAAGAAAAGTTTGGTATAGTAAGCTATCTAACAAGAAAGAATATTATAATAATAGAAGCGATACTTTTGACAATATATACAATTGTTAGGACAGGGATAGATAACTGTCTTATCATATTATGGAGGATAGATGGAAGGAGAACTGACTTATACTTATATGGGAATATTTGAACAAGTTTTCAGTTGTATGCAGTAAATAACAGTCGATAATTTCTCCAAGACTGGCGCTAGCTAGCGAAGGGTATGGAATGAATGTAGCAGCTAGTAACAAAGTGAAGTTAGCTGAATTACAAAATTTACCCTATTGCTATTGTGGTGCCATTTTAATTTAACGCATTTCAGCGAAAGCTTTTTACATATAGAGACAGTTCTCCTTTAACTATCCTCCATACAAATACTACTCAAATTTTTGATATTTTTTTTAGTTTAAGCTCAAATAATATAAACAACTACCCTATAGATATTGTAATGCAGCATAATTTTATTTAATCTTTTTGCTAAGGCAAGCTTACTACCAATTTATTTCCGTCTATAACATTCTATATTCAGCACCATTTCGCTCACATAACCTATTCATACCTTGTGAGTTGTAAACGACCAATGAGTGCAGACTTGCTTTGAAAAATGGATTTTAATACTATACTCATATGGCTGCTTTTGTACTAACGGGGCATGTAACTTATGCCTTTTTACCATAGAGAAACAGCCGATGTTCACAATGTCTTTGAGCAACTAACTAGCACAAATAGTATTTAAAGTTAATGAATTATTCAAAGGGGACACTCGTACTCGTACAAATAAGTTTTTTTTCTTAAATAGGAAATTCTTAACCTAACAAAAATACTCTTTTATTACCAAACTATATGTTATTATCATTGCTCAAATCTATCGAAGCTGAAGAGTCACATTTCACACTTAACACGTCAAGTCATTAAATAACAATAATATCTTAGTAACCTTATAGTATTTCGGAAACTTCTTCAGCACAAATCGCTTGGAATGCAATGAAATATAAAATAAAGTAAGATTTTTAATTGTACTTTTAAGTTAAAGACAATTCATGCCTTATAATGTACTTCATAACGTGTAATATTGAGTGGGCTAACTGCAATACCTTTGAGAAAAGATATTGGAAGGGAGTTAAAGTTTCGTGTCAAGTATTAAAAATATTAGCAGCTAAGATTTCACCGGTCATTTTGTATACCTCAAGCCTGCACGCTAGGCGGCCGTTACAACAGCCTAAACTCATAGTTCGTCGAAGGATGAGCTCTCTCGCTCGTCGAAGGGCCGCGCCCTCTCGCCCCACCGCTCCCATCGCTCCGAACTCAGCAGAGACTCCGATTCTTCCTCTTGATTAGGTACAGGATACACGATGCCGTCCCCGAAGCTACACCGTCGATTTCATTCATTATGTTGGTCATATTGATTTGTGTTGTTCAGTTGGTGTAAGTGATGTGTTTAAAAAAAGAACGCTGTTTGTCTTATAAATAATGGTGGAAAAGCAAACGTATTTACATAAAAAGGTGATAGTAAGCAATTATGTGTTGTCACTAATAAAAAATAAAGTGCATTATTGTATAACCATGTACAAGCATGTAATGTTAGTGATAAAACTTATTCAAATATAAATAATTGACTAGGTATTAATAAATAAAATTGTTGAATAATATGGTAGTTTCAAACTAGTCAAATTGGATACCTTTTTTGAAATGTCAAAAACATTCATTTCTATGAAATTTGTATGAAATCACAACATATGACGTCATGATATTTTTACATCAAAAATTATTTGCTTAAAAATTTGCTGCATGAAATCTAAAATTAATTTTATAGTCAAACCAATGAATTTTGATTTAATTATTCATTGTATTGAACAGTCAAAATAAAACAGTTTTGACCCAAGAAATTACCCAGTTATTTTTAATCATGTACTATAATATTTTTTATCTTCTATGAAGCGGTATACGGATAACTAGGTATTAAATGTACGGCCTTAAGATGTCGAAGCCATTTATTAAATCTATGGTATAATTTTCAAATATTATCTTTTCTACTAGCAATTAAAAATATAATTTTAATTACTCGTAAGACTTAACGTATGATGCCTGTAAATACGGATCAATGTCAAGAACAATTGAATAGAATGTAATGGTGTAGCAAAATTTTGATTTCATATTATTCAAGTTAGTCATGGGTACTGCTGATGTTATTAAATAATATTAACACAATGACACTTTAGTTATTTAAATGATAATGTTAGTGACAGCGTAAAGTAAATAAAACTACTAAACAATATACTACCTACTACTCTTACAGTGCAGAGTTTAATTTTAGAGCGATGTCTTTAAAAGTATAGTAATAATAATTTCTATTTTTGGCACTTACAGATCATAGAAGGATTTTTTTTAAATCGTATGTAATTGGTTTTGTAAAGTCGACTAATCGACTATAAAATGCACATAAAGAAACCAATTGACAAACAGACGTACTTAAATGAGTTGCATCTAAAACTATTAAATATTGGCATTTGCAATTGTTATTTTAGTATAATAATTTATACTAAATATTTCATTTTTTATTTAGAGTAAGTTTGTTTAAACGCTTAGCTCCGGAATTAATAGTTCTAACTGAACAACTATTTTCGGTGGATAGTTGCTTCTCTCCATTTGTTAAAAAATATTATAAAACATCACGCTACTACAATACGCGCCGAGCAGCTGATGTTAACGCGCGGTAGTAACTAATCATTTATATAATTTGATTTTCTTTACAGTAATTCTTTTCAAATATACTTATCTATACTAATATTATAAATAAGTTTGTATGTAGGGGGTAATCTTTGGAACCGCTGGTCGGATTTCCAAAATTCTTTTACTGATAAATAGCTACAATGTTCCTGAGTGCTATAGGCTATAACAAAAACACCACCCTTCGATTAAATGGAGCCTAGCAGCGGGTGAAACCGCGCGAGAGTAGCTAGTTCATAATAAATTGAAAACACCTTCCATAATAAACCAATCTTCAATTACATATTTCACGATGCCATACTCAGACAAAATATTGAGACAAACATTAAGACTAGAGTAAAATAATTTATAATGAACGCAGCTCACGAGCCCCGGTAGGGTTCGTAATCATTCGAGCAAGCACGGATACCTTGTATGGTAAACCTATTTAGTGCCCATTACCCAGAAATTATTATTACAACTTTGTAAAGACAAAGCCTTCTGACTGAATGACTTCTATAAAAATACCGCATTACTTAAACTATAAATACAAGCGCAAATTAATTATCAGTTTGCGCACATCCGCATCTATAATAAAGCCTCCTGATCCTACGTAGCATGCATAACCAACGATGTTAACTACCTACATAAAAAAAGAAGTGAATGACATTAATTTGGAATCGTTGTCAAAAAGGTTGGATGACGCCAATGAATGAAAAGCAAATTTAATTAGTCGAATTGATTTATTTAAATTAAATATATCGTAATCGTAATAAAATATAGCGAAATGGAAAATGTTTCCTTATACTATTTGCGGGACGGTCCTGCCCTTTCTAGGGCACAATCTCCATCTCTCAGTCTCGTGGCCCATCTCCGTGCTAAAATATTAATAAACGTGTCTTATTTTTTATATAATTGCCGAATATAAATATAATTTTGAATAGTTTAGAAGTATATGAAAAATAAAGCGCGGGTGCTACATACGTTTTGTTTAGAGTAAAAAATATTCTAATTATTTTTTTATTACTTATTATTATTACTTTTTTATAAACTGCCATTTTTTATTATGATTATTTATTTTAACTTGTACAAGCGTATTATTATGAATATGTAAATAATCTTATTTTTTATATCAACAAAATTATTGTGTGACAATTTCTGGATACCATCTATGTACCAGATAAGGAATATAGAACGTCTTTTAAACATAATTATGTGTCATATAAGTTTATCGGCAACTTATATGAAGGTTGTGAAACAAGGGCTTGTTATATTGAGTATCCAAACGTTTTGTAGCACCCTAAGACATGCAATAGACTGAGAGAATAAGAGAAAAGGAAGAAAATTACTTGAAGATAGATGTATAGTTAGATATACAGCACACAGACATTTTAAATTAGAAAAATTAGTATAAAATCCCATGTGAATGTTATTTATATTATTATATATGAGACCGTATTTATTTGCTTACTAATTTCTACGTCAGCTAAGTAAGCATCGAGTGATAAAAAAATGTGTAGCAAAGTGAAATAAAAAACAAAATCAAAGAACAAAAACATTTTTATTGTGCACAAAAATACTTACAAAATACATTTCTAACTTTACTCAGTCTTGTGTGTTGTATATAGCTCAGAAATAAATGCATTAAAAAGCAATTTGCACGTTGCACAATAGTCTTTATATTTCATAATTATGATAATATGAAACACATGTCAGCTGAAACCTCCCACATAACTTGAGTATATTATTTCGTAGTTTGGCACCGTGTTTAATTTAATAATGTCTCTATAAAATAAGTTTGAGCACACACATGTCACAAAGGCACTGTTCTTGCATTATATTCGTATAAATTTAAACTAGTAGGTACGTATAAAGAAAATATTAAATAAAATTTACACATTAGACTGGACATTCGAGAATTTATTCCTAAGTTCTCTAAAAACTCGACAAAAACACGCGAGTAGTCAAAACGAGAATAAATACTAGAAAAATAGCTGCCCAACACATTTGTTTTGGCAAGATTCATAATTCAGACCTTATTTTAAAGTCCTTAAAGTTTAATACAACTTTTATTGCATTATCAGAGCTCACGACGTTTTTTAATGTGAGCATTAATATCCTAGTACGGATAAAGGCAATTTTGATGTACAATAAACGGCCAGATACAACGCGAAAAGGAATTGAAACCTCAAAAATAAAGGCATAAGTGTTATATTTGATTGTTTATCGTTCGTAACTATTGTTACGGTAATATCGCTTTTGCTATATCGTGATAAGGTATAATATCCTCAAGGTATGTGATTGGGGATGGCTAGATTGTGTTCTTCCTTGGCGTCTGACCTTGAGCGCGTGGTGCCCATGGATTCGTACCCATGAGTTTCCTGGGGCGTGGTAAATGTCTGGAGCTGGTGTTCGCGACGGACGGGGAATTCGCACCCGTCTCCGAGGCTGACAAAATGATCACCATTTCAGAGGGATATGTTATGCGTGGCGGGAACGAAACTATAATTGCCTTAAGGGGGACTTATCTACATTAGTCTTTTACGATATAGATAGAACTACATAATCGAAAATTAAAAGTAAACTAATTATGTTAGGAAAGTAATTTAATATTCGACCACGCCACGTCAAATTACTTAAAAATCATAAATAATTCAAATACATATATACAATACATGGCAACACTGAAAATTTGGTAGTGGGTTGCCATACTCATACAGGTGATAAGTGATAAGCTAGCAAATAGAACGAGCTGTTATAATGACATGAACATTAATGTACAAATCTCCAAAACCCAAGCTAGCAATTTGTTATTAAAAACAAACGTACAGACGGACAAACATTTTAAGCTTAACTATGTTAGAGTATTTAATTCAACACAAAACCTAAGTCATCTAAATTACTTGTGACAGGATATTGTAACTTAACCACGTGGATATAAGAACTATTTTTGAAAAGACGGTGATGATGAAATGAATGGTAATTTAGAATGTGATATTGTACATAGATATTGTGTACATACATATATATTTACATAGTGAAATATGTAGTGAATATCCTACCTTCATGCCTAGTTAGTAACTTCTGCCTGACATTTCTGCTATAGTATTATTAAGTATGTTATTTTCAATACTATTCCGCACACACGGACAAATGTTAGATTTGGTCATTCACTTCTTTTTTCATCATACATGTAAAGTAACATGCACACTGATCACACTGAACACGCTATATATAAATACAGGGTGTTATTTTGAACGAGGGACATGTTTAAGGACCCGATTACCGTGCTTAAATAAAACAACTCTTTTCATAAGACCAATATGGAAATCTGAAGAAAATCTTTACTTCGCCATGAAAAATTAACAATCTGTTGTGTTTGTTTGTTTCGATTTGTATGGGGAAATAAATTTATTTTTGAGATTCCGATATTGATCCCATGGAAAAAGTTGTTTTATTCGAGCACCAGAACCGGGTCCTTAAATAAGTCCCTCATTCAAAATAACACCCTGTATATTTAGCATCCATATAGATCACCTAACCACGTGCGTCACTATTTACCCAAACATGCTGTATACAGTTCTGTGTTACCATAATAACCTTAGTGTTGCCATAACCAGAATGGCCCATGATTGGGTTTTGTTTTATATTTATATTTATTATTAAAAAAAAAGGTTTTACCTTGTGAAGACTGGTACCAGCCAGAGGTTAGGGCTGTTGCCGAAGACCTCTTTGAAGTTATTAAAGGCTCCTATAGAGAAACCGTTTTTGTCGGCGCCTCCTCGGAACATAGGCGCCCTAAACGCCTCTGGAAATTATAAAGCACAAGATTTATTAAATAAGTATACAGAATAGAGATATTTTTATGGATGTAAGGGTTATTACAAAACAACATTTGGTAGGTATATGGTGCGTTTGACACAAAAATACACTAAACTTTACTGTGTTTTTAACATAGTTTTAATTACAAGAACCTATATACGTAATATCAACACTGATATTCCACAACTCCATTTCATAAATAACAACTACCTTTACTCTACCTAATCTACACTGTACTACACGAAAAACGACACTATGTCATTGGTACTAGATTATATTTTTGTAGTGACTGCAATTACCATAGACCAAGTTCTTAAGCATAGAGTTTATTAATTGTCCGGTGGGACTACCCAAGCGGCGGTATGTTACGAGCATATCTGAAAGGAAATTTTTATTTAGTTCTCAATCATAACTGTACAGCGTGTTAAGGATCGGAATTTCAATACTTTTACCTACGTATTGTACATTGATACGCAAATAATTTGTGTCATAATTAAACTGTATTGTTAACCAGCTTCTGTCAACATTTTTTCCCACAGAACCAGGGTAAAAGTAGCCTATGTGTTATTTCAGGCTATTATAATCTATCTGCAAAATTTCATTCACATCAATAGTTTTTACGTGAAATAGTTGCAAATATTAATCCATTATCCATCCCATCTATTATATTATATTATTCTATCCATAACTACAAAATTTGAAAAAATACAAAGTAAGAAAAAAAATATAAAAGGAATTATACCTTTTTTTTAAAGGTAAGGTCGTTATATCGACATTCCGATCTCCAACACGCTGTATGCATTTAATACCACATTATTTTTTGTAATTGCAGTCACCTTAGTAAGATACAATACAAGTAATAAAGACTTTATGGTATGTTTATTAAGGCTGTGCTGGGCACAAAAATTTAAACTAAGAAACGAAAAGTAAGTTCGAATTATGAAAACCTCCAAGTATTTTTGACAGCTGTAAAAAACAGATGTAATCTTTGAAAACTAAATGTGTCTCCTTCATTCGACTAAAATGTCTTAGAATAAACATGCAATATTTTAATAATAATCCCACTTAAAAGTGTTGAACTTTTGAGCGTATTCCAAAAGCAATAAACAGGTATACTAAGAAATGACTGCCCAAATTATGCGTACGAAACCCCTATTCTGGGCTACTTTTGAGTGTTGCTTTCAAACTAAGCAAAAATCAAAAACAACTTTTGTTAATATTGGCACAAACATTTTGAATAATGTTTATAAAAAAAATCAAGTAATACACACCTAGAGTAGTCCTATTATTGATAACGAGGTAACAATGGTATCCGAAGAGTGATCCCAACGATATGGCGAACATCAGGGCGACGAAGAAAGCGAATACAATGTGGTATCGCCCCGCACTGGCCGCCGCGCCGAAGTCACCCTGAAACACCAACTGACACATAACGTAACTGGTAACATTTACTAAACAACTTTATGATTTTTTTTAATGGCAACCCTAAATTAAATGGCGGGAAGATATGACGTTCACGAATATACAGCATGTATTTTTCAAAGACCTGACAATTTTTTTTTTCTTTTTATATGGTGTCCTTTTTCTTACCCTAATAAGTTAATGCCTGCCTACGCGATGAAATTGATTTACTGTACAAATATAATAGTCTAAATAAAAAAATAAGTTTTTAACCCACCATTGTTTTTGAATTGAAGGTCTTTGAAAAATAATCCTGGAAAGTAAGTGATACATTTCGTTAAATTCTTGTATCGAATACGAAAAATATAGGAAAATATAACACGGATGTTTATAAAATTTTAACAAGACATTATTGTTTATTAATCGCTCAGTACTTTTACGAGAAGATTTCAGTCTAAGCGTCACAATTTCAGAAGGCAACTTTGACTATTGTCACTATTGTTCTACTATTACTTATTAGTAACATAACTACACGAATTCCAAATAAAAATAATAAAAAGCATATATACGGTCGAATTGAGAACCATCCTCCTTTTTGGAAGTCGGTTAAAAAGAGATTCATACAATATATTAAAGAACATCATGTTTATACATCAAATAAATTTATTGAAAGTAAAGCTCTTCTAGTTTAAAGTTACAACGGGACTCTTATTCGAGAGCAGCGGCGAGGTCGTCAACCAGGCGTCGTTAGTTTTATAGTTTTTAATCAAAAACATCAAATCAAATCAACCTCTTCGACGAATTAATCAATGATTAGTATTCTGATCCTACCATTCACAACACAAACTTTTTGCCTACTGTCCAAAATTGACTTGTTTATTTTACGACGATTTTAATTGTTTTACGAGCAAATAGCTTCACTAAGAGGACAGACTGACACTATATCTTCAAAATTTTGTATGACTTTCAAAAGTGCCTGTAAGGGTCTAATTGGAATAAATGATTTTTGACTTTTTGACTTTTTACAAAACGTAAAATAATATACCTATCATCAAAACTTAAAGGAGTTGTGAATCAATTTGTATGTAAAACTGTAAATCATATTTTTATTCCAAATTCTAATTTTCAAAATATCTTAAGTTAATTCGGTCGGTAAAACATTATAAACACCCTGTATGTTTAACTTATTCATAATGATTTTTGAGAGACTAGAATTAGGTTTAGGGAATGAGAGATCATGTTTTGAAAATGAAGCTTAAAAGAAAAAGAAAAGCATAGCGATCAAGATAAAGAAAAAAATCATAGGAGGCTATCATAGTCAGAATGCTGACGAAAAATATTAATCTACATACCATCATTATATTATATGATAGTCCAGTCATTTGATCGAAAAGAATAAGGTTAACTGTATTGTTTATATATCTTAGAAAAGTTGAGGCCAAAAAGAGTATTTGAATTATTATTTGTAATTTTTCGGTTAATTAACGAGAAAATAATTTACTACATAAATAAGACAAGACACAATTTCCTACAACTTATGCCGATCATTTATTATTTTTTGTAAAATCAATAGCTTTGGCGAAGGTAGCCAGTGCAGTAAATTTCAGTGCGCATTTTAGAAAAACATAATTTTAAATGGTGCAAAATAAAAATTAGTAAAGAGTACATATAAATAATTAAAATTACCAATTTTTAAAACTCTTGAAATCTTTCCAGGTATAACTACCAAACAACTGGACTATCATGTTACTATAGTAATAATATTTTAAAGATAGCATGACTAAGTGCTAAGCTATGAGGATAAAGATAAAACGCTATCAAAATGATTCATTAAAGTTAGCTATAACATTATTCAAATCTAATATCCATATCAAGTGGTAAAATGATAATAAAAAAGCAATTTAAAATGTTCCACACTGTTTAAACATATATATAATAATAATAATATCATATGCACATCTAGCATAAATCCCACTGCGCAACCGAATTTAAACAATGTGGAACATGGGTAATAATGCATAAACAATAATATTTCTATACGGTAAACTGGGATTCGGACTAAAACGAATATGATACGCTGTTATCGTATTTTATCAGATTGATGTCAAGGTGATTATGATTACACCTAGCTACGTAGAAATAGATATTGACAAAAACTAATAATTGTGTATTGGAGCATAAAGGCTAATTTACGGTGAGCCGTTCTGCGGCGTGTCGCGCGTCCGTCGTACATTGCTTATTATGTAAGTGTTTGCGCAGGCAATGATGCGGTTAAATGCAGCAATGTACGATGAACGCACGACGCGCCGGACAACGCGCAGCGACTCCTCAAACAAGGCTTAAGTGTACTTCATCTAAACATCATACAGCAAAACATTGCCAGACAAGTTTAGTATCTAATTGGCTTGTTATAAGGACTATTTTATACTAGTTTACTTTAAAGAATTCGACACATAAATTTGACCGATTTTTTAAGAACGCACCCACTTTACATCCGCTTGACATTAACAATCTAATAATATACAGTGACTTGTCGAGCAACGCGAAAGATAACGTTTTTACTTATAGCAAGATATGAAATGAACTCAAGATAAGAAGCACTGAGCGTTGTACTAAGCAAAATAACAACAAAATCTAATCTATTTAGCAACATTTAACCTATTGATCGCGTTAAAGTAAATAGGCATAATTAATGAGAAAATAAACAATTACGTTAATCATTTCCATGCATATTTTAGAAACAGAGCCTTTCTCAATCAAACGGTCGCAGTGGGCATACTTGTATTCCTCATACATCTGCAAATTGTCAGTATAGTTACTTTTCATGTCCATAAAATACCGATACCACTGCTTCTACTAGTGCAGGTTACACATCAAACAACTAAAATCTATTCATAGCAAACACTTTTAGAGAGTTACATTCTCAGAAGAAAAAAAAGAGTACTTGCAAATAAGGTTCCATAACACAGGGCTGTAAGTTTTGTTACTGGCAGACAGAGTAGACACACCACAAACAGTAAAAATAATAAAAAAAATGGTAGAATGTACCTTCCAGAATTTAATGAAGTAAGGTAGACACGTGGCCATGATGAACATACAGTATAAGAGAGCATAGCCGAGGAAGAGCATGAAAAACTTGTAGTTGAAGAAGCAGACGCAGTTGTTGACCCACGGACAGTGGTGGTCCATTTTGAGGACGCAGCGGGCGCATATGCTGCAGTGGTGCGCGCGGTCCGGCTTGATCAGAACGCACCGATTGCAGTAGCGAACCGACCCGGACATTGTTCTGCCAACAATTCACACATGTATCATATATGCCATCTAAATAACTATTCTGCCCAAGATAACGTGAAATCTTTGTAAACAAACAAACCATGACCCTCTTATCACAAAACAAGGTTTATCTTTAGTAAACCATTGAGACAGGTTTTGTATTTTGAATCTTATTCTCAACTACCTTCAATTCGAAATACAAAAGCTGGCTTAATGGTTTAGATCTAGACTAAAGAAAAACTTGTTTTCTAATAAGATTATCTTTCTCGTGCAGTCACACACCCGACCCAAGCACAGAAGAGCGTATACAAACATTTCACGGTGACCTTGACCAGAATGTTGATGTACATATTTTGGAAAAAAAAACAATAATCATAATCTACTTGAACCGAGAATAGCCATCGAAATACACCGATATACCATATATTACTTTTATACCATTAGTTCAAAGGTCGTACTCGCGATTTTTTTTCTCTCAATTCTAGCTACACAGAAAGAAAATGGACAAACCTCGTCAAAACCGGTACGGTATTGCCAAAGTTTTCTATAATCTCTTTTTTTGTTTCCGTGGGTAAAATTTGCGCCACTAATTTTCTTACGAATTCTACAACTCTAGAATTGAGAAAAAAGGAACTGAATGAAATAATAATAACAGGAAGGAAAAATAGGATGGGATTGATTATAAGCTTGGGGTCACTCTAGGAGAAAAAAATTATAACACGGATCTCATTGGAAGGAATTTAAAAAAGGCCAGGTTTACATATTATTATATCTAACTTCCTAACAGAGCATACTGGTCAACTTGTAACCATTGAACCAGACACATGATTTGTGTCATGATTACTGTGTGTGGTAACATTTCTGTAAACAAAAAAGTCTATCTTAAGATTTTACCTGGTAACTATGGGGAGGTCTTTGGCATAGTTATCCAATATAGATCGTTGCGCATCTTCGGTTTCTGCGCTCAATAATTTTTCTAATTCAGCCTCCGGTAATTTAAACTGAAAAAGAAAACATGTCATCATGTAAAAAAATGTTCAGTTCTAATTATCGTAATAAGACTGACATATTATAAAAGCAGCAAATATTGCTTTGAATGGACTTTTGCGTATGAAATCCATCTTTTGTCTGGTAAACATATTTTAATATCTCATTATAACCTATCTCATATTATGAAGACACACTATTCTGTGTGGCCCTTAACATACAACTGGTGAACATTGATTGTTGCAGAGTATATTTTGTAAATATTGTGCATGTTGCCTAATTTAAGTATAGGAGAGCCATGCTTTGGCACGAATAGGCTAGTTTGACTGGATAGACACAGAATACCGGCGTGAAACTACGATTGGGGTGTGTTTTGTCGTGTGAATGAAGTTATTGGACGCCCAATTCGCCCTTCCCTTGTCCTCAATTCTCAAATACTCCAGCCTCACTTCCCTCAGTACCTAGAAAGGCTGTCAACGCATTTGTAACTCTTTGGTGTTTCTAGTGACCACAGGCAGCGCCGATGGTTGGATTTAAAGGTGTGGCACTACACTATGACAAAAAGTGCAGCTGTTTTTGAGTCTTGAATTTTACTTCACAACATATACTTTATATAAAACATTAATATTGCATTTATCTTTGAAAATCTCTTGGTTGTAAACAAGAATTAAATTAATATTAATGACTAGTCATCTAGTAAATTGATTCATCATAGTGACTCAGACAGTGTAATAAAACCATTAATGTGACAGAGTTTTAAACTGAATACAAAGAAACTTTGTTGAGTAACAAATTAACATAATATAATATAAATGGGAATACTCTTAATTTATAGAGAGTTCATTGACTACAAACTATACAAAGAATAGACAATAGTATAATAACACAGTTATAAAATGGTCATAAAAACAATTGTATTCTTAATTTTTTTATTGTTTACTTACCTTGAGGATAATGAATTATAGCTATCTATCATTGAAACATTAAAGACAAATAATATTGTACACTAGGAAACAAATAATTGGCTGCAGTTCTGTCAAAAATAATAAGACTTCATGATATACATTACTAGCTGACCCAGCAAACTTCATTCTGCCACCAAAATCTTCCCTGGACTTTCAAGAGTGTTTGAAGACCAAAATGAGCAAAATCGGACTAGCTTTTCTTGAGATGTAGTGTATCTAACTAACAGCATTTCATTTTTATACATAAGACTAACTGACCCTGGTAAACTGTATACCACTTCAAATTAAACTAATATTCTGACCTATCAAACCTCCCTTGTGCCAGCGTCTCGAGTTTTAGCGAGACTTACAGCAATTTATTATTATATATAAGATATAATTACTCAGCATAATAAATTCTGCAAAGATATTGATGATTCTATAAAATTTGAAGTTTACTTTATCTAAAACTATTATATTTTATCTTGAAGATAAGTTAAAATAATTCACAGGATTGGACAACTACTAAAAATGTAAAGATTCTTAAGATAAAAATATGTACCTAAGCTTTTTATTCTGTAGAATGAAACAATAACTAATTACGATGTTTCAGTGTGGTTCACTCACGCCCGGTTTCTGAAAGGCTTGTCAACGCTAAAATTAACTAATCTCCTGTTAAATCTCTTGTCAAGTGTCAATTGGGTTGCATAAAGCATGATTAATCAACTAATTTGACCAGCATGTCAGTTGACATGGCTGTCAAATCAACTCAAGAATCGAATGATTATCGCAATTTTGGGTTTCTGAAACGCTGGTCAAGCCTTGATCATAGATTATTCGTCTGTCAAAAGCTCGGTCAACTAATCGGTGCTTGTTGGCGAATTAACTTACTTCTAATTCTCTAATTTCTCTTTAAATAAGTATGTTTTTTAAGGTATGTTAAACAGAAATATGTATTACGAAATTTTATTTGTAATAATACAATTTTCTTTGTAAGCGTAAATTATTTGATATCTTGATTAACTTACATTGATTCTGGTTTTAGATTACAATAATGTCTCTTTCGGATAGTAGCATGATGAGTCAGCACATCCAGCAGCGATGAAGATTTAAGACCAGAATGAATCCGTTTGATTTGTCTACAATGAAGAGGAATTTAAGAATCGGTACCAACCAACGGACAAAGGCGTTTGTGCTGTTACTAGTTAACATGTTAGAGCCGAATGTTAAACAGTTCACTTTGAGGAACCATTCTATCAGTGCTTTGGAGTAGGTGCTACTGACAATAAGCTACTACCATGCTACATGAGCATTTCAAATTATGGTTACTGGTACAATTCTACGGCTTGTAGAATAATAACAAAAGAATCTGCAGCGATTACTATGCCTTTTAACCTCAGGATTGCACAAGGATAAAAACAGAATTCTACAACGTTATATACCTAAGCTCTTTTCCAAATGTGATCGGGGCATTTGACTGCACACATGTAAAGATAGTCTACTGGTGGGCCACGTGCTGAGTTGTACAGGAACAGGAAAGGATATTCCTCAAGTATATCTTAGGATAGTTCAAGAAGATATTGGTGCTTTTTCAGAGATAAATAAAAACACTTCTGTGCGCACATCTTTATTGTTGACCCATTTTAATTGTTAAGTAATATTAATGGTATCTATTTTTAGGTGAATTCAAAGAAATAACCATATTATTAACATGTTTAATTCATCTTTATAAAATATAATATAACACTTGAAATATAAAAACAAATATATTATCTTACTTATACATATTTATTTAGTATAGTAACTTACTTATATTTAAATTAAATACTAATAAGTAATGTATATTTCTTAACCAAATAATTTAAGTATTTTATTTCGAAATAATTATATGCTGTTTTATAGTTAACCGATATTCTATAAACTTTTTTTTTATTTACATACTCCATCTTTATTTCATTATACTTCTTATTATTTTGTTTCTGAGTGCCTGCTTCTCATGTTTAAATTGTTTCCATGATGTGCAAATTGAATTACCTGTAAATAAATTTCATTAAAGTTGCAATAATTATTCTTAATACATTATTAGGTACTTAGTTAAGAAATCGGGACAGGTATTTAATATATCCTAATCTGGTAATAGTTACAATATTCTAACTAGCTAGTATGGGCACTGTAAAAGTATTTTAAGATCAAAAACTTACATTTTTATTGGCTACATTCTGTCTCGTAGTTCTTTTAATCCCAATAGGCTGTGATTAGGTGTTTTTGGTTTCGAGGCACTTCTGCATTACTGTTGAATTCATTCGTTGTGGTTTTCCGAGCTTCATTTTTATTAATAGTAGAAATAGCATTTGTCCACTGATTATCAATTATGTACTTGTATCTGTAATAAAACATGGTGCGTATTATACATCAGTCTTGGCTGCAGCGCAGGATGTGAATTATAAACAAAGATATTTTATACTTTTAAACAACAATAGGTTTATAAAACGCAATAGGTAAAAAATATATTTTTATACTTATACTTACTTCTGAACTGGTTCTAAAAGAACATGCCTTTCCCTTTCGATGAAATTCTTCCCTCGTTATGCCATTTTAAGCAAGTTTAATTAGCATTTTATTGAAATTGTAACTTTAATATTTGAATTTCGCAGAATTGTTTGACATCAATGACAGTCCGTAACTTTTTAAATATTAACATATTTGACAGATATGAATGAACTATTGAACAAGAAAGAACAGTGTGGCTATGACTAAAAATAAATCGCATGTCAAATCAAAATAATCATAGATTAGTTAATTATGGTCTGATCAACGTTTCAGAAACTCAAATTGATTTGACAATCATGTCAATTTAATCGCAGTGTTAGTTGATCAATGAATTGACAAGCCTTTCAGAAACTGGGTGTCAGTGTTGTTAAATTTGATTGGCAGATTAATTCATAAAACCTTAAATGAACTCCGGCATTGTGTGCAACACCTCTTGTGTCCTGAATTATGACAATTGAAAGGCTAAATTAATATTGCAAATTATATGTGTCAGTGAAGATAATGTAAATACCTATACACTAAGGGTTTATTCTTGTGTGATGGCTAAATGGCCTTGCAAGATTAACCAACAAGCATTAAATTCTTATTTCAAAAATTAAAATCAAAGTTTTTATTTTAATACAAATGTTTTTAAGTATGTCAGTTTGTACTTCAGTAAAACTAGGTGCTTGTTAAAATGAAGAATTATATGGAGAAGAAGGAGAAAAATACTCTGTTTTTTGTAAACTGCCAACAACCCATTAATTTAGGTTTTGTTGCCAAATACTTAGTACTTTTTATTTGATAATATATCCATGCTTACAAGTATAAAAGATGTTAAAAGGTAGTCCCTTTTCCACCTTTTTCCCTTATCCACTAAGAAATAAACAAAATAACTGAGACATACTATAAAGTCAAAGATACCAAACTAAAACTCTATGAATGGTAAGTAGGTCAGATTTGGAAAATTGATAATAATAGACACATAATCTACATTTATCAAAACCTATGAAAATTTGTATCTTATAATAAATGTGTCTGAATAAGGCTGCTTTGTCAGCAATTTTTTGTTTCATTCACTCTTTTTAGAATGTTAATTTTATTCTATTTTAGACTTTAGCAAACTTAAGCATTTAACTAATCCATTGTTTATTGTAGTTGATGAAAATGAATGTGTGAACAATTAAAAATAATAGTGAAAACAACATGTTCGAGTACAAATATAGAATCTGTTAATAGACTCCTACGCCCCACTAGCTCACTTTCGATAGGAAACTATAGCAAAACATAAAAAGTAGGTTGCACCAGTGTACAAAACAACTTGGTGGCAACCATTTATAAAACACTACGACCTATGAATAATTTATTAGAAAGCTATGCTCACCTTCTCGGGAATGGGTTTGATTTCCGCAAAAATAGTCCGCCAATACGACCACGCGAACATAATCAGTAGAATATGATATAACACCAAATAGATACACTGTTGGACCGTACTCTCAATGGTAACTGTAAAGGAATTCATTATTGTGTAAACGTTACAAAATGCATACATAATTAATCTGTTATTTATTTACAATTTATTCAAATACTAACAAATGCACAATTGGATAACGTAGGCATAATAAGACCAAGTTATAATGGACACTATTAACAATACAGGGAGCCATTTAAAAGCTCTCCAACACCACATATTGCACGTTCTACAACACACACAATATCCAGGAGATGATACTCGATTGTTTTGCACAGATGATGCCATTATTAGTATTATACTACGAAACTGAAAATATCCATGTTCTCCTCACAAAAAGGACAATAAAAAGTGACAGACAATTCTGCAACCATTACCAGTTGCAATAAAACTAAAATCTATTTTGACAGCAGTCACTCTTCAAATATTTGTCTATGGTTTATTAGTCGAGTAATGGCATGATTAAAACTTTGGTTCTTAGGTTAACTAAATCCAGAGACAATTACTCCTAAGTCCATAAACAATCCTTCTATATTTAAGTTCTTTTTGGTATTTTGCTCTATGATTTCAGTGCTATCAACATACCCATTCGATTCAATGATAAATGTCAATTTGGGAGTTGGTTTCTATCTGTAGCATGAAAATCTTGTTGTTTTTGTAATAAAACGATTTCCAGAAACTTCATACTCAAATAGCGTTTCGTTTTAAATCATGGAGGTTAAAGAATGTAACGACTTAGCTGAAGAAGTAAGTACCCTCCGGATTTTTAAGCAGCTTTGTTTTGCTTGCGAAATATTGATTTACATTTACCATAATGACGTGTTTCAGAATCAATTCATTGTGGACGATGTGAGTAAAATTATTAAAGAAGCTATTGAGAATTCAATTGGAGGGACTGCCTATCAGCATAATAAAGTTAACCAGTGGACTTCCGCCGTTGTGGAATCTTGTTTGGGGCAATTGACCAAGCTACAAAAGCCTTATAAGTATATCGGTAAGTCGAAAGCATATACCCAAGTAGGTGCCTACCTACATGTTCACCGGCGTTTGAAACATAAATTCTCGCTGCGACATAATGCAGCGCCATTTAAATAAACTGCTTGGCTGAATTATTTTAATTGTGTAAGTTGATATTTGTGATTTTTTTTTGCAGTGACATGCACTATCCTGCAGAAGAATGGTGCTGGTCTACACACAGCTTCCTCTTGTTTCTGGGACAATAATACTGATGGCTCATGCACTGTGCGCTGGGAAAACAAGACCATGTACTGCATTGTCTCCGTGTTTGGCCTGGGAATCTAAATCTTCATAAATTACTTACACTTTTTTTTAAATTTAATTTTATATTCTGCGTAATATAGTAACAACCAGCCTTAGTATTGCTTAGAACTAACAAAATAAAAATATGCATCTTGTGAGTAAATTGGTAGTAAGATAATGGATTCTTTTGTTAGCTCAGACATTATTTTGATGAATAACAATTTGCAATAATAAAAATATGGAAACATTTATGGTATTGTAGGTCAAAAAAAAATTATTTGCTTATAGTAATAAATCTCTAAAAACAGCACAATCATCTATTAATTTTTCTCAGTTGTAATGGACATGTTTTATAGTCATTACTTAATTTTAAGTATGTAGGATATATTTTCTTACACAATAAAGTATCTCAAATGAGAATTTGTATTTTTATTTTTTATAAGGTTTATCTGTTTATTGCTTAATCAAGGACAATAAAATTTTTAGACCAATAATGTGGATGTAGCTGCATTTCACATGTATAGTCTTTATGATAATGTAATTATTTATAAATAGTGAGACAAGTAGATTAAAAATATATAATTTTCAATGAAAATATTAATATTTTAAACAAGAAAATCTGAAAGCACTTTCACTGTTGTAAAACTAGACTTGCCCTTAGTGAGCATACCTACACTATAGACAAGTGTGTAACAAATAAGTGAGTGAAACCACTGGGCACAACTAGTTATGAATAAAAAGGGTAGTAATAAAAACAGTACCGACAGCCTGTATCAGTCCACTGCAGGCTGGACTATTAACATATTGCGAGCGAGCGCGTGGCAAACTACCCTAACTCGCTGTCCGCAGACCCGCCGGTGGTCTGAGAATCCTGAGATCATCCTTAGATCCCCGGCGCCCGGAGTGTCGCCTACTGCGGCAGCTAGCGTGTGGAGGAGGATAACTCCCTCACGCAATCCTTTGCGAGCGTAACCGCTTCGCAGAAAGAGGAGACGGCTTCCCAGTTTCTCTCGCTTCGTACCATGCCTTGACCGAAGCCGGACGCGAGAGGTCGCCGTCGCCGGTCACTTCCGTGAGGACACGGCAGTTCTCAGCCCAAGCTGGGCACACCGCTACCGCGTCCGCTGGGTGGTCCTCACAATGACGACACCCGGCCGTTTCCTCTCGCCGGATCCGAAACAGGAACCTACTGAAGCTGCTGTGCCCGGTAAACACCTGCGGCAGGCAAAAGGTAAGGACGCCATGGCGTCACTCAAGCCACTCTTTAAAGAAGGGTCTTACCGCTGCTAAAACGGCGTGCCCGAGCACAAGTACCGCTGGATAAGCAACACGTTTTCTGTATTTGATTCCGGATATATTATCTTCTATATTATACCTATTATCGAGCTTGTTGTCATGATAGCCGTAAGACATCACTTTAAGGAGTGGCTTCGTCCTTCGTTTCAGATTACTGGGAGGAAACGCCCGTGATTCTTCACCGCGACGACCACTCAAAACACAAGGTAGTGCATACGGTGGCGGTGTGCTCTGCTGGGTTGAGTACCGCCTTGTCCTCAGGCAAGTTGACGGCGACACAAGCATAAAGGTCGTTTTTGACTGTTAATGCTGACTTTATGTCTACGTATAATGGCTGGTAAGTGGTATTCATCGAGGGCGCACGGTATCGCCCACCCTGGCCTACTCTATATCAATTTGTAACTTAACAGGGTGCAAATCAACAGCATTCATTATTATTCGTATGAAAACACAAACTTTTTTTGACATGCGATACTTTCAATACTTAGCGCGCAAAAGTGCCCGGCAGTGCGAGTCGTCCTTTGTTGTTGTCATTTTGCAAAGGACTACACTTGCCTGTTTGTACTAAAGCAATGTCGCAGAAACTGCGGAAATACCTATAGAAGAAGAGTCACAAGTTACTTCTATTCTCACCCACAGCACCCCGATTGTAGGACAAACGCAGAAGCTGATCTCTTAGCAAGCGCGGATCCAGCCTTCAAAAAGGTTGTGGTCACAGCTACTAGAAAATCGGTTAAGTACGAGTCGGAGCATGGACATGCTCATTAACAATCATGCAAATCGTTTATGAACTTTTGACTAATTCAAAAATTTAGGACTGTAAGTAAATAAACTTAGGTAGAAGTCGGACCCGATTTGTTCTAATTTCTAATAGTCAGTTTCGATCCAAACCTATTTCAATCACAAGTGTCTTAAGGTTGTGGGCATGCCTATCGTGCCCACAACGGTGGATCCGCCCTCGTCTCTTAGGTTCTGACGAAAAAACTCAGGAAAATCTCCGACACTTAACCCGTTAGGCTCAATAAAGATTTGAAGTTGCTAAATCTGTTAATGCGACCAGCCGCCAAGGGAATGGCACCGCAGGTGAATTTACTACGTGAATTATCACGTAGCCAGGTATTTTTTATGCTGCGATATGCGGTCGGTTCGGTTCGGTCAGGTCGGTCGGTCGGTTGTCTTACCCCGACCAAACCCAATTTCATAAGAATTTCTCACCTCAGCTTCAGCTTCAGCACAAAGACGATTTAATTTATTTCTTAATTATAAATTAGTCCCCGGAAAGGCACAAGTCTACATGTTCAAAAATAGAATTGCATCAACCATGTGCTAGGTCTACACCAAGGTTTTAGTAGTCATCTGTTTTTTATTTGTTTACATGTGCATAAGAGGCCTGGAGTCTTCAATAGCTTGAGAGACTTCACTCTGGTACAGCCAATTAATAAAGTGCAGATATGTAGTACTAGATACACTTTACCTCTCCATTTCCCGGTATTTTAAATTGGGTTCACTACTTGGTACTGCGTAGAGATGTAGATCTAAATGCATCTTCTATCATATTATTATGGACCTACGTATTCCATGCTATGGTGCTTCATTGAATTGTTCAGGCGGTTTCCAGTCCAGAAGTGTGTGTTTTTCGTAAACTGGTGCCCTAGGAACTTGCCTAAATTTGCCGTAGGAAAAATACGGGTCTGGCCAGTAACTCTGGTGGGCAGACACATCAAGATGCCATTAAATCCATGAAATTAGACAAATATTACACTAAATTGTCAATAATACGTAATTAAAAAGATTACTCACTTACAAAATATTTGTTCTTTCCTTACCTTGTAATAAATAGAGAAAATTAAGACCAACGCAGCATAGGAACAAAGATAATTAATTACTAAAAAAACAATTGATAATTCTACAACCGGATCAATAATTCTAAAAATCTAATTAAAGAAGTTAAGTTAAATTCACAATTATTAACGTTCATTTAATGATAAACAAAATCACAAAGAACAGTTATTTGAAAATTGGCGCGCTAACTACAGCGCTACATATTTGTGTCACGTGACCGTCATCGATCCAATGGTTGAACGCTTCTCGGGTCCATTCAACTCGGCTCGGCCATCGCCGGGGAGAGGGACACTTCACAACACCGATTCTATTCATACATAGGAAATATTTATATATCGCTGTCTCTTTTCCTCGTATTGAGAAATAATTAAATGAATGGTGAACGAGCGAAACAGGAATATGTTCGAGTGGAAATTATTGAAAGCTGGGCCAGGCCAGTCGCCATGTAGAATTTTTTGATGTGGGTGTTGTGTCTTGGGACGTCAAACGCTTCAATGATTATTATTTTCAAGTGGACAATAATTTTAGTGTAAATCGACATTTGACTATTCGGTTATTGTTAAAAGTGTATTTGGTGAACAATTGCTCATATTGCTTTGTGATCGTGAGCCATCTAATCTGGTGACGGTAGATAATAAACTGGAGGGGAGCTGCTAAAATACTACGATAGGATAGTAACGACGTTTTACAACTCGAGAGCGCTCATAAAATTTCTCATCTCGGTGCGGGCGAGTCGGACTTCCATTTTGTTTTATTATGTGGATTGGTTGTTTACACTGTGCGTCGTGTTGTGGACAATGGAAAGCGACGGTGAGTACTGCTATATCCAATACTACGTAGAGGAAATTAATATGATGTCTGCGCATGTAGGGCGCACATGACAATAAACATGCAACAGTGAATAAGTAATGGTATTCGATTTTATGCATCGCGAGGCGCAGCCGTCGTGGTAGCGGGTGTCATTAGTCATAGCGAGGAGCACGCGCCGGCAGCGGCTGTCGCCTTGCCCAGAGCTAGGTACGCGGCACACGTTGTTGGGCTAATTGATTTCAGTTAAATCTTAAGCATGCGCCGATCATGTGTAGGCCGCCTCAGAGTGTAGGTACATTGTGTGCGCGTTTACATCGTCCTTATCAGCTGATTACACTCGGCCAGTGCAGTGGCTACCGTGCACCACCAAATGTTTTTATTACTCGCGCACAATCTCGGATACTGGTGTTAATAATTCATCCACATCTTACTCTGTTCTTGTAAGTGTCCACAAATATTTTCTAAAATATTTGGCTTTGACCGCTTCTGCCTGTCTACCATTATTTAAAGCATGTAAAGATGTTGATGCTATTTTGTTTTATCAATCAATTAATTCACAATCTGCATTGTATAGCTACTTGGGTCTTTAGTAGGCAAGCGGCAACAATTCAAGTTGAAATACTCAATTTAATCAGACTAAAACTACATGATATGCAATTAAAAATAACCAGATTATTTATGTTGAGTGTTAATCGTATTTGGTGTACCTATGTTTGGAAAAAAATAAAAGACCTCTATAAGATAGGCACATAGTTATTTGAAGTACATTGTGGCATTTTGACAAAGCTATTGGGTAGAGATGTTTAGATATTTTTGTAATAATATTAAGTATGTTTACCAATATAATTTTCTCTCCTTACTTTTTAATAAAAATCTATTTTATCTGCACCAATATATTTTAAGAATTACTTAGTTTATTGTTATTATCACATCATCAGAATTAACTAGGTGTTGCACCCTATCAGAATCAAAATCATTGACAATGAAATATATTTAATACACAAGGATAAGCAATGTTATCCCTATAATTATATATTGAAACATATAATGTATATGTATGTAAATGTATTACTTCATACAGTTTGTATACTACCTCCACAATGTGCACAATACATTTTGAGGTGGAAGGTGAATACCAAATAATAGTAACACTACATAATTAGTTGGTTGTGTGACTCATAAACTGCGAGTATAATTTGTATACAAATAGAGGCTATATAAATACATTATTATACTTTTCATATCAGATTCATCCTGAACTATAGACCAAGGCCAGAGACGCTTGGGCCTAAACAAGTTTGAACATGTCTAATACATATTGAGTAGATAACAATGGGTAAAATTAAGAATTTGCTTTGGCTATATTGTGTATTATCAACTTTAAAGTTTAATACACTGACAAATAATAAATGTAAAAGTATAAAGTTTCTATTTTTTAAAATTCTTATATTGTGTTTTTGGGTCTGTTATTAGGTAAAGTCTTTCTTAATAATTTTGCACGGTCATAACTATTTCAAACAGGGAGGGAGGGAGGATTTGTCTAAAAAATGTATAATTAATTTTTGTTTGTGATAAAATTTGATGTTTTTTGTTAAAATTTCCTCTAAGCATTCAGTTTAGACAAACTGCAATTGAAATTTTATTAAAACTACATTTTTTACATATTCACAAACTAAGCTTCACAATTATGTATTCTAAGCACGCATATTATTGGTATATAGTTATTAGTTGCTGATTATTACACATACTTAGGCACTCCTAGCATTAATTCACAGTTGCTAACATAAGATGGTAACACAAAATAAGGGATTTACTTAAAAAGTGAACTAAAAAGGTAATAAAGAATGATTGAATAAAGGTATATTAGCAAGATAGGTGTAATTGATAGGTTTATTTATTTCAATTGAATGACAGAATTTATTCTAAATTGGTAAAATTTAAAAATGTATACAAAAGTTTTTTTTAATTGGCCATAAATATTTCTTTTAATTATTGAAATATCTAGCTGTGCCTATTGAGTTTACTCTCATACTAAATAGATAATTTGCCCAAGTTATTCTTTACAATGTGCTTATGACAGAAACTCCATAATATGAATATAAAAATCAAAAACTCTTTTAACTAAGGCTGAGTTGTGATTGGGTTATCAATTTTGCCCATAGCATAAAGAAAATAATCTCTATGATAATTCTAGTTGGGTAGTTAGTATGTTTTGAAATTAAAATAAATTGTGTTTTTGTGTAGGAAAAGTGGTTTTCATTACCCATTTTCACGAAATATCTACTTGTTTACTGTTTTCTTGTTTATCTGATAAGTAACGCCATAAAAGGTCACAAGAAGGTTGATAATTTCGTAATATTTTGCTTGTTTTCGTTTAGGTACTATACCTACTACACCACACCTACACGCCAATCATACTCACTTGTATTTGTATGTATACGTTAGCAAACTGATGTACCCTTGTCTCTATTGGTACCTACTCACTCTTACGTGGGAGTATAATAGTAAACAACTCGAACTACCTTCAAATAGTGAGGAAAATCTCCTAACTGTTCAATACTGGAGTTTAAACGTATTGGGTAACATATTATGTTGTAATAGTAAGTAACGTGTTACGTAACTATGTATAAGAAAGACCTAAATTTTAAACACCATCAAAAGCCTTGACGGCCTGTGACGTGAGTAGGGTTGCCAGATATTTTTATTTTATTTGGGAAACAAACAGATACATTGCATAAACAAAACAAACACAATTTAAACCAAACATCATCCAAAACAGTTTCCACAACCTTATTAAAACATCTAAGCCGACTCAGAATATTATTAAAACGGTTTAGTAGAATAAACATCAATAAAAAAAAAAACATTTGTATTAGACAAAATGGAATATCAAACAATTGGAGCAGGAACCAAACAACAACGAATGCTTTTTTTGAATTTGTGAAAAGGTGTGTCAAAAACATCCAGCAGATGATCACTATTTGATTTGATGACGGTATTGTATTATTTCCTAGACATTTCTGGAGCCACGAATCAAATCGGATTTGGTCACGGGTGGAAAAAAGTCATTTTAAGCCCCCAAATCTTCAAATCGCTAAGAGCTCACCAAGGGCCGGCAACGCACTTGTAAACCCTTGGTGTTGCAGGTGTCTCTATGGTCGACATCAATGGCTTACCATCAGGTGCACAGCCTGCTCGTTTGCCGACCTGTAGAATTAAAAAAGAAGTTCGCATCAAAATCTTAATGTGACTAGAGATGGTGATTGGTATTACAAAAATATTGTACTACAAAAATTATATGTTACATATCGTTAATTAATACATTACCATGTATAACAATGGAAATTGTTATCTCTTTTTACACGCTCTATGCAACGTCATAACGCTGTGTATATTTTTTATTTCTTGACATTATCTCCCATCAGCAAATAGGGTTTAGCATAATAATAATGAACGTTTTTATCTATTTAAAAAGAATTAAACCTAGACCAACCGACTTTTATTTTTTGAAATTGTAACTAAAAAATATTTCGGAGTCAATCGAGTTATGTTAAATTGAAAAGATCAATAGGTATCTGTTATGATTCAGAATTGAGGTAATCGCATATTTGAATAAAATGCCTAGGTTGTTAATTTAACGAAAGTTATGGGAGGCTCATCGCAGATGCACAAGTTGTAAAAAAAAACAAGGAAAAATATCACGGGCCACTCTATAGTATCAATGTTTTTATTTTCTGGATTTAGACATTATTTGAACCACAGAGTTTTAATCTTCGAGCCCGATACGCCATATTAATTAATTTTATGCAGTTAAAACACTAGAAAAATTGAATGCTCTTTTAAAGCTAGATGAAACTGGTAATAATGCCGTAGTTCGTACCGTGTATAAAAATTAAACAAAAGAGACCTCTTAGCCCCGGGTTATTGATCCGAGCTGAATCTATTTTAATTTAACTTAAAATAGCGAAGTGCTACGAATGCATTTGTCGGACATAATAATAAAAACTGCTCACGTAAAAATATAGGTACGTAGCGACTTGCATAAAAGATTACGCTGATTTGTGTAGAAAGACAAAAAGAGTTTTTATACCATTGCCCTATATATCAGGGCGGCAAACTAGCAGAAGGATCACCACAAGATAAGCAATCGGGGCCGCCAATGGACGCTCGCAACACCAGATAAGTTGGTGGCCTTTTGGGAATTAGGAATGGTAGGTTTGGGGAAGGACTAGGCCTCCACTAATTTCACTTAAAAGACAAAACCAAAAAGCGAAGTCACTCCATTTAATAGCGGACGAAGCGTGGCTCTGCCACATTATATATTTTTTTGACATCTACATATAGATTCCTGAAACTTAAATATATTCAGTTATCCATTATTTTATAGTAATACGTAAGTATTTTATGGCTTATTTTCTCAGGGACATTAAATGTGTGTTATTATTTTGTAACCGAACAATAACCGCCTCAGTATGGCGGCTTATATCAATTAAAATAGAGTTATAAATAGTTTTATCAATATATGATTCAAAGTAATGTTATAATAATCGTATCTCATAATGAACAAAATACTCAATGTCGGTTGATAGGTATTCTAATCGCCGCTTTTTTCCATTACTCATCACCGGTTTTTCATTCTTTTTTGTCTGTGATACCCATATAACTAGTTTTGTTGGAAGTCTAATCGTAAATCGATGTCTAGTTAGATCTTTAACTTACGTAGCTGAATATTTAGACTAGACTACCTAATTACCTATGTAATGAGATAATTTAATAGTTATCGCTAGTACCCAGTCGATCTCCAATTAATTCTGAGTTGATTATACGCGTATAAGCTCCTAGTTTTGTAATTTGAAGTGGACATTTGCACCTAAATTATTTTGTGCCATCTGATAACAAAGGTCAAAAATTTCATTGTCCGTATTCCGTACCGTAGTTAATTTCTAGGAACAGTCTATTGTTTTTTTGTGGTGTAGGAAAATAAGGCATACTAACTGGAAATTAAATACTGCGAATTGAAGTCCGTGAATCTAATTCAATGCGATCAGAAATCTCCTTTTATTACGCTTGCTGACCTTTCTTACCTGATATTTCAATGGAAGTTCTTCTTGTGCTTAAGTTGTAGGCTTACCCTGTTTCCATTTTATTGCAATTACGACATTTACTTAACAAACAACGTGTCGTACCGGGAGGGTGGGTTCGGCAGGGTCTTGACCCCACAAACCCACACACCGTAACAAGTAACAACTTGACTGAGTAAATATAAAGAAATTGCGTAATGCATCAGCAGATCATGCTACTCCTCCTTTTCTGCATTGAAAATGCAAAATGAAATGTAAAAATTCCATTATTGCAGCCAGAACCAATTTCTTTGTCTGCATTTCCTATTTTTATAGGTTCGCTTAAAACCATTTCGCTGTCCAATTCCAACTGTCCGACGGGTATGCCTTTAACAGGCTCCACTTTTGGAATTAGATTAAAAATAAAACCACCTGGAAAACTGGGATGCCTGCAAAATTAGGACGGAGCCGGTCGATCCGCAACTAAATTACAATCGTAATCTCATCATGAGAGCCACTATTTTTCTCCGACTAGCTTAAATACGCGGACAGGCAGGTTTTATGAGTCACTTTCTGTGATTCAGTTGGTTGTAAACATGCACAGAGTAACACTCTTTATTGTAAACGTTACAAAGTGTATTTTCGTTTAATACTGTTTAACACTTAACTAAGAATATTAATATTGTTGTCATGAGTATTAACTCCTCGTATCTTGGGCTTTTTGCGTTCACGTATCATGCTTCAATAAGGTCATACTGATTTAATCATTAGGGTTGCCATTTCGAAATGTGCAGCAATGGTGGCTTTTCCGATCCAGTTAATTGCTTGTTTTAATTACCAGTCAGTGTAGCACAATAACGAATGTAAAATAGAAAATGTTATATAATTTTATTAATTCTATTAACTTATAACGAACTTCACGAGATATCAGCTCAGACCGTTCCGGATATCTCCATCCAAAAGTAGGACAAGTTCTGAGAAACCAGGACGGCTTCAACCCTAGATAAATATCGAGATACAGTGCGCGTAGTACAGAGGTGACTGACCACTAGAGATGCCTAATGGACATTAGATACAACAGGTATTAACTTAGTTACAGCACAGATAAATTATTAGACCTCTAAGTCCTTGTTATGTACGTAATAGTTATAATATTTTTAAATGCCGTTTTTGTAAACCTGTGTATTAACCACATCTTACATTGATTTGATATCAACAGTTATAATGTACACTATACGATCTTTTGACTTTTCAATCGTGCTAATTCGAGATCGACAATAGGTGCGCGAACGCCGGCGTTTGCTTGGGCTTTGGTGATTTAAATGATAAACATTTTATGTGAGCTGTGCTAATGCAAATATCACCATAATATGATTAAAACTTATTCTTTTTTTTCAGTATTATGGACCTAGTCGATGATAATTTATTACTAGCGATTAAGAGCGAGTGGGTGTCAGCAGATTTTTCTTTATTAATTTTTTTGTTGTTTTCTTTAATGATTGTCACCTGTAGTCATGAGGTGAAAGAGGTTGAGAAATACTCATAGCTTATGTAATTTAATGAGACGTTATCAACGAATAGTTCTACGATAGAGTGATCGCGAATGCTTTCTAGTTCTTACTAAAATTTACTTGCAGATTATGCAGGATCTCTTTAAAAAACAACGTAGGTACCCTCCATATTATGATCACTCTATTCGAACGAATTCGAATTGTATTCTAATAAAAGTGTAAAGTTTTTTTCACCTGCGGAATAAGGGTCATAATAAAAATGCATCTTGTGAAGTTTTATGCGGAATATGAAATTCCACGCTACGCACTGTCGATCTCTTCTTGGTCTAATAGGCGGTGTTCGTACAAAGCGACATTGTCATAATGATTCGTAATTTTATCTACAGCACAAATACAATGCCTGTTTCGTTTCGTTTCGTTTTAAATAGATCAACAGACTAATGTATCCAGCAAAGTAGGTCACCATTGGAACGTAATAGATCTAAAGTTTATTTGGACAATTTGAAAGTCGGTTCTGCAGTTTTCCAGGCTCATCATTATGAACTGTACGAAAATAGATATTAACAAATTAGTTCTTCACTACGCAGTTGAATGAATGAATGATTTCCTTGTATAATCAATAGCTGACAAGCCAGATTACGTAGATTAGCTAAGTGTGACACCTTGATATTGATATCATATCCAAACTTTAGAATGTAACACTGTAGATAAATGTTATAATACTTGTGATATTGTTGAAACACACACGTATACACGAAAAAGTATTTGCAAGGGAACGTAGTAAACAAAATCAGTTTTGCCGGTATCTTAGTAGAAAATTATCAGTTGTTTTCTGAAAAGGTGTTACTGAAGATTACCAGGACAGTTGGTGCCCTGCACTCGTCACACAAAACTGGATATTGGGTATGACTAATGTTATTTTTAAAATACAATTGGTAATAAAATAATATCTACGCTGTACACTTACATTTATCGTAATCCACGTGACGCAATCCTTTAGAATTTGATGAGACAGTCGAGCTCGTACGACAGAACACAAACACTGAATCATCGTTGGAGTAATGCTAATAATTCAGACGCGGAGTACTCTTACGGTCGCTTTTAATAATAATCTTTGGGATTGAGATTGACTTTATTTATAGACCTTATTTCTTTTAGTTACTGTAAAAGTCTAACGATCCAAATATTTTGGATTTAAATGGACAGAATTTTACTACTATTTTTCCCGAACATCAGCGCGTTTGTGTGGTTAATGGTCAGGAAGTGTGGAAGGATCTTAGTAGGTGAAGGACTCTATAATGTCTGCTTTGTAACACAGGCTTTAAATGTAGGTATTTATGCTTATTGTTTTTTTTTGTTACAGGCATGCGTTACGCGCAGGATTAATGACAAGTGGTAGCGGGCGGTGGTGATGCAGCGAGCTCACGGGGGCGGCGCCCCGCATTCGCAGGCCTCCGCCACCGCTCACACTAACGTACGCACACACAACTCTTACGCGGACATCGATGATCAGGTACTTGAAGACTTCTTACAGTTACCTTTGTAACGATTGTATCAAATGAGAGATTGCTCGAAATCCGAAGGCATGTACTGTGATTTTCGAGCCTTTTAAAACTTTATGTGTGCATAAAAGCTTCACTGAGTAGTGCAAAAAAGCACCACAGGTATTTCTTCAATGCAGTTTTTACACGACGCTTCCTTTGTAGTGCACTTTCTTTTTGCACCGTTAACGGAAGGCTGAGTGCACTGTCTACCTTTTTTATTTAGGTCACTTTAGGATAATCTCCTCTCTTTTTGTTTCGGTGACAAACCATCCGCCATCTTTTTAAAATGTTCTGTGTTCAATTTTTGAAGCAAAAAGGAAAATATTGTGCGTTAGTTAATGATGGTTTAGGACAATGTAATCGCTAAATTGTACCGACATTCAGTTGTAAATAGAGTAACAATAATAGTGCACGATTTATTTATGCAATGGAATATAATATATAGTCGTTTTCCGCGTTAAATTTGGTTTTACATTTTTTCCCAATTTATCCGTCTGAACATTTTAGGTATTTTCGTTATTTCAGTAAATTAATGTTTGTCTTAAACAATATTTTTAATAAATTCAATGTTAAAAATGTCTTGATCGATCAGTCACCCATTCAACACAAAGCATTTAATTTAATACGTACATAATATGTATAGATTATTTTATTTATTTACTATTACTATACAAATTACTGTAACAATTTGTTATTAATACGTATTACCCTGTAACGTGTCGTATCAGTCATAGAAGGAATATCTTATGAATAACCGAGCACATGACGAATGTCATTAAAGCCATTATACTTATCGTTCGGCCATTGATTTCATGGTGTTGCCGTGTTCGACATGAATGGAGGTGATACAATATTAATGAGTACCTTTATTTAATCGTGTAAAGACTAATTATTTGTTTATTTCACAAATAATTACGTATTACCGATGCCAATACATAATTCCAATATTAAATAAACGAAATTGGCTCCACAAAATTGGGCGTGCTATGCATGTTTTCTCGAACATTGCACTTAAATACTCTTCCTGTTTATAGACATGTAGCTATTTAACGGCTATTTAATACAAATAAATATATACTTAGGTAAGCTTTGTTCAACAAGGAAAACTAAGTTGTTTAAATTCCAACCATCATCACTAGAGCATATATTTAAATATGGGTTTTTGTTACAGATACCTGCTTCCGTGATAAGTAGTGTGGGCACAGTAAGCCTGTCTCAATCTTCAACGCACCCCACTACCAATATAACGATGGCCAACCCCACGAACCTGGGCAACGCCAGCAGCAATGCGCAGCCGGCTGCCCAACAGACACCAACCCAAGCACCCGTACGAAACTTGCCCAAGAAACGGAAGTTTGACCCATCAGTGCTGGAAGAAATGAGTTGTGCGAATAACAACACTGTGAACGCGCCGCTCCCCGTGGAGTACCAGCCGCAGTACCAACAATCAGTGCTGCAGCCGTCTCCAATAATCCAGCGCTCTTCTCCGCCATCAGAAATGAAGTCATACATCAATTCTTACCCCAATATTGACCTGTCAGAGTGGCGGGACCACAGGGTGCTGGCAAAACAGCGAGGATTGTACGTTCCTGGAGTGATTCGTCAGGCTGAGGGTTGTAAAGTGGTAGTGGAGCTCGACGGTCTTGAGAACGAGCCGGTGGAGTACAGTGATGTGTTTGGTGTGAATAAGAACGATGTGATAAGTGATGCGAGCCCCCAAATGAGCCATCTGCACATGGGCTCGCTGTGTGTCGTGAGGACTACGGACCCCTGCCGCGAGAATGTGCAAAATGTTTTCGTTGAAGGTCTCGTGTACGAAGTGCTTAATTCTCCTATAAGGATTAGAGTTAAGGTGAGTTACTATTTACATTTATTTGTTTACTATAATATCCTGTTTGTAGTTTACGCCCAATGTGGGATTCCCAAAAGATATGCATATTATGGTAATAAAAAAAAAATTGTTCGGGAGGAGAATTTAGTTAATAAAACTTATTATCTTGAAAGTTACAAATCGCTTCCAACCCAAATTCTTAGGTATCTTAATTTAAGACCATTTTTATTCTCCCTCGTCCCCGCAGCGAAATAATTCAGTGTGGATTATCATTGCATTAAAAAAGTGTAGGTAATAGGTAAATAGAAAATTACTTACATATCGCTCAATGATTGAAAAAATCCTGAATAAGACGGAATTTACCACCTTGTGAAAATCATTACTTGATTTGTAAAGAACTAACTCTTACAAGCAATTAAATACAACTAGAAGAAAAAAAAACAAGAGCCATGTTCTTATTGTTGTTTGTTAGACCTTTAGTTACAATAAATATTGATGGCAGTAACATTCACTTCTTAAAAAGCTGAACAGTTTGTTTGAACACGATAATCTCCAGAACTACTGGTTCAAATTCGACAGTTATTTTTGTGTTTGTCGGGGAAGCATTGGCATATAAAACATCATGCTAGGGCCAATAGTAGCTGAGATGCGGGTAAAAACTAGCGTGAGAGGTTAGTTAAAAATAAATTAGTAACAAATAAACTGCGTTAATAAAGCCGAATTCAAAACTAAAAATATCTAAAAAACTAAAAATAATAACGTTATTTAGTACGCAGGTACGAAAATAAAGATTGATTCACTACAGATAGTAACTGTTGTTTGGCTGCAACGACCAATGGTTCCAAAATATTTACTTGTTCATTAAAAACTCCTTAGTATAACAATAGTAATTGACGCTTGTATTGAGAGTCCTTACTATTACCTGCGTACCGCATAAGTGTAAATGCTAATCATGCTTGGGCACGAGTGATTCCACGGCCCTTGTGGCGTGAATCAACGTTTGCGTTGTGTTTCGCCGTGTGAATGAAGTTGCTGCAGGCCCTATCTCCAAATCCTTAACAACTCACAAAAGGCTACGCATTTGGAGCAACACTCCCACCGTCAAGAGCACAAATAAAATACTTAAACAAATTTAGAACAAAATGTAATTTGTTATAGTCGCGTATATACTTCGCAAATATTTTATTAAGTATGCACGTTGTACGCGCCTCAACACCTACAGTTACTCAATACTTACTCGAAATTTTTTTTTCGTAAAGAAGTTTAAGTATGGGAGAGCCAAGCTTCGGCATGAATGGGTCCGCTCGACCGGAGTGATACCACGGCCTCACAGAATACCGGCGTGAAACAACCCACAGCGTTGTGTTTCGCCGTGTGAGTGAGGTTACCGGAGGCCCAATCCCTCCCTGTCCCCTATCCTCTCCCAATCCTTATATCCGCAACCCCTATCCCCAAAAGGCCGGCAACGCACTCGTAACTCCTTTGGTATTGCGGGTGTCCATGGGCGGCGTCGATTGCTTACCATCAGGTAATGCGTCTGCTCGTTTCCCGACTTATCCCATAAAAAAAAGAAAACAAAATATGTAAATCGTGACCACCAAAAGACGTTTAAGAGCTTCTTAGGAGTAAGTACCTAATTAGGAATTAAAATACGTTAGTCATAATACGGTAGTTTCCAACTAGTCAAATTCAATACTTTTATCCAAACGTCAAAAACGATACTTTTCTATGAAATTTGTATGAAAAACTGAGCTGTGACGTTATAACATTTTTGCGTCAAATAGCTTACTTATTTCACAATAATTAGCTATAAAAAATCTAAAACTTGGTGTATCGATCGATCGATGAATAAAAGTAAAGTTATTTTTCAATATAGCTGTGTATTATGTGTTCGCTATGTTATTCCCCTCGTTCATCAAATACGCGTACTTAAGTATAATAAATACGTCCCTATCAATATATTCAACAACTTTTATAATGTACAAAACTATTACTATGGAACTTCCTGCTTAGTGTGGTAAATTATACTGGATCTTGTTTTAACTTTTTACAATGTAACTATGTTGGCTCTTGTTAGGGTTGCCAACCGTACTCTAAAAAATAGAGAGATCCTCTATATCATGTGGTCGTACTCTATAATCTATTACACTAGTAAAGTACGCTAAAATACTCTTTTTTACAAAAGAGTGAAAGAGAATAGAGGAACAGAGCTTAATTGAATTTAATCAAAAATGAGAGTTAGAATGTTTAGACTCATTCAATATCTTTAAAAATAATGAAATATGTTATGTGCTGCAAGAAGTACTAAAAATTATCTTTATAAAAGATAAAAATAAATGATACTCTTTTTTATAAATGCATACTCTTTATTTACCTCCTTATATCTGATTTTAAAATCATATATAAGTACTTTATTTCTGCTAAAAAAAAGTTGGCAACCCTAGCTCTTGTATTTGTATATTACTCAGTTGGTTACATGCCTTCGAAATATTTTTTTATGTGATAGTAACCCTATGGTAAACAATCGACGCTGCCCATGATGTTCATGTTAAGAATGCGCTTTTGGACTTTTGGCATTTAAGGATTAGGAAAGGGTGAAGGGGAAGGGTCTAGTTATGCCTCCACCAACCTGGTCCATATGGGAAAACACAACTCTTTGTTTGAAGCCGGTTCTCTTTATGGCCGTTTTAACACTCCGTGTATCGAAATTTCACTACATATTTGGTTTCTGCAGTTTTAGTACTAAACTTAAATGTCTGTAAAAAAAATTGCTGAGGTAAGCCGAAATTAGGAAATCCTTTATTTTCCTATCATAGGATATTTTTTTAATAAATATTGTAATCGATTAGTATTAATTTATAGCAAGTATGATTGGAGGTAAATTTGAACCATGATGAATACCTAGGTAATAATTACATATATTGCACTGTCTATTTTTGTTTTCATACAAGTAACATTATGTAACAATTGTGCTTTAGGTAACAGACGGTGATCTCTGCAAAGAAATGGTGGAAGTGAAGAGAGCTGATATCAGACTGCTGCAGCCTCCTTGGGCGGACGAGCTGGAGGATGCTGGCACCCACACCTCGTCTTCCATGCACCCCTCGCTGCGAATACATCATGTCCCTTCTCAGGTATGTTACAACTATCATCATCACATCATTGTAACCTCAGCCAAAAGACGTTCCCTTCTCAACATATGCCCGTCTGATGATCTTCTAAATTAGTTGGTTAGAACTGATGGCAGAAGTTATGTCAATTCTAAGATGATGATGATTAAGAGGCATTCAAAAGAAAAAGATATAGAATAAGGATATCTTCTCTCTCTTCCGTTTATTCTTGCGCTTCCGTCTCTTTCCTGGAATGAATCCTACTAAAATTATAAACCCGGAAATCTGTAAGTATTGAATAGATGTTTGTTAGTCTTTTACGTTAAAACTACTGAATGGATTTTGATAAAAATAAACATAGATTATAGTCTAGGATAACACATTAGCATCTTTTAATCTGGGTTACGGACTGTACGCGCTGTCAGAAGGTATTTAAATATAAATTAAAAAGAAAAACATACAAACATAGAATACAATGTTTGCACACGCATTAATAATATTTCACGCACGGTTCCTATTCATGTATTAGTTAGTTATTTGATTAGTCAAAATGTTATTAACGAACTTTTAATTAATTGATTGATTATAATTTAATAACTACATAATATGTTTAGATGGGTGGCGACAACTTCTACACGTCATCTCCGATGCCAGGCGCGGGCGCCGGTGGCGTAGTGACCGTTGGTGCGTTGTCCAATGGATCAATGGACGACTTGCGCAAACGGCAGCCCTTCGACGATTACGGAGAAAGCGACGACGATTTGCGACGAGAGGATATTATGTTCCCCGCTGATGTCTCGCATATGGGTAACTATTGTTTTATAAAACTGACTTACGAAGACGATACTTCACGACATGTTCCATTTTATAAAAATTGAAGATGCAGTACGCGAAATGCGCCTGAATTGTGGGCCCAAATTGTTATTTTTCTGCTAAAAAGATGATGGGAAGTAAATGTATGTTTAATAGGTTCTCAGGCCCTTCAAAAAGAGCCAGGGCCTCGGCCTAGCGCAGGAGCAGGAACAGGGGGGGTTTTAGTTAGTAAGAGACAGATACTCCGTCGCGCCTCTATATTACTTATTTGTTATCGTTAGTTCTTTTTTTTCACTTCTGTTACACACTGTGTCTTATATTTTAATTATATTTCCTGTCTCAGGTCTACTGGGAGAAATTCCAACAGGAATAAGTAGCACCTATGTACTCTTATTTAATTATGTATTTTCCTCTGTGCTGTTTGTGTGTACATAAATTATTAAATACATAAATAAATAAAACAGTTTCTAGTTATTCTTAATATCAAAAATGATTTTTTGGCAAAAATCTCGTGAACATCATGATACACTTATTAACTACGTTAGTCTTAGAAACTACCACATAGATTGGTTGGTACGTACGTAACCGTACCCGTGTTTACGGGTATGTAATGTACGTAAAAAGTATTGTCGTGACGTCATTTCATCGAAGTTCGTGCCATCTTGAATGTATTTTAGATAGAAATTTAATGATCATCAGATATTTAAAAAAAAAAACACATTTTTACCGACTTCAAAAAAAGGAGTAGGTACTATGTTCGGCTGATTGTTTAAATCATGTTTAAGAAATCAAATTGTGTGGACTTTAAAACAAATGAATAAGAAAATTCTATTACCATTCAACATTAACTACAACTAGTTTCAAGAATTATATTTCAAACGATAGCATAGTTTTTTTGTCTGTGTACCTCTCTCGTGGTCAGCTTCCGACCGCTGACAGGTACACTGCCATCAATCCTTAAAGGTGCAAAAAAGGGTTTCCATTGAAATATATATGAACATTGAGTTGATCCATTCATATCCACATTTACGTGTAATTTTATAATATTCACTATTAGCACAGACCAGAGACTATTTTGTAGAGGTTCCCAAACTTATTTTTCCTAATAAAATTAACGCCCCTATTTTAATAAAATTATAAAAATATATAAATATGTATTTTATATGAAATGATAAATGAAAATAGTGGAAGACACTCATTCACTCATTTTTGTCCTTATTATTATTCTGGAAATTTAATAATAGGTTCCATGTTTATTTTCACATAATTTACTAGTTAACCTTTTAACCACCTGACTTCAAAACTAGTTTATTAGTTATTTCAAAATTAGCTACAGCTACTGTTATCTTTATTCTTTATATATAAAAATGGATCGCAAAATGTGTTGGTAAGCGCATAACTCAACAACGCCTGGACCAATTTTGCTAATTCTTTTTTTGTTGTGTTTGTTATTGTCAGGAGAAGGTTCTTATCAAAGGAAAATATTAGAAAAGTAGAGGGGAACATTAGATAAAAGTGACCCTTTGATAGCGAGATAGTTGGACCCGTGCGCAGCGGGAGTGGGCCGCTAGTTAATTAATAGTTACAGGTTTCAAAATCAACTCTCGCCCAGGGTAGGGCTAGACGGAGTTCCAGAATCTTACTGACTTAATATAATGCCGTTCCTTCTCCTGCTCTAGATCAAGGCCACGTTTTATTATTGCGCTTCACGTTTCATTCAAATCAATAAAGGGCTTGGTTAAGTTTTTGTTAAGCTTTATAACGGGTTTTTAGATTGCAGTCCCTTAATGCAGTCTTATTGGTAGTGAAAAATTGGCATTTAATTAATTGGTAGTGAATGCTGTAACTTTGTAGAATTAATTTATAATTGCTTTGAAATAACAGATATTACAAGGTCATAAAAAACTGTAATCTTGGAGTACCTACGTCACCAAATCTATTTCGGTCGATAGGAACGGCTAAAATAATAGTTTTATTACTCATGTACCTAGTTGCGAATAAAATTCACCTCAGTGAGTGTGACATTAATGAAAATAATTTCCTTGTCTACTGATATTTATGACTACTATTATGTCATTTAGAACAACATTTTGATTGAGTTTACTGGTGAAGTTTTCTTGCCGGCTAATATAATGTATGGTCCTTATGTACTATGCTTCCTTAGGATGTTTTGAGCTAGTAGTGCTAATGAGTTTGGCTTATTCATAAGGGAAGAAATCGTCAAATGAAATCTCCCGCCCTCAAGTGGTGCGAGAGAGAGTGTCAGACTCTTACTGACTAAAAATCATCCTGTTCCTTCTCCTGCTGCAGGCCCGGGCTTATTATGCGTGAACTGCGACCCCAGCGACTCTGGCGTACATTCAGTCACAATGTTGTTCTCGAATAAATTAGATTTAATCTATTTGTTATATTTTTATTCTTGGTGTAGACTGACTTAGGTATTAGTTACACAGTCAGGAACTGCTCTGAACTTTGGGATGCATTGATTATTGATTATATCTATACTAATATTATGAAGAGGTAAAGTTTGTATGTAAGGGGTAATCTATGGAACCGCTAATCGGATTTCCATTATACTTTCACTGATAGATCAATGTTCAGCTTCAATGTTCCTGAGTGCTATTAGTTATAAGAGATCATTAAATGGAGCCGAGCAGCGGGTGAAACCGCGCGGGAGTAGCTAGTATTTTTATAAATTTATCTCGTGTTAATTTATATATATGAATAATTATTTTAATGTGGTACGGTGCTAAACAAGCGTACGTATTACCCGATGGTAAGCAAGCGGCGCTTTGGGATAAGAGGATTTAGGTTTCGGGGAGGTATGGGGGCAGGCACAGGAACGATTGAGCCTCCAGTAACCTTACTCATACGGCGAAATACAACACTGGTTGTTTTACGGTGGGTTACTGTGAGGCCGTAGAGTATTACTCCTGTCGAGCCGGCCCGTTCGTCCAGAAGCATAGCTCTCCGACACTTAAAACTTGGCTTTAGACATATGTATAAGTGTATCCTTATTTACCTCGACCTATTTATTATTTTATCGGTATTTTTTAGTTCTTGGTCAATGCGGTATAATTATCTAGTAGTTATCAACGTGAGCTGCATTTAAATTATCGACTAGACATGGGCAGTGCGATACGATTTTGTTTTTTTGTGTTGAAGTCACCACATATAGGTAATTTCTGTCTTGTACTTTCGTATCTAAATAGGTAAAAATTTATCAGTTAAAAGTTTGGGTATTAAATAATAGCAATGTATTTGTCAGCAGATTGCAGTAACAGTAAACGCAGCAGTCTTCAAAGCCGAGGCAGCACATCCAGTTTGCTGGAGAGAAGTCTCACACCAAGATCCCAGCCTCCTACTCCTAGGTAAGTTAATGAAGAAAACCTAAGTTTATGGACTTAGTTGAAAATTACCAAGAACTTGCTATTCTTGTACAAACTAATTATTATTATTATTCTTGTGCACATACAAATTGCGATTAAAAAATGGGCATCTTCCAGCTTGATATGCATATGCCCAAAACACGAGGCTAATATGCCTGTAATACAAAAACCGACTTTATTAAGAAAAAAGTGTAAAATATCGGCTGCACACTAACAACCTCTCTTATCAACCCACGCTATAATATCTTCGGCTTAAACTTGAAAAAATCTTTCTTATTTATGGTGGATATGGAAATACAGTATGAAATATTTTGAATTTAAAAGTATAGCATATCTTCAATGTATCTTTATCTTTATGTAATTTTGATAAATTCTATGAAGTGTTTTATTATAAATCTTACCTCTATTTCAGATCTCAAGCGGCAACCCCGCACAAATATAAAAAAGGGGATGTGGTGTCCACCCCGACTGGAATCAGAAAGAAGTTCAACGGTAAGCAGTGGCGCCGTCTCTGCTCCAAGGACGGTTGCACCAAGGAGAGTCAACGGCGGGGCTTCTGTTCCCGACACCTGTCTCTGCGAGGAGTCACGAGATCCTCCAACACTCCATTGGCACAGGGATCTGCTCATACTCCACAACAAAGGCAAGTTATTATATGTATACTCGCACTCACACTTCAATATCTGTCACAGTCTTCTGCCGAGTCTACCTAACTACTAAGTACTAACTGCCCTGCATGCAGTTCCACAGCAGAGATAGCCTATTTCTTACAGACTTAAAAAATAATTCAGATCCACTAGTAAGTTTTTACGTGAAAGAGTAAAATTCATTCAGATCCATTAGTAGTTTTTACGAGAAAGAGTAAAAAACTGCCATGCCATGCTTCTGTGCAAAATATATAGGTTTTAGAAGGATTAAAATACTCCATACTTTTACTTTTTTTGTATGGCATCCTCTTCTTATGAATGGATGAATATGGTTCTTGAACTTAAAAACGACAAAATATGCGTCCCCAAGGTCTTCACACTATGGATATTGTACGCATAATATTAGTAGGTTCACATTTAAATATCTTATGGGATAACAGCATGAATGAATTTACTTGTATTATGTATTTTAGGATCTCTAAATATGTGTCTAAACAATGTATATTGTATATTCATCAAAGAGTTGGATAAGACATAAAAAGACTACATCAGCTTGGTAAATAACTTACGTTGCAATAAAAAAATATGCAAGCCATACATACAATAAAGTATTTTTTTATTGAAATATTTCATATATAATACAAGTATTTGAAAAGAGACATGTTTATAAAATCGTCTTAATTATAAATTACATTTTTCATTCAAGCTGTCAAGATTTTATTTGACGTATGCGGCGAAATAAATCATAGAGTATAGATATTTTTGTAATAACAGTGTTCAAAATGATTTTTTTTATGTTTAGACTTGATGAATGATTATATAATTATTTATGTATGTCAGAACAACCATAATCTGCTTCACACACCTATTAATTATTTATTTACTATTATTCCGTCTTCAATTTTTAACTTTAGTGGTGATTCGTGATATCGTAATCGTTGTTTCTTTAATTTAATATCATGGGGTAATGTTTCTTTTTTTCTTATTTAGTTTTTTTTTTGGTAAGAGGAAAGTCATTAAATGACTTCTCCCGCCCTGTGTCAGACTCTTACTGACTAAAAATCACCCCGTTCCTTCTATTGCTCTGAGCCGAGGTCTCGGTGCCTCATTGCGTTTGCCCTGCATCCCCGGCTGAACATCAGCCCTGTAGGGCCCCGTCGGTGGCGATCTATTGACTCTTTGAGGCGCGCGCGGAACGCGCCGTACGCTCAGGTCTAGTTCTGGTCGGACAGCAAGTTACCCTTGCTAGCCGTCTGCAAACTGGAGTTTACATCGTCTCTCGGTCCCCGACGCCCGGAGTGTCGCCTATTGCGGCATCTTGGACATGAGGTGGACGAAAGCTCCCTTACGCGATCCGCCTCCTTCGTTGCGAGCATAACTGCTTCACAAAAAGAGGAGGAGGCGTCCGCGTTCCTCTCGCTCCGCCGATCACTGCCCTGAGGACACGACGGTGCTTAGCGCAAGCAATTATTTAGGTTGCAGATTTATTATATGTACCGTAAGTTTGGGTTACTTTGATCCAAACCCAAAAATGTTGTTTTGGGAAAGTCAGCAAAACTAGGATAAATAAACATCCGTGGAAGGGATAGGTAGATGGTAGTACTGACTTATTTTGCTGTTGTAATACAGCTATTGCATGGTACGTCCACACTTGTAATCTTGCCGTTTTGATATGCCACGCCTTCGAGTTGCCGGCAACGCAAAACCTAAGCATGATAGATAATTATCACAATAATAGAAACTCGTTACTTACGTTAAGATAATAGTAATTTTAGGGATTATATACTTAGTTGTTATACATAATATATCTATATTTATTCATAACTAGCTCTTATCCGCGGCGTCGCTCCCGTCATTTGACTATTTAGAGGTATGAGAGAACAGGGTGGAATGTTCCTCATCCTCCATTGAAAAGGGAGGGTCCTCCGACCAAGCGAGGTGTTCGTGCCCGGCGGGCTACTGCCACACGGTTGTTGTCGGGATTTTTGTATAGGTTCTAATTGTGTAGAGAACTCTCGCGATGTAGAATCTTGCACGTGATTGGTGCTGTTGTTAATGTTGTGTGATAGATGTCGCTACAACTACCTACCCTACTTTACCTACCCTACTCTACCTACCCTACTCTACCTTCCCTACTCTACCTACCCTACTCTACCTACCCTACTCTGCCTACACTACTCTACCTACCCTACTCTACCTACCGTACTCTACCTACCCTACTCTACCTACCCTAATCTAACTGCCCTACTCTACCTACCCTACTCTACCTAACCTACACTACCTACTCCTCCTACCTACAACCTACACTTTCCTATCCTATGTCCTGGCTCTAAACTACCTCTCTGCCAATTTTCAGCTAAATCGGTTCAGCCGTTCTTGAGTTATAAGTGGAGTAACTAACACGACTTTCTTTTATATATTATATAGATTACAACAAAACAGTTAAATAAATATTTTGGTCCCATTTTATAATGTCTGACTAGCCACTGTGTATACTATATACTCGGTTTCGCTCTTTTTAGACACAGTATGGTTCTTCACATTTATTAAAGCTTTAAAAGAGCGCAACTGAGCACCGTATTAGTTTGTCCAATGTCCTGATGAATAAAAAACATGATTGGTATGAACTATTTGCTACATAGGTTTATCATACACTTATTATATGAAAGTAAATTATATTAACACAAGAATCTTTGGTTTGTGAAAGAATAAAAAAATTCTAATATTATGTATTTTTTACAGAAGCAGTAGTAAATCTCTATCTTCAAGTGGCACAGGAGTTGAAGGCGATGAGACGTCGCGTGAGTCTGACACCACGCCACCGCACTACCGCGTCACCGGGAGGTTCGATTCTGATGAAACCGAGGCTGCTAATATGTTAGGTAAATTTCTATATGGCAACAAATTGCGAAACAAATTTGTTTATCCTACTATTAGCTGTGCCCTGTGGTTTAAACATTTTCTTTTATAGGAATTATCTCCTGAAAATGACAAATGTTTTAAAAAGAGTTATCTGAATCGGTAGCCGTTGACGCTTAATGCCATGCCCAGGTAAAATCCCAAATTATTATCCCTTGGACTTGGCATCAAGCGATTCATGACATCATGAGATTCATTTCTATGTAATATTCTTAATAATCTCGTATTTTCTGTACTACTCGACCGATTTAGATTAAGTTTTTTTCGCATTATAAAATACATACTCTTATACTCCTTCTTTACTCTAATTGGTTAATGAGACTTTAAGTAAATATATTTTTGTTACAGTATCACTGGGTAGCTCACGATCGGGCAGTCCCGGTGCTTCGCCCGTGGGTGGGGGCGGGTCCCCCGGCCTTCGCAATAATCTGTTCGTGCCCATATCCTCGCCACAGCCGCAGCCTCATCACCCGGCGGCTTTGTACCACCATCATTTAATAAGGTTGGTATAAAACATGATAAAAGGCAATATTTTTTTTTATAAATGAACATAAGACTTATATTCGCCAATTCTTCTTTATCCCAACTTCAGTTTATCTTTTTATGGGGTAGGGCAGCGAAGATCCTAGCTGTGAGATCACTTTATAGAAATTGATCGGTTGGAAATCACAAGAGGAGTTAAAAATATGTTACCTTTTGAGGATTTGAAGATTGAAGGACCTCCGGTTTCTGGTCTTTTATATTAATGGGTGTTTGTTATTCTGTTATTATTATTGATTCATTTTCCTTTTATAACTAAGATTAATAAACACTCTTTCTTCAAAATGTAATATAATATTATTTGAATAGTTAATAAATGTTTACTTTTATTTTAGGCCTGAATTAGTCCGACCTAGCCGGGTCAACTCGCCGGTCGGTGGAGTCGCCACGAGCGTCATCCGAGTGTCGCCAGGCCCTAACTATCATTACCAGGTAAGGTACCTTTCATTATATCCTAACTACAAAATACATGGAACTAGCATTAATCGCGTACTAAACTAACTTATTCTTCTACCCAGGTCGAGAACAGAAACGGCCCAACAATCGTACAGACAAATAATGTCTCCCAATCAAATGTGATCGGTGTTCAAACTTCTGGGCTGAACCTGCAAAACACAATACACACTAGCATTAATGCTACAACGACAACTCTATCCAGCCTCACCCTGCCCTCGAGTATATCGCTCAATCTAAACAACTTGAATACTCAGAACTTGCAGACAAGCATTGCAAACACTATTCGTAATACAAACGAGCTTGCACACAATTTAATAGTACCGAGGACTATCCCAACGTCAAACGGGATAGATGTAGAGCAGATATACCGTACGCAGCCCATCCATAGGAACGGGATCCACGAATCGTACCGTCGCGACACAGAAATGTCGCCCCCACAGAACAATCATGAAAATTTTCTCAATAGAAGAGTCTCGGAGTACGACGAAGATGATGATGCTGTGTCGCAGAGAGAAAACAACATACTCCGCAATGTTATTGATACTCGGCCCCCCGAACTATCCGAGACTCGCGTAATGGAGGACAACAAGAGGATCGTAAAGCCGGCGCCGCTACAGGCTCGCTTTCTGTCGGTCGTGGAGCCCGATGTGAAGGATCCTGTGAAGAGGTACTATGTCACCATGCTGCCCCAAAGCACGGATAAGAAGTACGTGTTTATAAAGAACGAGCCTGCGGAGACTGTGCAAGTAAGTACTGTTTATATTTACATATTTATTATACATGTGCCTTGGACAGGTATAGTTAGATAAGTGACGTCATCTTATCTCCAGAATTAGGTAGTTTCCTAGGTCAAATATAAATAAATTCGATTTTTCAATACAATAAAATATTAAAAAATAACTATACTTTAATTCATCGATCGATACACTAAGTTTTAGATATTTTTAGCTAATTATTACGAAATAAGTAAGCTATTTGACGCAAAAATACAATGACGTCATAACTCAGTTTTTCATACAAATTTCGTAAAAAAGTATCGTTTTGACATTTGGATAAAAGTATTGAATTTGACAAGTTGGAAGCTACCTTATTATGTAATACTATATTACTCTCATTAAAGCTTCTTTTTCGTTTAGGTTTCTGACTATTCAGTGCTTAAATTCAATATTGGTTTAATTCAATGTAGCCTTCATTATAAAGTTATGAATAATGATTGCTGTGTTTGCGTTAAAAAGTTAAATCACGCAAGACTACTATAACCTAACTAAACATATTAAAGCTAAGGAGTATTTCCATGAAATCTTTTACACTTTTCTCGGGAATTGAGTTCAACCTTACAGAAGCTACAAAACAAATTATGACTTATTTACCTAATTTCCTAAATCGATTAATTATATTTACATAATTGTAAGTAATAATACAAATTTTAATCATGTCCTAAACAATTCCTGTCGGTGTGGCCTTTAGCGGTGGCGTGATAGAGAATTATCTGAGTACAAGCTCCTATCAATGTTACGACTGCGATATCTACCTCAATAATCTATAAGTATTGCAAATGTTGTTATTTATTAAAATTAGACAGCTCCGTGCATAATTCTCACATGGTACGAGTATTTTAAAATTTTACGTGTATTGTATCGTTCACTTTTCATATGCATTTGAATATATGGTCTAGGATCAGTGTACTAAGTGCGAATTTGCTTTACGTTAATGCAATCTTCGCTTTAATGACGTTCGGGCCTCGGATAAGTTCCTTAGTTTTATGTCATTTTTTTTCATAAAAATAAATGAGAATGGATTATACTTATATAAGCATTTATTTGTCGGAAAACGATTGCACATTGGTATGCTAATTACTTGATTTTTTAATGAGTTTGGGCTTTGCATATCTTATGCAATAAGTGCCTAAACTGTAGATTACATGTTACCTATTATGATATCCAAAAAATTGCAATATATTATAAATTTTTTGTAAGTGACATGATGAAAATTAACGGTATTAAACACCTATGAGAGGATGTTCAGCATCTTTTGGTGGAGTGCATCAGAAACGAATCTGAGAGAAACAGAATCATTAGAGAACTAAGTATAAATAGGTTAGACGTAGGCGTATTTTATTATTTTTTGGCTCGCCCACTATCCCGTGAGGCAAAAATGATATACTCATTAGTTAATATTTAAAGCACTGTTTTTGTTTAGTTTGTTTATTTTGTTTTTGTTTGGACTGACGTGAACTGTGTTCAAAAGTCCCATAAAATAAAGAATAAAAAAAAACACCTGCCATTTTGTAACGTACCTCATATCTGTATATCTTGAATTATATATAGAGATTTAGAACCTTTTCGCTCTAAGAAGACGTGCTATCTGTTGTACCTTTCATTTGAACCGCCCCTGCTACGCAAGGGTGCAATACTCATACTAAATTTCTTCACTATTTAATGGATGTTATAAATATAAACCTTCCTCTTCAATTACTCTAAGTATTTAAAAACCTAAAAAAATATTAAAAGTATTTAATGACTTGGTTCTTCATGCTTTTAATTTTTTTAAATACCTACTTGATTACTCATAACCGTGGTAACATTTCAGATAGAGCAGCGGATAAATCATCTGACTCAACAATTGAACAACAATGACTCGGAGCCGGAACATCGAGGCTTAGATAACGGGGACCACGTACGTAGAAACTTGTTACAATTCATTTACCTACATAACCTACATTATATACTGCCTATGTAATTAATACCTTTGGAGATATACTTCGTATAAGTTCAAGCATAGAGGTTTGAATCAATATAAGACCTTGAGACCTGCACTTATAATATCTAATTAAAAGTTTGAAATCGCCAATCTGCCTTGAATAAACGTAGCAATTAATGCTCAAAACTTCTCCGTCTGAGAAAAAATATTTTACGTTCCCAAAACTTTTTTCATCCTAATTTTCATCGAATCCGTTAGAGTCCTTTCCGAGATTCAGTAAATAATGAATCCTGTGAAAAATGCTGCCAACAAAAACTAAGCCAATCTTGTATTTACCAGCTTTATATATATACCTACAACTTGCTTGCTTAAAAATATAAGGTTGATTATGTTTAATGGTTACTTCCCGTAACGTTTGACGAGATATCTAGACTTATTTCAAGCCACGCTAGGGGCTTATATTCATAACCAGCAGCACGTGAAACGACAAGTCAAATGTCAATTGGATTTTTAATTTTAATACCCTGACGTAATCCCTATTCAGTAGTAAACACATTCATATACAAGGCTATCAGATAATCCTTGACCCGGTATCCTCCTTATCTATTACCTTTAGAGATCTGAGGCGTCTCTAAACTGTGTATGAAATTTTCTATGTACAAGGGACGTAAAATCGATCAAGCTAAGTTTCATTTTCCAAAAAAATAACTTGTTAAATCGTATGTTCAGCATGATATAATAGTATTCTATGCGTAATATAAACAATGTTTTAATAAAATTATGTTTGTAGGTGAACAACGTTAACAACAATGCAGTGATAGTGCACCCAAACCAGTTGTTACCGGTTTTACCGCCGCCCGCCTCACACACTATTATCGGTGAGTAATGTTTTGCTTATCGTACGATAAATAAATTAAAAAAAAAAAATAAAAATGAAATTTTTCATTGGAAAATAGACGAGTTTGGGACCTGCTGCCATTCTCTATTCACCAGATGGCGCTGGTGTGGTACATTCGTTCGACCAATAGAGAGTAACCTAGTTCTACGCCATTGGTAGTTCATTTTTGTATATCATCTGTGATTGGATAACCTTACCTCAACTAGATTTGAACTAAGTGATGAATTTAAAACGATTCTATAGTTCAATCTCCTTCCTTATATTAGTCAAGAAACTTTAGAGAATTTAATTTCAAAGGTCTAAATCGAGCTTTTTCTATGTAAATGACCTAAGTATTTGGCCATGGCAACTGTGCTATTTACGTTTATAAACAAACTATCCGTCCCGGCTTCGCAGGGGTGAAATACTAATACTAAATTTTTCTACGATGTAACAAATATTATTTTATGTATTAATAATAATAAAACTTCCTCGTCAATCACTCTATCTATTAAAAAAACTGCATGAAAATCCGTTGCATAGTGTTAAAGATATAAGGATATATAGAAATATAGGGACAGAGAAAGCGACTTTGTTTTATACGATGCAGCTTGATAAGAAAACTGAGCTTGATCATTGTTTTTATGGGATAGGATGGCAAAGAAGCTGTGAACCACCTTATAAAACCTAGAAATAATACCCTAGAAACCCGCACGAATTATGGAAATGCAAATTGGGACAATCAGAAAAACAATTATTGTATTCTGTGCCATAATATATGTCCTAATATTGACGCAATTAAAACATGTCAATAAAGTAAAAAATCCAACACAATTGTTATCGTTTCTATCGATATAATTGATTAACTGGGGACGCTATTATTCTTAACTTACATATACATAAATGAGATTGCAGCACTTAATATTCATGGTCATATAACTTTATACGCCGACGATACTTGCTTATTTTATTTTGGAAAAACCATACATGATATCATCTCAAAGGCTCAAGACGATTTAGATATATTATTCGAGTGGTTCCAATGTAATTTATTATCTATTAATATTTTAAAAACATGTTTTTTATATTTAAAGCTAAAAACAAAAAGATTTCAGATCATAGACCATTAACTATTGATAACATTCCGCTAACACAAAAACTTGATAGCAATCTTAATTGGAACAACCAAATAGATTATATTAAAGATAAACTTAAGGTACGGAGGTTAAGGTACGGAGTAATATTATGGGGAAACAGCGTCAACATGCATCAACTATTTGTACTGCAAAAGAAGTGTATTAGAATTCTGGCCCATATAAATAATAGAGAAAGTTGTAAACCATATTTCCAAAAATACAAACTACTAACATTACCTTCAATATATATACACGACATTTGTAATTTTGTATTCAAAAACATTCACACATTCACTGAAATACGAGATATACACAACATAAACACCCGCCACAAAAACCGACTATATCTTCCACCCTCTCGAATTAAAATGTTAAACCAAAGTCCACAATATATGGCTATAAAAATATATAACAACCTGCCACAAGATATAAAAAAGGAAACCAGCTTAATAACATTTGATAGAAAACTGAAATCCTTTCTAATAAACAAATGCTTTTATTCGGTAGAGGAATTTTTAAATATATCTATAAATAAATAACGATAATTTAACTAAATATTAATTTATAAAAACACGTGAATATATATAAAAATACTACTTAAATAAGCAGAAAATAATATACATATCTATGATGATCAAACATATAAATTTTATAATAGTACCTACCTACTCAGAAATATTATTTAATATTAATACAGCGATCCACTAAAAATGATCTCTTTTAATTGTGTAAATTTATTTTCTAATTAATTATTAATAATTATAATATTAGTAACAAGTATCTACCCTCTAGTATGTTTGCAATGCCTGGAAAAGGCTACTAAGTTTTTAAGTGCCACTAGCAATAAGACCTATGTATACACTTAGTTTGCAAATAAATAAATTTGAATTTGAATTTGAAATTTGAATTTGAATTTGAACTCTCATCGCTCACTGGTTGCCTCGACAACTTAAGCAATTGTATACCCAAAAATTTTCGTATTACTATTTATAACTCAGTTGTTAAATCACATTTACTTTACCTAATAGAAATTTGGGGCAACGCAGGTAAAACAAAATTAAGAATTACAGAGAGTACAAAACAAAACACTACTAAAATTTTTGAACTTTACATGTGTACACTTGTATTCTAATAAGAAAAATTTTAAATAAAAAAATTAAAACCAATTTATCATTTACTAAAATTTCGGAGGTATCTAAACGTAGCAGGCGTCGCCCTAGTTTACTTGTATTACCTAGACCTCGTACAAACTACTCCAAACGAAACATCACCTAAGAAGGAACAAATATTTATAATAATTTACCGCCTAATATCAAAAATGTAAACTCATTCCACCTTTTCAAATCTCAACTGTCTAAATATATAATTGAACACTTTTCTTATCCAAAGTTGCAGTGATCCAGTTGAGGAAAATAAATGAATAAAAACAAAAAAAAAAATGTTTAGAGGGTGCCTACCTACCTGGTTAACACTTTGCATTTTTTCGCTGTTATTGTTTTACTACCCTACCGGCTAAAGGAATTACTTATAGTCTCTAATGATGTTACGATTGTGTTACGTAAACATTGTTTTACTTACTTATCTCGGTGGCGGGTAATTTAATAATTAAACTAAATGTTAATTTTTTATTCTCATGTAAGTGGCTTTATTGTCTTTTTGGGAATAAATGATTTAAACTCAACTTTATTAGCATAGTTCTTATATTTGTTGCTTTGGTATTTTAGACTTTGTGGCGACGTCAACAATGTGATACTGATCACGTTTACCAGTAGTATTACATCAGTTTAATATCTTATTACAGATGTTTGCATACTTATTACACATTTATTTATTCATATTTTCTTTCAATTTGAAATATATTCTGAATTTAATGACGAAGGGGTGTAACTGTGATGGTATAGATAATAGTTTGACCAGACTTTTTAAATATCGTACCTATATAGGTGGTAAATACATCAGTTATGGTATTCCAAATATACATATTGCTGTAATAGAGCTGAAGGCCAATCATCGATGTCTTTTTCATGCGAACTGTCTCTGTCAACTTTCACGATGAATTTTAAACAATGTGAACAGTGCCCATCGTTATTGCTTTAACATGTTTTTTTTTTGTTTAATTATTAACTTAGTTATATAAGTCTCAAAAACCTTTCATTTTCAATGTCATGCACACCTGTAATTTGTACAATTGCTTGTGCATCCAATTATTTGATTATTGTGTTTTTTGTATAACATTGGGTGATTGTATTGTTGGTGTGCTTATTTTTAAATAAATAAATATTATTTCAGTTCAAATAAACGTATTGTATGTATGTACAATATTCACAAAGATTTCGTATGTGATGTATTTCTTAGCACTAATATACTTATGTATTGTTAATATGGTGGTTTGTATCCGCGACGCAGTGTCAGGCAACACGTTCCCGTGGCAGTCGCTGGTGCCCCTGCTGAGGTCGCCGGGCCCGGCGCCCCCCGCCGCGCCCCCGGCCGCGCCCCCCTCGCCGCGCACGCCGCGCACCCCGCGCACGCCACACACCCCGCATACACCCCACACACCACATACGCCCGCCCCACTCATCAAGTCTGAGGACCAGATCAAAACTGAAGCTAACGGTACTTATCTCACTTATTCATATTTTTGACAGGCTTCCCCCACTGTTGCAAAACTTTTGGAAGGAAGAAAAACCTTTACATTTTTAGTATACAAGGTTTTAAAGTTTAAATACTGTACGTATTGTATTAGGTTATGATTGGGCTAGCTATACGATCATCGTATTGTGACCAAAAGCCCCTAAATTTACAGTGGGTCATAATAATAAAAAGAGAAAGCAGCTCAGCAGATTTCTTGAAACGTTTCAATTATTTAAAAACAATTACGTCAGAAATATCCCTAAGGGATCAAATGTATCCCAATTAAACTTTATTGCTATTTATTCCCATTCAAACTGATATGATAAGATCAAACTACCTATGTTTGGGAAGAAACTATTCATCATTCTATTGCTATCACCCAGATCCTCCGATGTGCATGGATGAAGATGACGAGGTATTTGAGTCCGAGGATTCCGGAGTCGGCGGAGATGACCCCAATAAGCGGCCATCACAGAATACATCTGCGCTTAACTCACCAGCTACACAAGAAAAGGTAACATAACGAAGTTTCCGTTTTAAAACATTGATGCTTTGTTGTTTGAAAAATCTTGAGGCTTTTTATTAAAAGTTAAGTTTATATTCGATAATTTCTTTCCAATTCATAGAAGGAGCGTCGCATCCGTCGCCCGATGAACGCATTCATGATCTTCTCGAAGCGTCACCGACAGATAGTGCATCAAATGCACCCCAACCAAGACAACCGCACTGTCAGTAAGATTCTGGGCGAGTGGTGGTACTCACTCAAACCTGAAGAGAAACAGAAGTACAACGAACTCGCTAGCGAGGTAAGCAACTTTGAAACTAACTAGATTTGGTTTTATGTGATAGCGCACGGCAAACGAGCCTTCGGATTATTATGTAAGCAATCGGTGCCGCACATGGATGGCAACACCAAAAAAGTTACGAGTACGTTGCCGGCCCCTTGGGATCGAGGTTACATATATTTAAACATTAGGGAGGGTTTTTTTTTTTTGTGAGGGGAAAATCATCAAATGACTTCTCCCGCCCAGGGCCGGGCAGGAGGGAGTGTCAGACTCTTACTGACTAAAAACCCCCCTGTTCCTTCTCCTGCTCTGTGCCGAGGTCGCGGTACCTCATTGCGCTTACCCCGCAACCCCGGCTGAACATCAGCCCTTTAGGGCCCCGTCTGTGGTGGTCTATTGGCTCTTTGAGGCGCGCGCGGAACGCTACGCGCCGTACGCTCGGGCCTGGTTCTGGTCGGGCGGCGAGCTGCCCTTACTCGCCGACCGCAGGCCCGTACTTACGGTGGCCGGAGATCGTCCCTCGATCCCCGACGCCCGTAGTGTCGCCAGTTGCGGCTGCTGGGGCGTGAGGAGGAGGATTGCTCCCTCACGCGGGCCGCCTCTCTCTTTGCGAGCATGACTGCTTCACAAAAGGAGGAGACGGCGTCCCAGTTCCTCTCACTCCGCACCATGGCCTCGACTAAGGCCGGGCGCGAGAGGTCGCCGCCGCCGATCACTTCCCTGAGGATACGGCGGTGCTCAGCCCAGGCAGGGCATACCGCTACCGTATGCTCCACCGTATCCTCTAGGTGGTCCTCACAATGACGACACTCGGGCGTTTCCTCCCGCTGAATCCGAAACAGGAACCTACCGAAGCTGCCGTGCCCGGTAAGCACCTGCGTCAGGCGGAAGGTGAGGACGCCGTGGCGTCTCTCAAGCCACTCCTCAAAGAGGGGTCTTACCGCTGCTATGGTAGCGTGTTTCTACTCTGCCATGAGATCTCGCCGGAGCTCATTCCGCCACGCACTAATTTGGCGCGGCAGAGGATCTTCGCCCCGGCGACGCGCGTCTGCGCGCAAACTGTCGACGCGCGCGAGCGCCTTCGCTTCTAGATCCCACGGCGGTGATCCGGCAAGGAGGTTCGCCGCCTCCCCGGAGATCGTGCGATACCCGCGGATTACTCGAATAGCCATGACCCTCTGGGACGCGACCAGCGTACGAGCCGGCCGCCGCTTCAAGGCCGGCGCCCACACAGGGGCACCGTAGAGGGCCATGGATCGCACAATCCCCATATACAACCTCCGGCAGGAGGCGTTTGGCCCCCCGAGGTTGGGAAGGAGCCGCTTGAGCGCGGCCCCAGACCGTTCTAACTTAGGGGCCAAACGACGAAAATGCTCCGTGAAGTTCCATCGGCTGTCGAGGACGAGACCCAGGTACTTCATCGCCGACTCGACGCCGATGGTAACTCCTCCTGCCGTTATTTGGGACCCACCTGGAGGTGGCGCGCTCCGACGGCCATAGAAACACATGGCCTCGGACTTGTGGAGCGCCACCTCGAGTCCCAACTGCCGGATCCTTGCAACGACTGTCGCAACCGCTTGTGACATCAGGTCGGCCGCCGCCTGATGCGACCTCCCTTTCGCCAGCACCAGCGTGTCGTCAGCATAACAGACAATGCTGACGCCGCTCGGGAGGTCGGTGCGTAGCACCCAATCGTACCCGATGTTCCACAGGAGAGGTCCCAGGACCGATCCCTGTGGGACACCGCGCGACACTCTCGCCGATTCCACACGCCCCGGTGACCGGGGTAGATGACGCATCTGTCCGTCAAGTAAGCCTCGACTACACGACGGACATTAGGGAGGGTTGGGGAGAGTGCAAGGACTGGGCTCTGGTTACCTCACTCAAACGGCGAAACAGAATGCTATGGTTGTTGTGTCACTATTTTTATATAATTACTAACTTCTTTGAGAGACTTCGGCTGCTGTACCTTTTAGTGAAAAAAAAAATGCCTATATATTATTCCAGATTCTATCTCACTGCTTAATTTCATTTAGTTTCGTTCAGTAGTTTTTTCGTTAAAGAGTTACTTACTAAATATCCATTAATCCATGCTTACACACTTTTATTTCCATGTTTTGTAATTAATTTAAATAAATATAAAAAATATTTGTTTGCTTTTCATCAGAATTATTTTATTAATTATTTTCATCATAGTTATTTGAACTATATTATAATTAATATTTGATTACACATAACAATGTAAGTACATATAGTCTATGTCAAGGATATAAGGGAGGTATTGTAATTGGTATTATCATGTTCAAGCTCTGCTGCCTACAATACGAATACTACACAATACGAATTGTTCAACGGTTCCATTGTATCATCACATAATTGAAAATGTTTTATATTGTGCATGTGTAGTTGGGTTACCAGATGTGAGAAAATTATGCATGTTGTCCCGTGCCAGTAATTTTACTTTGCCACAATATTTCGCTAAAGCTCTTAAACCAACGAAAAACTGGCTAAATCTTGCGACATGTTAAAAAAAAACAACAAAGAATAGTTGTTGATAATTTCTATATAGTTTTGCCTTGGATCGGAGACCAAAACTGATTTAATTCCAGCCCAGAATTGCTCAGAAAATAATTATCCGGGATCTTGTTCGAATCTAATCTCGTTATTTATTGTTTTTTTCCTTGTAAATTTTCTGTAATAGAAAAAATAATGTCAATTTAGATATGTACTTAAAAGTTATTTGTATTCGTTTAAGACAGTCGCGCCGGCGAGGTTCGGTAATATGAAAGGTTTTTTTAAAATGGGTATTTTTGTCAATATGTATTAAATATATTTTGAGTATTAATTACAGTAAAATATGCATATAAAATGCACAATAATCTTAAATTTAAGTTTAAAATTTTTGTAGCATTTTTTTTATGCTGCTATTTGACTGTAGAAAATGGTGAAAGTATTGAATTTGACTATTTGTCAAATATTATTATGAGCAATTCTCTACTCTTTTTATATTTGGTGATAATAAATAATAACTGTTTCTTTATTTACAGGTCAAAGAAGCGCATTTCAAGGCTCACCCAGAATGGAAATGGTGCAACAAAGATAGAAGGAAGTCTTCTAGTAGTAAAGATCCCACTGGATCCATGCCACAGGTGAATTATTTTTTATCGTTTTATTAATACTCTAATATTATTGTTTAATAATATAATACATCCATGTCAGAAATTATTATTTTCATAAGTAAAGCATTTAGCTCCCTGTGCAATAGCAAGTTAGGTTTTTGCCATATTCTGGACACAAATCCAGGTTACATACAGCTTTTAGAGGGAATTTCAAAACGGGATTTCTTGTGATATATTTTTTAAACTTTATTTTTTTTTATTGTTAGAGCCCTCGAACGCCTTCAGAGGTTGTCACCAGCGGTACTGTCACCATCAATGCGGATCTGCCGGTGCCTGTAGCGTCATACAACCATATGGGGTCTCCGCAGCTCAGCGAAGATGAGCAAATGGTACGTAGTGGTAGTAAAATAAGTTTCATGTTCTCAATCAATGGTCAATGTGTGAGCAAATACGGTTTTTAATGCTCTCAGCTTAGGCTTCAATATTAATGTAACCTACGGGGCGAACATCAAGTAAAGGACCATTTATAAAATAAATTATTCAATTGTTGTTGCTGGTTCGTATTTATCAATCAGTTCAATGGTTTAGCTATATACCTAATGTTTGTTTATCTTTTAAATCCCTTGAACATTTATTTTACTCGATTGATATGGGATTAAAATTTGTTTTAACCTACGTATATTATAATACTCCCTCTCGCCCCAATCAGGGCTAGAGAAGTCACTCAAAGATAGGATACGGCAGTAGTTTCATAAACTAATAAGCGAAAAGTTATCGACATTCTACTATAACATGATCTCTACTAAATAATATTTTGATTTACAGCCATCACAAACTGAGGAACCTCCGCCGGCGGTGCAAAATTTGGAGATTGATCTGAAGTGCGGAGAGAAGGTGACTGACTCGGACTCTGAAGGGCTGGACACCCGAGACTATCTGCCATCGCACCACGACCACACCAGGAGGCCTAAACCTATTAAAGCTAGGTAAGTTATACATAATTATGTTGGAAACAAAGATATTTAAATAAAATAGTCCTCTTTTAGGTTTTACTGTTTTTAATAAAATGTTGCTCCCACACTAGGATACACTTCTGTGTCGTGAATACGTTTACAAACTCACAATTTCACACACATCACACCTAGACCCGGAAAAATAATTTGTGGATCGAACGAAGAGTTGTTCCGTGCGGTAATATAATATGGGACACGTTGCACGACAGCCCGCCTGCCGCAACAACGTGCAGTTATTGCTAGATTGTTTTTTTTTCATCACGGTTTGGGTTCTAAGTATCAATTTCACCGGGGTTGCGGGTGCCTGTAAATATCGCATCCTCGGGGTTACCAGCAGGAGAAGAAATAAGAGTTTTAGTCACCTATAGTCTGACAGTCTCTCTCGACCCACCCAGGGTAGGAGAAGTCATTTGATATTTGATGATTTTCCCCCCGTAAATAGCTATTTTATGCAAGTTTTACTAATTTGATAATTTGGTTTTCAGAGCTGGTTCTTCGGACAATCTCCTCGGAGGTATTACTGCGTCTAGTCCAGGGGGACCTAAAGGATTCCAGCCGACAGGCGGAGCGTTTAAATCTACGCACGCTGATACAAGTAAGTATTTCAAGTGGCAGTACTTTCCAAAACCTTAAACGAAGTACTGTTAAACTTTACGTGTACGTGATCGTACGATGTAAAAGTCGGCAATCAAGGATATATAAGAATATTTATGTCAAAAACAATACCTTTTTTTATGAAAGTTTGATATTCCAAATTAGGACGTCAAAGTTTTTTGTGTCAAATAGCTTATTACTTATTTCTTAAAAATGAGCTTAAAAGATTTGCGCATTGGCAAAGAAGGAAAAGGACTGGGTCTCTGGTAAAACACAACACAAGTGCTAATAAAAGTCTTAATTTGCAGATGATAGCCATAGGCAATGGACGGCGTTGAGCAAGCAGGGCGGGGGCGGGGGCGGCACGGCCAGCCTGACGCACAGCGTGCAGGGCATCTCGCTGAGCGCGCCCAGCCTCGCCACGCAGGCCGCGCTCGACACCGCCATCGCCAACATCATCAACTCGCCCACCGCCACCTGCCCCGTCCAGGTACCATCTACACCACGTCTACCCATCTAATAACTCTATCTGTTATATTATTTGTCTGTTCATATTCAACATACAAACCCGGAAAATTAATAGCAGTACTGAACCTTTACATTAGCCCGCCGTTCACCCTTGTAATAATACACGATTTAATAAAATCTTATTATTTCACTAACTAATATTATTAATGCGAATGTTACTCTGTCTGTCTTTCGTTTCTTCACGCCTAAACTAGTGATCCGATTTCTGTGAAATTTGGTACAGACATAGTTTAGAACTTGAGAAATTTTTATGCCAAAAATCTGCAGGAAGTCACTATTCCACGCGAACGGAGTCGCTGGCAAAATCTAGTAGTATATGATTGTGAGGTGGATTTGGAACTGAAATTTGAATCAGATATCGTCCACTGATTAAAATTAATTTCATTTTTTTTAATAACTGTTACTTGTATGTTACTGTGGAAACTACTAAACTACTCGTGATTTATAGATGATAACTACTTTCAAATAATAATATTTTATATATAACTAGCGGCCCGCCCCCGCTTCGCACGGGTCCAACTATCTCGCTATCAAAGGGTCACTTTTTCCTAATCTTCCCAATTTTCATTGATAAGAACCTTCTCCTGACAATAACAAACACAACAAAAAAAGAATTAGCAAAATTGGTATAGGCGTTGTTGAGTTATGCGCTTACCAACACATTTTGCGATCCATTTTTATATATAAAGATAACAATATAATAATATTAACAACTCTACAATTATTGTTTTACAGGTCATATCAAGTGGTGTATCTAACACGATCCAGACGTCATCATCTACGCCATTGACTTCGACGCCGCTAAGTAACCCCGTACTCAAGAGCTTCACCTTCGTCAAACGGAGTATTGGGGATAATTCACCTTGTAAGTAGTTCAGTATAGTTAATTATTACCACACCATTCCACCTTTCACCAGGTACTTTGACCCTGTTGTTCTTTTATAAACTTCCTCGATTTATGGATTATCTCACACAAAAATACATGATGACAACAGGCTAAACTCACAGATTTTTTGTAATGTTCATTTTATTTTGCATCAAAGTTCCTCTCAAGTCACCAAAACCCAAGCGAACGCCGGCGTTCATACGGTCTTATTATTGAGCTTCGATTTAACGATAAATAAAAATTTATTTTTAAGACAATAATTATAGATCTGTTTATTTGTGGACGCTACTTATATTGGATTTAACCTAACGAACTCTCTATAAACAACCAATCAGAAGGTTAAACGCAGTTAAATTTCGGTCGCCTTATCGTCTAGCAATCTCGCACTAGACACTCTGTAACGTACATTAGTTATTTCCCCAGGCCCTGGACCCCTGACGCTCTCTCTGGATGCGTCAGGCAATCTCCTCCTGAAGCCGAGCCAGTCGACCGACAGTCCTGCCTCCGACCAGTCCATGCACTGTGTCCATCTACAGAGGTTATATGTACCAACATTCAATGCTGGTGAGTTTCCCATTTTATAATACTAGCGATCGCCCGCGGCTCCGCCCGCGTGGATGTCGATTTCACACTATCAAGATTTATTTAAATTTTATCTACGTATAATCCTTTTATAATTCATTGTTAATTCCTTATACATTTGGTTAGTTTATTATAAAATTTTAGAAAACACTGTTCTTGGATAATGTTATTTTTGGCTTTATAACATGTAAATAGGAATGATGAATACATTGTATGTATTGTCCACAGAAGTAGAGACACCAAAGAGTAGCAGCCAAAGCTTGCTGAGCGTGCAGCCGGGCCAGTCTGTGATAGTTTCACAAAGCAACACTAACGCCGCGCTTAAGCCTAACACGTGAGTGTCTTCTGTACTATTCTAGATTATCCTACTAATAGTATAAACGGGAAAGTGAGATTTGTAACAATAAATAGGCCCATTTTTAACTTGGTGCTGTGGGTCAAGTTTCTGGCACACTATTAAATGCACCCTAAATTTTTAATACTTATGTAATTATTTAGAGAATGTCATATTCAGATATTTTACTCTTCAAACTTTTATTTTGATATATTTTCATAAAATATGTGACGTTTCATAGCCTTCCTCGGCAAATGGAATATCGAACGCAAAATATTTTTCAACCCGAATCAGGCCAGGGACAATATTGTGCTAAACATAATTTTAATTTAATGTGTTTAATTCTTAGCCAATGGGAAACACCAGTGGAAGAGGCGCGGCCATTCCCTCTCGCACCCACACCGGCACAGCTCGGCCGGGCACCGCTACAGAAGCGTCTCAGTCGAGGTAACATAATTCTATCAATAATTATCTATTTATAAAAATTATAATTAAGTGTGGGAGAATCATGCTTTGGCACGAATGCATCACAGAATGCCGTCGTGAAACAACCACAACGTTGTGTTTTGCCGTGTGAGTTCTTACCGGAGGCCCAATCCTACCCCTCCCATAATCCTAAAATCTCTAATCCTAATACGTCGGCGACGTAATCGTTACCGAGGGTGGCGCTGATTGGCTACCATACACATATAAAATATATTTGTTTTTTCTTAAATAAGCAAGATAAGATTTATCATATAATTTGTGTGTTAGGAACGTCAACGGGATCTTGCGGCAGTGGCGAGGCGGGCGCGGATGGGTCTGGAAGCGGCGCGGGCGCGGGGGGAGCAGGGGCCGCGGGGCCGCGGGGGGAGGCCACGCACACCTCGGAAGACCCCAGCTCGCCAAAGCACGCAGACCTGCCTAGCCCTAACCAGAAGAAGAGCCTCTTCAAGAAACGAAACGAGGATGGTAGAGACAAGTAAGGATAATTGTAATTATATATTACCATGATCGGTTCCAATTGATTGTAATTGACTGTATTCAAAGTATAATAGTAAAATTAGAAATATGTCTACTAGTACTTTAGACGACTCCTCCTCGCGTCGGTTTCTTCAGTGCTGAGGGTCGTGACCCCCTCGTGGAAGCAGAGTACTGCGTATTACTCTCCGCCATCTATTTCAATCTGCCGCCGAGTGGAGAGTATAGCGGATGATCCGTCCAAACTAGAGTATAGATTTCTCCCTCTATGTCTCTTTTCTCCTTTAGACGACTAGTTTACTCGTTTTTGTACAAGTCATTCTTAAATATTTGTAGCGTTTATTGCAATTCTCTCATTCTTGCAAGTACATCCTTCAGCTTGTAACGTCATTTGTACTAGGGAATACTAATAAAGTAGGTATAGTTCGTTCCATAATTAGAGACAACGATTTGACATTTCGAGTGTTGCAAGTTTTTTCCATTTCATAAATAGTGAAGTCCCGCGGCCGGTATTTACCGAAAGACCGAAATTAAATTCTGGACTTCGTGCACTGGCACCTTCCTGTGCCCATACTAACTCAGTCGGGTTATAATCACAATGGTAAGGAGGCAACCGTAAAATAGTGACCCACCTTTTAGCAGCCATCAGTCCACAACGTATCGTTCATAATTACTCTTCTCTTTTCGTGAAATCTCCAACAGCTCGGCTTTCAGCATAGGTACCTCAAATATAATGTTTTTCTTTTAGCCAGTCTTGGATTTGGCATTTTTATTTTAAATTATTATTATTAATTCCACTAAACTATAAAAACATAACCGCAACGTTGTTTTATTTTGCTCAGGGTATTTTATAAAAAAACGGTATCGGTATTTTATTTAAAAAATCGTACTCGGGCCCATCACTATGTTAAAAAATCTGGCCACATTATTTTGTAGTTTGACATTTGCTGTTGTCAAAATGTTGTCTCTAATTATGGAACGAACTATAGCCTAGGTAGACCAGGATTAGTAAGTAATCGGCACAATAAGTTTGTTGTAAAAGTAATATAACAACACAAGTTAACATTTCAAGGGTATACGTTTATTGTAACGCTATTAATATTTCCCTATTATATCAAGACTAATCAAGATACTTATGTATCTTGCTCAGAATACAGAACAAACCAGAATCCGCGTTCACTCATATTACATGTCGTCAAATGTGTCCAAAAACAATACGTCAATCCCCCCGCCAGCCGCACTTCCCACCCGCGTAGTGTTGCCGACAGTGGAACAATTCCCTTGGTTTGGGGTAATTTTACAACAGGAGGGTAAGATACGAGTAAACCCAACAAAATAGGTAAACTTACGATAAATGCAACAGACTAGTTGTTCACACATTTCATAGAGGTATCGTAAAAGTTGACGATTTCTGGCTGTGTTTATTTTAGTTACACCTACTATACACAACAAATACTTAGTTCCTGAGATTAGCGCATTCTAGCAAACAAACAAACAAACTCTTCAGCATTACAATTAGTATAGATATATCTTAGTAGGATATGCTGTTTTCAAACCACCTTTGTCATAAATATATCTCTTAAAGTGAATTAAGCAAACTATGCTCTGGCTAGATGGTTTCCAAAATTAATCTAACCGTGCCCTTTGTATGATTTGAATTTATTTTTTTGTCAGGGAAACTAATATGACATAGACTCCATAATGGACAAAAATATAACCTACAACAAATAAATAAGTGGGTAAAATTTTCACCAAGAATGACAACACTCACAAAATGGCCGCATCATTTTCATAGAAAAATAAATCAATAAAAAAAATTCAATAATTAATTAAATATGCTATTGCAGTCGATGCTTGCAAATGAAATGTAATCTTATCCACTTTTTTCGTTATTCCAGTCGCATTTTTACTCGTAGTAATAACACAAGACGGCATAATGAAATTAAAATTGATACTCGTAAATACGTCACGACATGCCACGTGCCAAAATTGACTAATCGTAGAAATTTCATACTATTCTAGTTAAGAATGGTTTTAGTTGCTTCTGTTTGAAGCGCGATGACGCCTTCTGGTTTGTTCTGTATTCTGAGGTATCTTGATTACAGATATATGATACATAAATCAATACAATATTGTCAAAGATTGGCCGTCCACAGAGGAGCAACTGTAGCAATTTTAGGGTCGATGTTTCTGAACATTATATTGCCTTTCTCCAGGGTGCTAGAGACGGTGAATTTCGAGCAGAAGTTCAGTACCCTGCCGCAGTTCAAGCCGGAGGCCTGTAGCCCTAGCGCCATGGTGGTGCCGCGCAGTCCCCAGCTGTACATGAGGAAGAAACACAACAAAATGGGTGAGTTTGTCTCCTAATCTATAAAACTGTGTGTGACACATAAATGTTATCTGAGGAGTAAAATTGTTGCTGTCACTGTCTTATACAAACATTTTGGCGTAACAGCATCATAATTATTTCCCAGATAACTTTTATCTAAACATTGAAACATCAGCCCTTAATTTGCTTGTTTAGAACCTATTGTTAACAAAACAATTCGTTGCAACAACCTGGCGGTTGATTGGTAGAGAATGCCTTTGGGCATTAAGTCCGCCTTTGTTTTAACATTGTACATAAAGTGTTAAAGTAAAATAAATAAATTAATTAAAAACTTTGTATGGCATGTTTGTTGGTTAGTGACTAATAAAGTCACTCTAAATATTAATCTATAAATATTAGTAAAGTTAATAACACAGTTGTCATTGCGACGGCGTGATTGCCTATTCAGCTAATATAAATTCAAGAAATACAAGACATGTAAGGTCCCACTCGTCGGCCATTAGTTTTACAATCCAAGTTTTTATGTGTAAATCACTAGATTGCCTTGTCTCTTTACCATTGTAATCTTATTAGTTATTACCATCAATTACAGTTTATAAACTATAGTTTCTTATCATTTTAAAATGAAATTTTGTTCACAGAGGAAGAAGGCACGGTGGTAACTCCTCAGCTGGAGGCGGAGGTGATGAACGGGAACGGAATGCCCACCCCGCACTCGTACGGCACCCCACATACCACCACCAACAAACTCGTCGGGAACACTTTCTTCGGACCCGACTTCAATCTCGACACTTATCGAGGTACGTTCTTGATACTATATGCTTAAAAAACTTAGATTTTTATAATATGGCACACGTTGTGCAGCCTATCGTTCGGTTGGCGCAATGTTTATGAGTGAAAGACCCTAGCAAGGCTTGAAAATAGTCGAGTTTATGCTTGCTTCACGAGTCGTTGCTAAAGAAGTTTTCTTTATTTTTTTATCCTAATTGGTTTTTGAACTGAATATTTTCATAAAGAACGGCTTTCCACAACACTCTAAGTGTGATGCTAAATTCTGCACTGCACGGTTGGTGCGGTGGTTGGCTAATTGCTTGCCGTTCAATAACATGTCGCGGGTTCGATTCCCGCACGGAACAATTTTTTGTGTGATGCAATTCTGTTTGTAAACGCACCTACGACTTAGGAAAAATCCTAGTGTGGGGGGTTTTAGGTCTCGAGTCTTGTCAAAAGATGTATTAAATGACATTGAAAGGAAAAGTTAGCATAGTTGAAATAATAGTATGTATAGTAATATAATGTTTGTGCACAGTGGGTGGCGAGGGAGTGGAGGAGATGTCCCCGCGCACGCCGTGCAGCGCGGGCGGGGGCGGCGCGGGCGCGGCGGGCGCGCGCGGCGAGGCAGGACATCGCCGCGTGCTCGAGGCGCGCCGCCATCTCGTGCTCAAGCTGTTCCAGGAGCACGGCATGTTCCCCACCACGCAGGCCACCACGCACTTCCAGGTCACTTACCTACCATCATTTACATCTGCCCTCATTTATACCGCGTACATCGACGGATAATTTAGGTGTCTTCAAGACTAGAGTAAATAGGCTCTTAATAAACTAGTGCGCCTTACCATCAACGATTGCATCACTGCTTACCACCAGGTGGGATCGCAGTCAAGCACGCATTATTGCAAGTAAAAAAAAGCCCTATGCTTACCAAATACCTCTTCTCACACGAAGAAGGTTTGGCCATTAAATCTAGGCTTGATGCCTTATAAGGTGTGTTGGCGATTCTAAACAGCTTTTGTGGGGTAGAATTGAAAACGAGTATACATTACAGATCACCTTATGGTAAGCAATCAGCGTCACCTATGAACCTGCACCCTTCTTTCAGTGATAATTTGAAATTTGAGGACCCGTCCTTGCTAATAATTGAGGAATCGTACCTCTAGTATCATGCAAACTTAAAGTATCTTCATTAATTGTTGTTACCTTGATTTGACAATTATTTGAATTTAAACAGTTAATGTATATAAATTGTTTTCTTACTCAGGCTACACACATGGATATTTTCCCAACAAAAATGGCTCTGCAACTGAAGATTCGAGAAGTGAGACAGAAACTGATGGCTCAGTCAAATCTCACTCCTCACTCGGAAGTCAATACCCCAACTAGTAAGTATTACTATAGTGAATACAGCATTAGTATAACATCAACCTATAAATAATAAGTATGATTATATAAATAGCCAAATTCAAAAGTGTTCAAAACTAAATATCTGTCAGCATTTTTTGCCCCAAATTTACAATATTTTTCACTTGAACCAGCTAAGAAGATACCAAATTTAAATCGAACGATGAGGGTATCGTTATTTTAAATTGCTTTAGATTTATTAGTCGACATATTTTTGACTGATTCATCGTACTTATTATTTTTTAAAATCTGATATTAGTTTGATGCATAATAAATAACAGTGTTTATAATAAAACTGACAAGTAGAAAGAAACCTACACTCATATTTACAAACTCTCGCATCAAAATAATACTAGGAACTATGATTTACTACTAAATATAAATTAGTAAAAAATTAAGAAACTAAAATCGATAAACTCACATAAATCATATCAATGTTTCTCATAAAACATGATCAAATTTTATCGACGGTAAGTTGCATTTTTTGACACCTCTGTATTGTACATGTTATTTTCAAAGAAAAATATATTTTCATTTCAGTAAATTCTCCAATCGCGTCAGCGCCTTTGCAACCGACTTCTACGGCCAGTTAGCGATGCGGATACACCATCTCCATCATTGTGCGCCAGTAGGACCACGACACGTTTAGCAGTTGACGGTATACAGACACACAGACACCTACTAGTGATATCGCCGAACACATACACGGAAATCTGTCAACGTCTAAACCCAACCAGTGTTTGTTCTTATGATGGAGTCATGGCATACTGATTAATGCAAAAGCATTTACTACAGTGATTAGATTAATGTATAGCTACTCGTTTATAGTATTTTATTACTATTATGAAGTACTTTTTAATTAATAAAAGTTTAAAAAATCACAAAAATTAATTGATAATGTTAAGTCCGTGAGAATTGGCGATGCATGGTCTAATTGATTTGTTGATTTAAAATTGTATGTTTAAAGTAGTTTTTATCTGAAACTAACTGGTACTAATGAATGGATTGTTCCCTTTTCCATAGTATATTGATGTTAACCAATGTGGATCCATTTGTAGATGTGCGCTAGTCGGCCAGGCGCTCGCAGCTAACTAGACTCACGCCGGCGCCCAGTGCCACAACTAATTATGTGAAAAGGCAATGAGACAGTATGAGATATCCATATCTATAGAGTTGTACATTACAAGTTATACAAAAAAGCAAAAAAAAAAACAAAAAAATCTGACTTCGTTCTTGTGAGGATCCTCTGGAGTCAAATTGTATGAAACATTATTGTAGTTAGTTTTCAGCTATATAATATGGCGTTAGAGTGACCTCAGGCGCATAGGGACATATCTATATTCGCTTTTATTGGTTATGTTACTAATAGATCATTTTGTTTCATCGTTATAGCACATCGTCATTATGGGCACGATCTCAAACCTTATTTTGTATTTAAGTAATTTTGTTGGTGAGTGTTGTGTGACTGGGAATGTGTTGTTGCAAAACAGCTTCTTTACTTTGGGCTTTACATCGAAAATAACCGTTTGGATTTTATGTATATACAATTTTGGGTCTAAAGTCCTATGATTGAATTTATTTAGTTTGTTTTAGATGCTCAATAGTTTTGTTATCATCTCGGTATGGTGTATGCGTAATGGTAGAAAGTTTATTGAAGGTATTGTAATCATATAGTACTTATATCTACTTCATTGTTGGCAAATGTATGCCGTGATCAAGTTGAGTTTCGTTGCAATATTTAAATCGATATATTAGAAATGATATATACATATATATTTTAGAGAATCATATATTAAGCTTATATAGTACATATACTCCACATTTGTACGTTTATCCGGAGTGCATATAATGTTTTGTTTTAATACCTTCCCTCGAGATGAGCGAGTTGCGTGTTAGAATGTCTTATGGGAATTAGTTTTGTTATTAAGTTGTAATTGAGAGGTCTCTTATCGATAGTATTTGTACTGGTATTTACTAAAGTTAATCACTTGCAATCAGATCGATATGTATAATTGAATCATAAATCACCGTGATGTTTATAAATGCATTTACGAAAGTATTGTATGTACATCGGGTTGTAGTAAGATAGAGACCTTTGTGTGTGTCAGTGATATGTCTTGCAACACATAGTGAGAGTGTCGAGCGTTGTATGAACTTGATACTTGTTAAGTGAGGTTGGAGCAAGGAACTTTGGTGCGAACATTTTACACAGTCGTTCAAGTCTCTATTATTTTGTATTGTTTTCTATTTACGTTGTGATGTTGGTCTTCCAAGTGTTTCAAATTCATTTTATTAGATTTATATCTACTTATTTAATTATGTTTAATGATGTACGTTGTACGGTGGTTTATCAAGAGAGTCGGTGAGTGTTGTGTACGCCGAGTGACACTGAATGTGAACATTTTAATAGTTAGACAGTCTGTCAGTAAGATTGAAGTAGCGATCCATTTTGAAAACATAATGCTATCGTTTACAAAAATAGCTCAAATCTGTAACGACACTAGATAAATCAATATTTATACACTATAAATCTCATTGTAAATATTAGTCGTATTGTATACTAGCACTAAGTATTCCTGGCTCTCAAAGTAATTAAGGTTTTATTTAGATAATACTAATTATATTATAGATAAAAAATATAAATATATAATTTATACATGTGAAATTTCGGCCAATACAAATGTTATGTATTATATCAAAATTGTATTTTTTAAATGATCTCTTCGACGTTAATAGTATTTAGATAATTGCTTTAGGAGTCCGGAAGTGAAATGAATTTATTAAAAGTATAAAATTTAAGAGATATTTTCGCACGGTTAAATATTGTATCTCGATAGGCAAGTAGACGGGTCCGGTACCAAAGCTCGTCAGTTTGTCGTAATGTGATTACTTGAAATGTAGCGCCGTAGCGTGTACCTTGTCGGTCTCGTGTCTTACAAGCTGCCAATGTGGAACTTGCGGGATTTGGTACGTACTCCGCGTAGTCAATTTATCATAATCGTGATTGTTGTCATATATTTTAACTCGTAAATAAATAATACAACTGTTGTTACCAGTAAGTAGTAATGTACACACATATGTTCGTCCCTAATTTGAATTAGTTATTCGAACTAGCCGCTGTGTGGGGTCACGTGACTCCTCTATTTATGTTAGCGATGAGGGAAGCAGGGTAATTAATTCAAAGTAAGGGCAAGCTATAGGCCTCTTTTATTAATCAGTGAATTATAACTTTCAACTCTGAATAATACTATATAAATGTAATACGAAACTATATTTACTAATCAATGTTTAAATATCTTCTTGTGGCAGACGAATATCATCCCGATTCATAGTGAATATTTTGATTTTCTTTCGAGCATCGAGCTTTCAGTTGCGAAACGATTATGATTCGATTATTTTAACGAAATTATTTTGTAGGTCATAAAAACATAATTTTAATTTTTCACATGCACTATTTTGACGTATATGTTTTCATAAAATTTCATAGATTCTACTGTAATAACAATTTTAATGAATATTATACGATTGTACGTTTTTTAAAATAAATAGTAAAGTTACGTAAAATAAAGTTTGCATTTAGTACCTATCTCAAATGAATTGATTTTATGGAACTTTTATGAAAGCATACATGGGGAATTTATTTACACACACTTTTGTTGCAATGCCTTATAAATATTATAAAATACAAGTTTTCCTCCGTGGTTTATGATTGTGATGGTTTATACAAAATGTTTCAATTTGTTTTTAAACTGTCCATGTTATGTTTAAGTTTGCTTCTTATTGTAATATTTCAGGTTTTGATGCTAAGTTCAGTTCCGAGTGAATGTCTTTTAAGTGTGTTGTAGTAATAACAAATATGAAAAATCTTAATAGCTGCATATTTCTTGTGCCTTATTGACTTTCAAAACTTAGCCCAGATCTTTGCATCACTGGTGTAGAAATGCTTCAAGCAACTTTCTTCTAGGCTTTGTCAGTCAATAAATAACAGAAAATAGGCAGTTTTACTTTATTAGACTGAATTAACTATGTTGCATAACAAGTTAAATGTTATATTTTAAGAAATATTAGTAATTATTTCGAAAGGACATTTTAAATAAAGCATTTCATATTCGTTATTTATTTCTTCTACATAAGCTGTTAGAATAATTGTTTAGTCAAAATGGTAAATGTAAATATCTTGTTTAGATGATTTATTTAGATTTTAAGTGTTCAATTTAATGTATTTTAGATTGAATTAGAAACAAAACAATCATGAAAAGTTTATAATATCTAAATCAGTAACCACTTTACAATGAGCAAGTTTTTTAAATGTTTAATCCAACTAATGGACCAATAAGTGGCACTTTAAATTTAGACATTGTAATCAACAACAAACCAACTGTGAGCAGGTAATAGAGAACCAACCTATAGCGTTGTGGACAGTTTGTTCAAGCATATTGGATCAATGTATGAACTTATGTTAAAACATAAAAACCTCGAAAACATTCTGTGTATTTCATTTTTGTTTTCCTTTCCTAATTAAAACATTTCATATAGGAATAGAAAGTATATAGTCTACAGTTTGAAATGAAAACTTTTTGCTAACAAATAATTTATTTATTCACGAATAAATATAACAATTGCATTAAATATTTTGCTATTAACATGATGTTCAAACTATATAGCATTTATCATCAGGTCAGGCCTTTCCTGCTCCAACATTGATAGAGCAGCCTGTAAGTTGAGGTTATCACCGGGATCTGTCAGCACCACATACTTTAAAGCATGCATCCTAACTAGAGCAAAAATACATCCTACACATAATTGGCAGCCACTTATATCTAGAAATTCCAAGCTATCGCCATTTTGACCAGCTACTCTGTCTAAGCCCCACACATCCACATGTTTGTTATTCCTTAAGCTTAACCACTTCAAAAATTTCAGATTGGACAGGTTCTGTAGACCTTCATATCGAATTCCTCCATGGAAGAAGTTAGTACAATCTATGGCTTCAATAAAGTATCCATTAACATAGCGATCAGGAAGATCCAATGTAGTTGCATCACCAGATATCCATCGTTTTGAATCCTTTAACCTAAAAAACAAATATTTTATTAAAGTTAGTGTTATAACGCTCAAAAAAGCAACACAAATGCGTTATTTCGTAGGTATAATACCTGATAGAACATTTGCGAAATGTAAAGAAATGTGCTGCAGCCAAGTTCGATCCGAGTGTGGCAACTCTTTTAGGTAAGTATCTTTGATTTTCTATTTCCTGAAGTTCTTTCATATCCGTCCACCAGTCTTTAATTGCCTGTGTAGTTAAATTTGGTAATTTTGACATAAAATTAAGGATATCCGGACTAGGGTTTTTTTCCACAAAAACTGAAAGTTTGCTTCTGAACTCCCCGTCTCGTTGTATCCATGGCTTCCTCCATTCTGCATATGGTTTACCATGAACTAATTTTGGTTTCTGTCCCTCTTCTAAAATCTGATATCTGGTCTTGTCTTCAGAGTATTGACGACCAATAGCATAAACAGGTCGGTATAACCTTAAATGTCTTAGGGTCAGCGACATTATGGTTATTTATTACTATATCTAGACAAATTTAATCATCACTGGAATTATTTTAATATATAAAGATGTAAACAAACGCTTTTGGATATTCCAATACACTTTTGAGGTTATTTACTATTTTTTGACATTACTGAAAACTTGACAGTTGTTACCACAGAGTACATTGCATGTTGTTTGACACAAGAAAGTCATTAGTTTTACGTTTTTGAACGACACATACAATTCAAGTCCTACTGTTACATTGAATCACAAACACACTTGTAAATGACACAACACCACAAATCTTTCTCATTTATAACAATCACTAACGCACTTATAAAATGTACATGTGACCTTGTCCAATGGTCGCCGACCGGCCTATGGCGTAATGTCGCTGTTTTGCATGATTTGTATCGCCATCCCAATCCCATGGCATAACTGCGGTGGTAGGGGTGGCGGAGGCGGTAGGATGCTTATAATTTTTTTTTAGTTTTTTTTTCTCTCTCGTTATGTAAGGGAAAAAATATTCAATGTAGTTAATTTTAATTGTAACTACCCGGATGTGTTTTTTATCTCTTTATTTATTTTGTAATATTATTGTATTTGTTCTAATTAATTTAATTTTAATTGTTAATGTCTTATTGGTGACTGGTTCGTCCGCGAGTCACTCAAGGGGCCAGTAGAATACCAGCGCAAGGCCCTGTCTTGCACATGCTGAACAGGTCCCATTTCACGGGAGACTTGGGACATGAACATGTATCCATTAATATTTCCAAACAGAATGTCTTAATTACCTGTATGCACATGTCACTTGTTTTTAACGTGAAATAAAATATTTTCCTTTCTTTCTTTCAAACATAAGTTGACAAGAGTGATGGCAGAAATACATAACCGTAGTGCATAGATAATACATATAATAAGGGCCGTAGTGTGTCTTAAAGCGCGGCGGCAACCTCTCACGCCCAAACTTTGTTATTGCCATGGTGCAGTGCGAGAGGAACTGGCAAGCACCACCCTCGGCCTAGAGCAGGAGAAGGAACGTTTTTAGTCAGTCGACCTGAGGTCGTGGTCCCTCGTTGACCCGACTAAACATCAGTCCTATAGGGCCCCGTCTATGGTGGTCTGTTGGCTCTTTGAAGCGCGCGCGGAACAAAACGCGCCGCACGGTCGTGTCTGGTTCTGGTCGGGCGACGAGATAACCTTACTCACCGTCCGCAGATCCGCGCTTACGGCGACCGGAGTTAATCCATCGAACCCCGACGCTCGGAGCATTGTCTACTGCGACTGGGGCAAGAGGAGGAGAATAGCTCCCACACGCACTCCACCTACTTATTTGCGAGCATAACTGCTTCGCACGAATAGGAGACGGCAGAGACTTTGCGCTCACTTGTGCTGTGAATAATATTTTTTGCAGACAAACTGGGCACCGTTATCAAAATCAATTTTAATCAAATTAATATTCACAACCACATGAGCTACATATATAGTAAATACCTAGGTACCTACCTACATAGAGCTTGAAATAAGAAACATTACACGCATTTTTTAATTCAAGTAAATTATAAAACAGCTACGATTAATGGCAGAAGCCGTTAAATGGATTTCTTGGTCATATTTCATCAAGTCACTTTTTATTTCTCTCTGCGGGCAAATTTAATTATCCCGTCGTCACGTCTTGAACATAAAAGCTTAGTGTTTTTATACATTTTTTAGAACACAAAGTATTTGCGTTTAATAGAATAGCGATCTTGTAAGAAACAGTTTTATGTGTGGAAGCAGGAAGAACCACGCTTCGGCGAGAATGGGCTGGGTTGACTTGAATTATCACTCACGGCCTTGCAGGAAACTAGCGTGAAACAACGCTTACGTTGTGTTTTAACGTGCAGGTGAGGTTGTCGGAGGCCATCCTCGCCATCGTCTTCACTAATTCTCCAATCTCACCAGCAAGTTTTACTGGAACTTTAATATATTTCTTTCTGATCACCCAACAGGTCGATAACTTAATTACTTATAGCAAATCCTCTGATGATGGGCGGGTTTTCAGTAGGGACGCTGGTTGCTTACCTTAGTTGTATCAAATTGTTGGTAGCTTATTACGATGCACGAGATAGTGGGCATAGGTATTTATTCACTTCAAAAATAACTAAGTACAACGCGGACACAACAAGAAAACTATCAACTTCTTCATATCCTGCTGATTTAGAACAGTATGCGTTCATGTTCTTTTTGCAATAAGTATTCACTTTTAAATATTAAATTTAAAAAGAGTAATTTAATAAAAATTATGCACAATAAAATAAGTTAGTAGTAGCAAATACCCATTTTTGTCTTATTTAATCTCAGTTTCTAACAATATAACATCGCTTAGTAGATTAGATTTTAATCGAATCCAAATGACATGTGGCTCGAGTCGGCTGCACTCTCTAAATTAGGTTGACACACAGTAATGGCGGGTGACACAAACTCGTTAATCTTAATTTAAGTTGAGCTTTCACAGAACAACCGAGAATTATACACTACATAGAAATTCTAAGACAATTTTAAGTAGAAACATCGTAATTTTTTGCTCAATCTTAACCTTATAACGGATTCTGCCAAATGTTAGAACCAGTGTAGTCAGAAAAACATATCCAATTCTCAAGCGAAACAATTAATTTGATTTCACAAAGCTTTGACTGTTCAAAACGCGTGTTCGAATTAAAATTGTGCCCGTTCTAATTGTACATTTCGACGCTCAATTTTGCCCAAGCGTACTTCTGATGTAGTTGGTAACTCCGCCTTAATTCGCGCTACAGCGGGATTTTGGCTATCAGAGCCGCACGTTTGTTCTACGCTTAACGCTACAAGTTTTAGATTGGACGTGTGTGGCATGCCTGTTAATTCGATTGTTCTACAGGTAATGAGCCAGGAGGCTTAATTTTAATGCAATCTAGATATATTACCGATCATTTCTCGTTTGGTTTCAAAGATGTAAACAGTGAGTTTATTATTTGTAACGGAGGTTGTATTGTCGGTGCATCCATATAGGTACACAATACTTAAACTTACAATAGTGGATTATAAAAGACTCTCGCACGAAGGTTTTCGTACCAAAATCCCGTTTGTTATATGGGTGTCCCCTTAAAAGTTTATTTTATTTTGTAGTGGCAGCAGAAATGCGTCGTCTCTCTAAATATCAGCTTTCATATGGTTCGGTGAGATACCTACAGCTTGTGTAATCCAGTCATCATAATCAAAAAAATCGACGAGTCATACTAAAACAAAAATAGAAATTAAATTTCTGAATTTCGAAAACTCAGAAGATCACGAAAACACTCGAGCTGAACCGAAATCATACGAGCAGTACCGAAACCATAGAGACGAACCGAAATCACACGAGAAGAACCAAAATCATGCGAGCTGAATCGAAATCATACGAGCCGAATCGAAATAATACGAGCCATACCGGAATCACAAGAGACGAACCGAAATCGAATATACACTGGGGTCTTCAAGGGTGGGGACGTGTGGCGAGGCGAGGTGCTTCGGCACGTCCTTATTGGAAACGAGGGCTTTGAGTTTTTAATCATCATCATCATCATCTATATGTATGTCCCCGTTGCTGAGCAAAGGTTTCTCTTCGCACGGAGAAAAAGGTTTGAACATTGAAATTATAAGTCCATAATTTTCTAAAGACGTTTTCCTAGGGCGTTTTAATAAATTTTGTCAGTACATACATTTAACTCGGGAAGTCATATTGGTACATTTGGTACTTGCCAGGTTACGAACCCGCACACTCTTGCTTGAGGAGTTACTTGTTCGAAAACTTTACTTGTCAGGTACTACGTAACCTGACAAGAAGGTAAAGTTTTTTCATTTCGTAAATAAAATTGCATCCGATATCGCACTCACAATGATTTTTCTGAAGAATAATGTAATGTAAAGGATGATGTTTAATTCATCAACTGATGAGCTACACAATAAATATTCGGGAGTTTCCTTTGCATTTTCGTAACGTACATTTTTAATTTAATTTTTTTTTTGTACGTTTTACCAATTGGTTCTGTATTTTGGTTCATAGGTATGTAGTCTGAATCAAATGCCTGAGTTGATTCCATTAAACAGAGAATGGTTGACAAAAATTGTTGTGATTCCAAAAAGTTTGGTATTCGAGACACGTATCACCGATAAGCCTTTTTGCGAATCAGTTCGACAAATATTTAAATTGTTGGCCAAATTGCTAGATGTTCCCATGTAGGTAGATATACGCTGTAATAATATCGACTATCTATTTTTTGTAAACTCGAATGTATTTCAATCATCACTAATGAGAGGGTTTACGTAGCGTTACAAACAGGATTTATGACTTTTGAAAGTTTTTAATATGATAGAGCCGGATTACCTGATGGTAAGCAATTGGTGGTGGCCATTGGCATCCGCAACATCAAATAAGATACGAGTGTATTATTGACCTTTTTGGGAAGGAGGGGAGGGAAGGATTAAGAATCCGGCAACCTCAGTCACACGGCGAAACACTACGCAGTTATTTCATGACGCTTTTCTGCAAGGCCGGAGTATCACTCACGAATGGATTCGCTAGCTTTCTATACTTATTGGAAAGGAAAGGATAATTTTTCATGTGATAGGACGGCAAATGAGCTGACTGATTACCTGATGATAAGCAATCAGCGCCGCCCATGGACACCCGTAATGAGGGAGAGGTCCGAGTGCGTTGCCGACCGTTTCGAGATTTAGGGATTGGGTGTGGGTAAGGATTGGGCTTCCGGTTACCTCACTCACACGGCCGAACCCAACGCTGTTGCTGTTTCACGCCGTTTTCCTGTGTAGCCGTTTTGTCACTCCGGTCGGCCCGACCCATTTGTGGCGAAGTTGGGCCCTCCCACACGTAAACTCATCGTGGGCTCATTGGGCATTGAACGTAACCAATAATGCCATTAAGTATGTTATATTAAATGTATTCATCTATAGTTTATTTCCTAGCGCCTAGCTTGTAGCCTAGCCTAGACTGAAAGAGATATAAGAGATCTGCGCTTACAATGGCCGGAGATTATCGCGTGCTTCTTCTCCTTCGCAGACGATTCTCCTATTTCCCTCGCCCCACACAATGAGGGATCGCGCTACCGATCCAATTTCCCGAGGACATGGTGCTCAGGCCAAGTGTCAGAAATCACTGCTACCATATACTCCACGATGTC